GTGCTTATTGGCAGTTGTTTTGGGAGTTTTGGTCAGGAAGCAATATGGCCGATGAAGAGGTCTAGACAATTAATTGTCTTGCATGTCTGTTACTACGCTGCGCAAAATAGTTGTCTTAGGATTGGGAAATGAAGATCAAGGTTACAGAAACGGCAGTCCGAGCTACATAAATATCTGGGGAGGATCGTGAAAATTTCAGATCGATTTTTGAGTTGTTCCAAACTCGTATGCTGTATGCTGTTCATCTAACATCACCATGAACGGTGATTTCCAGGATAAAATGGGATATAATGATAAAAGGAAGAAACCAGAGAAGGAAAGAAAAAAGTCTAAAAACGCCCTCAAGGCACGACAGAGAAGAGATGGGCGTGTCCAGGTGTTTCCCCGATGATAAGAAAATTGTCAATAAAACCACTGCGCCGAAAAGTTGCAAAATTGAAGCTCGATCTCACGTCGTCTCAAAGTCATCTACCGGGTCATGTAGAGAGAATCGCTCGACTCGGTGCGGGGGAATATCCTCGTGTATAGGGAGTCGCTCGATTCGGTACGCGGGAACTGGCGCTGGTGGGCCTTGGAAATGTAACGGTCCTGGTACACTCCCCGCGCGGTGCCCCTAACGACGGATTCGAGGTATTCTCTAAATTCGGTCGGCCTGAAGTCGGGATACAATTGCTTCGAAGTGACGTAACCAAGGTATTTGGCGTATTCCGGGCAGTTGTCACCACGAATGCCCCAGGACAGCTGGTACTCCGCCAGATATCGAGGGATGAACTTCACGGGGTCGTAGGGGTAGGTCTCGCTGGACTGGCGAGCCGCGAGCACTCGGGTGTAAACGGTTTCTTCGGGGATCTGCCGGAATGCCAAGGTCAGCCAATGCGGTCGCCACTGAGAGCGCCGGCGCGACTTACGTAATTTCTCTGGATTTTCTCCTCGCTAATTTCTTCCAGCATGTCGTAGATCTGGTTTTGAGTGACCACGGTGTTGTAGGCCAGGACCATCTTGTTTAACGTGCGGTCGTCGCCGATGATGAGAGCCACGTAGCGCCCGATGTCTCTCAAGTCGGTCAAAGCAAGGGGCGTGTTGCCGTCTCCGACGATCTCGTTGTTGGCGGAGGTCATGGCATAGTCGGCTCTGCCGGATTCGAGCCGAGGGTAGGAGAGTTGGTACCACCAGCCGACGTCGATGATGGTGTAGGGGAGCTGAAGTTGCTTGATGTGGTTGTAAACCGTTTCTTTCTAAAATCCCCAACAGAAATCAGTCGTCAGTCGGACACCCCATGGGTATTTTCGTTGGGATGATCATGCAACTTACCTCATCTCTCAGCCACATGATGCCTCCCGGTGGTGCCACCGTGATGAAAGCACAGGGCACGAATCGTCGCACGCCGGCCTTCTTCGCCGCTTTGGCGAGGCTGATTTGATCCTGTTGCTCGGCCGGACCGACACAACTGATGACAACATCGATACCGGTAAGGACATCGGTGAGGGTTTCCTCGGAGCCTCGCAAATCGCAACGGCGAATCTGGACTCCTCGCTCCTGGAGAGAGACGATGGCGGGTTTCTGGACCGACCGGGGGCGAACCAAAGCGTGTACTTCCTGTGAGATAGTTAGACGGAGGAATGATTATCACGATATGGCGAATTTGGAAAAAAAAAAAAAAAAAAGGAATAAGGATAGTAGTGGGCGATTCATACATAGGTCGGGTTTTCCAAGAGGCCGTTTGCGATAGAGCCGCCCGTCTCACCAGCGGCTCCAACCAATAAAACCTTTGTTCGCGACATGATTTCTGGGAATTGGGCCGAAATCGGGAGTAGGGGAGGTTTTGCGAGAAGATATGAGGGGTTGAGAAAAAGTAGAAGTTGATGGGTGGTGAGAGTCAAGGCCCAAGATATATGAAAGGAAGAACGAACCAAGAAAGAAAAAGGGAAGAAAGAAGAGAAAAAGGTTAGGCCGAATTTGCCTTCCCTCCTTTTGTTTAAATGGGCTGAGAGTTTCCCAGCAAAAGGATCAAGGATCAGTCGAGGACGGCGACATACCCACTCATCCTTATCCAAAGTGGTCGAAGGTGGGTCGAGGGTGGATGTTAAGCTCCCAAACAGAGGCAACCTTTGGTGCGTGAGTTGTCGCAGAAGGAGGGGGGCAGAAAGTACGTCATTCTCCGTCGCCTGGCTAATGCAGACTCGATGTGACTCTGGGAATGTGATATACCTGGGATGCCTTGGGAAATTCACACGAGTGAATCGGGTGACATTGGCGGGTCGGAGGGCAGCTTTGGTGTTCTGTGCACAGTGAACACGTTCTGTCTCGAGACTAGTCGTGTAACTATACCCTATAGTCTGCACCGTACTAACTACTCTTACTACAGTAGGCACTCCGTAAGCCGTCGGATCTCACGACTTCAGGATCCTTTTTTCCTCAGGCAACGGGCCGGTGTGGCTCGGGAACCGAAAAGAACCAATGGGCATTTACGTCATCTGGGCACGGCTTCCCGGGTCGACGCAACGCCAGGCCAGGTTGTTCGTCTTCCAACTCCTTCGCTTTCTCTCTCTCTCTCTCAGAACTAGAGGGTATCTTCATCATTTTATCGTCATCCTGACCCTACCATCCTGGCAGGTGGTGTATGCACCTTTCCACGTCTTCCCTAAGTAGACTCCCGGTGTCCCATCTCCAATCTTTTTTTGGTGCCCTTTCCCCCCTTTCTTTCCCTGACAGTTCGCCCTCTTCAACGGCCATAACTTGATTCTGGCGCATAATGCGGGGATTCCAGACTTACTACAATTTCCAGCCCTTCCTCCCCGGAATTCCCAATTTCTAGCCAGGCAACGCACACATTTTCCTGCCCTGTTCAAGCTCGCTGATTCGGTGGTTCCTCGTTTATGACTAAGAACCCCCCACGTCAGAGATCTTCGGATCGGCGTGGTGGACTCCGACCGTGAGACGCAAGGAAGGGCAAGCATTTCGTCGGTTTTGCTCACCAGCCATGATGTTCATGAAGCCAATCGTAGTGGGCGCTTACAGGAACTAGCGGGTGGGTCCTGCCAGACGCTCGCAAGTGTACTACAGTTTCGTACGGATACAGGAGTGCTATTTCGAACCATACTGTGTACTTGGTCTACTGAGTAGGTATAGAGTATAGAGTCTGCCGGGAAACTTGGAAAGGCTTGCTAGAAACTGTCAAGTAGTCCGAACTCTTGCACCGGGTGGCCTGACGCTAGGTCAATTAGACGGGTGTCTGATCGCAGTCATGTGTTTTGATTCATCTGCCATCAACTGACCGGCACTTATCCGTACTAACGCGATTGACTTGTTGAAACTTTCTGTTCCTGCATTCGAGGGGGCGATGCTGAATCATATCCGAGCCGTTATAATCGCGAGATATTAGGGGGCGTGGTATGGCAGAATCGCCATGGCGAGTCTCGAACGCACCGATTGCATGATACGCACACATATGTGGTATTCTGTATTTGTGTCTGGTCATTTGACGAGGCAATTTCAACAGGTTCCAAAATTAGGACAGGGTAGAAATAACCCGTTCTAAATGTGACATGGGATGACGTTGATCTAATGTGGGAATGATCAGTACTAGGGTCGACGCATGAGCATCTATTTGAAAAAGAAAACATGGCACGGCATTTCCTGTAGGCAGTGTTAATGATTCAACACGTATGAGAAGCATCAAGCCACGATTCACTACCGTTATACGACAATCCACGTGAGGTGTGTTGCCTGCCGTGTGTTTGACTATCTATACTCAGGAGATTCCAGCCGCGCACCGAGGTGATCTACAGATTGCATTCATGTCCATAAATCCTGTCATCGTGAACGATGTCGATCTAAAACCATGTGTGCTGCTGGCGTATCAGAACACTCCTGTCGTATGCGTTACCTACTCCGCAAATACTAACACCATCCACGACATCCCGCCCGGTGAATGGAGCCCAGTGGGCAGGAATGATGAGCGAGATGCGGCTCCCATCAAATCCGGGGTCACGGGGCGGGTGAGATAGACCGTGGATTGTGGAATAATCAATAATTTAATAAATCAAACCAGCCCTCGGGCGCTATCTGAATAGCTTCTTCGGCGGAAAACCCAATGAGAATCCCACGCAGCAAGCCTTGACCAAGACAATGGCCTTGAAGAAAACCCAACACAGGCTGCAATTATCCCAGTCACCGCGATAGCCCCGTGCTAAGACGTCCAAGACCTCTAGGCTGCAGAATCTGCACCGGTCGGTTTCTCGAGTTGGAACGAAAGCATCTCCAACCCGGACGAGACCAATCCGAGAGGCAGGTAGTCCGAAGTGAAGGAGACAGTTGCAGCGGTCGTGCTAATTTCCAATCGAAGACCCCTTGATCCAATGACAAGGGAGAAGGCCAGGTGGGTTTCACGCGGAGAAAACCCCAAGCGGGTTGGGCTAAACGCAATTAAGCATGGCGGAGGGAACTACCGATTTTCCACGGGCAAGTCCGGGGAGTAAGGAGTACTACTATCCACAATGATTCCAATTGACTCCCGGGCAGCCATGCGCCTGCAGGTGCAATGGCATGTGAGAAACGGGCGTCCATTTCGCCTCGGGGCCAATGATCGCGACACTGCGCCCCCGTCCGCCGATGCAGGTCGCAGAGAATTTCACTACTGCGACTCACTACGACTCAGGGAGTCTAGTTTCCTTTCACCCTGTCTGATAACCACTGGAATGTCGGTGTAGCATTTTTCTCGGGTTGCCTACCGTTAGCCTGCTTCCATCTTCAAATTGTATGTATGCATATTTCTTCCTCGGAATGTGTACTGAGTAGGCATCCAGAGCCGCTCGATTTTCGGTAGCAACACTTCACTTTATAATTCGCGAAGTTGCCCTAGTCAACAAAAACACCGATATTCCCATTAACTTACTCCGTTTTTAATTGATATTCTTTCAGCACGTACCTGGGTCCTCAGAGCCGGTCAATAGATCGACAGTCTCGGAGAACAGATTCAGACATGCGGTGGTCTTTTCTCATCAGCAACTAGTTAACTGGTCAATGACCCGAGCGTCTCGCATCATAGTTTCAGCAATGCTCAGATAGTCCTTTCTACCAGCGTCCCAATCCCAAGTTTCCATTTCCCTCAATGCCTCTCCGGCTTTGTTTTGGTACTCTTCGTCGCTCTCACCGTTGTCGTATACACCCTCTTTCGTATTCAGCGGCTTTTCACGTAAAACGTAACCGCATATAAAAGCCAATAGATCAATTTTAACTCGACGTCTGGAGATATCGCCAAGCGGGTAGTTGAGGAGAAGACGAAGCAACGACACCATGCATTTGGTAGGCTTGGGCGTCAGAATCTTGAGCGTGCGGTCAAAGGTGGATGTGACTTTGCAGGTGTCCTGAAGCTCAAGGCCGACAAGTGACAGCGGGTAGAGATATACCGGACAAGACTCGCCCAGACTGTGGGTAGTGCAAGTTCGATCCCATTCTCCGTACCAAAAAGCAGCTCCTGAAGATGTGGGCACAGCAGGGAAACCCTGTTCTGATGGAATTTTGGACGCAAGCGAGAATAGTTCATTGGGGATCGCCCACTCCACGCGCTGGAATTCAAGGCGTTAGAAATGCCCGACGAGTCGACTGGTCAATGCCACAAAGGTTCTTTGATGCTTACCGCAAGGACCACAGGGTATCCGTAGCGCCACTGTATCTGCTCCCCATACTCCACGAAGGGGATATTCTTCTCGACCAGAGCTTTCGCAGCTACGCTCACAATGCGCGCATGAAGCTGTCTCGAGTCTCTTCCTCGGGTGGCGATGTCTCGTTCTGTGGCGGTGATGTATCCTTCTGCGGTTGGGATCTCTTCCTGGGGTGGGGAGATCAGTTCCTGTAGCGGTAGTGCCATCTTTCAATCACCGAAAATGGACGAACTCGAAATGAGAAGAATCTTAAAAAGTTTGGATAAGGAAATTGGGTTATCGCGAAGAGTGCGACCCTACATCAATGAGTCATTCAATCAATTGCCGTTTCACGGATTCCCAGATCATATGCCATGGAATCGTTGTCAGTCTGACGTATAATGCTAAGAATATCCTTAACCTAGAGAGCAATTATTGCTATTCACGGGGATTAGTATGTAGTATGTACCACCTATGCCATACGTATAGCTAGGTATTACTAAAACAAGACACGTAGGCTTTAAAGCTCTAAAGAGCATTAAGTATACTTTAAAAGGCACTATAGTTATATCTTGATGATCCATGAGATGGTGGAGGGATAATATCCTATTTCTGCAATTATCTCAGACCGAAAATATACATGGGTGAATAAAGATAACCATCGGCATGTCCGATTTGTACCATCGGGTGCCGCCATATCTCGGCAAGTGTCTGTTCTAGAGAGCAACCCCCCCCCTTTGAGAAAACACATTTAGGGACGAGAAACCTGCGAACCTTTCCTCCTAAACAAGCAGCTGTACAAAAAATCCATATAGGATAATGTCAGATATTAGTTCATGGAAGAGAGACTAAAGGTTTGAAAAGAACTCATTAGTGCTACCTTGATGATTCTACTCTTCAGTGAAGTCCGATGGAAATTGACCTAAAAAAACATTGAATCATATGTTCAAACTAAATTTGACTCATTTACAGTATAGAAGTGAGCCATGAAGAAGATACACTTTGATCAAAATGGATTCCGCCCTTATGGAGGACTCCCGCATACCAGGTATGACTAGAAGCCGACCTTAACTTAATGAGGTCTTTCGATCGAGGCCCTTTTCACTGTTTTGCAGTTTGTCCAACTCGCCACTCAGTGAAGTCCCATTCAAAATTTCGCCAATTTCTTCCAACGTCTTTCCCTTGATTTCCACCGGCCAAGCGATTGATTGTGTACCGGCACTAATCCCAAGCACAATCCTGGAAGTCACATACATGGCAACATTTTGCGAGGCGGTTTGAATGATCACAGAAATAACAGCAAGAAGGGAGCCGTAGAGCAACGCCCTCTTGCGGCCAACATGATTCGAAATCTTTGCGCAGAAAATACTCGCAATAAGAGTTCCAATCCAAGTGGAGGCCGTGTATAAGGCAGCGCTAGAAGGGTTGAAGGCAAAATAATGCTGATAGGATGGCAGGATATTAAGACCGTTCAGGAGACTACCATCGTAACTCATAGTAGTACTTGTTACTGAGGAGCACATAATAAGTACCATGATCTGCCATTTTGACGATTTCAGTACCATTGTCGGATGAGGACAGTCTCAATAGTCAAAGGCCCAATTGGAAGACGAGTGATAAGCAAGATGCCTGGAGTTTTCATTGACTGGAGAGTGGTGTACTATATAACACATATTCATTGTTGTTCATTCCTGTCAAACTCCGTTGTCCCTCCTCCCTTCTTGTCGTGCCTACCATGCGACAGAGACAACGATTCAATTGCCGGGATATGAGGTCCACCCCCCGGAGCTCTAATTAGAGGAGCGTGCGGTCGGCTTGACCGATTCCAAAGCTTTGTGGGGATAAAGCTACATACAACGAGCCTCAGAGGACATGAAATGCCGTATACAAATTCCGTTACTCTTGCGTTGCCAATCAGGTTGTGTGGGGGTTCAGTATTTGGTCGGGATAGCCGACATCGAGGGGTGGGGGTACGCCCTCACTGAGCATCTCGTGGCACATAGTTCAGATAATAATGTCTCGTGATGGGCCAAAAGGGCTACATAAGCTTAATATGTATGTACTTTAAGACAGCCCACTATACTTTTCAAGGATAAACATTGAGACAACAATCAAACACGGTCTAGAAACGAATATTTCTTCCCATCAAAGAATCGATCAAAGTGTTATCATGACTGGAGCATTGGACAGATGGCCTGCGTGGCCGGAGTTTACCATTGGAAAGGGTGAATCAGAGGAAGATCTGGTGAAGATCAAGGCTGCGATTCTTGCGCATTATGGTGCCGAAAATCTACAGAAGAGTTGGATCAAAGTGTGTCAGAAACTCGAGGAGGTCACCCAAGAAATTAAAGACAGAGGATCGCAGATAACCCCAGCGATAAATTTCAAGGACTTAGACTCCTTGAGTCACGAGCAGAAACAAAATCTCAAGGATATTGGCTGTTTTGTGATCAAAGAAGTCATTGACAGGGAAAAGGCGGAGGAACGGTTCAAAGACTTGAAGTACACCTCAGATAATCAAAGCAACGTATCAGGTGAGTATATGCGTGAACTATATTTGGATCCCTATTAATTGACTTGGCTACACTAGGCTGGCCAGCGGAATCTCCTTCAATCTTGAATCTTTTTTATACTCCTACGCAAGTGGCTGCGCGGTCCCACCCAAACATGCTTAAGGTGACTCAGGAGCTCATCAACTTGTGGCATGATGACACATCCAATGAACCACTGGAGCCCTTGAGCTATACTGATGCTGTTAGGGTTCGCCCACCGGATCAGGCCTTTTTAGGTCTCGGGCCCCATATCGATGCAGGTTAAGTCGTTGGGCGGATCCAACCTATCGATCTTGCTATGATGCCGTATGGAATGGACACCCGGAGAACTTAAACATGTATGATCTGTCTGTTCGAAAGGATGCAGAGACCCGACTGTTCCCTGGTACTGCTCACTGCGGCACCTTCTGGGCATTTCAAGGATGGACTTCTATCACCACTACTAGTCCGGGGGAAGGGTCCATTCTATTGTACCCTAATGTCAAATGGTCCATTGCATATGTCCTACTTCGTCCATTCTTCAAAGCACCTGAAGACCCCAAGGACATTATGGATCCTACCAAATGGACTCTCGACCCTGATATGCCGTGGTTTCCGGGAACCTTTCGAGCCAATTCCCAGATGCTTTCGTTAGAGTGGCATCCACATTTGAAACTTCGTGATTTTCCACCTATTGCGCCTGGAGCTACTGTTTGGTGGCACGCGGATATGTGTCACGTCGTGGACACAGAGCACAAAGGTCAAGGAGACTCTTCGGTGCTATGCATTGCGGCCACTCCTTCTACCAAAAGCAACAACGAATATGTTGAGAGACAGCTCAAGGAGCTTATTGGCGGTCGACTTCCCCCTGATTTCCAAGCTCCAGGCAGAGTTGACTCGAAGGAACCAAGTTTCATGGGCTACACCGGAGAGGCTGGTATTCTCTCCACGGAGGGCAGAAAGGCAATGGGAATCCGCGTTTATTTTTTATAAATGATGAGAGCAGAGCCAAATCGCATGTACGCGAAATAAAACCAAGCGTGGCTATGGAGCTACAAATCAACGCTTATCATACCCCTAAACCTTTCCCCACAGTAAGACAATTTTCCTTTGAGTCTACCCTACAGAGCCTCAGTGCTACCAAACATCTGGAATCCGAGATCGAGTGCGTTGTCGCTCGCCTCAAAATATAATTGCAATATCTCCAATATGGGTCAGAAGCAATTCTCGACAAAAACACTGAAAATTGTGAGCTCAGTGACGATGAATACTTGTAAATAGGAATGATATGAACTTAATCATATCTGCATTTTTATAAATATAAAGACAGATCACGCGGTATCAGGCAAAATATTGGTGTCGCCGCGGGAATACACTGAGTACGCACTAGAATAGCCCTTCGCTAAAGGGTAATGGTTAGCGCCTGGCACGGTGACACTAAATCCTGACACGGCGCCCACTGCGACCCTGATCTATTCCCAAATTCGGTCCCCGACTCGCGATGAGTCCAACTCGCTATGCAGTGACTAATTAAATGGCTTGTTATTAGCATGGAATATCACTCTCTAGGCCAAGGATCCGGCCAAACATTGCCGGACCCGGTTGCATTGGACTCTGTAAAGCTGCCTAATAGCTCTTAATTGAGGGCCTTTCCTATAATTCCCATGAAAACTCTTCACGTTGCTAACCACATTTGTGCCAATCCTTCCCCCCAAATATGACTAACTATGACTAACGGGGTGATATCAGACCTCACAAATGGAGGATCGGAAGGTCCTCCGCCCTGGGATTGGCCCTTTGTGCCTAGTCTAGACGGTGATTGTCCCCTCCCCAGCACTAAAGCTCTTGGGCATGCTTTGCTTAATCAAACCTGGGGAACCTGACCGCAACACATCTTTGACTCCCAAAGTCTTTGTAATGCATCAATCGGCTGTGTTGCTGCCCTGACCCAGACAATTCTTGCTATTTGCAAGTTATCTTTGGCATCCTTTCTTCATCTCTCCTCATCCTACGCTTCATTTTACTGTTCTTCTCTAACTCGGGGAACTGGGGTAGCGGTGATCCACGCTCATGGATGAGAAACCGGTGGCAAAGGAAGCCCAACATGGCTCGGAGACGGATTCTTTGTCCACGGCGGATAACTACGAGCAAGATCGAGAATGGCTCAGACGCGCTAACCCCCAGGGAATTTCGTCTCATCAGTCGGGTGTTGACGTTCAGAGAGCCGAGCAGGAGTTCTCCGAGCTGAACAGGCAGTTCTCTAGCATCTCTCACCAAGCCCATCGCCTATCAGCACAGGCCTCAAGAAAGTCCAAGGTCTTCGTAGAGAGCGAGGATGTGGAGAGGTCAGCAACTTCGGCTGACACCGATGAACCATGGGATCTTGAAACTGCCCTGCGCGGCAGCCAGACCGCTGCGATAGAGGCTGGCATCAAAAACAAACACATTGGTGAGTGACCTCGCGCAAATTGTGTCACAAATTTATTGATACTATGATTCATCGTTCTTTCAGGTGTCATTTGGGACAGCCTTACGGTTCGTGGCCTCGGGGGCATCAAAACCTATATCAAGACATTTCCCGACGCGTTGATGGATTTCTTCAATGTCCCAGGACTGCTAATCGACCTACTGGGTTATGGAAAAAAAGGCCAAGAATTTGAGATTCTGAAAGACTTCAAAGGTGTCCTGCGCCCCGGGGAGATGGTCCTCGTGTTAGGACGTCCAGGCTCGGGATGCACAACTTTCCTCAAGGCAATCACCAACCAGCGTTTTGGGTATACCGGGGTGGATGGGGAGGTGTTGTACGGCCCATTCGACGCCGACACCTTTTCCAAGAGATTTCGAGGAGAGGCCGTCTACAACCAGGAGGACGATGTCCATCAGCCAACTCTCACAGTAAAGCAAACCCTAGGTTTTGCTCTCGACACAAAGACGCCAGGCAAGCGGCCACTTGGCGTGTCCAAGGCCGACTTTAAAGAGAGGGTGATCGACATGCTGCTCAAGATGTTCAATATCGAGCACACAGCCAATACCGTTGTGGGAAATCCGTTTATTCGTGGGGTCTCCGGAGGAGAGAAGCGTCGGGTTAGCATAGCTGAAATGATGATCACGTCGGCAACGGTTTTGGCCTGGGATAACAGCACCCGTGGCTTGGACGCGTCGACTGCACTCGACTTTGCCAAATCTCTTCGGATTATGACCAATATCTATAAGACCACGACTTTTGTTTCCCTATACCAGGCCTCAGAGAATATATACAAGCAATTTGACAAAGTTCTTGTCATTGACAAAGGCCGCCAAGTTTTCTTTGGCCCGGCTGCTGATGCAAGATCTTATTTCGAGGACCTTGGATTCAAGGAGAAGCCTCGCCAAACCACACCTGATTATCTGACCGGCTGTACGGACTTTTTTGAACGAGAATTCAAAGATGGTCGCAGCGCTGAGGACGTCCCCTCAACCCCAAGTGCCCTCGCAGAGGCATTTAATAATTCCGCGTACAATGAACGACTCGTGCAGGAAATGGACGTGTATCGCGCGCAAATTCAACAGGAAAAACACATATACGAAGAGTTCGAGCTGGCTAATCAAGAAGCAAAGCGCAAATTCACCCCAAAGACCTCGGTGTATTCAGTCCCATTCTATTTACAGATATGGGCTCTCATGCAACGCCAGTTCTTGATTAAATGGCAGGATAAATTCGCATTGACCGTCTCTTGGATCACGTCTACCGGGGTAGCTATTGTCTTAGGTACTGTTTGGTTAAATCAGCCCCAGACAAGCGCAGGTGCCTTTACCAGAGGTGGCCTTCTATTCACGAGTCTTCTCTTCAACGGGTTTCAGGCATTCTCCGAGCTTGCTTCCACCATGATGGGCCGGTCAATCGTCAACAAGCATCGCCAATTCACATTCTACCGACCAAGTGCCCTGTTCATCGCACAGATTCTAGTTGATGCTTCGTTTGCCATAGCTAGGATCCTTGTATTCAGTATAATAGTGTACTTCATGTGCGGCTTAGCTTTAGATGCAGGAGCCTTTTTCATCTTCGTCCTAATCATCTTCATTGGGTATATTGATATGACCGTCTTTTTCCGCACCATCGGTTGCATGTGTCCAGGTTTCGATCACGCGATCAATTTTGTCTCCGTGCTTATCACCTTGTTCGTGCTTACCTCGGGTTACTTGGTCCAATGGGCAAGCGCACAAGTCTGGTTGAGGTGGATTTATTTCATCAATCCATTTGGTCTCGGCTTTGCGAGTCTGATGGTCAACGAATTCAGTCGTCTGAACATGACGTGTACTCAAGAGTCACTGGTTCCCAGTGGACCGGGCTATGATGATATTGCTCGCCAGGCATGTACGCTCGCGGGAGGTGAACCGGGCTCTGCTATTGTCCCAGGAGCGAACTACATTGGGACCACGTTCAACTATATGAAGGGTGATCTTTGGCGAAATTTCGGGATCATGATAGCTCTCATTGTTGGGTTTCTTGGAGCCAACTTGTACCTTGGAGAAGCGGTTCGATTCGACGAAGGGGGCAGAACCGTCACTTTCTATCAAAAAGAGAGCAAACAAAGGAAAGCCCTCAATGAAGACCTGATGAAAAATTGGGCTAGCCGGCGCTCAAAGGAGCAAGATGCAGTGGGGACCGATCTCGAAATCACGTCCAAATCCGTATTGACCTGGGAAAACGTCTGCTACGATGTTCCTGTGCCCTCTGGAACCCGGCGGCTCCTCAAATCAGTCTACGGGTATGTACAACCCGGAAAGCTGACAGCGTTGATGGGAGCATCAGGAGCCGGGAAGACGACGCTACTGGACGTTTTGGCGGCGCGAAAAAATATCGGTGTCATTAGGGGTGATATACTGGTGGATGGGGCACCGCCTGCCACGTCTTTTCAGCGAGGGACGTCTTATGCTGAGCAATTGGATGTTCATGAGTCGATGCAAACAGTAAGAGAAGCATTGCGATTTTCTGCTGAGCTTCGTCAGCCGTATGAAACGCCGCAGTCGGAGAAGTTCGCATATGTTGAAGAGATTATCTCACTCCTTGAATTAGAAAACTTGGCAGATGCCATCATTGGAACACCTGACACTGGTCTTTCGGTTGAAGAAAGGAAGCGAGTCACCATCGGAGTTGAGCTCGCTGCCAAACCGGAACTACTTCTCTTTCTAGACGAACCGACCTCGGGACTAGACAGTCAGTCTGCTTTCAACATTGTGCGATTCTTGCGAAAGCTTGCCGCCGCTGGCCAGGCCATTCTCTGTACCATTCATCAACCAAATTCTGCACTCTTCGAAAACTTTGATCGTCTACTTTTGCTGCAGAGAGGGGGTGAATGCGTTTACTTTGGCGATATCGGGGAAGACTCGCAAATTCTGCTAGATTACTTCCACCGACACGGGGCAGATTGTCCTGCCGATACCAACCCGGCTGAATGGATGCTTGACGCTATTGGCGCCGGGCAGACCCCCCAGATTGGCGACCGCGACTGGGGTGAGATATGGCGCACGTCCCCAGAGATGGAACGAGTAAAGCAGGAGATCATCGAAATCAAAGCTAGTCGTGTCGAGCAAGCTCACCAACCCGGCGGCTCTCAGATTGTGCACAAGGAATATGCAACGCCCTTGTGGCACCAGATCAAGGTCGTCTGCAAGCGGACCAACATTGTGTTTTGGCGGTCTAGTAAATATGGGTTTACTCGCTTCTTCACTCACCTGAGCATCGCAGTGATTACCGGTCTTGCCTTCTTACAGCTGGATGACTCTCGTGCTTCGTTGCAATATCGGATTTTCATCATCTTCAACGTGACCATTATCCCGATTATCATTATTCAACAAGTCGAGCCGCGGTACGAAATGTCTCGCTTGGTGTTTTATCGAGAGTCCGCCTCGAAGACATACAAAGAGTTTGCCTTTGCCTTGTCTATGGTGGTGGCTGAGATTCCATATTGCATTTTCTGTGCCGTCATCTTCTTCCTACCTCTTTTCTACATCCCCGGTTTCCAATCCGCTTCCAGTCGTTCTGGCTACCAATTCTTCATGATCCTCATCACGGAACTGTTTGCTGTCACCCTTGGCCAGGTGATTGCAGCATTGACGCCCAACAGTTTTATCGCTTCGCAGATCAATCCTCCCATCACGATTCTGTTCTCGCTATTCTGTGGTGTTATGGTTCCAAAGCCACAGATCCCAAAGTTCTGGCGAGTGTGGCTTCACCAGCTCGACCCTTTCACGCGCATCGTCGGTGGAATGGTAACGACCGAGCTCCATGACCGACCCGTCATATGCAGTCCCGGTGAATACAATTACTTCCAGGCGCCTCCCAACCAAACCTGCGGGGAATATATGCAACCGTTCTTTGAGAAAGGGGGCGTGGGATACCTAGTGGAGAATGCCACACGGGCCTGCGAATACTGTGCGTTCAAGGTCGGTGATCAATTTTATCAAACCTTCGAGATGGAATTTGATAACCGGTGGCGGGACTTGGGGATCCATGCTGCCTATATTGGGTCGAATCTGATCATCATATTTCTAGCGGTAAGTCAACGATTGATCTCTTCTATCTATCTCTATGTTCGAGCTAATTGGTCATTCATATAGGCACGCTACCTGGCGTACAACCGACGATGAGAAGGGGTGGAATTCCATGCAGATCACGAGGGACGTAAAGAGATAGTTGAATCAGATTGGGTGTAGTAGATCTAGTTGTAGGGACACTATTAAGATAGGTAGAATGAGCATATAGTTAACTAGCAGTTAATGCAATTGATTATTAAGGAATTGTCCCCAGATTTCCCCGCACATGAGGGAGGGGGTTTAGCTGCCCCCGCGTCGTCTCTTCATTCCCGTCTGCTTTGTCTCATCCTTTTCGATCGACATCGCTTCCGCAAGATTTCCCACCTATTACCGCGCTTTCAACCCTGCTAGTCGCTCTTGAAAAATTAACCCCAACTATGGATGGACTCGGATTTGGTCCGAGATATGGCCCGTTCGCGACCAACCAATCCATGATGGACACCCTCACGATGAGGAGTTAGCTGTCCTATGAGAATGCTGGGCGTATTCCTCGACAGTGTGAGATCCTCATGACGCTTTGTGCCCCTCATCACTCCATAATGACCATGTTCTTGGCACGGTCGATCCTATTCCGCGTCCAAGAAAGCCCCAAAGTTGCAAGCTCTTGCCGAAGGAGGTGGATCAACCTTGTGGCTTTCTAGCTCCTTCCGGCTTGACAAGAGCTTAACAGATGGGAAGGATTCTGCAGTTATCTTACCAGCGGATCTCTTTTGCGGTAAATGCTTGTCCCACCAGGTCCATCAAGGAGCGGTCGAAATCTTTGTGCTCGCTTTTCCCTTAAAACGCACTATCGGCCCGTTGACTTATTGTCTCTCAGCACTGCATTCAACCCTCCTTGTCTTCCACATACTGATCTCAAGGAAAAGGCAGTCTAACAGTCAACCATGGGCAGTCCTCGCCTAGAGCCAGCTTCAGGCTCCAAACATGGCCCGGAGACACCTATAGCTACGCAGAGTGAAAGCCACCACATCGAAGCAGCATGGAAGGCACCAAAGCCCAAAGAGGGCGATACGGCCATGGCGCTCTTCCATGACTCGGACGAGCTTCATGAGCCTATCGACCCTGCCGAAGCAAGGAGGCTGTTATGGAAGATTGATTTTATGATTTTGCCTTATCTCGCTGTTTGCTATGCCTTTTTCTATATCGATAAGGTGCGTGCTATACCATATATTTTCCGATACAGGCTCTTTAGATTGACGTTTGCGGTATTCAAGACAACTCTGAGTTACGCCGCTATCTTCGGTATCAACGATGATCTTAATCTTCATGGTACACAATACAGCTGGCTTAGCAGTATATTCTACTTCGGTTTCCTGGCGTGGGCATTTCCTACTAACTTTCTAATGCAACGCCTACCAATTGGTAATGATTCCCTTATTCATAAAGCAAAAGAGACATAGACTAACCTTCTATTGACAGGAAAATATCTGGGAGTTAACATTTTCATGTGGTAAGTGGTCGGTCCCATTCTTGGAGGATGACATGCCATTAACCACTCAAACCACAGGGGCGTTTTTCTCATGATCCAAGCAGCATGCCATAACTTTGCTACGCTTGCTGTTCTCCGAGCTCTGGGAGGAGCAGCGGAGGCCTGCGCGGATCCTGCATTCATGCTCATCACAAGCATGTGGTACACGCGACGTGAGCAACCAGTCCGCATTGGTTTATGGTATACAGCCAATGGACTTGGTATCGCGCTTGGTGGCTTGTTGGGTTATGGCATCGGCCATATCAAGGGCGCCCTTCCGTCGTGGAAGTACGAGTTCTTAGTGATGTAAGAAACCCGGCGTTCACAGCTGTTCAGGGCAATCCACTTATTCTACTGGTTTTCTATAGCGGTGCCCTGTGTTCAATTTGGGGAATCGTCATGTTCATCTTCCTTCCTGATTCCCCGGTCTCTGCCCCCGGTCTCAATCAGAGGGAGCGCAGGGTCGCGGTCGAGAGACTGCGAGACAACCAGACCGGTATCGAGAACAAGCATCTCAAGCCTCGTCAAGTGCTGGAAGCATTCTTGGATTACAAGATGTACTTCTTCTTCACCCTGGGTCTTGTCTGTAAGTGGCTTCTGAGTCTCTTATCCTGCTAAACTTATACTAATAAAACATGTCTAGGCAACATCCCCAACGGAGGGATCTCAAATTTTGGAACAATCATCATCCAAGGATTCGGATACTCCACGCTAGTAACCACTCTCATGCAGGTATGTCCACCCTGATCATCATATAGAGAGACCACGCCCCCTAACGACATGTTAACTAACCCTACAAGATCCCCTACGGCGTTTTAATCGGCCTGTCCGTGCTCGCCTGCGTCTACCTCAACGACCGCTTCGAGAACAGACGCTGCGTCTTCGTCCTGATCTTCCTCATCCCGAACATCGCAGGAACATTCGGACTGCGTTTTGTGCCGCTGGATCGACAAGTCGGCCGTCTTATCTGCTACTACCTGACAGGCCCATACAACGCCGCCTTTGTCCTCATTCTAAGTATGCAGATTGCAAATACTGCCGGTACGTATCTTTTTTACTCAGTCCCTTAATCTCAGATCTCAGGTCGCTAACCAACCACTACGAAAACAAGGCCACACTAAGAAAGTCGTCACCAACGCCGTTCTTTTCCTCGGTTACTGTACCGGAAACATCGCGGGTCCGTTCTTCTTCAAAGATTCTCAAAAGTAAGTCATACCCTATTCCTTTCTCTCGATGCTGAAGCAAAAGCAGCAATCCAAGCAAGAAAAACTAATCCAACATGTACAGACCCACCTATGAGCTCGGCATCTGGTCCATGATTGTCTCGCACTTGATCGAGGCTGTCATCATCAGCACCCTCGGGCTGCTACTTCGCTGGGAGAACAAGAAGCGCGATCGAATCCAATCTCAGATGGAGGGTGGCTTGGAAGGCCGGGATCTGGATTCCACGGCGTTTATGGATTTGACGGATAGGGAGAATATGAAGTAAGTTTTAATGTAATCCCCTTTCCGGTCTTCTTTTGGTGTTATTTTCCGAAATAGGGCGTTGCTGTGTGAGATGCTAATCAATACTGTTGTCTAGTTTCCGGTATATTTATTAAGAGGTTGCTATGGGTTGTTGACATTGTTTCACGACTATGACTGTGATGTGTTATTTGAGATTATGGTAGACAGATATAGTGACTGTCTTGATATGTTCATGTTCATATTCATAAAGGACATGTCGAAATATTCATGTAGTGGCAAGTATAACCCATGGCCCACCCAAGGTAGATCTATAGGACTAACTACTCCTCAATTCTCAATACTTAATTAACCAGAGCCAAAGTTCAACATTGGCAGGAGTGTACCGAGGTAAGTAATAAGGTCTAGAGCGAGCCTTGGAGCGGGAAAATCGACTGTACATAGTGCACGGTAACGCAAGGTTCACTATTGCCTCGAGCATATCAGACTGCTGCCCGAAGAGACTCTTCTAGAGAGCTGTCACTAGTGCCACTCAAGGGGGACAGGGCGCATCATGAAATACCATTCTTCTTCACTGGTTGGACACCAGAGAGACGAGTGTGTCACGATGTCAAAGCCAGGCGCTAGCTTCACTTTCATCTTCCGTTTTATCGCCGCCACGTAAGATGGGATGTCCTCTTTTTCCGGCACATCCTTGTAGTCGTGTGGTGTTGAAAACGCAACAGCTTCTTCGAATTCCATCTTCACGGCCTGCTGGAGATCCTGTTCATCCGGACGAACACCTTGCTCAGTGACGAGGAACTCCAAGATATCCATGCGTCGGGCCTGCACCGCCGCCCAGACCGTGCTGTAAGGCCCACTCAATTCGAAGTAGTCGCACCGGAGATTCGGGTTTGCACCACGCGCGATCAAGTACTTAACCATGTCAAAATGTCCCTTTTCGACGGCAGTGAACAACGCTGGATGGCCATGAATCCGGATATCCAAGCCTCCATTCGCGGGGTCTGTGATCCGCGCTAGCGCGCTGGGATCGTTGCTTCGCAACGCTATCTCACCTAGGACTGTGTCCGACTTGGGTCGGCGACCATGCTTGAACAATAGCTGAAGCATTTGGCCCTCACGCTGGACCGTCGCTTCGTACCAAGGGTGGGGTCTCTCATATTCCCAAACCTCTGCGCCCTTCTGCAAAAGTCACTCGAGGATCTCGTTGGTGCAGCCCGAACAGATGGCAACACCAAGAGCATTGTTTTGTTTCATCCATATTTCCTCGTAAATAGTGTCCATATTATCAGGTGGGCCTAGATCAGCCCTTTCTGCAAGCATCAAATCGACGATCTCGATCTTCTGAGAGCGAAGCGCCCAGTGAAGAACTGCACGCAGTTGAGGCTTTACATATGATTGACCCGGCCGGTTTTCGCTGAGGAGGGCCTTAACGGTTGCAAGGTGACTGTGATAGACAGCTGCGAGGATGGGGTTGCCTGGTTTGGTGAAGGATCCGTCCAACCTCAATTTATATTCGCTAGAATCATTTGTCCGGTCGGATGCCCCAAGGCTGGCGCCGGCAGAAAAGAGTTTCTTCACTAAGTCGGTATGTCCGTTGATGGCTGCAAATAGCAACGCCCTGTTGCGGTAGTTGCGAGCATTGAAACGACATAGAACGGGGTGTACCAGATGGTAGAATGTCCGGGTGGAACGCATGAAAGGGCTGATGTCTCTCTGGCAACGAATGGAGTGAGAGATCATAAGGATCAATTCGAGTGGCAATCGGGTGAGAGACATAGTGTACGAAGTACGATAGTACGGCAGTGATGTTGATGAGGCTGGTATTTCTGTTCTGGCCTTCAGCAGCCGACGATGTAGATATACCCTGGTCAAAACTAACCCACCATAGCCAAAATCATGCGTAATAAACCAAAAACTAAATCCATGGATATGGACAAGAGCAAATCTCGCTAGCCAATGTTCAAATTTCGCCCCCCTTGTCCCGAAAAAGAAAAAGCACCACTAACCCAGTTCCAAGTTCAAAACTCCAATTGCATGCAGGAAGGAAGGAAATGAAAAAGAGAATGAAAAAAAAATAAAAAAAATAAAAAAAATAGAAGAAAATTTCCAAAGCCAGATAAACCAAAGAAAAGCCGAATTCTAAGCCTTTTTCTTCTTTCGAATCAAGTTCGCCTGGAGCACATTCACCCCGGATGATTGCTGTCCTGGCTCTTCTGCCGGAGACGGGTTCGACGTAGGAGTACCAACACCGCTTGTAGTTGTAGCAGGACTCTCAGCAGTCCCAGATTCGGCAGGCGAGTCCCCAGCGAGCGGCTCCGCATTTCCATGTTCGGGTTTCTTTCGCTTTCGAACCAGCCCGCTATCCATGAGTGTGGTCGTCACGACGGGCGCCAAAGGCGCATTGCCGTTAGGGTTCCGGCCGACGACCTCGCGGCCAACCCAGAGCTGGTCGGCTACGGAGGCAACCTTCTCGCTCCAGGCTCTGGTGCTGGCGATGGAGACCTCCTCGTTGTAGAAGTCCTGGTCGAGGAGGTGGTTGATGGCCGTCTTGTAGTCTTCTTCGCTCAGCACGGCGTGGCCGCGGCCGGAGTCGGGCCAGTAGAAGGCATCGGCATCGGTGGGCTGCGTGAGGGGCTTCGGCTGCGTAGAAGGAAGGTCGGAGCGTGGGTTGGCTGTGGTGTTTTGAGGGGGTTGATCTGTGGTCGCGGTGGGCTTGTCGGATGATGATGAAGCCCTGGGAGCCGCATCTGACGAAACCTCCTTCTCCGTCGGCCGATGCACCAATCTGGAGCTGGTCATTTGCACCGAATTCACCAGCCCCGGCGGATTGATCACCAACCAGAGGAATCCCACCAATCGACCCGCCGAACACTCCTGTCGGAAGGACATCATCTCCCAGAACTGCTCGAGCGAGCGCACGCTCCTCCACTGCCCGGAGGCCTCTCGTTCCTTTTTCCCGGGGAGCTCGTCGTCTAAGTCCACCAGGAACCGCGTCTTCGGATCATCTGGAAAGCGCGGGATCAAGCAGCGCGGCGGCGCCTCGGGGTTATCGCACAGCTGACGGAGCGGGTAGCTGTTCAGCCAGCGCGGACGATCCGTGTCATCGGTCTTCGCGCTGGGCGGGAAAAAGCTTCGGGTCTCGAAGCGGTCGCAGCTGGGTACGATCAGGAACGCGGTGGCCGAGCTGCGCGAGGATTCCATGGTGCGATCGAGGAGCCCCTTCTCGTGGGAACGCGACTCGGGCTCGTATTCGCGCAGGATGGGGTCCACGACGCGACACCACCATTTTATCAGTCCGCGGTCGTCGAGCACGTGTTTCTCCGCGTTCTCTATGCTCCCGGGGAAAAGGTATTGGTTCTGGGCGCGGGCGAATAGTGACACAACGAGGCGGACACCCGGGCGCTGGCGGGTCTGTACGAGGAAGGAGAGGAAGGTGTTCGAGACGCGGCGCAGGAGCGAGATCTTGGGTGCGTTCCGGAGAAGGTGCAGATGGCCTGTAGAGTCGGCTTTGGAGACGAAGATGGTGGTGAGGTGCGCGGTGCTGTAGACCAGGACCTCGATGCCAAAGACGATGAGCTCCGATGACGACCGGGGGGGCGCGTTCTGGTCGGCATTGGCGTCGGCAGCAATGGAGACGGACAGGAAATGGTTCTCACAGAAGGTGGACTCCGGCTCCTCGCCCGGGGGTGGCGCAAAGAGCGCTACACAGCGAGTCGGCACTGACGAGACATGGCGAATAGTGAGCTTCACGTCGGTGGGGAGTACCTTGGCCAAGAGGTCTCCCAGATCAACGTCGACGTTGGACATGGCGGCCGGTCGCAGGTGTTAGAGAAAAGGGAGGGTTGCATAGATGAGGAGGAGGGAGAGGAATTGACCGATGGTCGCGGGGCGAAGGGGAATGTTCCCCTTGGAATGAAGTCTCTCTCTGTCTCTCTCTTTTTTTTGTTGTTTTTCCCGTTGGAAAATCCGGGGTATCACGTGCCTCCAGTGCAATCGCCCATTGTCAATTCTATTCCTACTAGTGTTACAGTGCATTCGTGCTATTCACACTTCATCCAGGTCAATTAGCCTCACATTCCTCTCTATTCTCTTTCTACGAGTGGATTGGGATGTTGGAAGTTCATCGGTCGACCGACTTGGAATGCAATGTAGACTCATACAAATGACATCATCACCACGGCGACACCAGAACGACGGTCGCTTTAGAAATAACACTCCGCACCGATGCTTTGAATCAGAAGTATTCAGAAACCGCATCCAGATCATCCGCATTCAACAGCGCCACCCCCTCCTGAAGAAGCGTCCTCCAGACCGCATTGCGAGCCCAGATCGGATAGTAAGGGGTCTCCCAGTACCGCGCCCCGATTCCTCGTATTTTGGCCGTCCGGATCTGCGACCGCAGACTATCCAGCTGGTCCTCGCTCAGGATCGCATTGTCGTCGCTCGAATTGAGTGCCCCGACCGCCCGATTAAAGCTTGTCGATGCGATGGGGGAGATTAGAGACGTGACACCCGCATACTGCGGTTGATCCAGCGCATCCAGGGGCGCATCGAAAAAGATATCCCGGTCTGCAACCGGTCCGATGAGATTCAATGGGGTGTTCCCTGTACCAATCACGGTGATGGGTCCATGTGCAATGGTCTTGTTGCTCTTTAACGCCGTGAGGTATCCCTTTTCGCGAAGGGGCTGCAGCGCAGCAGTCACGGCCTCGAGGGTCTTCGGTCCCGACGTTTTCAAATCAACAAAGAAGTACATCGTCTGAGAAGTATCCGTGTCAAAGACACCACTGTAGTGCATCGTCAGCTAGATGCCAATCACTCCGAGCAGGCTACTCACTTGTTCGTGGGCGACGTCACAAAGGGGGTTTGGGGGTTTTGGCGTTCAAGGACTTCCAGCATGGGCCTCACGTAGAGAGACTCAAAGGTCCGTTCTTCAGTCAAGGACGACTCATCGTGTCCGACCTAGGAGGTGTTAGTTTTCACACAAGAACATTGATACCGTTGGTCTTACGTAGAGGGTACCATTGTACAGCCACACATCGGCTTCGGTGGAGACGCATCCTCTGGAGAGGCCTGTAAAAGAGTGTCAGTTATTGCCTAGGGGAGAGGCAAGGGCCGTGCTATACCGGTATAGAAGGGTATGTCTCTCCAATAATCACTAAGATATGGTTAGCAAGTAGTTACCACACTAAAGAGATGCATATTAAGAGATTCATACTTATGGGAATGCACTGGGATCTAGAACGATCGAATGTCAACCCTTGGCTGTTCCGCGGCCATTTGCATACTTGATATGGTGCTGGTTAAACCTGCCAGTTCGGGGAGAATCAAACAGTTAGAGGCGGAAAAACCTACAGGCATAATCCCTCTCGTCAAATCCGTCGGGTACCCATATTCACTCCCGCCATGAGTGTTCTTCAGCACGTTTTGCAGCTCCGACGGAATGGCCGCCGCCAGATTCAGCAGGCTCGCGACGAGAAGCGACCACGACGGGAACATCTTTGCAGGAGCAATCGCTGAGACAGAGACCGGCTTGAAACCCCTTTGAAGGATGAGAGTGAAAAATGAAGTAGGATTACAGATAACAATAGCTGAGTATAGATAAATACAGGGCGGGCTTGTCAGGGAATGTGGGAGGACAAATGATGAAAGCCGAGAAAACCGGGGAACTTTGAGCTGCCAAACAAAACGGTCGGCGCCCTCACGTGGCGGATCCTGGCCAACGTATTGTCGCCTCCCCTTCAGATGAACGGACCTGGAAATTAAATAGAGCGAGCAATCAAAGTAGAAAGAAAATTTTCAATGAACCTTTTTTTATCAATTTGGTGCAGTCGGTGGTTGGGAAGACGATATGCTACTCACTGACGTTCTAATATATTATGGATTTTACTAGGGCTATCGTCTACTAAAATAGCGGTTTGAGGATTAAGCATGCAAAAAATATGATAAAATAAGAAAGCGAAACGAAACGAAGAAACTAAAAGCCCGCCCATGTAGGCCATGTCCGGCCAAGAGCGCAAAAGCATCGTCTCAATTGCAAAACGCCTATCAGGTATCATGTAGACGAAGGAAATCATTACAAATCAAGCTATGTTCTTGGAACCGCACGAATGCACTCCACGTTCGACCAGCAGAGATGGAGTAAGCGCTTGGGAGAAAGAAAATAGTTAGACTTCTCGAATCGACGCTGGCCGGGAGTTGGCCTGGGAGTCCTGCGTGCTCGTGCGTCGAAGACTGAGGTTTCCAATCCGCTGCACCAGGTTGCTTCCAACGGCATCCACTGCCCCCTTCGGCGCAAGTAACGTAGGCCCTTGGGCGGCAGCCTCCTGGACCTTGAACAGTTTAATCGCGGTTCCGTTCCACACTCCAACAGTGCCAGGGGTTGCGCCCGACGCGGAGCCGACCACCATCTCGCTCGAGAAAATGAACCCCCAGAGTAAGGACTCATACCAGCCCATAGAGAGGGCCGACCATTCAAATGAATGGACACGCACCGGGGCAGGCTCAGATATAATGTTATGAATGGCCGGGTCTTCCGCAAACGAAGGTAGGTTGTCGATCAGGGTGCGGGCCTCCGGGCTTGAAGCCGCTTGGAAGGCAGATTCGGGGATGTGAGGCGTGATGGCCGAGATGAGAGTCAGGATCGTGTGTAGTGGGAGTTCTGGCAACCAGGACTCGAGCTGGAACGTTTTCCATTAGTGATTCGTTGAGAAATTTAGGTTGGATCGATACTTACCCACGCTGCAGTCGGCGCGAAGCCGTTGGGAGATGTCAAGAGTGCCGCCGACATGCTGCTTTGGCTGGTCATACTATTTTGCCGAGAAAAGGCTGGCTGGCCGGCGGGCATTTTTCCTCTGGCCTTCTCCGACATGCCTCGTAACTGTAAGGGGACACTTTCATCCGCAACGGAAGAAATGGAGGGTCTTCGCGAGCTCTGGACAGATGGAGACGTGTGTGCCGGTGTCTTCTGTCCTTCCTGCTCGTCATCAGAATCGTCATCTCCGCCTATAGCGAAAGGGCTATTTTCTTCGGGGATACGACCCAACGGCGATCGCGCGCCGGAAGAAGCGTGAGGGTCCTCTTCTGACGCCGACAAGACAGGGCTAGACGCAGTCTCGTTGGAACCATTCTCCGCCTTTCGTCTCTCATTCTGGCGTTCAATTTCTTGCTGTCCGCTCTCGAGTGTAAATTCTCGAACTGCCTCAAAGCGTCGTCGGTGCTTCAGGATTACATAAACCAAGAAAGGATTTTCTATTGACACATTAGGTTGGTTTCTGCACACTGTGTTTTCTGCAGGAAAAGGAGAATTTCTTACTGGTAAACTGATGCTCCAAAATCGTGTTGATAGATTCTAGGATGGAAGAAAGAAGGGCATGGTTTGACTCGTTGGCGAGCAAGAAACTAGGCGCAGACATCGACGCGAAGAGCTGCAATAGTTTCGAGCACGCCGCCGGCGACAAGTTTTCTACGTAGGCCGCGATGTTGTTGATGATTGCGAGGAGTGCCGGGTAGACAGCATTTAGATTGCCTTTGCTTCCGGTGATCAAAGTATGCACGGACTACAACGGTCAGCGAGGTCATGGCAGAGACAGAGACAGCACAAACCATAATAAGATAGTCGGCATAGGATCCTTTGAAGCCCGGGATGCGAATGCTGGGAGGAAGGGTTTCCTGAGCTTCGAACTTTACGTTCAAGCTCTTCCCAAAGTTGGGCTCAACGCTCATGGTTTGAAGAATGAAGATGCACATTCGAACCATGCCTTGCTTGGATGGGTCAGACTTGTATTCTATGGCGTAAAATATGCAGAGGATGATGAAATCATGCGAGCGCTTCGAATCAATGATAAATGACCTGAACCGTTTATTGCATTGCAGGGCTTCCCAGAAGAGCATCAACATCTCCGGTGCCCATTTGACGGTTTTCTGGCTCCCAGGGAGATAGGAATTTGTCGCTTGCATCTACCAACTTTATGTGAGCATCAAGAAATCCCCAAACTTGAGGCAGCAACTTACAGGTTGGTTCAGGATTCTCGTCATGCCGTCGACGAGAAATTGGAAATCCTGCGGCCGGTGAAGCCTTCCAAAGTAATGGCGATGATAATTCTTAGGCGGATTTCCACGCCCATCCTCAGGAACTGGATATAAGAGGAGAACAAGCAGAAACTGCAGGCAGTATATGACCAATATTTGCTTTGGATCTTTCCACACAACGTGATCATATGGGACTCGCCAGGAAGCAGGATTGTATTTGACAGCCTATCGATGTGAGCATATAATCCAAGCAAGAGTAGGCCTTTCAAACATACCGTGTTCAGCAGGGAGCAAAGCAAGGTCAGAACCGCCTGCTTGTCGGAGGACGTCGTGATGTACGTAATAGCTTTCACGCCTTGCACGGGGAGTAATCCTGCACAATTATCAGCGAAAATCTTCTCCAATTCCAGCATGATCAGTGTTTACCAGAAGGCATATACATAGCCTTCCCTGTTATCGTCAACAATAGCCGAAGAACCTCACAGCGATTGCTCTCCAGTTCTTTGCTAGAGCCCATGGAGGTATTGCACCCAACACCACTCTGCCAGATGGAATATGAGACTTTGTTTGTCGCCGTCGGTAGCTTCGGAATGGTGAAGTCCGTGAAAAAGAGAAGATCCAACAAAGTGTCGATCAACTCTTCTGCCAAAGGTTTCTTATCTTCGTACTCGCTGGCTCGGGGTTGATCGCGCGTATCCTCCGCCTGAGCTTCATCAAAGAGCACCTCGGCCGCCACCTGAGCCTCTCTCGTCTTTCTCCTGCGACGACCCCAGAAGAACTTGTCTTCCCATTCTTCCAAATATTCGGCCTCGTAAATGAAGGGGAGGACGCGGGTGAGGATGCGAATGCAGTTGAGGGCGTCGCGGTCGGGAGCGAGTTCGGGATCCGGGAACGAGGGGTGGTTTTTCAGGATCATCAAACGAGACGTCACCGATAATAAGAGCGTTTCGAAATTCATAATGGCATGGTCGCGAGTCCGCCGTATATCGGCGGGGGTGAACAGGCTGAAGACATCCTCGGTCGACTCTGGGAGCTCCCAGAACTGCAAGACGGGTTATCAGTCGGGGTCAGAACAACTATCACGCTGCAGGTTCACGAGAGGGCAGACAAACCCTTGCCCAGTAAGGATCATCGCCAGGAATATCTCTCTCTTCCGACAGACGGAAAATGCCCTGCTTGAAGACCAACTTGGACTCCGAGGCACCCATGATAACCACCAACGAACGGTATTCACGAGCCTAGGTGCCGCATGCAGTAACGGTCGTCGCAGAGGTAAGATACCTAGAAGTCAGACTGAAGAGTGCGGGAGAGAGTCGCATACGGGGAAGGTCTCCCAGTCGTCAAGAGGCCGCGTGGTTGGATGGGACTTAATGGTATGTTGGCGGACTTGTTCTTTGGGGTTCTTTGCGGGAGCTACTGATTAGCCCGCACCGGGGAACTCCAGATAGCGTGCGTGCCTTGATCTGCCCGGTCGATTTTTGCTCATGACGTTCTTCGTGCCTGGGTTTGCTCCGTGCTGTATCAAGTCTAGTTCTACGACGCTTCTCTACTTCCAATCTGGCTGACTTGGCTTGATTTAAATTTCATTTCATTTCGACCTGCGGCCTCCGGTCGCATGCTCCACGTACCCAGCATAATAGATAACTCCCGGAATAATACAAATGGATCTAAAATTGAAACGCTTTCTCTTGCGAAAAATGACCGCTGCCGTCCGCTTCCTTCCATGCGTCGCTGTAATTCCTCCCTAACAAAATCCAGTCATAGACTCCCGTTACTGGCTGATAGTCGCCGACTCCGCTCATATAACCACTTGTTGCTCAATCCCAGGTTCATACGCTTGCCACCAACAGGAGATGGGGTTGACGGCGCAATACTAGACTCTCCGAACAATGAACTTCGCCCGAACGATGCGGTAGACGACCCGAAGCTGGGCCGGCGTCCGCTGTCCTTTCCTCCGTTCGACACTGCTTTATGGAATAGCGGACTGGTAGAGGGGGAGAATGAAGCGCCCGACGAAAGTCGACGTCCTGAAGCGCTAGCGCTTGTCGACAAGGGCGACGACGCAGCCTTGCTAGCAGAGCTTGCTGTTCGCGACGCAGAAAGCCGATACTTCGGCGGGGTTACGTATGTACTTCCCGGCGTCAGGGGCGATGTGGTAGATGGATCGAGGCCAAGGAGAGAGCGCTGAGTAGGGGTGAGAGGAATATCGGAGAGGTCGTCCTTTGATCGGAAAAGAGGTGACAGGGCCAAGGCTATGTTTGCCAAGAATAGAAGTTGTAGAACAAAACGCAACAAGTTGAAAATCTTTGAGAGTTCAAGTGTGTTCAGTAGTGAACTAGAACTGACAAGGAAGATAAAATGTCAGTGGTGAAACACAACGCACCGCAGTACACTCTACTTACTATGACTGGACAGTGTCGCCGTAAGCCCGCACCGCAATTAGAGCGACGCTATTCCAGACGATACTCTTGATATTTTGATCTCCGAAGGTCCTGGCATTCTGACGCCGGACTATCTCAGCCAGTTGCGGATGGCGCCACTTTCCAGGTGTACGAGATTGATCGGCAGTCGGAGTGGGCGCAGATACCGCTCTAGGGGTTGAGGGCAAAGGTGAAGATGCCATTGACGTATACAGATCGGTGCGAGCGAGAAAATGGGAAGAAAAGGAAAGGAAAGGGAAGAAAAATACTGCATAGGGTAAGCGACCACAAACCTTAGAATTTGGCCTAGGAGGGGGAGGGATAACATACCTTGAAGAAAGGAAATTGCTGAACTTACCTGGGAACAAATTGCGAGCCAGCTGGGTGAAGTCTGTTAGACGTACATTGGCATGCAGATGAGCCAATATTAGTAGTTTACAGCCAAGGTCCGGACAGGACCATAGTTCATCGCAAGGCAGTGGACGAGGAGGAGGGCAGGTGATTGTTTTGATGGTCGATGCACCTCTTTCTCAGGCAACGAGTGCACAAGCGCCTTTGACGCGGAGTTTTCCTGCTAGACTAGGGCGGGTTTAGACGCGGAGCCAACGATGAACGGGGCGCTCCCCCCACATGTCCTCAGCAGCTCAGCCCTCCCTCACGTCACTGTCTCCCTCTCTCGCTTCTGCCTGCATCAACTCAGTCCCTCCCTTTTTACTCTGGTCTTGGGAGAAGTCGCCAACGAGGCTGTGCCGCTCAACATTTATTTCCGACCATCCCCTCCCTTGATTTCTTTTTCATGGTTGTAATCCTCCGCTGAAATACTAGCATTCCAACCATGGCTTCGGAACCGTCGCTGTTCGCCAAGTTAGACGCCGTAGTGTCTGACGTTCTGGCAGACTGGAACCTCTACACTACCGTCATCGCCGGCGGTATCGTTGCCTTCGTCATCTATTCCTTCGTCACCTCGAGCGATCCCGATATTCATCCGTTTTTGCTTGCCCGTCAGTCGTCCGCCTTTCCCGTGCGCCAGCCAGGCGAGTCGGCCAGCTACAGGAGCCTTGAGACTCCGCACGGCTTTCCCCTTCGTTCCGGCCTCAATGTAAAGGACCCCGGTGCCCCGAAATGGACTAGTGGAAGAAAAGGAGACTTGCGAGATATCTGGAAAGCTGCTGTGCGCGGTGCCGTCGACGAGACGGGCCAGATTTCGGGCAAACAAGGCAAGGTCTATACGGTGCTTGGAAGGAAAGCGATCGAGCACTCGTTGGATCAGGTGACCCAGGAGATCAATGTTATCGGACACCGTCTGCAAGAATCCGGTATCAAGACTGTTGCAATCTGTCTGACAGACTCGATTGAACTGTTGGCCGCAATCTTTGGTAAGAGTTTCGGTCCGATTACTTGGCGATTACTGACAATGGACCAGCCGGCGCTTTCTACGGTTACAAGACCATTATCGTCCCTCATAACCTTGACCCCGAATCTCTATCTGCTCTTTTGCAAAAGTCCCAGGCGGAAGCTCTCATTGCCGAGGCTGGTGCTCTCGATTTGTCTTATGTGGCCAACAGTAATAGACAGCTTCACCAGGTCATCTGGGTGGCGAAGCTGGGAAGCAGACATATGGACTGGAACGACGTGCCTGAAGATGTCAAGGGCAACTTGGAAGTGACCGTCTGGCATGAGCTGGTTGAAGAGAAGAAGGATTTGGCTGGATTGGAAGTCCCGAAGTGGGAACCCAATTCCCCTACGCCGTCCCTGACCACTGTTTGGCCGTCGGCGACGGGACCTGGTGATTTCATTGAATACCAGCCAGAGGTAAGCTCTTTCTCCTCTATCATATTCATCGCTAACAAATGGATACTAGAATTTGGTCTCGGGTATCGCCGGCCTGACTTACGCATTGCCTCGAAACCAGCGTTTCGGACCCAGTGATTTGGTGCTCTCCATTGACTCTCTCTCTCGGTCTTACCCCCTGTGCCAGATCATGGCTGCTCTGTATTCCAATGCGTCCGTTGCTGTCAACTCTGTCGCTGGCGAGAGCGTCGACTTCGCGCTTGCCACCGTTGGATTGTCTCCCACTGTCATTGTCGCGTCGTCTCGCACTATGGCCGACTATCATGACAAGTACATGGAACCCCATTCCGGCATCATTACTTCGATAGCTCGTTGGTTCCACGTTCGAACTCTCGATTCCGGGGTTATGCCGTCGCATGGTCTGTTCAGTCAGCTTGCCACCGTCGGACCGACCGCTGAATTGTCACTCGATAAGCTCCGTCTGTTGTGCATCTCTCATCGGTTTGATGCAGGCCGTGAAGTCCGTCTGACCACTGGCCAGCTTACTGATTTGAGAGTCTTCACCGGCGCTCGCACTGTCTACGCTTTGACTGGCCCTGGGATCGCCGGCGCTGTTGCTCAAACCAACATCTTCGATTACAGGCGACTCCAGGGACCTAGTCCATTCGGTTCTCCCTTGAGCAGCGTTGAGGTTCTGCTGACTGACGTGCCCGAAGATCAGGAACTTGAAGGCAAAGTAAGTCTGTCCGAACTCCCGTCTCTTTTGCTTTTGCTAATCGCTTCACGATAGATCACTGTTGCCGGTCCTGCCGTTATCTCTGGCAAGACTACGCTTCCCACGCAGGGACGCATACGCGATGACAACACTTTGCAATTGGTTTGATCTTATTGCTCAACTATGATGACTTTGAGCGTTAGCGTTGAGCCTCAATTGTTCGTTTCTCCCGGTTTCTTATCTCGTTTTGAGAAAGAATGATATGGATTGGATAATCTGCGACAAAGACCAGAAATAGCTTTGGTGGGACTATTCAATATCGCTCATGCTTTAGTACAAAAGAGAGAAAATATGGCATCCATTTTTCAAATTCAGATAAGATACAGCTCCGAGAATCCTAGATGGTAATGTACAGTTCATAGGCAATGCGAGAAAGTCAAAAGTAATCAATCATTTAACCCCGGTGCAAGAGATGAGCGTGTTCCAGACCGGTGCTCGGCTGTTGCTGGATCTTCTCGGGTGCCAGTTTCTTCTGGTTCGCGATCAAGATACCCAGCTCATTAATGCGCGTCTTCAAACCACGAGCAATCGAGTTTTCGTTGGAGATTCCGTGAACCTGCAAAGCAAGTTTCATACCGTTGTAGATAGGCACGTTCTCCTGAAGCATAAGGTCGACGCTGCGCCAATCCTTGACCTCACTGCTGAAGTTGCCAAATTGCCAGCTCCCTAGCAGACGCTCAGCATAGGTACGAACGTAGAGGCCCTCGTCCCGTGTTGAATTCACATTCAATGCATGAGCGGCACTGAGTTCCAACAAGACGCCGATCACCGCTGGCTTTCTTTTAGGATCCGTGTCCCGGTTCTGATCGAGGTGTTGGGGAGCTTCCATCAGCATTACAAACTGCTGCGCCAGCTTCACAGCCTTGGTTATGGCAGGATCCTTGAATTCTCCCTCCTGAGCCTTCCGGTGCAGTTCGAAAAACAGACGCTTGACGAGTCCGGCATCGTTCAGTCGCAGATTGGTCCGCTCCGACCGCTTGGCGCACTCGAGAATGATACCCAGCGCATCGGCCTTAGCGGCCCTGCGCACCACCCACTCCCACCGGTCGGGTTTGATCTTTCGATTCGACATTTGAAGTCCGGAAAGGAACGGCAGCAGGTTCTGCCAGTCATTTGTCGTCTGCATCTTGGCGATCACGTCCACGGCCTCCTTCACCGACGGCATCTTCAGCGGGTCCATGTGCCGGAGCGTGAAGTTTTCGGTCTCGCTGATGGGGACGGTGATGGGTTCCTCGTTTAATTGATCGACGTACTTCTGTCGGAACATCGTTCTTCTTTGCGATGTTCTCAGTCCAAATGGGATGAAGAGCTCTTCCCGGAAATGGTCCAGGGCGGCGTCCAAGTCGGCGGAGGAGGTTTTGGTGAAAGTAGGAATGCCTACATGAGCACCGTTAGTATATGAGACGAATGGAACAGGCCTAATAGAAGCAAACGTACCATTTTTCGAGTAGCCGCGCTTCTGTGTCAGGGACCCAATTGATTGACGCAGAGAACCGGAACTCTGGCCGCGGAAGAGTTTGCCAATGGCGTTCTGCGCCATGGTGTAAGGACGAAAGAGCTAAAGATAAAGGTTTGTGAGTGTCCAGCTGCGTGATCACAGTCCTGGCGCAAGAGTCCGAATCACACGCGGAGAATGGCAGGCTTCATCTTCATCTGCTGGCGGAAAATGGGACTGGCGGGCTTGGCGGAAATTCTGCCGGGCCGGATCTTCCTCCGCCATCTCCAAACTTCTGCTTTGCTCTGTCCGGAGACTCGACATCGTTCACTCTCCGCCTCTAACCTCCCTCCGCCCATTTTCTCCGGTCATGGCGACCGTCTCTCCGATAATGCGGCAGCTGGGCTGCTTCAGGTCGCTTATGAAGCCTCAGACCTTGAAGCCAGCCCAGTTCAGTCGATCCCTCTCGACTGTGCATTCTCCGAAACCAGAAGCAGTCCCTCTTCCTACAAAGATTCCCAAGTCGATGATGTCGCAATTACCCCCACAGATGCAGCCTAACTTCGGTGCGACCTTCTTGTCTATTCGTTTTTTTTGTTTTTTTTTTTGTTTTTTTTTTATCTCTGGGTTTTTAGTCCAGGTTCCGTGACTAACTCATATTTACAGGGCGCAAGAAGCTCAGGGCCTATCCTCCGCCGGCCAGCGCTCGTAAGGCGTGCAAAGACCCCGTGAACGCAGTCGCCGACGCCCAAATGGCCACCCTTGATCCCAACGGTGAACGCAAAGCCCTCTTCGACTACCGACGGAACCCTCGCAGTGTCAAGCCCGGCGACATCCTCCGCGTGACCTTCAAGAACGGTGACCCATTCGCGGGAGTGTGTCTGAGCATTCGTCTGCGTGGCATTGACACTTCGTTCTTGCTGCGAAACGAGCTTACCCGAGTTGGAGTTGAGATGTGGGTGAAGGTGTTCAGTCCGAACGTTGAGAGTGTGGAGATTGTGCAGAGATCCGACAAGAGGAAGAGAAGAGCGAGGTTGTACTACATGAGGTGCGTTTCTATCCATGACGGTCTGGTGTTCTCTTTTTATCCATTGACTAACTATGACTTTTCCGGCTTTGCAGACAGCCCAGGCATGACATGCGCAGCGTCGAGAACGTCGTGTCGAACTACCTCCGCCAAAAGTCCGCTCTTGCCGGTGGTCGTCAGAACAGGAGACGGTAATCGGGACGTGATGCGCGGCTGGAGTTTTGCATTTGGCGATTGTATTAATAGCACATGTATATGGAACTTGACGTTGGATTGTTTAACTTTTGTACCTTTGGATAGAAAACAATGTAGGGTCTTTATCTCGATACGCCCTGATACTTGCCGTCTCTCAGGTTTGTTCTCCTGTTCAGAGTCCACGTAATTGCAGAACTTTCCTGCCCTCCAACTAAATACAGGGTAAAATTAATGGACCTGAACTGTGGGCGGTCGACTAGGCAGATCACGGGAAATCTTACGAGGTACGAGGATTTGCCGACAAAGCTCTTGCCATCGTCAAACTACCCTGAAACATGAAGTCATCATCGCGTGTCCGCAAAATTCGAGTGAGGCATTCCATCAAAAGCTGATAGAATCTGTTGCCCAGGCTCGATCGATCATTTATGGACGTGATCATTGGCTGTTCGCTCTTCATCCAGTCATGGGTCTAATCATATCTCCCTAAGCGATGTTTTCTGGGCGCCAAATCGATCGGTCTTATGCCGCTCTTCTAGCCTTCTTGGTTCGTCTTGGCTGGCCTACCAGCGCCCGTTTTCATTGGTCAACAACTTGATTCTGTCTTTCGCTAATGAATAAATTGAGCTCCTGGGACATGGGGACCACGATTCAGGAGGCGGAGCCGTTGGCATCTGCCTATCTTTGCCCCGAATGACGCTGGTCGGGCTGGGGTTCTGGAATGAATATCTTCAGCCTGATGTCGCATCCAACGACCCCATGTATTGTTCTTTATTGACGTGTGGCGGTTAATCAACTGCGCGAAATGCGCCTCCAAACATTCAGTACACACTCTCTGCCGCAGCTCCCGTCATGAAGCTCTTTCTAAGGCAGGTTTGGACCTTAACGGTCAAGAACCTTCTAGTGGTTCTTGTTCGCCCGCTTTTTACTACGGTTATGAGGGCTTTGGTCTTGCCCGTAATCTTCGTTGCGTTCATGTGCGTTTACCCCGTTCACAAAGAGAGTATGAATTAATCTCATATAAAACTAGCTCTTATGCTCGAAATCTGTTCGTCCAGCCTGCAACATACGGAATCGGCGATCCCACTCCTTTGCGATCATTCTCGGATGCACTAGGGCTTGTTGGTGCAAGCAGAGACAAATTAGTATTTGTCCATAATGACCTTCTCGGTGGTCCCATCGAACAGGTCATTGACAGAGTCGCGGAACCTGCGAGGGTCAATGGGAATGTTCATATCTTATCCTCCGAGAGTGAACTCCGAGATCTATGTCGCTCGACTCTGCGTGGCGTGTCGCCATGTATAGCGGCGGCAGTCTTCTATTCTTCGCCAACGGAAGGACCTGGAGAGGCTTGGAATTACTCCATTCGAACGGATGCCGCCCTCGGTGCAAGTATTGAGGTCGACTCTCCGAACAACGACCAGGAAATATACCTCCTTCCTTTTCAGCACTCTATTGACTGGGCAATCGGTCAAGTCAACAGTTCTGACGGTCAAAATGCGCTCCCAGAAGAGGTTTGTAGAACGCCCTTCGTATGTACGTGCTCATAAAGCTAACCCAGCTACAGATTATGCAGTATCCGTTCACCTCCTTGACTCAAGATGGGCGACAAGACGAGATAAGAAGAAACTACATGGGCTCGATCGTCAACATCCTCGCCATCGCCATTTTCATTGGTATCGTTGGAGTCACCTACCAGCTGACCGGGTTGATCGCAATGGAACGTGAGCTCGGTATGAGTCAGTTGATTGACTGCATGATGCCTAATTCCTCTCTCTGGCAGTCGCAAGCGGCTCGGTTTACCGCAGCCCATCTGGCTTTGGACATGGTGTACGGCATAGGTTGGATTGTCGCCGGCGCAATCTTGAAGTTTGGCGTCTTCAGCAAGACATCGGCAGGCATTGTTATCATCTACCACATCCTGGTGGGTCTGGCCTTGTCCTCCTTCGCAATCTTCGGTGCTTCCTTCTTCAGAAAAGCACAGCTCAGCGGCATTTCAGTGGTCATCATTTGTTTGCTTCTGGGCGTGGTAGCGCAAGTGGCGCCCGCCAAGAGTAACGGATCAGTTGCAATTCTAGGGCTCTTGTTCCCATCGATGAACTATGTCTACTTCCTGATCTTCATGGCTCGCTGGGAGAAACAGAGACTTGCCACAAACCTTGTTCAGGAAGCGCCTGACAATCCATGGTCTCTTCCTGGCATCGCCTTGTGGATATTTCTCATTGTCCAGATCTTTGCCTACCCTATTCTGGCTGCTGTCGTCGAGCGTGTACTTTACGGTACGACTTCGAAAGATCGCCAAACCGTCTCTAGCGACAGTACTACTGCCCTCAGTCTCAAATCATTTAGTAAGGTCTATCAACCTGGCTGGTTTCATCGAAACATAGCAGCTCGGTTTGGGAGCAATCGCCAGAGTGTCTATGCGGTCAATGATCTTACTTTAGACGTCACCAAGGGGCAGATCATGGTTCTATTGGGAGCCAATGGATCGGGCAAATCAACTACGCTAGACGCCATCTCTGGCCTGGCAAAAGTTTCTTCGGGAGAGATCAATATCAGCTATGGACCCTCGGGAGGAAAGTTTGGTCTCTGTCCTCAGAAAAACGTGCTCTGGGACACTCTCACTGTCAAGGAGCATGTCAAAATTTTCAACAGGCTCAAGGCTACAGGAAAGACGGACACAGATGATCAGCTCCTAAAACTCATAGATGACTGTGATTTGGGCTTCAAAGTGAACGCACTATCAAAGACGCTTTCAGGTGGCCAAAAACGCAAAGTTCAGCTAGCAATGATGTTTACTGGAGGGTCGTCTGTGTGTTGTGTGGACGAGGTTTCTTCCGGTCTCGATCCAATCTCCCGCAGAAAGATCTGGGATATTCTTCTCGCAGAAAGAGGTTATAGAACTATTCTACTGACCACCCACTTCTTGGACGAGGCAGATCTTCTTGCGGACTACATTGCCATTCTATCAAAGGGTGTCCTCAAAGCCGAGGGATCAAGTGTCGAGTTGAAACATCGACTTGGCTCTGGATACCACATTCACGTCATGAAGGTCCCGGGGTCTCATATCACCTTAGGTCCCCAACTCAAGAGCGTTCCCCAAGAATCTCACTTCGATGAGACGGTGTATACCGTTCAAGATTCGGCAGAAGCTGCTCGCTTTGTTTCGATGTTGGAGCAAGAGGGGATCACCGATTACCGAGTCAGCGGGCCTACCATTGAGGATGTATTTCTCAAGGTTGCTGAGGAGCTGGATTCCTACAGGGTCCAGGATGTCGTGGATGACGAGGTGCAAGAACTGCCCAAAAGCCATGAGAAGTTGGACGACAAGGATGATCGACAGAAATTACAACTCCTTACGGGCAAGCGAATTGGCATGATGCTCCAGGCCTGGTATTTGTTTCGCAAGAGATTCATCATCCTACGACGCAACCCTATCCCGTACATGGCAGCTCTTTTAATTCCCATCATCGCGGCGGGCTTGGTAACTCTATTCCTCCAGGACGTTGATAAGGCCGGATGCTCCGGGGAATCAAGCTCTATGACACAAGATGTTGAGTCATTAGAGTCACTGGACAGCTTCAAGCTTGTGCTTGGGCCTTCTGACCGAATCTCGACATCGGTCCTTGAGAATTTCGCAAGCTCACTATCGAGTAATGGAGAGTCGAACACAGGGGATTCTTTTGCAAATATCAAGTCTTTCTTTCATATGGTGGACAGTCTTCCGGAATTCTCAAACTACATCGAAAACAATTATGCCAACGCAACGCCGGGTGGCTTCTGGTTGGGTGACAATTCCTCTGATACGACGCTTGCCTGGAAAGGTGACAATGGAGATTTTCCACTCGCTGCTATTACTCAGAATGGTCTCAATCGCTTGTTGACCGGTATTCCCATCAACTTCCAGTTTCAATACCTTGATATTCCTTGGCAACCAAGTGCCGGGGACACTCTCCAGCTCATGGTTTACTTTGGCCTTGCTATGTCAGCCTATCCGGCTCTTTTCGCTCTATATCCAACCATCGAACGGCTGCGCAATGTGCGAGCATTGCACTTCAGCAATGGCGTCCGAAGTGTCTCGCTTTGGCTGGCATATCTTGCATTCGACTTTTGCATTGTTGTCGCCAGTAGCGTTCTAGCAATCATCATATTCCGGGCAGTTTCCGACATTTGGTTCTACCCTGGATATCTTTTTGTCGTCTTCTTTTTGTATGGACTGTGTGCCACCTTGATGTCTTACTTGGTGTCTTTGTTCTGCAAATCGCAACTGGCGGCCTTTGCATTTGCCGCCGGCGGACAGTGTTGTCTATTCCTCATATATTTCATTGCCTACATGGCAGTGTTAACGTATTCGCCGACAGACAAGACTGACGACTACATCAACATTACCCATTTCACTATCGCCGCCATATCGCCATCCGGGAATCTACTCCGCTCTATGTTCGTTTCGCTAAACACTTTCTCTATCCTATGTCGAGGTCGAGAAATGGTATCGTATCCCGGCGATATCACGGTCTACGGGGGGCCAATTCTCTACCTGATAGTTCAGTCCTTTGTACTCTTTGGACTGATTATCTGGGTTGATGAGGGTTTCCCAGTCTCTTTTCTCAGGGGAAAGTCTAAGGCCAGAGCCAATGACCTGGAAGAAAAAGGCCCAATAGACCAAGACCTTGCCGCGGAAACAAGTCGCGTAACGGGCTCCGACGACGGGCTCCGTGTGCTCCATCTCACCAAAACATTCAAGAAATTCACCGCCGTCGAAGATGTCACCTTCGGTGTCGGAAAAGGCGAGGTCTTTGCTCTGCTGGGACCGAATGGTGCCGGAAAGACTACTACCATCTCTCTCATCCGCGGCGATGTCCAGCCCTCTCGCAACGGTGGCGACATCTTTGTCGACCACATTTCCGTACAGAAGCATCGCGCGGCGGCACGCTCTCGTCTGGGTGTATGTCCCCAGTTCGATGCCATCGACCAGATGACCGTTCTCGAGCATCTGACTTTCTACGCGCGCATTCGAGGCGTACCCGACATTGCACACAACGTCACCGAGGTCATGCGCGCCGTCGGCCTCATCCACTTCAAGCATCGCATGGCAGCCAAGCTCTCCGGCGGAAACAAGCGCAAGCTCTCCCTCGGCATCGCCCTAATGGGCAACCCCACCGTGCTGCTTCTCGATGAACCCTCCTCCGGCATGGATGCCGCATCGAAGCGAGTTATGTGGAGGACGCTCGCTTCCGTAGTTGAGGGCCGATCCATCGTGCTCACGACCCATTCAATGGAAGAAGCCGACGCCCTGGCTCACCGTGCCGGCATCATGGCGAAGCGCATGCTCGCCCTCGGCACGACGAACTTCCTGCGCTCCAAGCACGGGAACATGTACCATGTTCACCTGGTCCACGCGGAAGCACCACACACGACGGAGGCCGAAATGGAGCGGATTCGCAGCTGGGTCCGGGAGAACTTTTCCGGCGCTGTCATCGAGCAGAAGACATACCACGGCCAGCTTCGGTTTAGTGTTCCTGCCACCGTTGGAATCGATGACGGGTCTTCTTCCATCGTCGAGAAGGACGAGATCACCGAGGGTTCTGACATCCAGGGGAGCAGAAAGAGCAGTGTCAGTCAGCTCTTCTCTCGTTTGGAGCAGAATAAGAGGTTGCTAGGGGTGCAGTATTATTCCGTTAGTCAGACTACTTTGGATCAGGTGTTTCTCACCATTGTTGGGCAGCATCATATTAAGGAGGAGAATTCGGCATAGACTATCTGCATTGTTAATATATGGCTTTATGCGCACAGATTTTATTTATCTTACATAAAACATCATGTTCGTTGCACAATGACCAAAGTAATAGAATAAAGATCATGTTAATATTGAAGAAGACCCGACTTGAGTAGTTCCATTGACTGTTTGCTAGTGGTTCGCCTGATACCTCCTAGTCAGATCTAGGATAATTATATATAATACATGAAAGCTTTTGTTCAATTCCAGTCAGTTGTAATACATAGTCCAGCCTCTTCTTCTTGGGCCGACTTGCGCAGTGCTTTACTCCTGGGTGTTGTTCGTTTCTTTCTCCTGCCTTTGCCGTTGTCTTGCCTCATACCGCTCTTTTGCCTCACGTTTCTGCTGCCTCTTGCCTTTGGGTGCTGGCTGAGTCGATTCAATCACCTGGTTTGACGGCCACTTCTCCCGACATTTCTGCTCGTCCTCTTCCGACCACTCGCGTGGTAGGATGGCGAAGACGAGATATGACGTGTGAGTCTTCAAGTCCGCTTCGGACCGATGCACCAAGCGACCTTGCTTGTAAAACGGAAGATCAGATTCCCGCGAAGCAGCAGGTTGTTCTGGTTCCTTCCTTTGTTCCTCCTTCTTCTCAGCAGGCGGTGCTGCATCGCTCCCTTCATTCCCACCCTCCTGCTCGCTGCGGAACCTCTGCGACCGCTCCTCAATCTGGCGCCCGCGCGCAACGGCCTCCTCCACCGATTTCGGAAACACGACGGCTCCACGAGCAGCGCCCTCGAATTCCAACCCGTTGCGTTCCCGCTTGACATCGATCCTATGGTTGTCCACCTCGACCATCGATATCGACAGCCAGCCTAGCTGCCGCAGCGTGCTGATCGTCCGCTGCACCTGCTCCATACATGGCGAGAACGTACAGATATACACCGGCGCCGACGGGTCCAGCGGCGACTCGCCCCCAGATGCCGGGTGACGGACCAGGTGTTTCAGCGCATGCCAGGGCGCCGGCAGGTCCAGGAAAACGGCATTGGCTTTGGGCGAAGGGCCCGTTTTCGGATCCACCAGCAAGAACCCATCCTCGTAGACATCCCGATGCGTGACCTCCACGAGCCCATCCAGACCGTGCTCCTGGACCTCCGAACGAATCTTCTCGGCGCGCTGCGCGTGGAACTCGAAACTGCACACCTTTCCTAGTCGTCTCTTCTTGTTGGGATTCGTGTCTTCGGAGCCAGGGTAGCCGTTGAATGCTGCGCGGACCGAGGCGTGCGTGAACGAGCCACTGCCCGCACCGGCCTCGATGATCGTACTCCCCGGTCGCACGCACAGCCGGTGTAGAATGTAGCTGTAGTCCGGCGTGTAGACGACCTGCGTCCGATGAGGCAGCGACGCAGTCCACAGTTCCGGGGTGGGAGCCAGCACATGCAGGAAACCGCTAGCCGCAGCGACGGGCACCTTCGGGGAGGCTTTCTTGTTCTTGTTATCCCCCGCCGCCGGGGACGAATCCAAATCGTCGGCTTTCCGTTTCAATTGCGACGGGTCCCTGCGGCCGCGCGACCCCGTGTCGACTTTGGATGCGACAATCTGCGACCCCCACGGCTGGTCGGCCAGCGTGCTGTGTGGGAACGAGCCGAATCGCGTGTTGACGACTTTGCCTTCGCTGTAGCCCTGGTCTTCGTCATCGTGCAGGCGCAGCAGGGCCGGGATGGTCTGGTCGCGGCGGAGGTGGAGGAGGGCGAGGTTGTCGAGCTGCGTCTGTGCGCCAGGAGTGAGGAAGGGGGAGGGCATGGTGACGGATTCAATCGGAGAGTGAGGGCCGATTAGAGATCACGAATTTTTTCCCATCGCAAAGTTTCTACTCGAGCGTCATGGGAGAAGATCGAGATTTGAGTCTAGACCGCTCTGGGCAGTTAGGGCTTAGGGTCTGCGGGCGGTCAGCATTTGTGCCTGAACCTGATGGCTGATATATATGCCTTATATTTATGGCGCTAAGGCTCTAAGGCCTTAAGGTGTCAAGGCATCAAAATGTCAAAATGTAAGGTGTCAACCATCACCAACATCATTCACGGTCTGACAAAATTCTACTTGGCCAGTGAACCATCGGCTTCCTGACATGGTGTTTTTTTACACCACTACCGTCAATAAATTTGTTTAGTGGAAATGGAACAGCTTCACTATGTCGTCTGCACACGTCTTCCCTCTACTCGGCGGATCACATGCGGAGGCACCGTACTCCACAACAGCGAATCCTGCACAAAAGAAAAGCCTTTGAAGGTGTCTGGATTAATCACCAGTTCATGACTTTCATTGCGCCCCATATTCTCCGCGCCACGAAAACTAATCTCGAGATCTGGGAGGCAAATCCCCCCCGAGTCCGAATAGTAATCCGTCCTCGGCCACGGGACCTCGGCTCGGATGTCCCCCACACCGCGGTTAACGCTCTGGCTCTGTTCATCTGCCCCGGTCTCCTGTCTTTCTTATACCCACCTTCACTCCTCATACAGTTGTCCCTTCTTATTCTGGTTTATGAATACACTTACACCTACACCAATACAGCAGAGACAATAGACTCCACATCATGCCCTTCAACACGGAGTTGACCCGCAAGCTGGGCATTGAAGGTATCGTACCTCGGTCCAGATCTATACACCCTTCATCTCTGCCAGATCTTACTGACAACCTGCGCCTGCTCCAGTCCCCATCGTGCAGGGTGGAATGCAATGGGTCGGATACGCCGAACTCGCCGCGGCCGTCAGTAACGCCGGCGGCCTTGGAATCGTACGTTTGCCCCTGTCTGAACGTTTTACGGGGATGAGAAGGGCTAACACCTACGAACTAAACCACAGCTCACGGCCCTCACGCAACCCACCCCGGAAGACCTCCGCAAAGAGATCCGTAAGACCCGCGCCATGACGCCCAAGCCGTTCGCCGTGAACATCACCCTGCTCCCGGCGCTGGTGCCGCCCGACTACGCTGCCTACGCGCAGGTGGTCATCGACGAGGGCGTCAAGATCGTCGAGACGGCCGGCAACAACCCGGGCCCCGTCATCCATCAGCTCAAGAAAGCCGGCACGACCATCCTCCACAAATGTACGACCATCCGCCACGCCAAGTCGGCCGTCAAGCTGGGCGTCGACTTCCTCTCTATCGACGGCTTCGAGTGTGCAGGCCACGTCGGCGAGCACGACATCACGAACTTCATCCTCCTCAGCCGCGCGCGCCAAGAGCTCAAGGTGCCATTCATCGCGTCGGGCGGGTTTGCGGACGGACAGGGACTGGCGGCCGCGTTGGCGCTGGGCGCCGAGGGCATCAACATGGGCACGCGGTTCATGTGCACGGTCGAGGCGCCGATCCACCACCAGGTGAAGGAGGCGATCGTCAAGGCCGAGGAGACGGATACGGCGCTGGTGCTGAGACGGTGGAAAAACACGACGCGGCTGTTCGCCAACAAGGTGACGCAGGAGGCGCTGAAGGTCGAGAAGGAGAGCAAATCAGGCGAGTTCACGGAGATCGCGCCGTTTGTGAGCGGAAAGAGAGGTAGGGAGGTGTTTTTGAACGGAGACGTGGATTTCGGAGTAAGTTTTTGCCACTTGTGCCTTTATCGATTCTACCGTGCACGGTTGCCCACGACCTTCGTCCCTTGCTAACAGACATCCGTATCGTAGGTGTGGACAGCCGGCCAGGTCATCGGACTGATCCATGATATCCCCACCTGTGCGCAGCTGCTGACGCGCATCGAGAAAGAAGCCCTGGAGGCGATGCAGCGCACTCGGTCGTTGTACACGGCAACTGCGCAAAGCAAGCTATGATGATTGTTTGTTTGTTTATTTCTTTTAATCATTTTTATTTTCATGTTTGTTCGGTAGATTCGATCTGATTGGCTGTTTCGGGTCCCTGTAAGGTAGCTGCTGCAATATCATCATGACGGCCCTTGCATGCATGCATAGAGTCAACGCCGAAGGCACATCCTCGAGGAAGACAAACCTCGTCATATACATTATTTGCACGAGTGGTCAGGCTGAAGTACAGGACTGCACATGGGCAAGTCAGATGCAGACACGTACTGGTGTTTGACAAGCCAGCTTCAGGCCCTTTGGGCATCAGTCAAGATTCAAATGAATGTCTATAGACAGTAGACCATCGAGATGGTTGAGTTCAGCCCAGGCAAGCTCCCTGGAATAACGATCGACAAGCACAAATCCACCCTCGTCCAGGTGACGACCTCGAGAGTCTGGAGAATGCCCCAATTCCCATCCAACGGCAAACTCACCTTGCCTTGCCTTGCCTCGCTTTACCGGATCAGTTTGTTTCCTTGCAGACAGGAGCCAGTCTAGTGGGTTAGTTCGTAGTTTAATCTCGAACATAGTTCAACGGGCAACGATACCGTCACTCAGGAGAAGAAGGAAGGGGGAGAGAGAGAGAGAGAGAGGAGGGGAGCAACTCACGCCACCTTCTATCTAATCACCATCTATGATCTCCCATTAGGATAGACACTCTTACTCTCCCTCTACCACCTACCTATACTCTATCCCCGATAATCCACTCACCTACATACATCTACATACATACGCACGCATGATAGAGACGCATAATACATCAATCATCACCACCAGACCCTCAATACCCCAAAGTCAAAACCCAAGAAGCAATCTCCGGTTCCCATCTCAACCGCCACAACCAACAGTATAAATGCCTTCATCCAGCCATCTCTCCACTCAATCAAACGTCTGGAAACGTCTCCCAATGACTCGGCAAACCCGCGAAATGGGCTCGCTATCCACCCTCCTTTTATCATGTCTTCAACGGAAACAGAGACCGACGCCAGAAGCTGCAGACGAGCGTCCGCCTGTTCCTGCGAAAGAGCCGCTCTCTACGTCTAGTATTTCGAACTCCTACTCGAAATCCCCCGCTCCGCCTACATACGCATATACCTATACCTGTCGACAAAGTGAGCAATGTCCGTCTATTACAGCTTCATCACAGTCTGGGACTGAGAGTGTGAAGATAAGCAACACCGGGACGGGCATACCCACCAAACTCAGCAAGAGATCATCGATTCGGATAGTGAATAACCATGATTCCGAGAGCACTCTGGTCTCGTCATCCTCGTCTACCTCTGAAGGACAGACGCTCGCCGGGTCGAGAAACGTGTCTCGGTCCGGGAGCGAGGAGAAAGACGTCGAGGCCGGAGAAGAGATCGAGGGCGAAAGAACAGTGTCTGCGATTATCGAAGCAGGACTCGAAGACCTGGAGAGGCAGATCAAGTCTGATTCCGAGAGAACTGGATCCCAAGGGATCGTACGGAGTTGCTCGCTCCCGGAGATCAAGAGTCGAGTGATTGAGGATATTCCGGAGGAGGATGAGATACTATCCGGGAACGGGGCGGCGACAGAGCAACAGCAACAGCATCAGGAGAAGGAATTACCATCTCTACCAAAAGAAGCCCACACGGTAGACCAAGAAAAGGTCGCAAAGGAGACAGACGAAGAAGAGGAAAAAGAGCTCTCCACGAAGTCCAAATCCTTCCGCGACAGCTTCCGTCTCAGCGGCCGCAAATCCCTGATCGAGATGGTGCATTTCCTACAACCACCAACCAACCGCTTCAGTGGCCTGAAGATCCCGATTCCGCCGAAATCACCACTCCGCAAAAAGGCCTCCACCAGCTCGATGCCCTGCCCTGCGGATCTCCTCCGCTCTACCACCTCTGCCGCCACCACCACCACCTCACCGTTGGAATCATCACCGTCGACATCACCGTTGAAGCCCGAACCTTTGTCAACCCCAGCCCCAAAAGAAGAAAAAACCACGCCCCGCACCAAAAAGCACCGACGCATGGGTGCCGTGGGGATGGGCAATGGGATCCCGCTCCGGGTACGTCAATCGCTCGACGGACTCAACATCAACAACACAGGTAAGAAGTCTCTTTTTTGCTAAGAACGGAGTTTGGGGTTCGGGGGTTTTTGTTTGGTGTATTTGGTCTATTTCGGGCGGTTTGTGGGCGGTTATTAGGAGGTCATTGTGATCTGTTTTGTGTATCATTCTTTGCTAAGGTTGTTCGGGGATCTTCTCTTCTTGATCTGTCATTCTTTTTGGATTCTCTTTTGTGATGGAACTGGATAAGTTTGTGTAAGTATGTGTGTTGGGTGGGGAGTTTCTTTTGTCAAGGGAGGATTTGGGGGTTGAATAGTAGGGCTTTTTCTATTGTATTATGGATTAAGGGGACTGGTTAGGCAGGGATTAGTGGGGAGAGGTTGATGTATACACTATGATATTACTATTTAATATACTCTTATGAAGATTCGAATTGGATATGAAGAATGAACAAGGCTATGGCTAGCCTCAGCTTATCGCAGAAGACAGAGCCGAATTTCTCCAGATACCAAAGGGGTCGTACAAAGAGATAGAGAAGACATGAAAAAGTCAAAAGCCAGTCAGTCATAGCCAAGGGGAACATTAGAAGAAAAGAACTGCAGAGGCCGTGTAGAAGAATGATTGGTGGTACAACTAGAACTTCCGAAGGTAAATTGAACAAGTCAGAATAGCGAAGTTCACCTGCCATTGTGGAGAGGACAGGTTGTAGTGCGGAAATGCTAGTGAGATATTCTGCGAAGCAGAAGGGAAGGAAAATGAAAACAGAGCTGAGGACTAATTTGGTATAGTGCTGGTCGGATTGAATAGTTGCTAATGCTAAATATGAAGGAGAGAAACTACAAGCCAAATTTGCTACAACTCCAATGCATTATAATAACTAGGCATCCGAGCGCTTCGCAGCAGCACGAGATGCAAAAAGGACTAAATTAAGAATAGCAAAACAGTCTTCTTTCTCCGAGGGTGCCACAAGACACAAGAGGTAATGGTACAAATATTGCCAACAGGAATCCGATTCTATCCAATAGGTACACTAGACCCTGTTTCGATCGCCTCGTCCGCGGGTCGTTGGATGTTTCTCGTCCACCGCAGGGGAAACCAGTAAGCCAAGAATAGCTTAGATGATGGAGCCGAGAGCAATGCAAGGAAGGCCAAGGCCGATGAGGTCGTCGCTCTGGAGAGGATGTTAGTATTGAGGATAGTTTGGGTGAGGAAAGGAGATACTCACGGCATCGCTGGGGGAGTTCTGGCAGCAAGCAATGTTCTGCTTGCACTGCTGGTTGACCAGATCGTTGAGAGCAATGGCAATAATGTTGACTGCGAGAGTTAGTATGATGAGATCGTAATGAAGAGAAGATACATACCCTGCAGAGGGAGCTTGGAGCACTGGTCGAAGAGACCGAGACCCTCGCTGCCGGAGCCAGCACCGATCAGGTTGCTGAGAGCACCGGCAAGGATGCCCTCGTCAACGTTGGTGGTGTCACCAGCGTAGGTAGCCTTGTTGCAGCAAGAGAGCTCGGCCTGGTCACCACACTTCTCGGAGGCCTGCTTGACGGTAACATCGTCAGGAACAGGGAAGCGGACCTGGCTGTTGCCCTTGTTGCCGATTCCGTTGCCAGCACCGTTGGCGACAGCGGGAGGAAGAGCAGCGACGGTGGTAGCGAGGGCCACGACGGCAGCGGTGATGGAGAACTTCATTGTGAATTGAGGGGTTGGTTTTGAACGAGAGAATTAAAACTCGGAGTGTTTAATATTGTTCTGAAGAAGACTGGAAGAGAGAAAGAAAAACTTGTGAACGAATGAAGTTTGTTTGTGATGATGAGAAGAATCGATTGAAGGCCAGAGTTCAGGCTCCTTATATACACGACGGTGGAGGCCTGAAAGCTCGTCTACCTCCTTCGCCTCGTCCTGTGTTTGTCGCTTAACTGTGTCTGCGGAATGCAACACGCAAGGCACTTGCCTTGAACAGGTCGGGTCTCTGGTATGGATCTGCCCCCTTCACGATGACTCTGATTGACGGAAGTCCGCACACATGCCGCATCTGTCGGGGCCCTGGATGATCAACACTACTGTCTCATTCCTTCCCTGCCTTCCTGCGGCAAGATCGCTATGTGGGGTGCAGCAAATTGTCCAATGCGAGCGATTAGGTTGCATTAAGGTATGTCCTGGATGTCCTCTAGCGCCTCTTCCCTTCCGGACTATCCAGGACTTTCTCTTCTTCAGTTGTCGATCAACTCCGAACCGTCCCACTTGGAACTGGACATTCAGAATGCCTATTGAAGATTCCCAGCTTTCTGTAAAATGGGCCGGGGACCGTTCGTGCTGGCCATCGTGCAATCTCTCCTGGTATGCAGGTGTCACGGAGCATTTCCCTCGGCGTATCGTCCAAGTCGCAGGACATTGCAGGGCATGCGGCGATCTGCAAGGGGCCCGTCCAATGTCTCACAAGTTTCCTGTTCCTGACCAGCCGTTAGTACTCCTTGCCACTTTGATTGTTGTCTCTCCCTCTCTCCCCAATGTCTGAGACCCATGTGGACAGCCCCTAGCTAGGCAAGGGGCCTGGTCGACTAGTGATCGTCTCATTTCCGAATGCAGGCACCAGAGCCCGGCGCCTATCCTCGCCTATCTTGAGCATCGCCTTCAGCAGACCCAGTCAGGCGCTGGCATCAGTAGTCAGCCGGTTTCCGCATAGGCTGCGTAGAGCGCTTTGGCCCTCCGATGACCGTGGCTTGGAGACGCCACTAGCTTCATCAAGCTCGAGATAGGCGTTCTGTCATTGGAAGTCCTCCGTTTGTTCAGGCGATCTTTGTTTTTTCCGGGCATCTTTTGCGGTGCGTCAGAATTCCTTGAGACTGCGTAATGTGTCATCCGAGTAGGGTTTCATCGAGGTGTTGCTTGATGATGTAGTCGTATGCCGCAGTCTGAATAGAGTCATCCCGATGGGCTAGACATTCACTCGCACTGTTCGATCAGTACTGGTTGGTCTTCAGGAATGAAAGGTGTATGTCATTAACTGCCAAAGGCATAACGTAGCAAGGACGCTTTTGGTCAGTCCTTCGGCAGAATATACCTCAAACGAGTAACTAGACTCACCGGTCTGGAAACATATATTTGTATACTCAAGTCGATATACACTTGGCTTCACCACCATAGGGTTGATTTGCTGCAACAGTTGTCAATATAAGCATAGAACTAGAATCATCTACAAATTGGCACACATCATGCACTATATGTAATAGACTTAAGCTCATCAACCTAATACACCATCGAGCACCTCATCCCGACGGTCAATATCACCATCTCTGCAACCTGTCCCCCCACTGCCTACACCGTAGTAACCACCTTAACCAAACCACACTATCGCTGCAGACTGTCCTGCGCCCCAGGACGCTGCGTGCGCACCACCCACGTTTGCGTTCACTAGCCAGCACTTCTACTATTCCTCTCCTGCCCAGTCTCGCCCACACACCCATTGTACCATCAAATCTCACCACCACGACCGTCTTCATCCCATCCACACACACAACCCGGAGGACAGTCATCCATCCCTTGACAGAGTCAACATACCTCCGGTTCCAAGAGATGATCAACGCCACCTGGGCCTTGTACCGGCTTGGTTTCGTCGGTGGCAACCGCCTTCATTGTTGGCGCCGGATGAGGCACTTGGGAGGCTGAGATGTGGCGTTGTTACTTTGGCTGTTTGGGGTGTTATTTGTTTAGATCGTGGTTATTGACGTAAAGATGAGGGATGGAGGGAAGAGAGGGAGTTGGTAGTTCGGGGTAATGGAATATAGTGCTGTAGATTAGACAGTGGGTTTGGTTCCATGGACACTTTTGTGCTCTGTTATCTGTTTCGTAGGTAGTGGGTGTGTTTTTGGGTGTTCTGGTGCTTCTGGTTGTTCTGATGCTATATCTACCAAGTACTTAATGCCTCTCGGTGAGTGATGAAAATCACAAACAGACAAACAAAGCAATAATCCCTCTCATTAGGTATCTACACCGCACAATATATTCTCATAATCGTAATAATCAAGTCATCCCATCATGACCCCCTTCCCAAAGCATCAACTCCGCTATTATATCACTAAATTACCATCACTCCCCTTGCACAATCACTCCCTCATCTACCAACGCCCTCGTCGCCTCATCCGCCCACTCCCCGCACCGTCTCAGCGGCTCCGAGGGATATAACCTCTTCGCGCCCTCAAACTGCTTCTTCGGCACGGGGATCGTCTCACAGACAGCCAGAAACCGCGCATAGTCAGCGACCGCCACCTGGCCGAGCAGGTCCTTGGTGGAGAACGAGGGCTCCTCTCCCGGCGGCCCGCCTGGACGGTGGTTGAAGGTCATGCCTTCTTGGATGTTGCCGATGACGTGGTAGATGTGGCCAGATCCAGGGCCGGATTCGTGTGTCTCGACGAAGAGGAGTTGGTGGTCGCGCGGAAGGCCGAATTCGACGACCCGATAGGTGGCGTAGGTGGTCATTTTCTTTTTGGAGTCTTTTTTTTTTCCTATCTATCTTCTGGGGATGAAGGGGACGGGCTGGTGAGTGATGGAGGGGGGATAAGGTACTGTATGGGCAGAGAGGGGAGGTTCTTTATGCAGGTTGCATTCACTAGGCAGAAGTAGGCAGCCGCGGTGGTGATTCCCAGATTTGCCGGTATAAATTATGAATGGAATTTTATGGTACGCATAGAGTGTTCAATATTCAGACTGTTAAGTCCCTAGTTGAACAGCTTATTGAGGTGGAAGATCCCGATATTCGCATGAAAATCGGCCATCTTCCTGACGACGAGATCCCCCATTCGAAGCGGAGGATTCAAGCGCTTTGACTGTTCGATATGCATTTAAAGAGGCTTCTTCCATGTGGATAAATTATTCTCAATCAATTGAATCTTCAATATCATGAAGATTTTGATCATTTTTACTGCTTCTATTACCTCGAGTTCCAACAGGTGATATAGGTATGGTGCTCTATTGGGGTTAATATATCTCAGCAGATTGAACACCGCACGCCTCAGGCATACAGGCAAACACGGAGATATATAGTGCCTGAATCTGGGGGCAGCAACCAATACCCGAAAAGGCCTAGTGGCCGCGGACTCGATCATCTCTTTCTCCTCTTCCTCGACTCTCACTCTCTCTCTCCTCTTGATCAACACTCTGCCTCTGCACTCGGTCCTGGCTACAGAAGAAAAAGAGGGACGCAAGCTCTAAAGAAAAAGACAGAAAAAAAAGAAAGAAAGAGGGAACAATAAGGGCAAAAACTAAAGGAAAAATAAGAAAAATAACGAGAAAAAAAAGTGCTAATCAAAAATGTCCCCTCCCCAACAAGCTCCGGGCAGCCCATCTCCGGGCTCTCCGTCCCATCCAACCCAGGAAGAATCCCCCAATCAGGTCCAGGATCCCAAAGAACAGGGAGAAATCAGTGACCAGGAAGAGTCGGACCAAGCATCAGAGTCAGAGTTAGCGTCAAGGTCGAGATCAGAGAAGGAAGCCACACCCACCTCAGAACAAGGAGAAGGATCAGGACAGGTGCAGTCCAAGGAAGATGCCGAGGCACAACAACACCAACAACAAGATGATGAAGAACAAGACCAACAACCACCCTTACCGGACGAAGAAGCGCCGCCGCTCCCCGACGAGGCCGCCTCCGGGGACGATGACGGCTGGGAACCCGTCTGGGACCCCTCCGCCCAAGCCTACTACTTCTACAATCGCTTCACGGGCGTCTCGCAGTGGGAGAATCCGCGCGTGCCCTCGAAGTCGCAACCCGGCGTAGACGACGACGCCGAGCCTTCCGCCTCCGAGCCCGCTGCCAAGAAAGCCCCTGTACTTGGGGGGTACAATCCCGCGATCCACGGGGACTACGATCCGACGGCCCCGTATGCGCAACAGTATGAGCCCGAGGACCCGGCGGCGGCGGCTGGTGCGGTGGACCCGACGCAGTCGTACGACACGACCGGGACGTTCAATCGGTTCACGGGGCGGTGGCAGTCCGACGCGCAGAACCCGGAACAGCATAATGATGAGAATAAGTCGCGACGGCAGATGTATGCATTTTTTGATGTGGATGCGGCGGCCAACACGCACGACGGGCGGAGTCTGCGCGCGGAGCGGAGCGCGAAGAAACTGAGCAAGAAGGAATTGAAAATGTTCAAGGAAAAGCGAAGGGAGAAGAAGGAGGAGAAGCGACGCGCTTGGTTGAGGGATTGATTTGTGTTTTATCCTTATGGAAAGGGAGACTGGGAGAAATGGGTCTTTTATAATTCGTGATATGATACCTTTTGCGTTTTTTGGCGTTGTACTGTATTCAGTTGCATATAGACCGTGACTAGCGGGACTTGTACATGTATCATACCTGATTATTCTTACTGCTAGCCTTATCAATCTGAATCGGCTTATAGTAGTTTCGTCCTTTACGGTGTACTCCGTGTATTTCTTCTTCATCCCCGGATCCACAAGTCACCTGACCGAACCTCAAAGTTCTCCGCCGACGGACTTTCTCCTCCAGACACAATCGCATTGCCAGGTAAGTCTTTCTTTTCGTCCGTTGACCCTGTCCAGTCTGTTTGGCCGTTACTGTGTGGACCCCTGTGTTTGAAACTCCCAGAACCTTTTCCCCGTGACCTATCCCAGACCAATCCCCACGATATAACAAATTTCGGCGAAGAGGGGCAGCATCTACAATATATAGCGGGTATCCAAAAAAAAAATCAAGACACTAACCCTCGCTCTCAACAGACTCAACCCATTCCCCTTAAACCGAACGCTATATACCCAGAAACGCAAACAAAGCAAGGAAGAAAGAAGAAAAAAATGTCCCTCCCCACCATCCCCGTCGACACAATCGACGATCTCATCTACGACGCCCGCGCCGGCGATCTCGACTCCCTCAAAACCACCATCTCCGAACTGAGCGCTTCCCTGCAATGCACGCCTGCACAAGTCATCGCCGCGACGGTTGACGCCGCGCCCGAGGCCGAGGGCGGGACGGGGTGCTGTTTGTTGCATTATCCGGCTGCGAATGGAAATTCGGGTATGTTTCTCTCTCCCTCTTTTTTTGTGGTTCCGCTTCGGGGCATGGTTTATCTGCTGTTCTCTGGGAGATATCTGTGGGGACGAGATCGATTGCTCGATGCTAATGATATGTGTGATTGTACAGAAATCCTAAACTACCTTCTCACCACCCTCACAACGCAACCCTCGGATCAAACAACGCAATCCATCCTCAACCACAAGAACCACTCCGGAAACACGCCCCTGCACTGGGCGGCGCTGAACACGCACCTAGAGTGCGTCAAGGCATTGGTGGAAGCCGGCGCGGACATCGCGGTCACGAACGACGCCGGTCTGGACGCTGTGTTTTTGGCCGAGAGGGCTGACTGGTCGGCTGTCGAGGTGAATGAGGCGACTGCGGGTGCTGCGGATCAGGAGGAGTCCGGAGAGGCGGAGGTGGAGATGAAGGAGGGGGAGGAGCAGGTGCCGCCGTCGAAGGGGAGACAGGTGGTGGAGTGGTTGTTGAGTTCGGAGAAGGGGGGTGAATTGGAGAGCGGTGTTGCGGAGGGAGAGAGCGCGAAGAAACAATAGTGCTATGTTGAGTTCGGTTCAGTTGATATGAGTATGATTGGGACGGATTTTAAATGACAGGTTAATAAGGATTTAGATAAAAGTTGGATTCAATATTTTTTCCCTCGTTAGTTTTAAGTTATGTTGATATAATGCTTAGGATATATGCTATGGTACATGAACATATACATGTTTGGTTTCATGGTCAGTTCAGTTCAGTTAGTTCGTGCTCGTCATATATCATGTCTGGCCCTTTGCTCCCCCAGTTTCATTAATCCCGTCGTACTTTCGTCCCGGAAAAGCTTCCCTCGGATTCAATCGTTTTGTCGCCGTCAATTTCGCGCACCTTCATATCCAATCCGACTCGGAATCGTCGATCGCGCCAGGTCACCGTGACGCCGCCATAGAACGCCGTCAGCCAGATCGGCAGAGCCAGGAACTCACGGCCCAGCCAGGCCCCGAACCATTGTCGGAAGCTTCGTCGGGTGCCCGAGCGGGGAGGCCGCGCGAAGACCGGCGTATTCTCGTCGAGCTCGACCGTCCGGGCCGAATGGAGTTTAATGTAGAGTGTCCAGTCGACTAGGATCCAGGCTACTAGGCTGAGGCAGAAACAGGCGAAGAAAGCCGTCCATGTCGTCAAGTGCTGCGCACGGGAGTATCCCTTCTCCAGAAGCCACTGCGCTAGAGACGTCGTCACTCCCCAGGCCCCATATAGCGAACACAGTAGCGACTCCGTGCCCGGCTCGACCCAGGTTGCCAGAAGCACCGTGAATTTGCGGACACGCAACCAGCGCACACGCCGCGCCACGTATGCCTGTACGCTCATGTGGGCGACGGGCTGGAAGGCCAGGTCCCCGAAGACCATGCCGTGCTTGCCGAAACGCTCGCCCTGTTCCTTCTCCTCACGCACGCGCTTTTTCCACAGCAGGTCGCCGATCAGGTGATCTTCGCAGATGTTGTCAGAGAAGTAGTCGATGCCCGGATTCCGCCGATGGGGATCCTTCGGGGACGGCGCCGTCAGGTAGTCCAGGTGAGAGCGCCGGAACATGTTCGACTTGCCCACGATGCACGGCGCAATGAGGACCGTGTTGATGGCAGTGTACATCTTGGCATGTGCGGACGACAAAAACATTTCCTCCAGGCGGCCGCCGCCCATCGCAAGTGTACCTGCGGGGACATCCTCAGACACGGCCTCGGATTGTTCCCCATCAGTCGAAGTGTCCAAAAGCGAGGCTCGCTCTCCCTGCCCGTGGTCATTCTCAGTCACGTCCACCACCAGGGGCAAGTGATGTACGAATTTGTACTTCTTCTTGCCCGCGTGAGCCCCCAGCCCGCACAGTCGGTCGACCATGCGTCCGCAAACACCCTTACCGACCCACACATTGCAGTCGATGATCCAGACGATATCACCCTTTGCTTCGCGGTAGGCCCGACTCATGTTCCGAATCTTTGGGTTGGGACCTAAGCTATACGGGGAGTCATTGTCGGGTTGGAGCAACGGGTCCTCGTCCTCAATGTAGACGCGCGCGTTGGCGTGCGAAAAGTCCGCCATGAGCCTTTGCAGGGTCGGGAAGGCCGGGTCATCGCGCGAAGAGACGCAGAAGTAGACGGTTAGGCGGTCGCGAGGGTAATCTTGACTGAAAGTCGAGGACAGGCACTCGTATAGATTCGGTTCGAGGCCTTTCACAGGGCGAATAGCAGTGACGTGAGGGGCATCAGTATCGGAGGCGGAACCAGATGGTCGCGGCCGCTGGAGAAAATATCGCCATCTGAAAGGAAGAGGGTCGTCAGTAGAGAATCCCAGCGGTGAGGTGTCACGTCACCAACATTTGGTAGTATCCCAAGACGCAAACAGCCACCACCGTTGTATACCAGATCAGGCAGATCCAGCCCGCCAAGACAGCGAAGCCGCCGTCAAAGGTCGGTCCGGACTCGAGGAGACTCGAAGGCACCTGAAGCTTAAGCATAGGCGGACAACGTCGGAGGTGGCCGGTTTCAATGCCGAAGGAGGGAAGCGAGGCTGAGAGAGGGAGGGAAGAAGAGAGAAGGGAAATAATGAAGGGAAGAAAAGAAGGCGGTGAGGAAGTCGGTCAGTGCGGATAACCCGGAAGGGAAATCCCCCAACAAACTGAAACAGGCACATCTTTAATTTCTATACTCCGTAACAACAACTGTTTCTAATTACTTCGCCAACCGAGCTGCCTCCGAACGAATGATCTCCGGCACCTCATCCTGCAAACTGCGCTCCTGGGGTTCCCAACCCACCGTCTTACGAGCCCGCAGAGCTGATCCCCTCGAGTTCAAGCCCCAACTGGCTGCTTCAAAGCCCGCCGATGACTTCATCGCCTCATCCATAGACCAGTCCCTACACGCCGGCTCCTGAGGAAGATACCCAAGCTCGAACGCCTGTTGACCGATGAATCGCGCTAGGGGTCCCCAAACATGCTCGCCATTCTCACACAGGAAGTATCCCATCGCACCCCAAACCTCCTCTCCACCCTCTCCCGCAAGGGCCGTCGTGAGCAGCGCCTCAAACAGCCGGCTCAAATCATACACATGGATATGGTTCCACCGCGCCAGCCCCTTCCCAATCTGAGGAGTAAACTTCTCCTTTAGGATGAATGACGACAGTTCGTAGACCTGACGTCCACGACCCGACCCAGGCCCGCGACCACGTCCGTAGATCGTAGGAGGACAGACGATCGCCGTCTTGACGACGTCGGCATGCTGCGTGCCCGTCTTCAGCACGATCTCGTCGACGTTCCGATGGAACGCGGCAGCGGGCAGATTCACCAGCTCATCCACCGCGTCCCAATCATTGAAGACCTTCTCGTCATGTTCGCCGTAGACCTTGCGAACTTCGGAGTCGAAGTACGTCAGGATCCCCGTGCCGCCGGTATGCAGCCAATACCCCGGGCGCTGTGGCGTGTGGCCCTCCACTAGGCCTTTGGCGATGGTATTGGCGGCGACGGCGTGGTCCGATGAATCGGCAGTGTCTGGTCCAAGTAGTAAGCATTAGGTTCATCCCTTTCTCTCGCGATGTCTGGGTTTGGGGATCCGGTACGAATCACAATATCGGCCCAAGCGGCTTCTCGCTCGAGGATCGCTATGTCGTCGAGCTCGCCGAGGACAATGCGGACCTGGGGGTATTTCTCTGCTATCGGCTTGGCCTTCTCCGCGGTTCGAACTAGAGCGGAGATCTCGAGATCGCGGTGGTTCTGGGCGATTAGGTAGAATGCATCGCCGCCGATGTAGCCGGTGATTCCGGTGATGAAAACCTTAGGCATAATGATGATGATGATTTCAAGAATCTATTGAGAGTGTGGACAGACCTGCCTAGAAAGATTGATGTTGATACTAGGGAGTAGATGGAGGGGAAGAACCGGTGGGGCGGGTGATATCATTTCCGAGGATGTTGATTTCTAAGACTCATGGAAGAGATGAGAATAGGAACGTATGGCGTAGGGACAGGACTCTTCCAAAAAGACCATAATCATAGTATGCTGGGATATAAAGAAAAATACGAGATAGCGGTAGTCATTAAGGCATTGATTCATAATTCCATGTAGAGTCTATCTACATACAAGATATACTAAGACCAAGCTATAGCAGGCCTTGTCATATATCGGAAATAGAAATGGCTGGTCTATAAAGAAAGAACTGGACAAAAAAAGGAGAACCATTATAGATTGTTCTCCTTCTTGAACTTATCCCAAGCCTCGTTCAAGGCTCCAAACACGGCGCTGGAAATCATGCGCTGCTCGGTCGTGGCAGCGGTGGATATCTGGAGATTTAAATTAGATTCAACACTTATGATGCTAATGCATCAGGCCTGTGAACGTACCTTGTCTGGGTGCACCTTGGCAATCCCCTTCATATACTGCACCTTGACCTTGTTGGGCATAATCAATTCCGACATGTTGATCTTCTTCCACCCAGATTCGGGCCAGAGAACCGTGTCCAGACTACCCAATAGGGCTCGGAGGTTATCCTGCTTTCCGTTTTTCCATGCGGCCAAACGGGCATCGACCGACTCGGTGAGAGCGAACTTCTCTTCGTCGGCTTTATCGGCTGCTTGGTTGGCCGCTCGAAGACGACTGACAGCCGCCGAGTCCATGCCAGAGGACGCGGATCCGCCCTGCAGATCGGCCAACTCAGACGGTCTCTTGGGAGCAGGAGCAGCGGGTCGACGTGCCGGTGCCGAGGGCTTTGGTGTCGGCTTGTTGATTCCCGCGGCCTTCTCGCATCGATTGCGTCCTTGGATACTCGTGCTACCGCCGTAGCCATTTTCGACCGCCTGTCGCCACGACTGGGCCGCATCGACCCAGCGCTCCAGTTGTTCGAGGGCTTCCGCTTTGCGCATCAAAGCCTTGCCGAAGAAGTCCTTCATGGGTTTGTTGGGTTCGCCGTTTCCAAGTTCGATGCTCTCTGCTTCTCCCTTGGAAGGTCCAATTACCTCTAGAATATTGTCGGCATCACTAATGGCGACCTTCGGCTCGCCGATTTTAAGAGCGGTCATGGCACGGTTGCTGCGAATGATAATGGTGAGGGGGTGTTTTCCCGGCAGCATGCTGAGGGCCGTTGAGAACGACTCGTGAGCGGAGCCGTAATCACCTCTCTTGTATGATTCGGCACCCTTGTCCTTATGACGGTGGGTGGATGAAAGCGCCTCTTGAGACAAGGGAAGAACAGCCCGGGGGGGAAGAGCCTTCGGCCGTGAAGGCAGGGGTTTGGCGGGGGTCGAAGATCGTGAAGGTTGCGCCTGCGCCGGTGATGACGCCGGCTTGGGTCGTTCAACACTTGATGACGGAGCGGGAGAGTCAAACAAATCCACGGCGGGCTCTGGAGCAGGGGACGGTGCGGCAGGTCGTTTCCTCCGAGCAGGAGAAACATAGGCCTGTGTGGACTGCTGTTCGACGACTGTCTTGGACACGCGCGCTCGAGGGTCCCTTGTCTCGATCTTAATATGCTCTCGTAGGAACGCCGGCTGTTGCGCGCGTCTTTCACCGACAGGCGGGGACGGTTGGCTGCGGAAGCTTGCGCTGTCCGATCGAGGCGGAGGTCGTGCTTCATGCGATCTATCCGATCTGCGCGATGCACGCGGGTCCCCTCCAGATTCCAGAAGCAAAGCTTCGTTGGTGAATTCCGCAGGCGGCGCGCGAGAAGGCTGAGCCGGAGCCTGGCGACGGTCATCGGGGAATGGCTCCTCGTGCATGGAAGCCTCTCTTAGCCACTTAGGCTGATTAGGATCCTGCTCCGTGTTGAAGTCCTGGACGACCTGCTGCATCTTCTTGCTGCCTGATTTCCACAAAGAATTGGCGGTCTTCAGTAGATTGTTTCCGAAAGCCGATGCGACCTGCGCCGGGTCCTTGTCTGCAGACATGGGGCTCCGGTTGTTGCTGCGGCTTCGGGGCGTATGGGCGCGTTCTTGTTGCATCCATGACGGAACATTGCGATCCGATCTCGCGCTCTGGTCTCTGCTCCGGCCGGAATGATCTAGATGGAGATCGTCAGGCGGGGGTCGATTCCTCGACCTCTGCTGAGACTCCTCGTGCGCTTGGGTGAGCAGTAAGCTGACAGCAGCCTGTATATCGGTGCCCGTCGGGGTCATGCGCAATGCTTGTACCGATTTGTCTACTGGGAAACCCATATCCACAAGCTCAGCGACGGCGCGATCAATCCCGCTGGATCCCTTGGAAGGTGGGGGAGGAGGGGGACTTTCGCGTGTAGACGGAGGGGTGGGCGATTTGGCCGGTGGCTTCGGAGGAAGTTCAGACACGGGCTTGCCCAGCAAGCCGAGAAAATCGTCATCGTCATCGTTAGTTGGGGCAGGCTGCGCCGGGGGTGTTTGCTGCTTGGGTTTCAATTGGTTGAGACCGAACGGGTCGTCGTCATCCATAAAGTCCATTCCACTCGCGGCCGGAGGCGCCGACGACGCTCCATTGGTAGTAAGTTGTGGCGAGCTTGTTCCGACCTGCGGCGAAGGCGACGGGCTTGGAATGGGGAAGTGGGTAGATGCGTCCACGGGGGCTGAGGCGTCAAAGGCGGCGAGAATATCATCTTCGTCGGGAGACTGCGGCTTCTGCAGGGTAGGCGTAGCTCCGAATCCACTTGAATTGCCACTCCCTCCTTTCTCGAAACTATCCCAAAACTGAGAGTTCTGCCCTCCGTACTGCGACTCAAATCGAGATCGATTCTCCGCCTCCTTCCTAGCTCTCTCTTCTTGTAGTCGCCTTTGCTGCTCAATGAGAGGGACATTCTTGTTGGGATTTGACGAATTGAACGAGACGAGATTTGCGAAGCTGTCCTTATCCGGGGTCGCAGACTTGGTCGGCGGATTGGACGCGGTAGACGAGGCGGAGAGGGGTGTAGAGCGGCCGGAGGGGTTAGCTGGCCTCACATTGGGAAATAACGAGCTAGAGCTCATGGGCGGGGGTTTCTGGGGGGCATTGGATGAGCCGGCAGACCAACTCAGGCCACTCAGGTCATCCATAATGGGTCTGGATTTAAAAGAAAAAGGATATAAGTGTCTGGGAGGATTGGATTAGGATAGAGGTCGCAGTGAAATTACGCAAGGATTCCATGGTTTTCATCTCACCATCGACGGGCCACCAGGGCGGATATGAGCTTGTCCCGTGAAATGAAAGAAGGAATAAAAGAATAAGGCAAACAGTGTAACTGTAACGCAAGTGGGACGAAGAGAGAATCGCCTGTCGGGGATGCGGGCGATGGATGGACTCCGGCTTCCCCTGGAGATGGGGGACGGTGGCTGAGCCGGATGATGCAGCGGTGGCGCAGTTTAGATCTGTGGCTGGTGGCTTTCCGCCCGAACGTGACTTGTTGACACGTGCTGCTGAATCAGCCGCCGGAGAATTAATCAGCGAGTAAAAATAGAAAGGGAAAGACACCACCAAAAACAACTTGTACGGAGTAAGTTGGACGGAGTAACATTATTATCTGTGTATTATTATTTCCCACCGACACTATCACAAGCTAACCCATCCTTCCCATGCCTAGATTGAACGCCGTTAAGAATACCCACGCCACTGTGGACCTCTTTTCTAGCCTGCATCGTCCTTGCCAGAACCAAAACAATTAGTTGGCAACGGGCTTCTGCATCGAGCATCCCTCAAGGTCTCTGAAATCGAGACTAACAGTAACAGTCAAGACATTTTGACCAGATGTCAAGATACAACCTACCGTAACTCATGTCATCGGCTCGAGCTGATGGGTCGAATCGCCACAAGTGGATAATCCCAGCCATGTCATTAATACTGTATCCACCGCCGCTGGCGGCTGGTCCATTGTCCCAAAGTACCTGTCTTACCTGACTCAACGATTCGACAAATCAAAAACAAAAACAAAAACAAGAAGGCTCACAGCTCTCCGTAAGTACGGACTACACTGTGTACTGTGTACGAAAAGAGAAAGCGCTGTTCCTTGGCCATGAAACCCTAACAAGGATAGCTTACTGTGTACGGTGTACATTTCTTATGTTTAGGCCGGTCGGTGGACTCCGGTGGGGGGACTGTCCTCGAGTTAAATTCTTGTCCTGCGCACAGTCAGATCTGGATAGACCGGGGGTGGTCGTGTGGGAATGGGATATGCATCCTGCCTCGACTAGTTGGCCAACTTGGCAGAAGGTTAGATGATACGACCGCCTCTGAAGGCCCGGAACTGAAAGGAACGAGGATCCAACCATCGCGGAGCCCAGTCGGTCGTCGATTACCGGTGACTAGTCTATCGCAAGGTCAGAGGGGGGGGGATATCTAGTGGCTTGCTGCGGCTTGATGAGAAGCGATATTATTTGTGGAGGGCAGGGCTAAGCGAGATATCATGAGAGACGTTCGAATACGATTATCCTCAACGCATCACAGTTTTATCACGAACGAAAGCACAGGCCCCTCGCGTCACGGTCCGCCCGGTAGTAGTGAAAGGGTTCCTACAGTAGTCGGCGCGTTTTGCATAGTGATAGCCTCGTTATCGCTGATCTGTTCTCTAATTACAGACCGGGCTGAGTCAGGCCCTGGTCGAGCTGAGCTTCGGGGGGGCAGATGTGACCTCCAATAATCGGCGATAACGAACTGTTGTTGACCAGGTTTTGACCAAAAATTGGGGGGGGGAGGCGTCCGCGGAGATCACCGTGGATTACAAGAACGATGCAGTCCAGGTCAGTACCTGTGATATCGATCAATCGAGGGGGCGTTAACAGAGTACTATCGTTACTATCATGATCGGGTGATCGGACGGACGACAGAGTTGAGAGGTTGCATTTGCGCATACATATGACATGACATGACGATGGAAGTCCAGACCTCGCGAGGATTCGAGCCGTCGAGGGTAGCTAAAAAAGAAAAAGAACAAGAAAGAGAAAAAGAAAAAGAAAAAAGTCGGAACGGATCTGCCTAACGCCTGGATTGAGAACAGGCCACGCAGCCACTGCCGATACCACCTTAAGACTACTCCGTAAGAGACTAAGAGTAATCCATGCATCAGACATTCGATATTAGAGTCACATTCACCCAGACCAGAGTTCAAACGGCAGAGCCTCGGGGAAATCGGGCTCTTTCGACTTCGGGGAAACATTGCAATTATATGTATTATATTTATACTATTATAATAGTATTACAATATTTCCGAATAATAATAATAATAATAATAATAATAATAGGCGAGAATTATAGACTACGACACCTATATCACCGCCCTGCTATTACTATGACTAGACCATTAATCAACAAAACTCCGGATCCGGAGGAATGTGGCAGACGAGAGTTTAAACGTGAAACCGGAGCGACCCAGCAGTGTGGCCAGCACCGTGTCTCCCGCGTTAGTGCGCGCGCCGGCCGACGTTTAGCATGGACTGTCACAACCGGTTGTCACCAATGTACTGACTGAGTACTGAGTACGAAGTACGGGTGTCTAGGTACTCTGCATACTGTATAGGTAGTGTACGGAAGACATCCGGTGAGCTGTGGTTTCTTCCCCCAATTCGTCGCCCGTTTTCTCCGGTTGGAAGAGCCCCTTAGTGGTCATAGCAAAGGGGCCGAACATGGATGCTGCGATGGTTTGCATATTTGCATATAGCCTGCATGCAGAACCATACGCCGTACATCGTACATCGACATCGACCGATCGTTAGTCCTGCGCACAGTTTATGGTATTATTATTAATATATTTTGTAACTAAGTCACCCCCGATCTAATGAGGGGGAATCTACCACTACTGTGTAGTGTACAGTGTACAGTGTACAGTACACAAAAGTCCGGCATCCTCCATGCACTCTACTCCGTACACTTGACAGTCGACAGTGGTGCCCTAGCCTACTCCGTCTCGAGTCCCGAGACCTGACAGAAGGACCGAGCCTGCTAAGTGCTAACAAGAGTCAGTTAAGGGTGGGTCTTCGGGGGGAAAGCGACAAGAGGATTCATCAGCATCAACGCTTAGAGTTCGGCTCTCTCCACGAAGTCGGCTAATGTTGAGCACTATTTTAGCTCGTCCCTTTGCTTTACGCAAGGGTTTTTGACTTTTCACTATTATGTCCTGGTGTTTTTGTTTTGCTTCTTCACACCAATGGTCGGACTCCTTAGTGACCAGGCGAGGAGGCGAGAGAAGTGGAACGATCTTCCTGACCTGGGGCCATCCCAATAGGAACTTACCTACGGAGTAGCAGCTTGCGAACTAAGGAACTTAACCCTAAGCGCTGGGGTGCAACGGTGATTGGGTATCTGTCAGGGAGATGCCCAACTGATCATTCTAATGCAGGTGCTGCAGCTCGGATTAGCATCTGGCCTTCCCCTCTTTGAAAGTTGAAATGATGTCTTCAAATTATAAAGTAATAATGACGACGGCCAGGTCCCCAACCTCGTACCTTGTCAATCTCCGTAGGCGTACTCCGTAGAGTTCGGTGGGGCAGAGGGCCATCTACTATGAAGGGCTGACCCAAGGAACCGAGAGACACTACGGACCGCCCAGGGCGACTAGCAGAGATCAAACCATCACGGCGATAACGATGATAAATGAGAAAGGACAAGAGAGAGAGAGTGTGTGTGAAAGGGTGTAGACCAATCACAAACCCAACACCCTTCGATAAACGATGGAATAGGGGGGGAACAGGGTTCACGGTTCACTCATGCCTGCCTTGGGGAACAGGTCCGAAATTAGGGACGAGAAGGGTCGGAGCAGGACCTGAGTCTGTCCTTTCCCTTGGGAGCCGGACCGAACACTTCTGACTTCTGAGCACTGAGCAGACAAGAAATCTAGATCCGCACCATTGGGGCAGCGTGGTGGAGCAGGGACAAGGGCTAAGGGCCGGAAATGGCCCTGTGCGCCAGTCCGTCCGTGCTTTTTGATTTTTTTCTTCTCCAGTTATTTTTTTTTCTCGCTCTCAATTCCCACTCTTCAAAGTGGACTCCCGACCTTCCTGTTCTCTCGATCGCGAATCTCGAGCTGGCAATGGTGAATTGAGTTGACGCCGTTGAGTTGAGAAACTCGGGTCAACGACGGCTTGGCTCCTCCAAGGGTCGCTTGGGGTTACTCCATGGGATTCTCAGGTTTTCTTATATGAAATAAATGAAATAGATGAAATATGACGGCCATCACCGAGGGAATCTACAACGTACAGTAGTAAACATGCGCATCTGAGCAGTTCCTTGAAACGGGGCTAATATCTGACGACCGCCCGAGTACTCCGGAATACTTCCAGAGTACTCGGCGGAAGGCACGACAAGGGAGGGTCTGGAAGTACCTTACAAGTACCCGCGGCCGCGGTAATTAATTTCCTGATATCAAATGAAGCGCGACTCCATCACTCCAAAAGCTCCCCACCTCCCGACTCCGAGCCTCGACTAGTCAAATAATAGTGAAAATAGTGAGCTTTCGCGGAGCCTACCTCACTCGCTGCTCCTTTTTGCTCCAATGAGGCCCCCGAGATTTGGTTCCTCACCTTCCTAACTCCTCCTAATTCTCCCCCTAACTACCTTTAACCATCTCTCGGCCGCCCCGCCCCGTATTGTTAGTGTTTTTCTCTCTCTCTCTCTCGTTCTTTTTATTAGAAAGAAAAATTTCAAGAAATAAAAATAAATTTCATTTAAGATCGAAATACCAAAATAAATAAAGAAATCGGAATAAAAAATAATAATAAACAATAGAAACTAAAGCCGACGAGCAGCAGGTTGCTTTCCCGCAACTGCCGCAGATCATCATCTTTTTTATTGTTCTCTGCTTCCCCCCCCCCACCATCTCTCCTCTCCCTCTCTCTCCTCATTCTTTCTCCTCTCTTTTCTTTTCCTCTTTTTTTTCCCTCCTCTCCTCTCCTCTCTCCCCTCTCATCTTTTCTATCCCTATCCTAATTCTCTCTACATTTCTCAGTATAACCATCTGTCTGTTTGATTTGGACTATTCGAACCGATATTCTCCCTTCTCTCCTCGTCGCCAGGACATCTCTCACGTCCTTCTCCATCCACCTTCTCACCATGGGTCTCTTCAAGCGCAAGGACTCCAAAAACTCGATCCAGAGTGAGAAGGATGAACAAGACTCATTTGCGTCCGTCAACAGTGCTCGCACGTCCAATGCCTCGTTGCGATCGCCCGGCTACAAAGGAAGTGGCCTGCCCGCATCAATCCCCGAGTTGTCGATTGCCAAACCCCCGGACCCAGCCCTAGACCCTGCGGCCTACCTTCGCAGCGTTCATGCCGTACGAGACCGGGCTAAATACGTGCTGGTAAAGGCCAAAAGGAATAAACTTCAACACTTCGAGGTCGACATGAGCAAGTTCCAGGCCACGGCATCCTACATCGTCTCCATCATCAAGGTGAGTGACCCTAACAAGCCTTGGGACCCCTCCGGCCGTCATGTGATGTCGGCTGACCTGCTTCCATGTATAGCGCGACTATGCTCCCGACTACGAATCGATTCCTCCCCATGGCCGCTGGCAGCATTTCGACGTGGGCGGCAGACCGCGTGTCAACCAGTTGCTGCAGTCCTGGCCTAGTACGATCGACGCGCAAGAAAGAACTCGCCGATTGATCGATCTCTTTGTCGTTTCGGTCCTCCTGGACGCCGGTGCCGGCACTAAATGGTCATACAAATCCAAGGAGTCGAGTAGAGTCTTCTCGCGCAGCGAAGGCCTTGCGGTGGCCACCCTCGAAATGTTCAAGAGTGGGCTCTTCAGCAGCGACCCAACCGAGCCGTGCCAGGTCGACGGGGCCGGGCTAAAGAAGGTAACGGTGGAAGTCCTGGCCAAGGGAATGCAGCACTCTGAAGCCAACCCCCTCGCCGGTCTGGAAGGCCGCGCCGGACTTCTCGCTCGTCTGTCGGAAGCCTTGAACAACCAGGAATTCTTCGGAGTGGACGCCCGTCCAGGAAACCTCCTTGGTAGGCAAATTCCGCGGTTCTTTCCCCGCAAACGTTACTGATGGGATGCGTCCTATAGATTACCTTCTTTCTCATCCGTCAACACTGGCTTCATCCGTGCCGATCGTTCCGATCACTACGCTGTGGACCGTTCTCATGGACGGTCTGACCCCGATCTGGCCCTCCTCGCGAACCAAAATCGACGGTCTGTCTATTGGGGATGCTTGGCCCTGTTCGAGCCTACCGTCATCGCCTCCCGCGCAGCCCTGGGAGAACATCGTACCATTCCACAAGCTTACCCAATGGCTGTGTTACTCTATTATGGTTCCCATGTCTCGATTGATGAAGATCCATTTCGCAGGCAGTGATCTGCTTACCGGTCTTCCCGAGTACCGAAATGGCGGCCTTCTGATCGATATGGGGCTACTGACTCTCCGAGAGGATGACCTCCAGCGAGGAATCGCCGCATACAAGCAAAATGCGCAGATCAAGGGTCAACCGAATATGGAAGTGGTTCCCCTCTTCTCGACCGACGACGACGTGGTAGTGGAATGGCGAGCGGTGACCGTTGGGTTCTTGGATGACCTTCTGGAAGAAGTCAATGGTCAGTTGGGACTCCGAGGGGAGGACCAATTGACGCTTGCGCAGATGCTCGAGGCTGGCTCATGGAAGGTAAGGAGTCCTCTCTAACACTCTTGTTCTCATTAGATATAGAGACTGACGTCAATGCTTTAGGGTGGCCGCGAGATTGCCGAAGTCTCCAGACCCAACACGAAGGAACCCCCAATCATGATCCGCTCCGACGGCACCGTATTTTAATTATCGCATACCCTGTTTGCCTTTCTTTTCTACTTTCTCATTTTTGGATACCTGACTCCACCAGTATTACGTCGGTTTTTCTTTCCAAAAAAAAATGCTGGTGGTGGTCCTTTACGACCTCTTAATGACCGGATGTTCTACGCCTCCTCCCTTTTGTTGCATTCTCCTTTTCTATCGACTGGTTCTATGGAGAAGCTATACAATATTCATTTCCTCCCTTTTCATGTAGAGCTATTGTTATGAGATGATGAATCTGTCCGTGTATACTTTCCATTCTATTTTTGGGTTTAAGGGGTGTGATAGTGGGGTGACTAAAAGAACATCAACAACTAAAAAGTATCAACAAAAGATTAACAACATTCTTGAATCTACCCCGTAGTGTTATTAAATTACTCTTCCCAAGTTATCATAGACACATGACGGCTTAGATAATCTGCAGGGCTCGGATCGACAGGTCCCGTGCTTTCCCCACGTGACAGCGATGACGAGGGTCACGAGAAGGCTGGTCGATCCCGGTCTCCTCGGTGCTTTCTGACTCCTTCTTCTCCCAGCCATTGGTTGTGCCGGTGTCGTGCCTTTGAATTCGCACGTTGCTGACCTCAATGGATTCAAGATCTCTCTGCAGATGCTGAAATCCACATTACTGAGTTGCCGTCTCCCACTTTAGCTTCTCAGCACCCGCTTCTGCGGGGTCAACGACCAGTCACCACTACCGTTCCCCTACATACCTCCGGCCAACATGGACGTGCGCAAGAAGAAGAGAAAGGTCCTCCTGATGGGCAAGAGCGGCTCGGGGAAATCTTCTATGCGCTCAATCATCTTCAGCAATTATGTCGCCAAAGATGTCCGCCGGTTGGGGGCGACAATTGATGTGGAGCACAGTCATGTTAAGTTCATGGGAAACCTCACGCTGAACCTGTGGGATTGCGGAGGGTAAGCTCTTCTTTGCTTTTCTTATGTATATTCTGAACACCCTCTCGTTCGGGGAAACTGACGTTGTCAATTTTCCGTATACAGACAAGATGCCTTCATGGAGACTTATCTCGCTTCTCAACGAGGTAACATCTTCTCCGACGTTGCGGTGCTCATCTACGTTTTCGACATCGAATCGCGCGAGGTCGAACGGGATCTTGACACCTACAATGCCATCATCAACGCTCTGAAAGAGTTCAGTCCGAATGCCTACGTCTTCTGTCTCGTCCACAAGCTCGACCTCATCCAGGCCGAGCACCGTCAACGCATCTACGAGGAACGCTCCGCCCTCATCCGCAGCCGCTCCGAGCACTTCTCCATCGACACCTTCGGCAGCAGTATCTGGGACCAATCGCTCTACAAAGCCTGGGCCGGTATTGTCCACCGCCTCATCCCCAATCTCACTGTCATTGAGCGCTTCCTGCACGCCTTCGCCAAACGCATCAATGCCGAAGAGGTCATTCTCTTCGAGCGCTCCACCTTCCTCACCGTCACCTCAGTGGCCTCCGAAGTCGGCGACCTCAATCCCATCTACGACCGCCACGAGCGACTCTCCAACATCATGAAGGCTTTCAAGCATTGCGCCGCCCGCAATACCCATACCACTCCGGCGTCGGCCGGGTTCGTCGTCATGCACACGAAAACGCCGCAGTTCAACGTCTTCCTCGGCCGCTTCACCGACAACACGTACATCTTCATGGTGGTTCCGCCTGGCGAAGCTGCATACAACTGCGCCGTCATGAATACCATGCTAGCCCGCGAGGGTTTTTCCAAAGCTGCAGCTACCGGCCAGGGCGATGGATTCCCTCTCCCGGCGCCAGATTCGCCAGACGGCGAAACCACCCTCAACTCCCACGGTTGATATAAATTATCCACCATACATCAATCAGGATGAACCTGGAAGGGTCGAGACTCAAGGAGTCAAATGAACAAAACAAAATCATCCCCACCCTAACAATTGAACTTTTTCATACCATGTCATTACCACATCACCCACCATCTATCCCTCCTATCTACCACCAACACTTTCAAAGTGCCAGTTATCTGCGAGGACATCTAGCGAAAAATTCGGCGTTTTTGTTCATTCGGTTCACTGTATGCCATAATCCGTGCATAGTTTTTTTTTTTTTTTTTTTTTTTTTTTTTTTCTCTCGGTCCAAGACATAATGTAACATGTTTTCAGTCCTTTCTTCTTTCTTTCTTCCTTCCTTCCTTCCTTCCTTCCTTCCTTCCTTTCTTCCTGGTCCTTCCCTTCTCCTTTCTTATTCTTTCCTATCCTTTCATACCTTTATTTATCTTGAGATACCCACGTGTGTTTTTCTGTCTACTACCTACCTACCTACCTACCTCCATACATACACACGTACATGCATACATTCATCCCATCTACCCACCTGGATCTACTTGATGACATATCGTGTATTGCTTATCTATCTATATGTCTATCTACCAGGATAAGCGTATCAAAGATAGCATAGTCAGCCAATGAAAGGAAAAGAAGGCACCGAAACTTTACAAAGGATATCGCCACTGCGGGACGGCTCTTGGTCCCATTCAATCAACCATACGACTCATACCTACCTGCCAGATACTGGGTAGAAAAAGGTGTTGGGAGTGGAAGAGAACACATTGAAGAAATATAGATCGGACTGGTCGGGCGAGAGGCAGAAATAAACCCTTTGCTGCTCCAACAGCAGCAATAAGAAGGCAAGGGAAGAGGAACGCGTGAGAATGGAAGAAAGGGATTCAGGATAGGACAAATGAATATTGACATACGAAGTTATCAATCAAAAATGTCAATCTACCTTCCAGATAGATATGGAGATACCTTAGGAAATACATTCTGTACAGGACAATTGTTCATAGAACGCAGATGAGGCACTGGACGGCTGATTAATTCCATAGCAGAGAAAAAAAAAATCTAGGTAATTGAGCTACATAAGAAAGAGAGAAACAAGAAGAAGAAAAAGACGACGCTTTACATCATTGTACATCTGGCATACGAACGGCAATGTCGCCCGATTGAGTGATATAACGAACCCAGGGGAGAGAGGGGTATTGGAGCTAGATTGAAAAACGGTGGGTCAGTTAAGTGGTTCATAATAGAGGGAAAGTTCGAGAAAGACATACCTTGGGTTCTGTGATCTTCAAATACCGTACTTGGATACCACTCGTTGTGAAATAGGGGATCTCGAATTTGACGTTGATGGGTCTCTTCGCTTTGCCAGATCCAGTGCCTCCCATGCTACCTCCGAATCCACCGGTCATACCACCGCCGTGTTCGTCGTCGCCCTTAACGGAGGGAAGGCCGAGCTCGGCGCGCATGAGGAACTCCTTGCCGCCGCCAAATTGCTTGATCTTCCAGACGATAGCGGATTGTTCAGGGGCATAATGGACGGTTCCGATGTTGGTTCGGAAACGGGGCGAGTCGGCGTCTTCGGGGACGGGAACGATGATTTCGACGTTGTTGGCCGTGCTGCGACGTTTGAACTGTGCCTTCGCCTGTTGGTAGAGAAAATGTGTTAGGCGCGAGACGTTCCAATAAATCTTGTTTGAGGAAAAGAGGCCGGGGCAGTTTACCTTCAACATGTATTCAACGCGGGAACCGGAGTGAGACTCGACGAGACACTCTACCCAGATCAACGGCTTCACCTGTGTGTTCAACCGATAGCTCATGAGCTCGAATTCACCGTCCGGCGGGATGAAGCTGATCGTTCGGTCATTCTCGAATCGAGAAAGTCGAACACACTGGTGGAACTTCACGTCCTCCATCTCGATCGCCTTGCCTCGCGTAGCGCGGCCGGTCGTTTCAAACATGACTTTGTCGTTCAACCCCAGACGAAGTTCGGGCATACCACTTAGGTAACACTTCATCTTGACGGCACCCAGAATCTCTGATCGAAGAACATTTCCCGAGGCCGATACGAGCAGGTTCAGCGATTCGACAACGTCCAGGAAGACCTCGTTCTTGCGGTAGCGGATACCCTCACTTCGCCAGGAGACTGCATTGGTGACAGCGATGGGAGGTCGGGCTTGAACCTCGAGCTTATGCGACTCTTGCGTGATGTACCTAGTTGAGCGCTGATGTCAGCCTCCGCCGCCCTTCTGTCGCCCAACCTTCTGATTCCAGTGGGCGTCTTACTCTTGCAATATCTTGCTCTCCGTTGTTTGTGGGTACCCGAAATCCATCATCTCGTCGAGCAATTCGTAGATAATGACGAAGTTGTCGCGAATACTCTCCTCCTCCAACACCTTGAAATATTCCGTGAAGACCTCCACGAGCTTGTGAAGGAAGAGAAGGATCTCGGTCGCATTGGTGTTTTTCTTGGTCAACGCGAGGATATAGAGGTTACTGTGGCGGATGTAGAGGTACTATAAAAAAAGGGCCCCATTGAGGATCAGCACGCGCACAACGAAAATTCCTTCGTGCGAACATTCCCCTCCTTATATTCAAAAGTAAACCAATCTCAAGCGTAGTATCCAAAGGGCACATAGGGGGGGGTAGAAAAAGCGATTCGGGCTGCGGGGAGCGGCTAGGCGGGGACGAGGAAGGTAGAACAAGCAAGTATGCAGGTCGCGGAGGGCCAACGTACATTAATGCCCTCGTGGGAGAAACAGGGCGGCACGGCGGAACTTTCTTCTTCGGCGTCACTGAGGAGCATAGGGAACTTTTCGACAGCGGACATGGGGATGTCTCCGCGGTAGTTTCGGGCCAGAAGGGTCTATTCTGGCTGGTCAGCGGCCAGGGGAATTGCGGTGGAAATTACTTGACGTCGGGCGGACGGGCACCAACGTACCTTGCCCTTCAGGTCGAGGAAGAAGAGGGCGGAGGCCATCGCGGGAGATTGAGGAGGGTGACAGCGCGAGGAGGGACGAGGATGTAGAATCGGTCGGCGGGAAAGCAGGTGCGTAGTGTCAATTGTACGGTAGCAACGGGGACGGGCTCCTGGGCGAGATTGGACTGGGACGGGGAGAGGCCAACGAAACACACTAGTCGGACATGCTGCTCGTGGGGTGGGAGAAGGAAAGGAGCTGCACCCTGCGCATTAGTTTTCAGTCCCGCACGATAGGGTCCGACAAAACAAGCATAACTTACGGAGAGGAGCCGGGCAAATGATGCGCACAAGACCCAGACGGATGGAAGAGCAGCGCAGATGGAATCGAAGAAGAAGAGAAGAAGAAGCCCGTCGTACTTCCTTTGGTGTCGCCGCAAGTCACTATCTTTCCTATTCCGGTTAGCTCGGGAGATGGTGCCGCCATCCCCGATAAGGTCTAGCGCCCTTGACCGGACCATATTTATTTCTGCTTTTTTTTTCGCTTCTGCCCTTCCTTTCTTTTTCTTCTCCCACGCTCCCAATAGACAGTGCAAGCCAGTATCTGGATTCGTCGGACTTTCTGTCTGATCGTCTCTATTTTCTATTACTGTGAACTTGCGATACAGAGGTGCGGAGACTATGCATCTTAACGAGGGTTCCATAAGAGCTGGCCGGGTATTTTGCACTGTTACCCGGGCGGTGTCAGAGGAACCGTACATCCTTCTATATAGATCAATTCATTTTTATCTTGATATGTATATCTTTAATTGGCAATAAGCCTTTCAGGTGGTATTTGCAGTCAATATATAGCACAGATCGTTGTAAAAGTACATGTACGGTGGATGAAAAGAGAGAAGCCCCCAAGGCATACAAAGAATAACATCCAAGACAAAAAAAGAGGAAAAGGAAATAACGCCTTGCAAATGCTCCCGCGGCCATTTCCCAATAATCACACTCCATCTTAAGCCGTGGTATTAAATCCCAGCGGTGCCAGTATCCGCTCCCGAGCCACCTGGTTGGCAACGTGCCCGCCTTTCTCCAGGGACACGGCCCCAACGACGGCGTACATGGTGTGGGCAAGGACGAGGTCGATGCCAGAGGTCTGGAGATTGTTGGGCTAGAGAGAAGAGGGCAAATCTGTTAGCACGGAATGTGCGGCTGGGGATCCTAGGATAAACCCAGGGAAGAAAACTACAAAACAATGTTTGCAGCAATCAGAGGTTTCTCACCTTTCGGGGACTCCATCTCAGGACCTTGTCCATCTCATATTTCCGCGCGAGCTCCGCAATATTCGTCTTCGACGTCAGGAAGTTCTTGGTGTTGAGGGAAAGGTTGTCCAGGCCTTCCAATGCGGGATGGGAAAAGGGTTTTCGGCCAGGAGCATCTTCTTTAGCAGAGGCAGCATTTCCGGGGCTCTGCGCCAAAGCCAAAGAAGCTTGCAGCTGAATAAGTCGTTTCCCTAGTGAAACCCAATGCCTCGATTAGTTCCCATTGAAGTTGAGTCTGAGGTCCCTGCGGACCGCTGCTTGGGCCCGAGAGGTATGCCACGTACCCAGAAAAGCCAATCGATCGTTGAAGCCTCGTCGACCCTGATCGAAACTCTTATGTGTCACAGCGAGCCATTTGATCTCGTCGGAGAGGATCTTCTCGCCGTCATTGCCCAGCATGCGGATGTAGAATTGATCAAGCACCTTCGGATCGGAATTGACGACGAAGTCGGGCCTCTTGGAGTCAATCCGCAAGCTAAAGGGAGCCGCCGCCCGAGGCGGAGTGTAGGACCATCGAGGCTTGTCTGCAAGGTCGGTGGGTGTTTGCTCGGCGGACGTCGACAGTCCACGCTGGGGGAGAAGACCGGGTCTGGCGAAAGAGCGGCAGGCAGAGCAGGAGACCGTTCTGGCCGCTCGGGTCGAAAGCATCGAAGCCATGGTGTGTATGCAGGAGGAAAGCGAGAAGCCGCAGGAGGGGAAGAGAAAATGAGGGTGTCAAATCGCCAGTCCGGGGCTTTTTTCACGACGGCCGCGGGTGGAATTGAAGATGGATGGATTTGGGAAGATTTCGGAGATGCGGCGCTAGTCCCGATCGGGCCGTAGCGCAGTCCGGCACATCGGCCTGCCTCAGGAACCAAGGCTGCCACCGTACTCCGTATATTCTATCGGGTTGGCTTCAAGGACCTACGAACTACATGGTGCCCTCCACGCTGCTCTTACCCTTTCGGCGAGTTTACGGACTTGATACTGTGTGAATATTTACTATTTGCTTTGCCGTATTGATAGCCTGTGATTTTTATACTGTTGAGGCCTCTGAGAGACCGGATAAAACGCTGTCTAGACGTTTGCCCCGAAGTAAACGGCTGGGGTTTTCCGTGGGTAGACACAGCCGCCTTCCAATCAAGCCGCGGACAGTTTGCTAGACTGACTGAACATTTTTCTGTATCCGGGCTATTCGGAGCCTTGTGAATTGCATGTTTGGTTCTTTGAAACCCGGGGAGGGGGTTTGTACGACTAAGAACGTTAAGAGCATGGGACATCTTACCAAGGCGGAAAAAGAAATGGGAATAGAAACGGCGAGAATATCTCTTGTGGGGGTATAGGACTCCACCATTATGCCGCATAGCCCATGGTTACCATAATGGCAATGACCTTGTCATTGCATGATTCTCCTTCTTCTACCCGTCTGCCGTTAACCATGTACCCTATAGGAATAGTTGCCGGCGTAGAGGACGCCGACGGTACCCGTACTGGCATTAGAGAAATTCCCGGTGTATACGTTCGAACGTTGCACCAAGGCATAGGCCAAGCCATGGGGTTTGTTCCCTTGGGACGATCAACAGCAAAACGCCATGACTTGACGGGGTATTACCCCTGCCTCACGATGATTCGGGCTGGTTTCGTTTGGTAGAAGCCACTCCGGTCAAGAAAAAAAAACTGCGGGAAATAAATGAAAAGTACAAATTTTGAAAAGGACGAAAGGAGCACAGCGCAGTAAGTACTTATCGGAAAGCTTTTCCTTTGCTAAAGGCGAATTCACCCTTCAACTTTCCGCAAACGGTCATCCGTAGACGGGCCGATGCTGAAGGGAGAAAAAGCAAAGAGAATATTCATATCCACCTTGGCGCTGTACGGGGAGAGAAGGTGCTCGGTGACAAGCAATGTCTTGCGCTGTCGAATCGAGGTCGGCAGTTGTCAGGCCATCAATCAACCGATGTCTAGATCCTTGCCACTAAATCCGGTGGTCTTTTTGGCAATTTCTGGAAGACTACTGCGCCGTTTGATCTTTGCTTAGCTGTCTGGATAGCTGCCTCCCATTTATTGTCCTTTTCTTTCCGCCTCGCGGTTAGCGATGATCCACGTGTGGCGTGCATTTTCAAATATCGTATGTCCCCAGTATTGGATTGGTCGTGCAAGGTTCCCCCTGTGTACTCTATTACCGGGCGTTGATATGTTTGCTTTTAGGCTACCGCACTGGTATCCTAGATCGGACCAGGGTTGTTTCAATGTCAAATAGCGATCAACAAGAGGAGATGAGGCTATATGTAGAAGTCAGAAAGGGGCAGACTGTGCTTATGCCATCAGGTGCGAGACATAGGCATTTGATGGAATATGAACTTACCATACTCCTGCCGCTCTTGTTTTTCGGGAACATAGGCCTCACTGTCCATTGTTTGCTTCCTAGGAATATAGTCTTTGGGTCCTCCGGCAACTAAAGCGCTCAGGGCCTACGATGTCAAACCTGTCTCCCTAGTTTGACGACAATAGGTCCACCGGGGCGCCAAACAAAAAGGAAAATGAAAAGGGAGCGGATACAGGCGGAGAGAAGGGCATCTTTGTCGTTTGCTTTGGTGCGAAATCATTACGGCTAGTAACTTCTTCGCCTCGATGTAGGTAGGCGAGCTGAGAGCCGACCAACGAGACCAACGACACGGTTTCAGCAACGCATTTTTCTGCAATGAACCGTAGAGCTTTCGTCTGAGACCCGCGGGTGTCACCTACCTACTGCAAGAGCCTGCATGTTTGAACAATTTGACTGGCCGGATAGACGGTCTGCGACTAGGCGGATGCAAAGCCGTTAGACCTATCGAGATGACCGTTTTCCACTATCCGAAGGAGCCAATATCTTTTACGGAGCGTCGACCATTGCTATTAGTACGCTGTCAGACACTTGCCCCTCAAACTTCCGTCGGGCCCTTGCAGGGGATCACGAAAATCCTTCTAGGTGTGAAAATATCTACGAAGATCACGGTTAGAAGGCCGGGAGTGTCATCTCCACACGATGCTCTCCCAGGGGATTGGACGTCTAGCGGTGTACAGCGTGTTCCAAGGTTGTTCTAGTTGTCGCTTTAAAAAGCTGGTACTAGCCCACCCATGAAGGCCATTGATTTCTTCTCCATTCTCAGGCACTCAAGTTCCTCCCCTTGATTTCAGAAAAGAACACAAGAATCCTCATCTGTCATCTTTCATCTTCCATTTCGCACGATCTACCGCACTGGTCAGCTCTCTTCAGCAAGGACGAAAGATGGCCTGGGTCCTGAGCAACATGACTAGCACCTCACACCGCTTCGAGAACGTCCTTCAAGGGAGCCATTCCAGCAGCGAACAGCTCGTTGAACTGAACTGCTCACAAGACCCACCTTCTCCAAGGCCAATTCCTCCCAACCCGCCTCCAAGCCCCGCCTAATTCCATTGAGCGGACTGGGCGCCTATTCGAAGATAGACTTGTGGAATCAGTAAGCTTCTCCGTTCGCTCTTGATTTAGGCACATCTTTCTTGGCGCAAGCATGGGGGAATCTCGCGGTTTCTCATGCCGATGCTTGATCACAGGAAATTGGAGCACGAAGGCTGACGAGTAAGCACAGATCACCCACAGATTCATCTCGACGACAATCTGTACAATTATGGGGACCATCGGAGAAACCTGTGAAAATGGACATCCTGGCCAGCAAACGGGGCCGGGCTGAGGTTGGGGTGGCGAACAGCGATTGAGGTATTGATAGAATGTTTTTTCGGCGGTAATTTGGGAGAGTTGGCGTTTGCAAGTCAAGATTGTAAACTTTCCAATTTCACATATCATAGATAGTTTTCGGTGTTAGCTAACTGGCTTCCCTTGAGCCACCGATAATCAACGAATTTGTTAATTTCTTTGCCATCTGTCGAAGCAATACTTTCAGGGCATGCTGTAATGGAACATATTGAACTGTCGACACTTTGTATGTACTCGTACCCACCTGCTTAAAAGCTGCTGCATAGCGGGACTCCCTACATCCTGCAGTCCTGCAGTTGAGTTCCAGGGACATGCAAGGATTCCCCGGCAAGATCATATTCAAAGCGAAAAGGCAAAATGGTGATCAGTTCCAAAAAGAAATGCAGTCTCAATTGACCGGTATAAAAATGATATTGCACAAAGAACATGTTTTAGAAAATCACAGAACTCAAAGGTATGGCACAGAAACAATCAGTAAAAAGCAAGGAAAAGAGCGCTAACGGCACTCAAGCCCACCACAGTCCAGCCAGACCGGATGACCTGCTGGTTGGTAATACCGCGACCAAGGTCCCAGACCAAGTGACGCACGCCGTTCATGCAGTGGAAGGTGAAAGGGAAAGCCAACGTGCCCTTGATGGCGACCTTGGCGGCGATGGGAAGAGCAGCGAAAGCGGCGACCAAAGAGGGCGATTCCAGGTGCCACCCAAGCAGCGGAGCAGCAAGATAGGCGGTCGCGAAAAGGTACAGGCCTCCCGACAAAGCGACACCGGTGACACGGTTGAAAGCACTGGCGTACCAGGTGATCTGAGGACGGTAGATAGTAAGATGGGGGGCGACGGGGCGGTTCAATCGCTGCTGAGCAAGGATCTTAGTAGGGTCGGAGGTGTTCGTGGTGGAGGCAGTGTGTCTATATGATCTCAGGTTAGCAACCATGGACAATGATAATTATATACCGGAGATATAGCGGTCCTCGTCGCCAGCATGGTTCGGGGCTTTTGACACCCGTCGTGTGCATGACGTAGCGGCGGTTTCTCGCGGAATCCCCGGTCAAACCCATGCCCAATTCTTCAACCGCGAATTCGTAGAAGCAGTAACTGACCTCGTCTGGATGTTCTTTCCGAGAGCGATGGCGGCGGGGGACGCGGAGTTCATCATGGACCACCGCATGGCGTAGGGCTGCTGGACGGCGACTGCGATAATTAGCAAGGGGGAGCAATTAAAATCAGATTATGGAAGAAGTACATACGCCGTCGCAGCGACTGTTGAGCAACTTTCTGGGAGAACATGGTGTCTGTGTGTGAGAGATGCAAGCCCGTTCAGTGATGCAGACAGCAAATCGACGAAGAAAGTCACCTTGAATTCCCGACGCTCGTAACGCTTCGGAATCACGGGACGGACAACCTCGGGCGAGCCCCCAGTCACGGGACCGGAGGCTGCGAGGCACCTCTAGTCCAATCAGAAGGGCTGCATTACCAGCCGGAAGATTCTTCTTCCATCTCCCTTCCGCTTGCCGATTTCGGGTTTTTTCTCTCTTTCTTTTTATTTGTGTCTTTCCCTTTCCTTTTTCCTTCCTTTTTCTTTCTCTCCACGGGTCTCCGCCCACGTTGTCTACCACTTCCTATGGGATGATGTTGACGTGTTTAGCAAAGCCTCACTGGTTTCGGCATTCTGTCGCGACCGCCGAGGTTTATGAGATACCGGAGAGGGACTTTCACCCGTCGTTAATCGCCCGTTCTTCTCTGTCCATGGGATTGATGGGTTTCATATCAGGGTTACATACACGTATTTGGCTTCGGATATCAATTTGTAGAATGCTTTGGCGTAGGAAACCTACCTCTGGTGACACGCAGTTTCAGGGTGTATCTGAATTCGTCCGGGTCTGGGCATGTCAAAATGCCCTGTTTGAGTTCAAGTATCAAAGGGGCGTGTTTTTCCAGGCCCTACGGCAATGGTCGACGTCTACGGATACGTCGAGTACTGTCACGCGCGGTGCCTCCGGGGACTGAGGTAATTCGGAGCTGTGACTTAATGGAAGTCATCAAATGCTCTTTATTCCTGACAGGTCCGCAGAAAATCATACCTGCGATTTCTTAAGTATCTAGTATCGGTGGCCGGTACATGAAATAGCCATCGAACTTCGGTCCGAGGAGGCAGGTACTGTACGGAGTAGAACAAACTCCGATTTAGAGCCCGACATGCTTCCCAAAACGGATATTAGGCTAATTTCATAGACTGGGCTGAGGGGGAGGGGAAAGGTTATCTTATCCATTTAACCTGGGCATCTTCTTTGTTGTTTTCCTTTTTCCCGTTTCATCTCCAGAGACCATCCATCGAGTGTGTTCCATTCTCATCGCTATCCATCTCTTACTCGTATCTAGTGACTACTCAAATCACCAGTCAACATGACTTCTCAATCCGGGCTGGATGTTCTCCGCACGAGAACCATTGTTGACTGTGATACTATGGATGAACAGGGTGCTTCCTCGTTGAATCCGGGTCGATCTGAATCAAATCCATATCCCATACTTACTATTCCTTTTCGTAGTTGCTAAAAAGCTGGGCCCATTCCAGGACTGCACTTCCAACCAAGTCAGTACTTGTAAAAGGCCGCGATGGGAATTTAGCATGATGGACTAGCGTCTAACATTGTCAGGCGATCGCATATGGCGAACTCAGCAAACCAGAGCATGCTGGTTTAATTTCTGCCTCGGTCACAGACGCAAAGGCCCTTCTCTACAGATTTCCAGGCTTAGGTGTTGAAGAGTTGGCAGTTGAGATAGCGGTATTTATCTTCCAGTCTGGGCTGTTCTCGTTGATACTCACGGCGTATGTTATAGATGGTCAAATTAGCGTTGAAAATCGCTCCTCATATTCGTGGACACGTTCATATCCAGACGAATCCGTACTACTCTTACTCGACCGAGAAGACCATTGTAAACGCTCTGAGTGAGACATCACTATGGGCTATGTATCTGATTGGGCAAATGGAAACAAACAACGCTGATCAGCGCGATGTGATTAGGGATTGTACAGCTCTTCCAGCACTTCCAGCCAGGATTCGAGCAATCTCGAATCTGCATCAAAGTTCCCAGCACATGGGAAGGCATGGTGGCCTGTCGAACCCTCGAACAGGCTGGCGTCCGAACTCTGGCCACCACACTCTTCACCATGGCACAGGCCGTTTTGGCCGCCGAAGTAGGATGCACCTATGTTGCACCCTATGTCAATCAATTGAAGGTCCACTTCGAGCCAGGGTATACCATACTGAGCTCTTCGCATGGTTGATGTTATACTTATACAAGTCCAGGTTCGCCGACCCGAACAAACTGCTTCCTCTCTGTGTCTTGATTCAGAAATACTACGAGTCCGTCCAAGCTAAGACACATGTTCTGCCCGCCAGTTTGACCTCGACGAATGAGATTTTTGCCCTCGCTGGCGTGCAGCATATTACTATTGCTCCGGGACTCCTGGAGGAGCTCTCGCAATCGAGCTCTGTCCCCAGTGTGCAGTCTTTATTCGACACGAATGTCCCGGCCATTACTCCCACATCTAACCTGTCATATGTGAATGACGAGTCGGCTTACCGGCTTGCGTTCACTCGGGACTTGCATGGAGCAAGCGAGGAGAAGCTCACTCAGGTATGTGGAGTGGAGTGTTTCTGGGTCCGCTGCTAAAAGTTATGGCATGTTAGGCTATGAATATCTTCTGCGACATGCAAGATAGGTTAGTGCAAGTTATGAAAGCAAATATTTAGTGGCAGTGTGTGCTGCCTCTCAATGGTAGTATGGGGTTTTATGGTAAGATATTTGGTCAGGTATGTGTCGGGTGTTATCACTGTGCCGTTTTTTGCCAGGACTATATATCTCGACAATGGCATCACCCAAACACATCCTGCCCATACATGATCATAGTTGAAGTATAGCCAAGACATACATAAACATCACTTTCGACTGTTTACTAAGTATCAAGCCATAATAACACCAATTAAAACAAATAGAGTATAATAGGTAGGAACTAATATATAACACAATCGGTGTATAGTGTGATCAGAACAAACTAGTGAGCTGTCTTGCAATGAATAAAGTTTGGAGATTATAGAACCAAAGTTTCTGTTTCTATTTTAAGAAAAAGGTGCTGTGGTCTAGTGGTAGGACGTCACGTTGTGGCCGTGCCAGCGCCGGTTCGATTCCGGCCAGCGCCAGCTTTTTCTGAACATCTTCCTTCACCTTTGGTGCTGTGGTCTAGTGGTAGGACGTTACGTTGTGGCCGTGCCAGCGCCGGTTCGATTCCGGCCAGCGCCAGATGTTCATTTTTTTGCCCTTCTCTTTTTCGTATTTTTGCTTCTTGAATTGTCTCTGTAGCCCTGTGTTGCCTGTTGTGAACTTGTTTTTGTGTAGCACTCTCCCACGGGCCCCGGTTGCCATGGGGAGGACGGCTATGGGGTGGAGAGCCTACCCTTATGGTTTCGACACTAACTTCTACTATCTATTCGGATGGCTACCGACCTTCGTTCAATCTGGAACTGGAACTGGAAGCGGCAGCACATCGATCGCGCACGGAAAGTGTGTGTGTGTTGGTGGGCCCGTGGGTGATCCATAGCATGACAACCTGTTTGATGTTCATCACTACTGCTTGTGGACGAAGCTGTTTTATAGAGACGAGGCGAGACTTGGCTGATGCATTCCACCTCCTCCTTTCTCCGCATGACAGGATGCCGAATTGTTATCCAACAATGCCATGACTGCAGACGTAGTGCGGAGTTCCGGGGGCTGAACGGTCTTTCTTCGGTCGTTGTTGGTTACGGAGTGAGTGGTGGCCGGCCGCTGCCATGGAGATCAATGATATCATAGGCCGATTGTGTGATGTGCGGAGAATTTACCTTGATTTCTGAACACGCCCGACCTGCCCTTTTAGGATCCATTGGTCTACTATTAGTACGGTCGAGGACGGCTTTTTCGAGAAAGAGAGGGTCTCTGGAGTATTTCAAAAATGCCTGCGGTCACCGAGTCTGTTGTGGCGGAAAAGAAAAACCGCGAGACAACCAGGCAGCAGGGAATTGATAGATATCAAGTAACAACAACTCCGATAGGCGTGTGTGTCTCAATGGTCTTGAATATGGGTACTTGGTCTCCAGTCGAAGCCCACCCACCCGAGCCTCTAGAACGTCTGGTTCGGTTCCTGAGCGGCTTCGTTGCCATCTGGTTTCTGCATGCAGGATGCTCATCCCGAGTATAATGCGATGCGATTGCAACTCCTTTCACTAAATCAATTGTTAGTGCATCTCGACAGGATAGTCGCAATTCCCGCAGCGTCCAGGCCTGGCGGAGATTTAAAATCCACTGGACGTACGCCCTTGCAGATGTACAATCAGTGATATTCCATGCCATGCAGAGATCTAGTAGACAGACGCCAACGAAGAGATAGATACGTGGTGATCAAAGACAAGAAAATGCCGGTCTTGATGCAGAGGGTTCCATGCCGCATCCGAGTCGACTACGAGGCCGATGCCAGCTCAGGTGACCGTGGCATGCAAATGTCGGGGAGCCGACAGGGAAGGCCGCGGCTGCCGAGAGTGACGGATGCGCTGGCAACAAACACCCACCCGGCTTCCATCAAATCTGCACACGCCTGTTGACTCGCATACAATGGCGAGTCTAATCATTAATCCATCAAGATTTAAACCTGTTGTAAAGAACGCCAAACTGGAAGTCCCATGACAGGCCTCGCGTCGCTCGCGACAAAGAAGGCGCGCTAAGTGTGGTAGTGTGTGAAGGTCGGTTCTCTACTCCGTACCCCCAACTCTCCATGTTCCTCCGGACTACTCCGTATGCAATCCAGATGGAATTCAATGGAGTCTGAATGGTGGACACTGAAAAATGGAGCCAGGGACCCGTCCGATACCCACGTCGACTGCACGTACCGATGACGCTGCCGAGACTTGAGCGATAGCTCCGAGCCTCAGCTGTCTCGATGCACGATGACGCTTGGGCAACTACTGTCGTACGTAGTACGCATGACTCGGGCTAGTTTCTCCTAGTATCTACAGGAAAGTTCGATAATCTCATACTAGAGTGAACCGAACCGATAAGCGGGCACCAATTTGGTGACCTTCACAGAAATCTAATATCGACTGTCGGATCCGATGCGCTTCACCGACAGTGGACAGGTCCATGGATCATTCAACGTGAAATCCAGAGCTCGAGGCGTATGATGTCAAAGGCGAGTGGCCAAGCGGCCAAGCAGCCAAGCACAGGGAAGGGAAAGGAAAAAAAGTCTTGACCAGAGTTTTCCACTTGGGTGGCGCCTTAACCTTTCCGCCGCGATGGTGCTTAGTCTAACCGCGGCTTGAAGAAGGGAAAATTTTTAGCACATCCAACATTCTATGAACCCCGGGTCGGAATTGGACTAGTCAACTATTCTAACTCGGGGTCCGAGGGAAGCAGACCGACGCATGGGAACAGAAGGAGTGGAAACGAGAACGGTCGAATGGGAAATTGCCATCCGACCGAGTTGCAATGTTGAGTGGTGAGGGTAACGCTAAGATTAAGATAGTGGCTCCCCCTCCGAGCGGATCTACCTTCTTCTTCCATCCGCAGCCATCCATGTCGCTGGGATCAACGTAAGAGTCCAGAGCGCGCTCCTTCCTTGACGTCACACCCGTTGAAGTGGACCACGCCAGTTCCAATAAGAACTCGTGGAGCTCGCGAACTGCTCAATGGGCTTGATACCGTTGAATATCGCGAACGACATGGATTTGTGAAGAACCATGAGGATAACTGGCAATAATTGATGACAATGAACACGGCATTCGTGGTTCCTGAAGGGAGTGATTAAAGAAAGGGAGGAAAGACCAGCACTGCACGTGCACACGCATACTAGTTTGCATTTTCCCTTTCCGAGTGGGTCGGACCCTCTGAGGAAGTATAGATGGGTGGACCCTCTGAAAACCGGTTTGCCAGGAATGACGAAAATTGGTCTGACCTTCGCCGACATACTTATAATGAATTGATAGAATCTTGTGAAAATTTTCTTTTTCTCTACCCCAGGTCGAGTCTTCTGTTCTTCCCCGCGCGATCATGACAGAGGCCGCGCATCACGAAGTCCACAACGCCCATCTAGCAGACGGCAACCCCGGGCGACCATCCTCCCTGTCCGAAAAGGGCAGAGAGAGTCGGCGCAGCGGTGGCTCTGATGTTCTGAATGGACCCATGGCAAAGGAAACCCTCGGCTCCCCCGACTCCAAAGATTCGTCTGGGAAACGAGAACTAAAGGAACATGAGTGCTACGACAAGCTGGGCTACTGCTGGCCCCGATGGAAGAAATGGACATACCTGGCGGCTGTTGCCTTCGTCCAGGTGTCCATGAACTTCAACACTTCCGTCTTTCCCAATGCTGTGTCACCAATTGCCGAAGCCTGGGGCATCAGCGAGCAGAAGTCCCGAGTCGGACAGATGATCTACTTGGTGACATATTCATTTGGGTGTGAACTGTGGGCGCCCTGGAGTGAGGAGTTCGGCCGTTGGCCCATCCTCCAGCTCTCGATGTTTCTCATCAACATCTGGCAACTTCCTGCTGCTCTGGCCCCGAATTGGGGCAGTATCGTCGTCGCTCGTGCACTGGTATGTTTGGACATCCCTTTCCCCCTTTCGCTTCACATTCTTCGAAAGCACCATGAACTGACACAATGTAGGGTGGAGTCTCTACCGCAGGTGGTAGTGTGACTCTCGGTCTAGTTGCCGATATTTACGAGCCTGAGACGCAACAATTCCCCCTTGCATTCATTGTCTTGTCCTCCTGCATTGGCACCAGTATTGGTGGAATCATCGGTGGACCTATCGCGCGTTGTAAGTCTCTTTTCACATGCTCAATGAATGATTGCATACTAACGCGCAAAATTCAGTCCTCGGATGGCGCTGGTTCTTCTGGATCCAGCTCATTTTCGGAGGTGTCACCCAGGCTATCATCTTCTTTATGCCCGAGAGTCGTTCCACCATCCTGATCGACCGGGAAGCCAAGCGACGCCGCAAGACGGGTGAAGACCCTAACTGCTACGGACCCAACGAGCTGAAGAAGCCCCGTGTTTCTCTCAAAGAAACCGGCGTTATCTTGCTGCGACCCTTCCACATGCTGTTCCGCGAGCCTATTGTGCTCAGTCTTTCTCTGCTCTCCGGATTCTCCGACGCTCTGATCTTTATCTTTCTGGAGAGTTTCACCCTCGTCTACGAGCAAGGTTGGGGCTTCGGGACTCTTGCCCGAGCCTGGGCCTTTATTCCTATCAACCTGGCATACGTCATTGCATATTTCTCCTACTTCCCATGGTTCTGGCGTGACCAACGCATCCGGAAGCGCGAGGGTGATGACGCCCTTCCTCCCGAGCGCCGTCTCAAATGGCTGCTGTTCCTGGCCCCCTTGGAGCCCATCGGCCTGATGGGCTTCGCTTGGACCTCGCTCGGTAACGAGTACAATGTCCACTGGATGGGCTCCATGGTCTTCTCCACTTGTGTCGGCATTGCCAACTACGCCATCTATCTGTCCTCAGTCGACTACATGATCGCTTCCTACGGAGTGTATTCGGCGTCGGCGTGTGGTGGCAATGCCTTCGCTCGAGACTTCCTGGCCGGTATCTCAGCCATGTACGCCACGCCGATGTACTCCAACATTGGTGACAAGTTCCACGTCGAGTATGCCAGTACCGTGCTGGCGTGTTTGTCCTGCCTGGTGGTCCTGCCCATCTACGTCTTCTATTGGTATGGACCGCAGGTTCGTGCCCGCAGTAAGTTTGCGCAGGCGCTTGCTGCCGAGCGAAAGGAGAACCATGGTCGGAGAGTTAGCAAGCCTAGCATCGAACCTTAGAAACGTCCTCACTTTCTTTGGCTGAAGCTTGCCTGTCTAGACCTTAATGGCCTTACCGGGCGCGGCGTGGACCGATCCTCCCGCCTGGCTAATCCATCGGCGAGGCAATGGACTTGCATCGAATTTCTCAACAGAATCACGATTTGAGGTCCCTCTTGCCCCCTCCACGATTACAGTATTATTATACTACGGAATGTCTTTGATACATTATGGAGTTCTGATCAAGGAGATGGATACCCCATGTTTGCTCGCTCCCTCGTCCTCTGTTGTTCAAGACACGACTTTGGAAGGCACAAGGGAGTTTTCTTCGACCTGGAACAAACTAGGATGTTTTGCTATGCCTTATGTTATGCATGTATATATGTTACGATAGAATGATTTTAACCATTGCACATAAAGTATTGAGTATTCGTAGCAACGTAGTCGCAAAAACATTTGTAGTTTTGATTGAATCATATTGAACTGAGAATTATTAGGAAAAAAGACAAGCAATGTGTTGATATATCAAGTACTACAAGGACTGAACCATCAGTCAGCCTGGCTTTTTGGTCTAGTTGGAAATCCGAACGATTGTCAACATTATACTCATATACCGATACCTAGATTCTCTACACAATGTGGTGTAAAAGCTGGGGGGTGAAATTGCCAAGCCCCATATGGTTCCTTTAATCCATTCGATACTATGGAAGGCCCTTTCCCTCCTACGCAACCATCTTCTAAATTCCCCCGACCCTTAATTATTCTCATACTTTCAACCGTCCCTGGTTCTTCCCCTAATTCTTACTCCGGATCTACAGTCCGAATCAAAGTGAATAACAACAACCACTAGATTTTAAGCTTATATATAAGGTTGAACCCGATCATGGTACCCTAGACAGAGGACGCAAGCCACAGACCAATCAACAGCCGAACGCATCCTGGATGTCGAAACAATCGCGAAAATCCACTTGCAGAGGGCAACCAATCGTTACGTGACTTTGGACGCGCCAGGGACGCGTGTGTGGTGAATGAGGTTGTCAATGGGTGGGACAATACTCAATTGGGCCGGTGGCAGGGTGGAAGACCGAGGTGAGGTGAGGTGGGAGGAGTGAATTACTGGGTTTAGTCTAGGCAATGCTACTATAGTATGTACTGTACCAAGTGAAGTCGAATTTTTCTTCTCTCCTCTTTTCTCTGTTCTATTCTTTTTCTTTGGAATCCAACCTTGGGCTTGGAACTGCTTGTTGTACCTTATTTGCCATTTCTCTTCCAGGAACAACCCTACCTGTCAACTACCTTCGAACGAACGCTTCTTCCCAGCTCTCCTCTCATTTTAGATTACAGAGCACCTAACTCCCTCCCCACTCATCCAATATACGTCGCAAACCTCGAAAACGCCCCGTCCCTTCTCAATCTCGCCAAATCCTCATCCCTCAAACAAACCTCCACCACGATCCCGCCCTCCCTGTCCCTCGGCATGGCATACACCAGCCCCTCGACGGGAAAAAGCCTCGGCCTGCGCACCGCCTCAGGACACCCAAGTCCAAGATGGAAGTGGAGCGCATAGAGCGCGACCTTGGACCAGGAGCTGAACATGACGTTCGTGGCTGGGTTCATGTTCGGCGCGAACGGCACCCTGCGCTTATCGGGCGTGTGGTGGAGGGTGGTTGCGAAGGTGCGTGCCGCGGTGGAGAGTTTGTTCGGGTGGATGTCTGTGCGGAGGAGGGATGCGAGGTGGCCGAGGGGGAGCTCCTGGTGGTGGAGGGGGCTTGTTGTGGGTGTTACCATCATGAGGACGCCTGGGTAGGTTTGGGGGATGGTGAGGATGGGGCGGAGGTCGACGGCGCGGAGGAGGGTGGATGAGGATGAGGAGGATAAGGAGGATAGGTAGGAGAAGGAGGAGAAGGATGGGATGCGGGGGCGACGGGCGCGGAGGATGGATTGCCAGATGAAGGCGCTGAGGGCGTCGTCGGTGGAGATGTACGAGGCGAGGAGGGACTCGTTGGTGAGGGATTTGAGGGCGGAGAGGGAGGAGGAGGAGAGGTGGAAACAGGCCCAGGTGGAGGGGGGAGTTGATGCTTGTTGATGTTCGGCTGGGGTATTAGGAGGGAATTGGCCTGGAAGGTGGGAATCGGCATCGTGATCTTCAAGAGGAGGGATGATGTTGTGACGGGGCATGTTGCCGATGGAGAGCTCCACAGGAGAGAATGGCTCGTCGCCACAGGCTTTGGAGAGCAGATGGATGAGGTGGTTCTGTCCGGTGATGTCCATTGCTCGATGCTCGCCGACAAAGGTCAGGATTAAACCACCAGGGATGAAGGTGGCTTGGACCAGGAAGACAGGACGTCCGTTGGGGAAGTCAGTATCCGCCGGCAGGGTGCTGATGGGGGCGACGAGGGATTCGTCCAGCATGCTCATGGGGAATTGGGCATCGCGCAGACTCCCCATGGACAGTGCCGAAGACCCTTCCTGGTAGTCTCTCACAACCAGGAGGGGTGGCAGTTTGGCAAACGGTTTGATCTTGCAAACCCCCGTGTTACCCTCTGTGTTGCCTTCGACTACGACCCGACCTGCCACCCAAGGAAAGCTGGCGGCCAGGCGCTCAAGGCCTTTGACGAGAGTGTCGATGATCGACGATCTGGAGGAAGCATCGGGGACGGAATAGACACTGGAGATGTTGGTATAGCTCTTGAGAGCGGGGATCTGGCCGAAGATATCAAGACGGAAGTTCGTCAGCCTGATGTCAGCGGTGATGGTTGCGTTGCTCATGGTTTCGATTAAATGACTAGCAATGGGGACTGGATGAGAGAATGCTCGCAAGAGAATGTTCAGACAGGCAGGTAGAAGATTTGAAATGGAGATAATTGTAGGATAAAGGAACCAAAGGAGCGAGAATTGGAATTTAAAGCGAGAGGTTGTACGACTCTATACAAGCGATTGGATGGCATCTTTGTGTTAGGGTTAGCAGTCGGGAACATGGGGCCTAATAATTGTGATACTTTCCTTGCGATCATAGAGAGAGTATAATTACATGATTGAACAGTCATTCAACATTTTCTATACAAGGAGAGGGTTCCATTATTTGGTGTGGTCAGGCGTCAAGGCAGGGACCATGGTTTACATATATGCCACCATAGATAAGATCTTCCGCGGGACTGCCACGGAGGACTCGTCTTAGGGGTATGCGGTAGAATCACTTCAGCAAGCGGCCAAGCCTTGGATGCCAGCAGTGGCACAAGCGAACCCAAGCCACCGTAGCAACTTAGCACACCCCTCATAATCAAACGGACTCCATGGCAGAGGCGTTCTTCAGGGCGAATTAATGTTAAAAATAAGGCCAGCCGAAACCCACCGAACAAGCAAATGGAGACGAGCGGGACCAGCCAAGAGTTGGCTGACGACAAGGCTGTACGTACCTTCGCCGGGGCAACCCCGATAGGAGAAACGCGAATTACGCCGGATGAAGGCCGTTAGCCAGGCACTCTATCCATGACTGGGCTAGGCAGGAGTATTTCCATTTTCCGTTGCGTGCGATGGGGATGTTGGTGGAGAGGAAATGAAGTGGCGGTGCGCTGCGAGACGCGAAGAGGGCGGATGGTGTGAAGGTGAGTGTGGAGTATACGTCTTCTGGAGAAGGGTTTAGACTCTTTAGAGCCTAGAATTGACCAGCCAAGCATCGGAGGAAATTTGGAATGAAACAACCATGGCTTGTGAGGGAGAATAGATTGAGGCGGAACGATCTCCGGATTGGGGAAGAAGCCCTAAGAGTCTGAAACTAAGCAGAAGTAATCGGATGGAAATTAGAGACGTGATGATTGGTCTATCTGGGTGCCTGCCAGAGTCTGAGTAATGGCAGCTTCACGATAGGATACTCCATAGAAATCTACACCGTATAAAAATTCACAATGAACAAATGATGCCATCGGAGAAAGGCGGCGGGTCGGAGCCGAACAGGTCGTCAGCGCATGTCGGGATCGCCTCTGCCGGAGTTGATTATATCATGGCTGGGATTCACCCACGAGAGCTTCAATTCCTGCTACTTTCTCACCCTCCCGTTCCCCTTCCCCTTCCCCGACTCGCTGGGAACCCAAGCATGGAATGGCCTCGTTATTATTCTGCCCCCAAGTCAGCCCAAAAGAACAGAGTGTCCCCATAATCCCGGCAGCCACTAAACTATCGATCCGCTAACTAACGAGACGTCGCCTTACGTACCCGGCCAACCTGATGCCGCTGACGCAGCCCCTGCGGTGCAGGGCCCATCCATCACAAACGCTATCACCACATTCAGTCCTCCGTCGTTCCATCTTGAAGTCTCGACAAGGGCGACCCGCGGCTTTTCCCTTTCCTCCGCCGCAGCTCCGTGTTCTGCGCACCTCGACCTCCGCCCCCCTCCGCCATCATAAGAACGGCCTTGCGCCCGCCAATGTCCGCCCCGTCATAACCACTCCTGCAACCACCACCACCCCAATCCCCTTGCCAGTAGTACTCCCCATGGCGACTACCCAAACCAGAGACCACGGTGGCCATGGTGGCCACGGCCACGGCCACCATCATCACCATCACGGAAACGTTTACCTGACCTCCACGAATACGCACGATGCCGGCGTTCGGATCACGCGACTTGGCCTGGTTGCCAATCTCGCCATGGCCATTGGCAAATTCGTGGGCGGCTACGTCTTCCATTCGCAGGCCCTGATCGCCGACGCGTACCATGCCCTCACTGACCTGGTGTCCGATTTCCTGACGTTGGGGACCGTGGCCTGGTCGCTCAAACCCCCGACCGACCGGTTCCCGAACGGCTACGGGAAGATCGAGAGCATCGGCGCGCTGGGCGTCAGTGGTTTGTTGCTTTGTGGCGGAGTCTTCATGGGCCTGCATTCCGGACAGGTCTTGCTCGATCAATTCTACCCCGAAGCCGCCCACGCAATCTCTCACCTGGGAATTGCGGGACATGGGCATTCGCACAGTCACGGAGTTGAAGTTCTCGGGCCTAGCATTCACGCCGCATGGCTGGCTGCCGGGTCCATCGTTGTGAAGGAATGGCTTTACCACGCTAGTGAGTCTTTCTCTCGTCCTTTTTTTTTTTTTTCGCTTTATTATCTGACGAATCGACTTTATCTTATTCTATTTTATTTCATTCTGGGAAAATGCTAACGAGTGAATCAATCCAATAGCCATGAAGGTTGCCAACGAACGGAAATCATCGGTCCTGGCCTCGAACGCAGTCCACCACCGCATCGACTCGCTCACGAGTATCGTTGCCTTGTTCACCATCGGCGGAACCTATTTCTTCCAAAACGCTTCTTGGCTCGACCCCGTGGGCGGGCTGCTTATCTCGCTGATGGTCATTAAAGCCGGATGGGGGAACACTGCCACCTCCCTATTAGAGTTAGCCGATACTGCCGTCGACGAGGATATCAAGGAATCCGTGTCCAAGGCGGCGTCAAAGATGCTGGTGAAAATGAAGGATGGTGACGCGATCAAGGTGCGCGATGTTCAGGGTATGAAATCGGGACAGAACTACCTGATGGACGTGGAACTGGCGGTGCCTGGCGCATGGCCGATCAGCCGTTCGCGGGAGATCGAGGAGGCGGTCCGAGCGGCCATTGGCACGGGCGTCCGCGGCGTCAAGCGAGTCAAGGTTCGCTTTGTGCCTTTGGAGTACGAGGAGTTGACCTTCTCGGAGGAATTCATTACATCCGACGCCTCGCAAGCCAACCCCGAACCCAAGGAGGAGGACGTGGAGGCGGAATGTGAAGCGCATGCCCACGAGCATGAGCATAAGCATGAACACTCCGCCCGCAAGAGACGTTAAAAATAGAGGATCCCTTCCTTTTGGTCAGGAACAGTTTTTTTTCTTATGTTTTATATCTATCTACTTTGTGGTTTGAATTCCCACCGATGTACAGGGTCTTATTCGAGGCTTCACCATGTGTTTATTGACTATTGATTTCCCACCATCGTGTATCTTCGAACCCTCCATCCACGGGATCAACCATGTGATACCCCCGGAATGGAAAGGAACTGACGAGGCTTCAGCTTGCTTGCTGGCGAGGGGACGACTAGTCCACGCTGAGCACGGGCGTTTAAGAGACGTTCCTCCGGACTCCGGACGCCGTGAAATGCGGAGAGAACGGGGACGGGCAGCGACCAAGTCTGGGGTTTGGCCACCGGAAGGCTGCTTATTGGCACGAACTACGGAGTACGGACTGTTGTTTCATGTACATATACATAGATAACAACTAGACAGACAGCAGTCATCTGAGCATCGCAAACAGCCGAGACCGTCTGCCAAGCATGGAACTATGATCTTCGACATTAGTCTGGTGATGCCTGTCGACATCGGCCTAGAATAATTTTAGCGGCCGTCGCCGTTGGTTGTGCAGACTTCTAGAAGGCGCTCGGGGGTTGTTGCCCTCCTGACGATGCATTCGATGCATTATTGCGAGTTCTAGACCCTCCTGGTTGACCTGCTGGTAAAAAGGAAGATTAACCGGGTAAATTCCCGGCGGCGGGGGGATCCGCCCGGTTAGTCATCCGTAATTGACGGTATTTGACGTATGAAATGTGTAATTGGGGTCTTCCTGGGGCGGCTTACTGTGTATGGTATTACCAACTAGCTGACATCACCGCGCTGTCATCCTCTTCTTTTCTAAGTATTTCACGATGTCTTGGGTGCAGCACTAGGATTAAGAAATTTTCAAAAAGACTTTCGGTAATTTAGCTATCATGCCTAAGACGCCATTTCCAATCGTTTTTCTATCTATCAACTTTTATTTCCCGAGCCCAGGGAGAAATAACCTCTCGGTGTACACCGCAGTACTCCGTAGGGGCAAAGGATGACAATCCCACCCCAATTGTATAAATTCTGGACCTCCGTAGCGGTGGAACCTTTGCTTCCATTATTTCTTTTAACTTCAGTCTAATTCCGGTTCGGAAACTGGTGGTTCTTAACTTCTTACTTCATCCCACCCCGTCCTCTTCCCCCTTAAGTCCGTCTTCCTCCCACTTCTTCCTCCCACCCAGCTCTTATCAGTATACCACCTTATCGACGTCATTCCAATTGTTTCTCGCCACCACCACGAAACATCCCATCTTCGCCCTGCGACCATGCAAGGCCCCTTGTACATTGGGTTCGATCTCTCGACCCAGCAACTGAAAGGCCTGGTGGTCAATTCCGACCTGAAGGTCGTCTACGTGTCGAAATTCGACTTCGACGCCGACTCCCGCGGCTTTCCCATCAAGAAGGGCGTTCTGACCAACGAGGCCGAACACGAGGTCTTTGCACCCGTGGCGCTATGGCTCCAGGCGTTGGACGGCGTGCTGGAAGGGCTGCGCAAGCAGGGACTCGACTTCAGTCGCGTCAAGGGCATTAGCGGCGCCGGCCAGCAGCACGGCAGCGTCTACTGGGGGGACAACGCCGAGGTGTTGCTCAAGACCCTAGACGCGAACAAGTCGCTGGAGGAGCAGCTGAGTGGAGCCTTCTCGCACCCGTATAGCCCCAATTGGCAGGATTCGAGCACCCAGAAGGAATGTGACGAGTTCGATGCCTACCTGGGCGGCCAAGAGCAATTGGCGGATGCAACGGGAAGTAAGGCTCATCATGTACGTCCTACCCCCCCCCCTTTTCACCTATTCCCCTTTTTGGTTTGGTGATTTGTTTCTCGTAATACTGGCGGTGTGCGGAGCACTCTGGGATTTTGGACCCCTTTGGCTAACAAAGTGGGGTGGCGAAACTCTAGAGATTCACAGGTCCCCAGATTCTCCGCTTCCAGCGAAAATACCCCGACGTGTACAAGCGAACGGGGCGCATTTCGCTGGTCTCTTCCTTCTTGGCATCCTTGCTGCTGGGCCGCATTGCCCCGTTGGATATCTCGGATGCCTGTGGTATGAACCTATGGAATATTCAAAAGGCCGCATATGATGATCGGCTGCTGAAGCTGTGCTCCGGTCCCTTTGGCGTGGAGGACCTGAAGCGGAAACTGGGCGACGTGCCCGAGGACGGAGGCATCCGTCTGGGTAAAATCGACCGGTACTTTGTCGAGCGATATGGGTTCGCTCTGGACTGTACCGTGGTCCCGTCGACCGGTGACAACCCGGCCACGATCCTGGCCTTGCCCCTGAGACCGTCGGACGCGATGGTCTCCCTGGGAACTTCGACTACGTTCCTCATGTCGACTCCCAGCTACAAGCCCGACCCGGCGACGCATTTCTTCGACCATCCGACCACGCCGGGTCTCTACATGTTCATGCTGTGCTATAAGAACGGCGGTCTGGCGCGTGAGCTGGTCCGCGATGCGATCAACGAGAAGTTGGGCGGCAGCGCTGCCGATTCGTGGGCGAACTTTGACAAGTACACCCTGCAGACCGCTCCGTTGGGTCAGAAATCCGCCTCCGACCCCTTGAAACTGGGCCTCTTCTTCCCTCGACCGGAGATTGTCCCCAACATCCACAAGGGACAGTGGCGCTACACCTACGATCCCAAGGACGGTAGCCTTCGCGAGTCTAGCAGCGAGTGGGACGTGCCGCTGGACGAGGCGCGCGCGATTGTCGAAAGTCAATTGCTCTCCCTGCGGCTGCGGTCCCGCGGTCTCACGCAGAGCCCCGGCGAAGGCATCCCCGCTCAACCCCGACGAGTGTACTTGGTCGGAGGCGGATCCAAGAACAAAGCGATCGCCAAGCTGGCCGGGGAGATTCTCGGCGGCAGCGAGGGCGTCTACAAGCTGGAGATCGGAGACAACGCCTGTGCGCTGGGCGCGGCGTACAAGGCTGTTTGGGCGATTGAAAGATCGCGCGGACAGACCTTTGAAGATCTGATCGGCCAGCGATGGAGGGAAGAGGACTTCATCGAGAAGATTGCCGAGGGGTACCAGGAGGGCGTGTTCGAACAGTACGGCAAGGCTGTCGAGGGATTCGAAAAGATGGAAGCCCAGGTCCTGAAGGAAGAGGCAGGCCGCAAACGGTGAAGAGCATGAAAGGTATGGGCTATGAATAAATCTACGATCTGAGCCAGTTTTTTCAATTTTTATTTTTTAATGAACGTTTGTGTGTATAGGATGGGATGTATTTAGTTCCGGTAGAATCAACTGATGTCATTTTTTGTTATTGTTACTCCTGCCTGCCTAAGAGGGGTGCCTGAATCTGCCGGCAGAAAGATGGACGCCTTACCCCATTTAGGCATCGGCCACCTGCCGCACTTTCCAAGCTTGGCCCTCTTTGTTCCTCGCTTTTCTTCTTTTCTTTTCTGTCTCGTCGGATGGCATTCGGCTGCTTCTCTTCCTCGACCTGTTCTCAACTTCAAAAATATCACTCCCATTTTGTATCTTATTGCGCATCTGTCATCGGTCTCGTGAGTAACATCATCGGGGCACGTTCCTGATCCACCGACAGAATTTTTTAATTTTATTTTTTTGCCATCTTATTTTACCCGAGCGACTGGGTCTGACTAGTTCCTCTTCTTAGGCAAAGCCCCGAAACACCGCCCGTCTATTGCTCCAACGAACTAGCCATGTTTCGATAAACGTCTGATTGAGATGATTCTCCGCCGCCCTTGATTTTTGAACCCAACAACATCGATCTTACCCTTTGCAGCTATCCCCTCTCCTCTCTCCTCCCCCCCCTCCATTCTGACTTGCTTTCTGAGTCCTACCCTGACTCCGAAGGCAGCTCGGCTGGTCGAAGATGGAAGAACAGGTAAGAGTCATAGTGTGTGTTTAAAAATGCTAAGAAAAAATATGATGCAAGAAAAAAAAGAAATCCACCCCCACCATTGATCCTCCCCCCCCCCTTCCCCTCGTGCTTGCCCCTCCTTCCAGTCTACCTAGCAATCGCCTCAAAACAAAATTAAGATTGATTGAGTATTACTCGGTTCCTGACGTGGATGTTCTCTTCTCTCAGGTAGCAAATGCCATAGAAATCGCCTGGAACCATTCCTCAGACCAAGCCCTCAAGGCCCAAGCTATCGAATATGTGAACCAACTCCGCACCGACCCCTCGGGATGGCAGGCCTGCCTCAACCTCTTCACCAAGTCTCCGCCGCAGTCTGAAATCGTACGCTTCGTGGCTCTGGAAGTCGTCAACAGTGCTGCCCAGGGCGGTCTGATTGACCCCCAGTCCTTAGTCTACGTGCGGGACGGCTTGCTGTTGTACCTCCGCCAGGTGTACGGACAAGAAAATGCAACCCCCGACCTTCCCAATATCCAGAACAAGATCGCCCAGACTGTGACGTTCCTCTTCTCGGCGCTGTATGGGAACGGGTGGGAGTCGTTCTTCGACGACCTCCTCGCCCTGACACAGAAGAGCCCCGCCAGCACGACACGCGACAACCCGCTGGGAATCGTCTTCTACCTTCGCGTGATCAACTCCATTCACGATGAGATCGGTGACGTCTTGGTGTCCCGATCCCGCCACGAGCAGGATAAGGCCAATTCGTTGAAGGACTTGATTCGTGTCCAAGACATGCAGAAGATCGCCAACTCATGGCAAGAAATCTTGTCGGAGTGGCGGGACGGGAACGACTTGATCGTCGAGATGGCGCTGAAGGCGGTTGGCAGCTGGGTCAGCTGGATTGACATCGGCCTCGTGGTGAACCAGACCATGCTGGACTTGCTGTTCCAGCAGCTGGGCCGGGCGCAGAAGGCGGAGCTGCGAGACGGCGAGGAGAAGGTGCGAGATGCGGCGGTGGACGTCTTTACGGAGATCATCGGCAAGAAGATGAAGCCGGAGGACAAGATTGATATGATCATATTCTTGAATCTCGACACTATTGTTTCCCAACTCTCGAATAGCCCCCCTCTCTACGACAATAGGTTCACGTTCAAGTACGACACCGATCTCGCGGAAACCGTTGCCAAGCTCGTCAACATCAGCGTCGTGGATATCGTGCGGGCTTTGGAACAGGATACGGTCAGCGCCGGTTGTCGGGAGAAGGCTACCGGCCTGTTGCAGGCCTTCCTGCCGCACATCCTGAGATACTTTTCCGACGAGTACGACGAAGTCTGCTCCACCATCATCCCGTCCGTGAGCGACCTTCTGTCGTACCTGCGCAGGATCGCCAAGACCAACCCTGCCCTGGCTGCGCAGCACTCTTCGATCCTCCTCCCCATCCTGAAAGCGATCATTGCGAAGATGCGATACGACGAGACTTCCTCGTGGGGTGACGAGGACGACCAGGAAGACGAGGCGGAATTCCAGGATCTCCGCAAGAGACTGGGCGTACTTCAGCAGATCATCGCCACCGTGAACGAGCCGCTTTATATCGACGCGGTCTCTGAGGTTGTGGCCACGACGTTCGAGAATCTGCGCCAATCGGGCACCCAGCTTGACTGGCGGGATCTGGATCTTGCCTTGCATGAAATGTTCCTCTTCGGAGATATTGCTGTCAAGGCCGGCAGTCTCTATATCAAGGGCGCTCCCCACAATCCTGCTGCGGAGCGATTGATTGAAATGATGTTGAGGATGGTCGAGTCCGGTAGGTGGCAGCCGTTGTTTTTCTATTGACATGGAGAAATGCTGACACATACAGATATTCGGTCATTTACCCACCCCGCAACGCAGTTGCAGTATATGGAAATCTGCGTCCGCTATAGCTCGTTCTTCCAGTATCATTCCCACCTTATCCCGGGCGTTCTGGAAAGCTTCCTCCAACTCGTGCACCACCCGATTAAGAAGGTGAAGACGCGGTCCTGGTACCTGTTCCAGCGCCTGGTGAAGCAGCTGAGGGCCAACCTTGGCAACGTGGCGCAAACCGTTGTGGAGGCCCTGGGCGATTTGCTGGTTATCCAAGCCGAGGTATCTACAGATGGATCGGATGGCGACGAAATGTCTTCGGAGGACCACGAGGGCTCCGCCGACGCCGTCTTCAATAGCCAGCTGTACCTGTTCGAGGCGGTTGGCATCATCTGCTCGACCCCCGCCGTTCCAGCGGATCAGCAGGTTCTCTACGCGCAATCCGTGATGACCCCCGTGTTTCTCGACATGCAAAAGAACCTCGGCCCTGCCAAGTCGAACGACGAGCGAGCTTTGCTCCAGATCCACCACGACATCATGGCACTGGGGACTCTGGCCCGCGGATTCTCGGACTGGATGCCGGGTACGTCTACGCCCTCTGCCCTGCCAGCTGTCGAGGTTTCGGAAGCCTTTGTCCAGGTGTCCGAAGCCACGCTCGTCTCGTTGGAGTCTTTGAAGACGTCGTTCAATATCCGAACGGCTGCCCGGTTCGCCTTCTCCCGGTTGATCGGCGTTCTGGGCGCCCGGATCCTCCCGCAGTTGCCGCAGTGGATCGATGGCTTGCTCACTCAGACCTCCTCCCGCGACGAGATGGCCCTCTTCTTGCGTCTTCTGGATCAGGTCATCTTCGGATTCAAGGGTGAGATCTATAACATCCTTGATACTCTTTTGACACCGTTTTTGCAACGAGTATTCTCTGGCATTGCCGATCCTACTACCGGTACCGACGACGAAATTCAATTGGCGGAGTTGAAACGAGAATACCTGAACTTCTTGCTGGCGGTCTTAAACAACGATTTGGGTGCTGTGATTATCAGCGAGAGTACGTTTTATGATAGAATTCCGAGCCTGAGTTCTAGGGCTAACTACCTGCAGGAAACCAACCTATGTTTGATACCGTGATCACCACCATCGAACATTTCGCCAAGGATGTCGAGGACTTTACGACTGCCAAGATGGCCTTCTCGCTACTCTCCAAGATGGGTAGCTCCTGGGGTGGACCGGATCTCACCCCCGACGGCGCCAACGGGACCTCGGCGCAGCAGGTTGCCCTGCCTGGATTCGGACAGTTCATGATCACGCGCATGTCGCCACTCTGCTGGGCTCTTCCGGCCACTCCGTCCTTCAACGCTAAGGACGCGCAGGCCAAGCAGGTTCTTGCCGAAGCGGGTGGGCTGCAGCGTACGATCTACTGTAAGACGGGTATGGAGTATATTGAATATCTGCGGGATCGCGAGCTTCCCGGCATGGGGATGGGGGCAGATCTTGTGGAAGAATTTTTGGGTGCACTGAGCCGGTTGGACACGAGGGGATTCCGGCAATTCTTCCCGGTAAGTTTGCTTACATTGGACTGGCGGGAATTTGAAGGTCCTCAGCTAACCTTTCTCCGTGCAGACCTTTATCCAGCGTTTGAGCGCATGAAACTACCATCTTTTTTGACAGTCTTCATTGTTTACACTTCATACATTATCATGACATCTCTTTTTTTCCAACACGCCTCCCTATGCTCCTCGACCATTACTCGCAGTTTTCCCTTCTTAGATATCCCCCCACGGTTTGGTTTGATGACTGATGTCCTCGCGTGCTCCATTACTCTGACAGCTGTGTCTCCGTGGACACTGTCTTCCTGTCTATCTGTTGAATATCACCAAGAACAAAAAAAAAAAAAAAAAAAAAAGGCAAAAGAATGCGAAACACAAAAAGAAAAGAATAAAGACAAAGTATATAGTTTGCGAGGTATTCTGCATGATCAGGCGTTGATTTTTCCTTCTTCTCTCGGAACATAGTGTCCATCTCATCAGCTATGCATCCTCTTGGAATTACTCATTAAGTAGCGCGATGTAAGAGCGCAGCGGAGAGAATCAAAAATAAAAGCACAGCGATGATCGTTTTTATAATAGGCTTTATTGCGGTTTTTTGAGCAGGTGGAAATACGATGGCGGAAATTGAACTAGTTAGCAGAACTAGGGACTCTTGTAAAGTCTCTAGTCTTGGTCGAGGGACATGAGAGCGCGAGAGATGGATGTGATTTCTTTTCTTCTTCTTTTCGACATTTTTCTATTCTTTTTTTTTATCCTTCTTGGGATTGGTTTGGCGGTGATGATGACGATAGGTACCTATTGATATTGATTGGATGAACATACTCGCTTTTAGAAATCGATTTCTTCGTGATTTTAAATCTGTGGATGGGTTGGTTCTTCTGTATGATTGAAGTATGGTATATGGTATGCTGGAATATAGTAGGTTATAGATAGATCCTCATCCTCCCCCATCTCCCCCTCCGCCGCCTCCTCCATCCCCTCCCCCACTGCTTCCACCACCATCTCCTCCGCTACTAGAACCGCCTCCTCCGCCGCCTCCTCCGCTATAACCACCACCGCCGCCATCACCCCATCCTCCTCCACCGCCAGACCCAGATCCATCACCACTCGGCATACTCGAACTGCCGCATCCACTCGCACAATTCACCCCCGGATCCATCGCCGGATCATATGCTTTCTCTCCACCAAATTGACCTATACCCGTCAACCCAACTATGCTCCCGAACTGCGCATCCACGCACTCGCTTCTTCCATCCACCCCAGCAGATCCAGACCCAGGTGTATACGACGCATTGTAAAAGATCTGAAATTTCCCTGTGAAGCGCGTACTATCCTCTCCTTCAAACCCTTTACAGGATCGATCCCCTGACCCCGCCCAGTTCTTCTTTTTCAGCGTCCTTGACGACCATCCTTGTGTCTGTATCTTACCACTAGAACCAGACTTAGTGTTCGTGTAAAACCTCCCCCTGACCTCCCTCCCTAAAACATCCTCCATCTTCATCCTTTCTCCTCTTAAGGCTTCATATTCGCTTCGTTGCTCATGTAGTGGTTTTACCGCCTACGCAGATAGGAAGTAATGTGCGTTTGTGCCGCACTCGAAGTAATGGCTATTCGGTTGGGCGCGGTGGATTCCGCCTGTTTGACTGTGGACATGGCAGGGAGGGTGGAGGAGGATGGGTTGGGTATCCAAGTGGTGGATTTCCGGAAGGAGAGAGATTGTGCCATGCTACTTGCTGTTCGTGCGAGGATCCATGAGGCGTGCAGGATAGACAGGCGGTTTTGGATCCATTCTTCGTGGATTTGGGGGACTGAGTTTGGAGACGGATCTGGATCCGCATCTAATCCTGATGGTTGAATCTGTGCGTGAATCGCCCTCCGCAATGAAAGGTGATTATAGTCTCCGCCCTGCAAGAACGGGTAAAGATGTTTCTCTCTGCCCAAGTGCAAAGAAACGAGCGACCAGGAGTCGAACGGAAAAGCCCAGACGTGTGTGCTTAGGGTGCACTCTCCGCATGCCATCGGGCATCGGGCGTATCCTTCTGTGCAGTCCCATGGGAAGAGCAGTTGGTGGGGGTATAGGGGTCGAGGGAAGGAGGCCCAGTCGGTGAAGTAGTGGGTTAGGGAGTCGATGAGGTCGGAGGAGGGAGAGGTGGAGGGTTGGATGAGGGATTCTTGGATGTGGCCTGGGGGGATGTCGTGTTTGGTTCTTGGGATTGGAGTTTCGGTCATGGGATGTTGGCTGGGTTGGAGAGGAGGGGTGTAGAAGCTGATCAGGTAGAGGGGGTAGGTGTCGATGTTAGGGTTGATGGGAGGTCCGTTGACTAAAGGAGTGAACAGAGTTGGATCCAACAGGGAGGCGCAGAAGGAGTGACTGGTGTTGGTTATCGGGTTCCATGTTAGTGAGGTTGATGGGTTGAGAAGTTGGGATGTGATGCTGGAGAGGTAGACTCTCACGCGTCGGAGGAAGAGATCCTGGAGCTGGTCGAGGATTTGCGAGATGTGCGAGTCGGGGTGTTGCTGTAGATCTGACTCTGAAGAAACAGTGGCCGATTGACTCGCCTCTACTACGAGCTTGATGATCTCCTGCTCCCGATCCTGCTCGGACTCGAGTCCGGAGAACGGCACGCCCGCTACTTGCTTCATTATGGCTTTGTATCGCTTGGGCTGACTGACTGGCCGGCTCAGTTGCTGCCAGAGAAGCCTCTCTGGAGTGCCCTCTACCGCGAGAGCTGGCTGGTTTGCTGCGTGCTCAAAACATTCATGGAAAACAGGCGGCTCTCTTAGGGTTATCAGGGCATCTGACTTGGTACTACTCAGATCAGCTCTGTATTTCTAGGATAGATAGAAAGAAAGAACTCACCTCTCAACACCGTTCTCGATAACCAACGGACCAATTCTCAACGCCATATGCTCATCCCCGAATGAATTCTTCTCTGCACGATGGCGGAAAAACGCCGGAATATCGCCTTCTGCGGGAGGACCCGTTATGGGATCCATGTCCTTCAAATTTTGCGTCCCTTCTTGACTCTCATGTTTTATTCTGTCTGCTCTCCCCAGCTTTATTGACTTCACCCTCTCTATCACCCGCGCCATAGAGCCCGAATCCGATCCTCGTGGCTTCATCCCCACGCTGGAAAGCAAGCCGCGGTATTTCGCATGAGAGACCATACCGGCTAGATCCAGCAGAGAGCAGCGGTCCTTGCCAACCGGGATATGTCGATCTTCGGGGTTAATGGGGAACAGAGAGCGCGAACGACCGGACGAATCGAAATGTGGGACGGGTTCATCCAGTTGGTGGCGGAGCAAGCTCTTCAACTAGGCTCCTTGATCACGACCCATGTTCTCCTCGGTTTGCTAGAGTCCCAGGAGGGCTACTGAGAAGCAATCCTCGTCCTGAAGACAATTCCCAGCACGCCTCTCGGTTTGATTGGTCAAATGATCATGCGAGTTCCTCCGAAAACCATGTGCTTCTTTGGTCGATATTCGAGAAGGGCTGGTGCAGTTCATTCATCCTGTGATCAAGGAACGTTTGCTTCAACTGGTCCGAGAATCGAATATCTCATTTAGCCCTCGGTCAGCTCACCAAGTTGCCCTCTGGCGCTGCTTGGAATATATCCAGCATCGATTATCCGAAATTCCTGAGATGTAGCTTATATTGGCCGAGCCAGATATCCGATACCAGCAAATATCTCATGTTGCCAAAGATACCCTTCTCGAATACTCCGTTCTACATTATATCAAGCACTACGATGAAGGCCGCTGGGAGATAACTTCTGATTTCCGCAGGGCGTATCTTGGCTCACCCCTCCTAGCACAATACGAGCGTTTTTAATGGAGATTACAGTCGATGGAGCCTTACTCGAAAAGATACATTTACTTGCTCTTGACTTTCGCCGAGCAGTGTTTGGGGGACGCAGTCTCGCTATCGTGCAAAATCTTATCACACTGTCTAGGCTGTACCAGAACTCCGAACACCATGGAAGAGCTTTGACCCATCTTAATGAGGCATGGACTCTAGCAATCAAGCTAATGGGCAGAGATGCGCCCATCTGCCGGGACCTGGCCTTGGAATACAGTGAAATTTACACGAATAGGCCTGGAATAGAGTTTGATGTGCAACTCTCCGAGGAATTACTTGAGTAAGTCGTCTCTTTCTGCAGCTGTGCTACATGATACTAATTGCAATAGATTCCTCTGGGAGACTGATCAGGCAATGTTTGGTCCAATGAGCGAGTAAGCCATAAACCATGTGAACATTCTTATCAAGCTTTACAAGGCCAGGGAGAAACATAATAAGCGGTAGGATTATTCATAATACTATTCGATTTATTTTAGAGTAATAAAAAGGACATCGTGTGTTATGTTGTACAACACCTGCAAGACCATGGCTTCTAATGAGCCGGCTAAAGTCGACATGTACATGATCCACGGGTCTTTTCGAGAGATGCAATAGTTGAATGGATCTTGACAGCTCACATGAGTCAAATACTAGTCATTGCATATGATAAAACCTCTTCAAAACCCGGCCCCATCGACAATGTGACTTCACCCCTTGCAAAGCAGGTACGTAATGATCGGCATCAACCCTACCAGAATATTATCCGCGGCAGGGATGGTTCTAATAGTTCGATTTATTCATTCAAGTATAATTCCGACCATGTGTCTCACCTGGTTGACTGCACAAGCACCACATTCGAAATGGACTCGGACAACAACACATTCACAGATTCACCACCAGCAGAGCCCCAGGATGACACAAAATCTCCAGGGAGTCAGCTATTCAGATCGACTACTCATGAATGTCTCTTCGTGGTATTAGCGGCCTTCGCAAATGCGCAGACATCTGTGTTCCAGGGTGCCACCGTTATCATCACCGCTAAAATCGGCGACGACCTCAACATGACCTCTGCTGAGATTGCCTGGATTACGGCTAGTGCTGCGTGAGTGTTCCTCTCAGTTAGTACTGGCAAGTGTGTGGGATATGCTAACAGGATAAGTCTTACCGGTGGTGCCTTCCTTCTTGCCTTTGGCAAAATAGCCGACATCTTCGGACGCAGACAACTCTTCATCCTGTCGATGGCCGGATACTCGGTGTCCCTACTCATCGCCGGCTTTGCGAATAGCGCCATATATCTGGATATTTTCTCAGGGATCATCGGACTTGCTTCAGCGGCGGCGGTTCCTCCAGCTGTAGGATGCCTCGGAGCAGTATATCCGCGCCCCTCGAAGAGGAAGAACTATGCCTTCTCCTGTTTTTGTGCGGGGGGCGCCTTGGGGTTTGTGGTTGGAATGCTGGTCTCTGGGATCGCGTCGTATGTGTCTAGCTGGAGAGCATCTTTCTGGACGCTGGCCGTGATTTATTCTATATTCACTGGAATTACGGCCTGGACGGTACCGAGTGACGGTCCGCGGTCGCCAGGAATGTCAACATTAAAACAGTTCGATATACTGGGCACATTGTTAATCGTCGCGGGATTCGGAAGCTTCTCGAGTGCTTTAACGTTAGTCTCCTCATCAGATATTGCTGCAATGGCGCTAATAGGGGAAAACAATAGTTTATCTGGGGAAGCTCCTGATGGATGGAAAACAGACTACGTGATTACACTCCTCATAGTAGGCGTAGCTCTCCTAGCTGGGTTCATATTCTGGCAGTCCATCGCGACACATCCTCTGATGCCGTTATATATATGGAAAGAGAGAAACTTCTCCTTGGTATGCATCACCTCCCTTGCTAGCTTCGAAGACATACCTAACCGAACCCATCCAGCTGATGATAATCTTCTCCCTCTGCTACATGGGCTTTGCAGCCACTCTTTTCTACCTGCCATTGTATTTGCAAAAGGTAAAAAATTACTCAGCCTTGTTGATCACCGCGCAAATGCTCCCCCTGGTTTGCAGCGGTGTTATCACAAATATCATTTGCGCGGCAATCCTACACCTTGTGAGCCAAAAACTACTCATGGGCCTAGCTGGCGTCCTTTACATTGCTGCTTTCCTGATTCTAGGCTTCATGAGTGCAGAGACGACCTATTGGGCTTTTGTCTTCCCAGCATTGATCATTCTTACGGTAGGGGTGGATCTGCAGTATAATGTTGCGAATGTAAGCTTCCCCCTCTCAATACCGTGCTTCAATTAGGCTAATGGGGAAAATTGGCATAGATCTACGTAATGTCTTCTCTCCCTCCCTCTCACCAATCCATCGCCGGTGGTGTCTTCAGCACAGCCACTAAATTGTCTTCGAATATCGCCATGGGCATCGCGACCTCTGTGTATACCTCGATGATTAAAAGAGCTGCTCCCGAGAATGCTGACGAGGACGTAATCCGGCCATATTTGGGTGTTTATTGGTTCGCGGCGGCGACGGCCGGGGTGTCACTTTGCTTCTTGCCGTTTCTGACCGTGAGGAACCAGAGTGAGGCTACTGTTCAGAAGGTCACGAGTAACGACGATGAGATTAGAATGAAGGAAGGTGGAAAGGGAGGGTGTAAAGTTGCAGCTAATAGTGTATAGAGTGGAGAGAGATTGTGAATTGAAAAGCAATTAGCGCCTATATAAGAATGTGGGTAATAACTAGCTGAGTCTTGACAGTGAAAAAGCTCATCTCGTTCTAAGATATCGTCATATTGGAGTAGTAGTACTACACCACCCCGCCGGCAAAAAATAAGCAGCCCAACGCGGGTTCTACCCGCAGCCTTAAGATAACTTAACGGACCATATGGAGGACCATATATGGAGGACCTTATGTATGGACTCGTACTTAGCTGGGGGTGTGTTAATACTAAGACCGATAATTTTTGGGCCGGGTTAATCATATTGGAAAAGCCTTGCGAAAGGCATTTACATCATGGATTCAGTGCATTTCACAAAAGCTCTACGGAGTTACTCGGTAAAGACAAAGGGGAAAAGAGGATGTATGTAAATGCAGGTAAAGGCGTGATTGGTTAACCCCTGGAATGCTATCCAAGCAAGTGATCTAAACAAAAACATAGTACTATGTCAGTATAAACGCCGACAATTCCAGGCGTACTCACAGGTGACAGCAAGAATGCGCCGATCATACCACCATGTCCCCAAACAAGTTCACTGGAATGAATAAACAACAGAACAGCTATACACAATGAGCAGATTACATCCCTTGGTGACCACTTTTACAAGCATAAGAAGCGGGTGTTTCACCCCGAAATGTGTCTCAATCACATCGCTCATACTCCTTCTCATTCCATACCTTCCCCCATCATGAAGTCCACATTCGCGCTCCGCGCTCTTTTCCTCCTAGCACAATACTCTCTCGCCTCCGCCCAGCAAACCCTCAAGACCCTGAACATCGTCGCCCACCAAGACGATGACCTACTCTTTCTGAGTCCCGACCTGCTACACAACGTGCAAGGCGGAGCCGGTCTGCGCACCGTCTTCCTCACAGCCGGTGATGCCGGCCAGGGCTTCGAATACTGGAACGGGCGTCAGCAGGGCTCGCTAGCCGCATACGCACACATGGCCGGTGTTGCCAACGACTGGACACAAAGTGACGCTGGCGTGCCCGACGCCGATATCCCCCTATACACCTTGAACGGGCGGGATGATATCTCGCTCGCCTTCCTGCAGCTCCCCGACGGCGGTCTCGACGGCACGGGCTGGGACTCAACGGACCATGTCTCTATCCTTCAGCTGTGGAACGGCGACATCGACTCCATTGACTCCATCACCGGCTCGACGAACTACAGCAAAGACAAGCTTCTGACTTCATTGGCGTGGCTGATCGAGGGATTCGATCCTCTGCGCGTCAACACCATGGACTATGTTAATGATGTGGATATCAACCGTGACCATCCCGATCATTCGGTCACCGGCTTTTTCGCGGAAAATGCGGCCAGCCAGTCTACCTCGAATGCGGAGGTGGTTGGATACGTCGGATATCCGACCCAGAACATGACCCCTAATGTGAGCGGCACGGACTTGACTCAGAAGCAGGACGCATTTTGGACTTATGCGGGCTATGATGCTGGCACTTGCGGAAGTCCCGATGCTTGTGGCGGACGACCTGAGCTGCAGTGGCTGACGCGGATGTACATACTTTAAACCAGGGGAGATCGATACATAAGGATTGCATGAGGAGGTGTGAAATGACGCCTATGGTATGATAAATGCTTATTTAAGCTTAATGAGATGGTTTTCGATATGTAACTGCTCTGGATTTTGACGATTCGTATACGAAAAATGGAAAACTAGGGCTTCATTGATACATGGCTCGGGATTTCCCGATTAGACAATCCGCAAAAGTCCTGTAGATCATTGAGGAACCCTCGCCGCTATGGAAGAGCTACAATTCTCCCATGTCGGTTCATAATCGCCTTATGTAATAAGGTTCAAGTCTTAATTGTAAGATGTCAGCTGACGGGTTACCTCATCGTGCCCGTGACTCGAGGCTTTGCGCAATGCCGTCCATCCACATCGATCCTTCACACTTGCATCTGCCTTGTTTTCTAAGAGGATCTGCACCACTGTACTGTGTCCCATTTCACTCGCCTCATGTAACGCAGTTCTTCCATCTTTGTCTCTTGCGTTGATATCGACGTCGTGACGAAGCAATAACTCTACCGTCTCCACAAATCCTCGACGAGACGACAAGTGCAAGGGTGCCTGGTCATATGGGTCGAGCAAGTTGGCCCTTCGCGGATCAGTTACGAGAAGGTCTGACATGAGCAATTCAAGTCCAAACCAAGCTGTGAGATGGATACCAGTTGTTTGAAGAGTTCGTTGACTGTATCCTTCTTGGTCTCGTGGCCCCGCAAAGATTACTTGACTCGCACAATTGACCAATGTCTCATTCTGAAGGAACAAGCCCGCGACATTCTGAATATCGGACTGGGATTTCCGAGCATGGTATCCCCATTACCGAGCAGCGTAATCAAGGAACACATTTTCTTCCATTCTTTGCTCGAATGCTTGGTCATTCGGGGCGCGTCCTGCGGCGAATACATCAAACGCTAAATACGTTAGACACGTTCGGGATATCTCCGCCGGCGCTGTATGAACCCAGCCAGGGAGCTCGTCACTATCGAAGTACCGCAAAGCCGTCCAATAAGCAAATTGAACATGATCACTTTTCTTATCGAATGAAACAAGGCCTGCACAAAGCGAGACGAGCTCTTCAATTGGCGGTAGGTATTTCCTTTGAAATTCTCTTGAATCAATCTGTATTGCCAAAGCATGCTGCAACTCCGTCGGCGAGAGTGTCCGTTTCGCATGGTAAACCCAGGTTAGAAGACGCCGGGCCCATTCCCGGTCGTCTTCACTCTGTCGCTCAATACGCTCGATCTGAACTCGGTTAATCGTCTGCACGACGTTTTTCTGTTCTTGTGAGAGGAATTTCAGGGCGTCGTCAATATAACCTTCAGTTCTTTTGCTCCTGAGGGATTTGGTATATAGGGTTGCGAGAAGAAACCTAGACATTGAAAAATTGGTCAGTTGGTTTTCTTCTCTTTCTTTATTTTCCTCCCTGGACAATGCCTGTCGTGAACCTACATTCCACCCGAAAAGTTGGCAACAGTTCTCTTGATAATATCTTGAAGTTTCAAGCTTTTCTGAACACATTCTGAGAAGTAACCTAGCTCACCACTCACATAGGCGATTATGTCCGCCTCGCTTGCTCGAATCTCCAATTGCTCATGAGGTAGAAACGGTTGCTTTGGCCCATAACAGGGCCGGGTAGTTATCATAAACCTTATTCCTGTTACCTTCTCTAAGAACTGAATCTCTTGGAGTAAGAACGTGCGGAATTTTCCTGGCATTCGTCCAATGCGTCGATTATCACAAAGAATTGGTTCTCTTGAGAAAGATGTCGAACAGCATTGCGCATTTCCTCAATTGATGGTCGGGTATTCTTCGGATAGTGGGCGTTCCAAAGGCTCATGAGAAGATTATAATTTGCTGCTCCCTGCTCTGCAAGCTGTCTGAGAATCATTGAAAACAAAACTTCTGGTGTTTGTTCCTCCTGCATTCTATAATTACAAAACAGGAATGCGACTTTATTCTGCGGATTGACCCTCATGTAATGGATTACAATTGAGGCCATGATTGTCTTTCCAGCACCAGGAATTCCGGGGCACAGGAGGATTCGAATGTCTCCTCGAACCCAGGCTGCAAAATGGGGCGAATCTAAAAACAATTTCCCTGTGCCTTCTTGTCGCTTGTACAGCGCGTCGATGTATTGTGCTTCATAACTCGGAGGAGCAAGCCAGTTAAGTATATTCCTAATCTTTTCACGCATCATATCTAAACAAGGTCAGGATTGAAAGTTTCATAGGGCTTGGGCCCCGTACCATCCTGAAGAGTTTTCAACTTTTCATGTATAGGAGCAAGCTCCGCGTGGACTAGGTATCCCAGAGGGAACTCGTCAGTGGTCTATCGAATTCCTGGTAACTTAAGTTATAGTCGCACTAACCCATGCTCATGATCTTTGCGGCCTCCGCGGTGAATTTCATCGTAAGAGAAGGTATACATGAGAGAAGCTCTTTGGCGTATCCTGCAGCCGTCATCGCGGCATACGGTTGCCAGCGTTTGTTCTCATGAGTATCAGAATAATGACAGATCCCACGGACGATAATACACGGGAAACTTTCCATTAGGCCTGCCGCCTCTGTTTCAAAGCATAGGATTTTGTTCTGTTGCCGCAGCTTCTCTCTAGTTAAACTATGTCGCATGGCCTGGTTTGCCGATCCAATGAGACCATAATGGATGACAGGATCGTTCGTCATTCGAGATTGTCGATGGTGACTGCGTGTCTGATCACATTCGTTGCATCCTGATCTCTTGTTGACGTGATCATAATCCGCCTCAAAAAGTTGGTCGTATCTCTCTCCGGGATAACCAAAATCTGTCATGCCTGGGTTCAATTTCAATCCTTTTGCGATATACGAAATCATCTTCCGGCTTCCTCGCATATGGTTGGCTTTTATTTTAGACACGCCAGCCCGAAGCACGCTGGGCGGCTTGTTCAACGCGCCCGTCTGAACAAAGCTACCTTCGATGACGGTTTTCCCAAAGTCATACTGAATCACACCACCTGCCACCATCCGTGAGCTCACAGCTTCTTCTCGCCTTAGTTGGATCTCATACCATGCCCCCCCTGGGGAGTACTAACAACTACGTCACCGAGACGCACATCTTCATAAGGGTCATCATTTGGCAGCGACGGCGCGCCCCCTCCCACACCGACCATCAAGCCGAACCGGATGTTATGAAAACTGCGAAGCAAGTTATTGGCTGCAGTAGCCGCTGCACTTGTTCCTGCTTTGCCGTCAGGAAGGCACACCATGACAATGTTGTCCCATGCGGCCGAGGGTGTAGGTGTTGCTATCCCCTGGCTCCAGGGGAATATTCGGGTGTATTTCATCCAACATTGCTTGCGACGCCGCCAGCTCAATTTCCAGAGCGCAGATCCACCCTACGGAGTAGTCATCGTTTGTCAAACGTGGTTGCTCGGGGGCTTCGAACATTGGTGCTAGCGATATTGTGCGCAGGATCTAGCTTGATCAGCAGAATGACGGTCACTGAGGATTTTGCTATTATCTAGATCAGTGCATCGACCGGAAGGAACAGAAGACTTTTAAATAGCGATACGACACAAAAATAGTCTCACAATCCCCGCTCGGCGTAGCGTTAATAAATGCGCGGGCGCTTAAGGCTCAGGCATCTTCGACCAATAACTCCATCCGGCAAAGCGCTTGCTCACAAGACTGAGTAAGGGCTCGATGACCGAAGGTGTGTTTGTTGCACAATAAAACCCCGAATTCACTCGATCATTAAGAGTCTATGCTTCGTTCTGCTATAAGGCGTATCTTTATGACTGAGAAGGCTGCAAGCCGATCCAACCACCGCGTCTTTAGGATAGTTGGGAGCCTTGGAGCCTTGGAGCCTTCTGCGACTCCAGAGGTGCAAATACCCGGGAAAGAGAGCTTGCAGCCTTGCTATTGCAGTGAATTCATCTGTAGACGAAGTGTCATGTCTGAGACGCGCATCTGAAGCCCTTTGTTGATGACTCACTGGGATCGCGACTACAGCTTCAGCTTCAACTGCGACCCTCGACTACGCTACGACTACGCTACGTTACGAGGTATCCAGGAAGCATCATTCTACGGCTTACGGCTTACGGCTTACGGCTTACGGCTTACGGCTTATCGACTACGACTACGAACTACGATCTATAACTACGGTCTCTAACTACGGTCTATAACTACGATTCATATACCTATATACACTATATAAAGCTATATACAACTACGAAAGGAACTATATACAGCTACGAGAGGAAAGGAAAGTGAGCAATGCGATGGCTTGGCCAAGGCCACTGCAGCTGGAGGGGAGAAAGAAGAATAAGAAAGAGAAAAGAGGAAGACGGGCGAGGGACAGTCACTTATAGGCACCAACTCCAGGAAACTTTACGCTCTTGCAACTGCCACCGGCCGACAACACAGCGGACCACCAATGAGGAAGGAGGGCAGTTGCGATAGCTTCACCTCACTCCGCTTTCGTCATTCCTGCGTCGCGCCCTAGGCAACACAGCTCGGTTTCGTTTGTAAGGAAACGCGTGAATACTCCGCAGGTACTGGTGCCGCGTTCGATGTGGTTGTTTTCTGTCTGAATTGGGACTGGTAGAGTGCTGCTGGGTTTAGTATGAGGTTTGAGAAGCTCTTTCAGGAGAATCGAGCTACCCTGCTGCGCTCGTCTTTCTGGCTTAGCTTCGAGTACCTTGGCTGTTCATAACAAACCACTCCGTACTTATACCAGGAAATTTCAGAAGAACCAAGTCTAGTCAATTGAATCTCGCAACAATGCTAACAACTATACACAATAACCATGAACACCAGGCCCATGCATGCTTATCAACTCCAACAATATTAACAATAACAATAATAATCAATCATAACCATAAATCCAAGCCCATGCAATAATGATGGACCAAGAAAAAATCCATCTATTCCAAAAACACCGTAGGAACACCATAAATGACCGGTGCCGCACCATTCAAATACTTCAACACACAAGATTTTCTGGACACTGACACGGCTTCGTCCAACGTCTCGCGAGAACCCTTCTCCCGTTTCGTTTCTCCACCAATAAGACCCCATTCCTCGAAAACAGATTTCGCGAATCGATCAATGTCCTTGTCCGTCACGTCCCACAGAGTGGCTACCAAGGCGGGACTCCCAGCTTGGAGGTAGTTCATCGGAGTGCCGTATGGTTCGTATTCTCCAGCTTCGGTCAGCGCACCACTGCTGCAGCCCATGAGGAAGGTCACTGCGCATCGGTCGAGGCGTTTGATGGTTCGACCGCGGATGTACTGTGCGCCGCTGCCGTGGCCGAAGTAGAGGAACACGCTCTTGGATTCGAGTCCGTCCTTGAACTCGTCCTCGGTCGGGTCGCGCTTGACGACGCCACTCCAGTTATCGAGGGCGGATAGATCTTTCTCGAAGGTGGTTTCAGTCGTTTGGAGGTCTCCGGTCGGGTTGAGAACGTAGTAGCCGTTGTTCCGTGGGATACCGAGACCGAGGTCAAGGTTGGTGGCGCCTTCGTTGCGGAAGCGGAGGATTCGATCGCGGAGGCATTCGAGGGATGGGACGCGGCAGACGGGCAAGCCCTGCAGGGAGGGGAGGGACTCCCAGGGGAAGAGATGGAGGGATTTGTCCAAAACTAGGACGGTGTGGTTCGGGGCCTGATGGGCGTGTCTATCTTGGACGATTTCGTGATATCCTCGAAGTGCATCCAAGGTTTCAACCACCATCATATCAAAGTCGATCTCGTCGTATGCGTTGCGCTCGCCTTGGAACTGAAGGATGTCCACCACGAAATAGAGAAGATCCATCAAAGTATCCTCAGGATCCTCTTGCTCGCCAAGATCCTTGATTCCAATGAACAATTCGAGAACATTGGGATGCAATGTCAGTCGTGGGCCCTCTGCTCGGCCACCCTTCTGGCGGGAAGGAAGGTGCTTATCCAGAATGTTGTGGAAAGAAGTCGCGAATCGCGCCAATGGGGCAGTATCATGCGGCACAGGTGAGAATATTCCCCGGAATCCTCCAAACCAGACATTTTCAATATTCTGTAGCAAATTCTCCATTCGAGCATCGAGGGCCTCGCGGTTTTTCCACCAGTCCTTCTTCGACTGTCGGTCCGTCTGAGCCTTAGCGGCATGGGCACTCTCGTTTGCAAGTTTGATGAGCTCCTGCATTTCTTCCCTGCCATCCTCAAAGGTGAATTGCTCTTCCTCGTCCTCCGAGTTGCCTCGTTTGAGAGGGAGACGAAGAAGGAAAGGCGAGCGGTCTCGGTGGAGCCTCGAAACAATGAATTCACTGCAATCTGCACTCAACGACAGTGAAAGAACGTTCCAGCTCGTTGGAAGAATGTCAACGTATTCCTTGGTGAAGTTGGAACACGGATCGTCAAGCTGGAATGTTTCCTTCGAGGACGAGGGCCAGAGAAGCGGGTCGCTGAGGTCCGCCAATTGTTTGTCGATGCTGATAGCAACGTGCTCTTTAGCGAATGCACCAATGCGACCAATTTCTGCACAGGTTAGTTTCCACTCTCCATTTTCGCCTCAAAGGAATAAACATACCGTTAACATTAGCAGGAGACAGAGACAACGCCGGAGCTTCATGGGAAGTAACATGAGATAGCATCGAGATCCGACTCATCAGACGAGACGCAGCGTGACTATCAAGCGTGGATCCCAAAGCAGTGGCCGTAGAAAACACATTATTCAAACAGTCACCCGCCTTAGACAACATAACGCTAAAATCTTCGGTAGCTTTCTGAGTTCGGGAGCGCGCGCCCCTGGTGGGTGCTCTAGGTCTCTTCGTCGTAGCTGTTTTGCTAGAGGAGGCCGTTTCCTTGGTGGGCTTGGTGGGCGACTGTAACGACGGCAAAGAAATTGTGGACTCCGGAAGAACACAGTATACTGCATGTGAGGCGAAATGGCGTATGGCGTCCGCAAGGAAGTGCTCACTTTCGCCAATGTGAAGAGAGATTTGGCTGTCTCGGGAGACTGCGAATTTTCGAGCACCATCTAGCAAAGCCGAGGCTTTCTCGAATTCACGCAGCGTACGCGAACAGGAGGCTTGTTGTCGAAAGATGTCGCTCTTAAAGTGGGACAAGGTGGTTGACTCAGTTGCAGGTGGTTCAGGACTCGGGACTGTGACCTTTGGTACACTTCGGGAAGATGTCGTCGCGGTACGGGTCCTCCGCGTTGTCGATGTAGTCGTCGTTGTTGTTGTCGTCTGCCTGGTCGTCCTTCGGCTGCTAGGTCGGACTTGAAGTTTGTCCATCTTCTGCTCCAAGTCCGTGACATTGGAAGACGTCGAAGAAGAATCTGAACTCTCGGACGCCAAAAAGCTAGCCATGATCTTATCGGCATCGAAAAGAGCACGCAATTCGTGTTTGTGATTTCCTTCTGCTCTGTGAAGCGCGGCAAGGCCCATGTGCAGTGAGATCAACTCAATGCTGCTCTCTAACTCCTTAGACAGCGACTCGGCAGCTTGCAATAGCTCTCGGCCCTCAGAAATATGACCTCCATAGACCCAATGAGATCCAAGCTGGGCCTGGGAAGCAATCAATCGGACGTTCGCGTTGAGTGTCTTGTTGACCTTCAAGGCCTGTTCTCCATAATAGATGGCGTCCTGGAACAGGCCATGGTGAGCGGATAGACAGGAAAGGTTCAATAGCGAAGTGTGGTGAGAGCCGATATGAGGCCAGAAGGGAGCACCCTGGGAATAGCTCGTGGTGCTGGTCGATGCTTGGGTCACATCTAGTTTTGCCATCCCCTCCACCACAGTTTCAAGTTCAGAATTCTCGGTGCTAGGAAGACTCTTGTCCTGTTTTCTTTGAGCGAGTTTCTCGACCTTGGCCCAGATCCGGCAATTCAGTCTCACGGAGAGCTTAGCAAAGAATAGGGCATCATTAGTCGAGCCTTGAGCAAACGAGAGCCGCGAGCTCATGAATGCTGCGTCCGCAACCAATCGTTCCCAGGCGATCTTTGTGAGAACGGAGCAGCTGTTCAGGTCCTGCTTCCTCTGGTTCTTCTCGTACAGGACCCGTGCCGCCGATAACGTGGCAGCTGCCTTCTCGATGTCGCCCGTTTCCAGCAGGTACCCTACGCGGGCCAGGCGATGAGACAAAGTTGCCAAGCAAGAGACATCATTCTGAGCCAGACACTGATCCGCACGAGTCAGGAGAGTGTTTGCTTTCGTGCAGAATCCGAGTCGGCAATATTGCAGAACAAGACGCGACAGGATGAGAATGGCTTCAGAAAAGTCTCCGGATTCTTCGAGTTCGTTAACACGGAGGATCAGTTCGAGAGCGGAGAGCTGAAGTTTCCACAGTCCATGGATCTCGGTATAGTCCACCACGGCCTTCATTTGAACCAGGCAGTAATCCACGTCCCCAACATATGAGACAAGCGATTCCCAATCGTGACAGTTTTTCATCATGGCGGTCCATGAGGAGATGACGTGGTCCAACTGATCCGGTCGCAAATCGCCTTGGTGAAGACCCAGTGTAAGTCGGACTGAGTTCTTCAGATGGGTTGAGAATGTGAACAAGTCTGTGTCGTGTCCAGCTTCCTCGTTTTCGATGCCCTCGGTGGCTTCATCAATCAATTGCTGCAGGAGTGACGGTTCTAGAGCGCTCGGGCGCTCCAACGAGAAGCGAAGTCCACAAAGTACCACGCGTAGGCGGCGGATGGGGTTGAGTTCTAAAGAGTATATGCCGAGAAGCTTCGTAAGGAGGAGGTTGAAAATTCCTCTGAAAACTTCATCATTTGTAGCATAGACATGTAGCTCCGTCAAGATGCCCATCTGCCACTCCAGAAGATGGCCTCGTACTAATGGCGTCAAACTCTCGTCGTCGAAGACCGACACCTTTGATTTCTTGGCCCGTAGCTTCACCTTCAGGAATGCAGAAAGAACGCGCCCTACCATGAAGGCATTGCTCTTTGGATCCTGAGAAGTCCGATGCGGAAATCCGCTCGAAGCGTCAGAAACGATTTGCTCCAAAGTCCCATTTTCGATATGCTCTCTGATTGACTGGCAGAATGCATGTTCTGATTCGGCACTCATATTCCCTTCCATATACACATGGGCGAGTCGTTCGTATTTGAGGGCGGCAAATCCGGTGACGCGCTGAGCCGGTAGACAGGGGGATAGCAAATTGGCGGACTGTTTCAAGAGCGGCACAAGCTCGCGATAACCTTTCCCGGCTTCCTTCTCTTTAAGGTATCGCGACCAGAAAAGGTTGGACATCTTGACAAAACCCATTCCAATCTGCTCAATCAAGGAGGAGTCGGTCATATCGGTCGAGTCGATTATAGTCAGAAGTCGTTGGCAATCCGCAAGGCTGGAGAGGATATCCTCCCAAGCAGGTCGCTGGGACATGACAGATAATTTTCCAACGGCAATCGCAGAATCCACTGCGGCGAGGGCAATGCTCTGACAAGTAGAAACTCGCTTGGAGAATGTCTCATACCCCTTAGAGTCTTCATCCTCCGATGGCTGGCGGCCAATGTAGCGGCGCAAGAATCTCAGAAACCCAGCCAAAAATTCATAAACCCTAGCCGCAATGTCGCTATCTTCCGCCTTCCTGCTCTGTTGTTTCGAAATCAGATCACCAAACCAGGCCATGGCGTATTTCTTCAGCCGGGCTGCTTCCACGAGCAGCTCATCGAGATCGCTGGGGCTGCCCTTCAAGGGCATACTCAGAGTGGCAGTAGCTTCGGACACGGCGTTGGATATGTGGGCTGGCGAGAACTTCTTCGATTTCCTAAGACCTTCGAAATACAGAACTCCAATCTTGCAACGCACGGTAGCGAGTGAGAGAGATTGCATGCTCGAAAACGGGGTCAAAGATTCCGTGAACAACTGCAAGGCTTCGTCAAAGCAGCCCGCTTCCTGGGCGAGCTGGCCTAGTACCGTTGCAATTTTCGCCACGGAGAGGTTGTCCTTCATGTTGGTCGCCGTGCTCTTTGGGGTCTTTGCGACCGCTGACTGGAGTCGAACGATGGTCTTGTACGTGATCGCGAACTCGGTCTTCTCGATTCCATTGTTGTTGTACGTGAAACTGGCAAGGTAACGAGCCAGAGGATCCCAGACCTCTCTGCCATCATCACACTTATGTCCAGAAATCTTCCAGCTCATGCAGCGAATTTCCAATGCCAGCAATTGAAGATTCAATGCGGTGATCGGTTTCAGACGGTCTTTCGTGGTGGCGCCATCGGTGGATTTCGAGGAAGACGAGGATAACGATAGTACGGTATTCGACAACAGTTGAAGTTGCACCGCCGCTTTGTCTTTGGCGAGAGCACCGCTGTCCATTGCGGCGACTATGACGTTCGCAGGGCTGCTTTGACTAGAGAGTTGCAGCAACGAGGCAACCTTTTGTATCGTTGACGCCTTCTTCTCAGCCGCAATGAGTCGTAGAGCATTGGATTGAAATGAGACCAGCAAGCCGAGCAGATCCTGTGCCTGCGTGAGGTTGGAGAACGTGATTAGGTCTGACATGCGTTCGGTCGTGGCATCCTCCGATCCTTCTTCGCTCTTTGTCGTCTTCTTTCGTGCCGTGGCCTTGCTGTCCAGAAATTGTTGAATCCTCCGCTTCAGCCCCCTCAACTCCTTGTATGCCATGTCATTGAGCCCTAGCGAGAGATACCTCCCCGCCAAGACGCACGCCCCCTGCTCGAGTTGAACATTCGGCGTCGTGTTATCCTGACTGCCTTGTTCCAGCTTCAACGTCCTTAGTGATGACAACGCCATCGTTGCGCACTCAGATAGCGCCAGTAGTCCCACATCCGTCGACTTCTTCGGTGTTTCAGGCGATGTCGACCCGCGAGACCGGGCTTCGTCGCGTTTGGAAGACTGCGATTTCACGGCATCCGACAGCGTCTTTAACGTTGTGTTGAAGACTTCCGTTGCTAAAACTAACTTCTCCTGGTATGACAGCCGCGACACATCCTTCTCAGCCAGCGTGCTCAAGACGGCATCCCGCCCGGTGACTTTTGTTCGTGTTGTCCCCGTCGACGCCTTCGTGCGTGTCGTACTCGTCGTGATAGTCTTGGTAGGTCTGGCGCGTCGACTCGACATGTCGGATTTGGTATCGAGGGGGGATTTCGACGCAGGCCCGAAAAGGGTTTGGAGGGTCAACACTGTGGCATTCGAGCATGCCGCAGTCGATCGGACGGCCAGTTTCACCGATTCCACGGAGGGATCGGGCAAAAGATTCGTGACCGTCATTTGGATGTTGTGCTGGTAACTGTCGGTATATTATTATTGTAGGTTAGTAGTGTCCATCTGCGCCCAGCATCGACGAAGGACAGGCAGGTAATTGAGGCTTGAACGGGCTGTGTCTTGTTAGGGAGAGCCCTGTCACCCATCGCTTGCCGTAAGCCAAGCCCAATCCGCTGTTGTCGCGGCAACGCCTGATGACACTACTCCCGTTCAGGGATAGTCGGTGCCAAGCCCTCCGACCCTCCGATCTTTTTGCCGACGGAGAGACTCGACCTTCAAGATAGAGTGCCCCGAATTCAACGTCACACTCATCCTCACCGTCCCATTGCTCCACCACATTCCTCCCTCGACATGCGACCCTCCACGCTCTCGCTCCGGCACATCGCCAATGGCCTCCTAGCCCCTCAAATGAGCCCGATCGTCCGGGCCTCTTCCACCACGCCACTGCAATCTCGACTATACTCCACATCCAGAGCCATGCCACGACTAGCCCAACGGTCGGTATGGACGTCTTTAGTCCCACGATTTCTTCGCGAACGAAAACCCAAAGACCCCAAGTCAGAACCGCCCAAGTCGAAAGAATGGAACCCTGCCAGTTTCTACATCATTATCTTCATTCTCATCGGTTCGCAAGCCATCCGCATGATCGCGCTCAAGAACGACTACAATGCATACACGCGCACGACGGACGCGAAAATCCTGCTACTCCGGGAGGTCATTGAGAGAGTGAAGAACGGGGAGGAGGTGGATGTGGAGAAGTTGTTGGGGACGGGCGATGCGGCGAAGGAGAGGGAGTGGGATGAAGGTTCGTTAATTGACTTGACTATCTATGCTGCTTGCGCAACGTTGAAGTGCGAAGGCTAACAGTAACTCTCTTCGCGCTTTAGTCCTTCGAGAAATCGAAGCGGAAGATTCACTATGGCATCGGAAAAACAAGGGCTCGGACAAAGAGCAGGAAACGCCATCGCAGCAAGAAACAAGAGTGCAGGCAGAATCAGAACACAAGGAGCCTGTGGTGCCCGCTGAAGGAAGTGGCACTGAGGAGCCCCCGGCAGACAGCGCCTCGAGACGGAAACTCAACTTCTTCTAAACGTTACCATATCATCTTATATCCCGTTGGCTCTGGCGGTCGTGTGTTCTGTAGGGCAAAGTGCCGCTATCCGGAAATCTGAGTTGCTACTGATATAGCGTTCATATTCCATCTCAGGAGTTATACTTATGTGAGTATTCTAGATACAACGGGACTCCAAATTTGAAAACTAACACGTTCTTCGTTAAGCATCGGTTATATGATCAATCTTCCTTCCATGTACAACATATCATCTGTTTTAAAACCCTCTCTTCTTGGAGAAATTGTCTTTGGCGCGTCATTTCATGTTTATCAGAAGTGACTATATTGTATGATACCCACGGTGTTTCATGTGGACTGCCTAGAGATTCATGGTCGCCGCAAAAGTAGTGGTTCTCCCATTGTATAAAGAAAATGACAAAATATACTACTGAATTTAGATAAGGGATATCATCATTGAATTCAGTTTGACATTGTGATGTAATCGTGATGCTCATTTGGGTTGAAAAACATGATCTACAGGCTATCCGCAACCGCAATATATCCAAGTCCGGCGGGCCATATATGACCATAATATCAAAATTCATCTAGCTATCCAACAGCACTTTTAGAAGAACAGGCCAAGAAACAATGGGACACTGATGACCACAGACAAAAGAATAATTAAGAGTCATCTCACCAATTCACAGATTGTTGAAATAAGAAGAGATCAAAGGTCTAGGATTAGGATTTCCATGCAAAAAATAAGAATGTTTTCAAATGAGATCCCTCCCCCAGTCTATCGGTTCTTTTTGTTACAATATGCAAAGATGGTTCCTGTATGGACACGGGGGGAAAGGAGAATATTTGAAGGACGGTTTTTCAAAGCCCCGGGAAACCAGAGTAACGAGGGTTGGGTTGTATAAAAACACAAGATATTTCCAAGACAGAGAAACATACAAAATAAAAATCAACAAAATGGGATCAATTCATCGCTAGTGAAAGTACAGAGACATGCGTTGTTTATTGCTTGGCGGGTTGGATAAATTTGGGCCACTTCTCGGCGGAGGGTATCGAGGCGCGGCCGATGTTCTCGTCGAGGTCGAGGATGAGCTTCAGAGCGTTTCTTGATCGGAGGTAAGGGAGAGGGGCCTTGGCAGTCTGGAGGCCGACGCCGGGCTCGATCTGTCCGGCGGGAGAGACGTCGCCGTGTCCGGGCATGGGGAGCCAGTTCTGCAGCAGCTCGTAGGCGGCAAGAGTGAAACCGAACTGGGGAGAAGAACGGACGATACGGGCAGGGCCACCCTTGAAGAAGGCCATGAAACCCTCGTCCTTCCAAATGGTCGCGGCACAGTGACGCAGGCCGGTGTATTTGACATCGCCCTTACGAGCCTCGACTTGGAGACGGGTCTTGATAACGTCGCAAGGCGTCGTCAGGTAGGCGGCAGGCATACCCGCAATGGCACCGGCCGTGAGCAGCTGCAGGATGCCGAGTTTGTGGGTTTGGGACTCGCCGAAAAAGCCGGATTTGAGGTGAGAGTAGGTCGGGAAGTAGATGGCGGAAAACGGCACTGTTCGCGGTCGTTAGTGACGGTCGGAGAAAGTGTCGTCATGTTGTACTCACCATCACGGAGCAGGCAGGCGCTGGCTCCCTTGTACAGCCCCATCAATCCCAAGTTCCTGACGATCCAAAGTGCGGATCGGCGAGGTGCATCCTCGACGTTCTTGGCGATCTCACCCTGGACTTGCAGACGGATCTTGACGATTTCTAGAGGATTGGTGAAGACCTAAATGATTGAGTTGCGTCAGCAAACATTCAAACTTTTCCACGCGACTTCGAAACTTACAACTTGACAGGCTCCGGCGGAACCACCGGCGAGAACCTCATGACCAGTCCAAATCTTTCCGTTCTCTTTGTTCGTGAAGTACCCACGGACCAAATCATTGACAGTGAGCTTGATGGCCTTCTCAGGTGCAACACCGATGAGCTGAGGAATGACTCCGGAGTACAGACCGGTGAAACCCTCGTTGCGGATGACTTTCCGCGCGCAGTCCAAGGAGTTGTTGTACAGTCTCTGACCAACATGAGATGACCGTTGGTTCTGCATACGAGTCTTCACCAGATCAATGGGGTAAACCATGAAAGCACCGAAAGCTCCTGCCAAACTTCCGAGCGCGAAGTGATGAACCGACTCGAGCACACTGTACAGGATGGACTTGGTCTTGTCCGCAACCTGATGCGTTGCGGAGCTGACAGCCTGCCCGGCGACAGCGATCGGCATACGCCACGAGGCGTCGATGACCTTGGCGAAGTCCCGCTGAGAGAGTCTACCCGAAGGCGCATCCAGACCGGCAAAGTGGAACAAGATATCGGCTTCCATGGGAGTGAAGAGGGAGAAACGGGTGACGCGCGCGGCCTCGTTCAGGAAGTCGGAGCGCGTGATTTTGCCGTCGTCGCTCTTCTGGGTTGCCTCACGCACGATGAGATCGATCATGTCCATCTCGCGCATGACGTTCTGGAAAGCGCGCACGGTGGAGTACGAGATCTTAGTGCCCGTTGAGATGTTGCACAGACTGGGGAGGTTCTCGAGGACGTAATCCGACAGCTTGTGCTTCGACGTCTCAAGGATGATGCGCTGGAAGTCCTGGGGCTCGATGTAGCCATCGCCATCCTTGTCGAAGACGTGGAAGGCCTGGCGGATACGCTCGCCCTGCAATCCTCGCAGCATCTGGGCAAATTGGGGGTAGCTCATATCGTGCCGACTCTTTGTCCGTCCAGTGTACAGGGAAGCCCATTCTGAGTTCCAATCGAAGGGGATGCTGTCCTTGTTCTTGTTCTCGCTGTAGAGGTTGTGGAAGGTCTCCCATTTCACGCTTCCCGTGCCTTCCGTGTCGAACAGTCGGAAAGCGATCTCGTACTCGGCATCGGGTTTGGCCAGGAGGTTCTCGAAAGTCGACCAGTCTCCGAGGGACAATTTGCCCGATCTCCGCTTATCCGCGACTCTGAACAGGATACCGTAGTGTTCCCGCTTGATTTTGTGCTATTGAAAGCCATTGACGTTAGTGTGGGAGTCATAAACCGCGATGACACATCATGCGGAACGCTGGACAATGCGACGGGCTGCAATATACATACATAATCTTCATGCTTAGGGGCAATAGCCTGGACGAAATCCTCTTCCGTCATATACAGCTCCCCCGTGGCCTCGTCCTTGCGCGCATGACGGTGGAAGTTGGCCTTCGCCTGCTGCGACGGCTTAGGCTCGTCGGAGGTGCCCATCAAGGACTCCTTGACTGCGTCCTTCACGCTGCCCATTGTGTGATAAGAATGAATCTATCCAAAAAAAAAAAAGAAAAGAAAAACGATCTATCCAAAGCGCTGAAAACCCCAAAAGACAACCCAAGAAAGAAGGGACCCGGCGGGAGGAATTGAAGGAGTCGGGGGATGAGCGAGGAGAACGGGGTTATGAAGGGGTTGGGATAAGGAAAAGTGTGTGGAGAAAGGAAATTGGGAAAAATGGGGGGTCCGAATGACAGTAATAATAATAATAATAATAATAATAGAAATAAGTACGGAGAAGGTTTCGATCTGGTCAGCCTCTGGAGAATTCAATTACAATTAAGGGATTTCTTCGATCAAAAAAATGGAGATTCAACAGAGTTTTTTTTCTTTTGCTTTTTCTTTTTCTTTTTTTTTTTTTTATCTTTCTTACTTCATAAATTTGCCTTAAACAAGATCCAGGATAATATTAGCCTCAGTTAATTTTTCTGAAAAAGCCCAGGGAAACACGGCCAAGGATGGGCGCGATTCGACCACGAGTCACCGGGCCAGACGCAGCCTCACCGCCCCTGGAATGTGTTCAATTACCCGGTGAGGCACTTTGACTACAGAACAGAGTACCGTGGTACTTTATGCGATCGGACTTGGGGCCGATTAAAGCACTGACAGTCTAACACTCGAGTATCATAGCGGGTTCAGTAGCTTCTTCAGCACGACGGACTGACTTACCTCCGCGTCCCTTGCTTGGTCAAGCTCCCGACGACGGTTGCGCACCGCGATGGGTTCCGAGGGCTGGTACACGGCGAGCCACATGCGGCAAACTCCGGGACAGTGGCCATCCAGTCATGGCTGCCGGCAGACCCCTGGGAGGCAAATCGGGACATCCTTTCCAGAAGGTGCCTGCATCGAGGAGGCAAATAACCGAGTCTTGGAGAGACTCTCGTCTGGGTCTTGGTCGGGCTTGGTTTGATAGGATCGGGATGCCAATTCCCCATGATCATCTCAAATCGTATGTGGCCTTTTTCACATGATATTTGGTGTTTACCAATAATAAGGATGGTGTTCCAGTCCTGACCCAGACCAGACTCGCGAGGGCAGACCATGGGCAATCCCCCCTTCCCCCCCAAATTCGGGCCGACGTGGTGAGGTGAGTCCGTGAGGCGTGAGTGGTGCCAGTCTCCGGTGGGGGGAAAGCGGGTCCCAGAGTTGGAGATACTTGGTGGCCTCAGGGCTCAGGCATCCTATCCCCCGACATCGCTGCTCCTCCTCATTCTCTCCTCACCGGCCATCGGCTGTGCCCCGACGGTCTCGATCGTCTCGATCTACCTGACTCGACTTGTAGATCTCGTATACCCGTAATCCCCGTACTTTATGTGACTATCTCACATTTCGCTATACAACAGTGGTCGAGCAACACTTATATGCTCTCTTGGTCTATAGTCCTCACCAAAGTGGTTCCCCTCACGGGGACCAACCAAAGCTCTCTCGGACATCCGCCGAGCAAGGGAGCCAAGCCAGCCTTATTCTCTGGGCATCTGACATGATGCAATCGTTGTTACTGAATGGTCGACTGACAGATGGATCTATCATCTGTCTCTCGAGGGAATGGTGCATATATACCGCATCTGCAAGGTCACCCTCGCCTAGCTTCATCTTGTCTACGGTGTAAGTCACCGTAGAACGAATATTAAAAACTATTCCGTTACCAGAAAGGATCACTCAATCCGTCTCCGCGCTTATATTTGCCTAATTGCGTTATGTGAACCGTGCCCCTATCGCGCGGGAACCATTTTCCCGCGACGCACAATTGTTTATGATTATATCCCGGGCCCGATTGTATAATTCCTGCGCGCGTTTCATAGTCATCTTAGCGCGCATAGTTGGTCAACGCCAACCATTGCCATTGCCAACCGTGATGTCTGAGATCAATTTACTAAATACATATCGTCTTGTTGCCTAGAATCTAGACATTCATGCTTTCTAGAAAGGTCACATTCGTCAGACTGGTCAAGCCCCCTTGATAAGTGACCTGCCTGACAAAGTATGTATCTAGTCGCAATGTGTGACCTCCCTTCATCCGGTGCTTTGCCTTTGGACTGGCTTGGCGAACGACATGGTTCTTCAGACTACCCGCGTCTTGGAATTCCTCATCTTGCGAAAAGTACATGAACAAATGGCCTAGTCCGAATGGAAAACGGACCAAACACGGAGCTCTTGGAGCTCTTGAAGGCAGTAACTTCTGCTGCCGGTAGCCCACGTTACTCAGAATCAGCTAAGCAGCTTCCCTGCAAGGACTGTTACAATGCATTAGTTATATACACATACAAATATGTCTCTTTTTGTCACTTATCTTGGCTAATGTAACTCAGTCAATAATACCTTGACGCTCCGACCCGTAGACCCGTACATGTCCTCTATGGACCGAGAAACGTTAGTTACATCGACATATTCGCGCGCGCCAACGGCCCCTTCTCGAAAAGCATCAGGTCCAACGTCTCCTACGTCTCCATCACCGCGACACCCGGAACCCTCACTCCCCCAGCAAACCACTCTGACTCGCGCAGCTACCTCGACGTGGACTGGCCCAAGGCACCTACAGAGGCCCCACTAACCATTACAGGCACTACCAAGAACAATAGTACTAACACCAAGAATGATAGCAACACCCTCACCATCAGCACATCCCTCCTCCCCATCAACAAAACTACCATCCCCCCAAACTTCACCGGCCTCATTGAATCCAACGACGTCATCTCCATCGAACCCACACACTGGACACCAACAACCACCATCACCACCACCTCAACCCAAACAGCATCAGCGTCTTATACTATGGTGTACATCGAAAATCCCATACTACGGACACACCTCATCAGACGTAAACCTCTGACCCGTAACAACCCCCTCACAAACCACACTCATAGGCCCAAAGATAACCTACAGCTTCTACTCCTTCCCGCCCCTTCTGCCAAACCGATCGTCCTGCTCAGCGACTCGCTGAATCGTAATCCCACCCGGCCGCTGAAACCGACGTATTCGTTGGACACGGACGAGCCGGAGACTGTTCTGACAGTGGGGGATTATCAGGCAGGGTCGATGCTTCCGGATTGGGATACGGCTGTTACCGGTATTCCTGGGGGGTAGAATACCACGTCGACGATTGATGTGAAAGCCGGGGCGCCTGTGTTTAATTTATGGCTTTTGGAGCCGGGGGTGGTTGTGTAGAAGATTCTTCTTGATCTGGAAGGCTTTTTGCCTAGTCATTTGGGACCGCCGGAAAGTCGACTTGTTGGGGGATGGTTCTGCGGTTGGCTATAGTTTTGTCTGACGATGCTTGGGTTGATCAGTTAGATCAAGCCAATCATCATTTCCACACACTAACAATACTTTATACACATAGAATCCTCCGTTCTTCCAACAAATCCCAGCAAAAGAACCCATAAGAATAACTCCGGAAACACCCACCTCACCCCTCAATAAACAAGCAAGCAAAGACCAAGCCCCAACCTACCTACTCCTCCGGCTTCTCCAACCTCAACTGCCTGAAAAGCACCCTCTCAATCGGCAGCAAACCCAGCATAACATGATTAAACCGATACGCCGTCATAGTAACACACGCACCAACCAACGCATCCAACAAGAAATGATTCGCCGTAGCCACGATCGTCACGCCCATCAAGACGGGCCACAGCAGTGCCATAACTCTCACCATCCAGTGCGGACTGAACCGAACCAAACAGAAAGCGATGAAGAACGCATTCCCGAAATGCAAAGACGGCATGGCGGCGATCGTCAACTGGAACTTGTTCGACGTCCAGGCCGAGCCCGCGCGGTTCTTATGCAGGATGTCGATGAAGCCGTCTTCGGGGGGCAGGAGTCGGGGCGGGGCACAGCGCCAGGCCGTTAGGATGCAGAAGGCGAGGACGTTTTCGAATGACAAGGAGCGGCGGATTCCTTGGTATTTGTCGCGTGGGATGTAGGTGTAGATGTAGACGAGGAAGACGATGCCGAGGACGATGTGGGAGTAGTAGACTTTGGCGAGAACGGGCATGAGAGGGGGTAGTTGGTCGAGGACGTAGCGCTGGACGGCGAGCTCGATGTCGATGTGCAGGATATGTTCGAGAGCGAGGATCTGGTGGGCGTGGTCCTCGGCTGTGTCGAAGATGGACTTGTGGCCAGCTATTCGGCGGGCTGAGAATGCACGCAGACCTTGGTAGATCTGTGGTAGTGATAGTGATATTAGCCAGTCATGTTTGATTGCTTTGATTCTGGCTGAGGTTTGCGTCGTATCGTACCCAGTATGACAACGTCCAGTAACAAATCTCCAGCAAGAATGGGAAGCAGGCTAGAATCCGCGATTGAATCGTTCGACGTGTTTCGAAGGAGCGGAAGACGTCGTCCTCGTTGGGAGGTTTATGCGGTCCATGGTGGTTGTCTCCCAGCAGAGGAGACTCGACGGAGGGTGTTTCTGGTAATCGGATATGCTTGCGTCTGTTTATGAGGGTACCTGCAGTGAAAACAGCCACGATTGCTATACCGAAATCAGTTATCGAGGAAATTCTAGAACTATAACTAGTTTCGACCTACCCCCCGGCTCGATCAGGTTTTGTATACCTCCCATGGCTATGTATGAATAACAATATACCGGGAAACGAGTGTATATGATCTAAACAATTGATATTGAATCGTCAAGAAGCAAATGATGAGTTTAATCTAGGGCATCAACGTCCCTGGCAGATGTGCCAGGCAGGAGGAACGGGGTATACAAGTCGACGGACATGTATCTCGTTGACGAGGGAGAACGACACTCACCGAGTGAAGAGTTAGAACCGGAGACAAAGAAGCAGGTACAGGGAATACGGGGAAGCTGCAAGAAAACGGGGTGTCGTGTCGTGGCTGCTATGGTGAACTGGTCTTCCGCGGCTTCCGTCCAGCTCATGCCACTCCTGGGCCTTGCTTCGGATGACATACGAGGTTGCACAACGCTTGCGGAATGAACTTTTAATATTCTCCGGGTGCATCTTGGAGCTCAGTCTGTCTGCTAAAGAAGATGCTTCACTGGAGTAAATAACGGGGTCTGGTTGAGGTGGTTCCGGCAAGAGATATACTCTGCAGGACAATTTCTTCCCAAGAAACCTTAGTCTTTTTTTCTCTCTTTCCCTGTCACCTTCTGTCTTCTTCCCAACCATCCTGATTCTTCTTTTATTCTCTGTTCCACACGAAGTACCACAATTGATGTATGGAGGATCTTCATAACGACTTGTACAACCCTGTATTAATTTATGCATCGCTCACATACGAAGCATAATTATGATGCACTTGACGCTTTGATCCTCGCAGTTTCCATCGAGTTATACACTGTCAAGAAGAGAATAAAAAGTCCAAAGTTCACCCCCTCATTCTTGTACAATTCACCTTTCGTGATGGGACTCTGGGCCGCTGTATCCATCCACTAATTCTTGTCATCAGAGTTCGAAGTAGGGTAGACTATTGAAGTTTACCAGCCCGCCAGATGTGACGGCACAAAAGCACACGCTAATTCTGCGAGTGAAAACCGTCGGTCACTGCAGTATCATTGTGATCATATTGCAGATTATCTTCATTGGTGGTGGCAGGTGGCAATCAGTTCGTCTAAGCTTCTCTCCCCCGCTACTTGCCTGTGCGAGGGAGAGAGTAGGCCAGTGTGACACATTTACTGCAGAGAGAATCTACATCGCTAAATCGACAGGATTGAAGGATTTGCTCGCAAATGAAGTATTGCAACATGGACGGGCAACATGGCAGGCAGGATGTAAGTCATTTCCACCAGCGGCCGGCATTTGACCACGAGGAATCCCACTACTAAATATATCCAACAGTTAATTAATCTATGTGATGCTGTCCGATCTCTGCAGAAATGATTAAGTACGGGGTCAATCCTTTGCTCATCTCGGAAATCCTGCAGCCCAGGGCCCCCAAACCCCGCCCAGGCCAATGGCAGAGGATCATGCTGCGATTTATGGTTGGTCAACTCGGTCAAGTCCGAAATGTGATGGCAACCGGGACGGGTCCATGATTTGTTCGTGGGATGTGACGAGGAGCGTTCTGTGCCTCGTCGTGCAGTGAGTTGGCGCTTAGAGCAGAGAGGCGGAGGTCATTGGCCGCCAGCCTCCCCTCGGCGACAGGAGACTGGAGACTCTCGCGGACTATAACTATAGCCGCGCACCCTTCCCTCTCTGCTCTGGCACGTTGTGTGTTTGAGCTTGATTTGTTTGGGAGTTTTCGTTTTCTGTTCTATTTTCGTCCATCGGTGGTTCGTTTGGCTGGTCCAGGCGACATCTAATTTTGAACTTCTTTTTTTGGATCTGCACCACGTCAATAATAGTATCATTTACGCGCTTTGCCTTTGGCAACGGCTTTGTTGACCGAAGTCCGCACCCACAGTTGTTCTCTTGTTTTTGACTTTTCACTCTTCTGTTTCTCTCATCTGCCGTTCAAAACTTTAAATCCTTCTCCTTGTTCTGTCCTTCAATTTGCAAGACCATCTTTCCATCATGCTTCCTCGTGCTGCCGCAAGACCCAAGCTGTCCGTTAGCATCGCTGCGGCACAGAATCCCACTCGACCCTCCTTGTCTCTCAAGTCTCCCGGTCCTCTACCTCGCACTCCTATTTCTCCGTCGCCTCTCAGTCCCAATGCGAAGCGGTATTCCTCGCTGCACGTCCCGACCTACAACTACACCAATTCATGTTCGTCCAAGAGCATCCTCAAGAAACATTCGGCCATGGGCGCCAACGGCACCGTCAACAAACACATCCAATTCAAGGGTACGCCCACAGTGCATTGTGTGACGCCCATTGAAAATCCAGAGGAATACTACGGCACTCACACCAAAGTGACGCGCGAAGAGCGACGCTGGATGGTACGGGAATGAAGGAACGGCGAGCATCAACTTGACAAATCCCTCAACCGACCGGTGGATCTGTGGGAGCGCAAGGCCAAGAAATCAGAGCCTGGGCGCTTTCTCTGCACTCACGACCGGCCCTTGCGACTCTGAATCGACATGTCATCTTGCAACTTCAAATGCAGTCTAGTGGGATGGAATTATTGGCGCAGAGCAGCGGATGTTCAACAGAACGCGAGTCACTCGGATGATGATTGATCTTTTGAGAAAAGAGTCCACCTGTCCACCTCCTGTGTATATGAAAACTATTATGTTTATGACGTGATGATATGGTCCGGCGTTTAGTTTACTGTTTGTGCCTTAGTTAGCCTGGAGCAAATCCACATACACTCGTTCTGGCTCCACAAAGAGATTCTTTATTAGTAGTAGTAGGAATCGGTCTATTTATAGGCATATGATAATTTCCATCCAGGACAGTGTACGTACTGCAACCACTGTCACTGCCACTCCATACTACACCGTAGATTCTGTAGACATCGACATGCGCAGGCGCCTTTCTATTATTACTTCATGATGTTACCGCATTGGTCACGGCTTTAGGGCAGATCCCCAGGGCTTCCGTGGCCCGTGCGAGCAGGTTCTTTGCGCCTTCGCCGCCTGGTCGCCTCCTGCCCGAGCGCCATTTCCGTCCATCCAGCTCCTCATGTTGTTCGCGCGACTCCCTGCTGCGGCCTGTCGCAGGAAGCTCTGCACAGCCCCGAAATGGAGTCTGCCTACGCGGACCCGCGGATTACTGACTCTTGCTATCGAGACATCCTGGTGGGTTGATGTTAACCTTGATTGATGGGACGGCCCGCAGATTCCCATGCTAACGCTCTCACCAGCGATGACACGTCGGTTGGGATCGTCGAAAAGAAGACCGGACCCTCGGGTGCGACTGCAAAGACCCATTTCCTCGAGAACGTAACGGCAAACACGACCTCGTATCGCGGCGTTCATCCCATCGTTGCCCTCGAATCGCATCAAGAGAACATCGCCAAACTGGTCAACAAGGCCCTCGCGCATTTACCGGAGCCGTCGGGTACACATGGAGGACATCAGCTACTACACCTTTCAAATGATCCCACGCCACGTCGCAAACCTGACTTTGTGTCGGCCACCAGAGGACCCGGGATGCGGGCTAATTTGTTCGTCGGGTTGGACACGGGCAAGGCGCTCTCGGTTGCGTGGCAGGTTCCCTTTGTCGGCGTCCATCACATGCAGGCTCATCTGTTGACACCGCGTCTGGTGTCATGTTTGGAGCGCGCTCAGATCGATACCCCGGAAACTGGTTCGTCTCAGCCTACGACTCCTGAGTTCCCGTTCCTCTCAATCCTCGTCTCCGGCGGACATTCGATCCTCGTCAAGTCGTCTTCCATCACGGACCATGAGATCATGGCGTCGAGCTCCGACGTAGCGATCGGCGACTCGCTCGACAAGACGGCCCGAGACATTCTTCCCGAGCCTCTGCTTCAGAGTGCGAACACCACCATGTACGGCAAACTGCTGGAACAATTCGCCTTTCCAAATGGCAGCATAGACTACGCCGACTACCGTCCCCCGATGACGCGTGGCGAGGAGATCGCCACCCGTGCAACTCCCTGGGGCTGGTACCTCACCGCTCCGTTTGCTAATACCCGGAAGCTAGAATTCAGTTTCTCGTCCATCGCGTCGTCAATCACCAGGATCACTACTGCGAAACACAAGGCCGGCGAAACCATGGGCCACGAGGAGCGTGTCGCCATGGCACGCGAGACGATGCGCGTCTGTTTCGAGCATCTGGCCTCTCGCACTGTCATCGCTCTCGAAGCGCTTCGTAAAAAGGGCCCCGGCAACGAGGTGAAAACCCTCGTAGTCAGCGGGGGCGTCGCGGCTAATCGCTTCCTGATGACCGTCCTGCGCTCGTTCCTTGATGTCCGCGGGTTCGGACATGTCGGTATCGTCGCGCCGCCGCCGGCCTTGTGCACCGATAATGCCGCTATGATCGGATGGGCGGGTATTGAGATGTTCGAGGCTGGCTGGCGTAGCGATCTTGGCTGTCGGGCTTGGAGGAAGTGGTCTCTAGATCCGCGCGCCGAGGACGGCGGGATTCTGGGTCCGGATGACTGGCTCAAGACTTAAACCATCGTAGCTATTGAGAGTGTATACTAACAAAAATCTCCTGTACCATACTGTCGCAACTTCGCTCCACTACATCTCATCAACAATGTATATAGAACAACGTATAATAATTCCATGGTTGAATGTTTTCAATATATCCAAGAAAATGTCTCGATGTTTCTTTTTGTTCATTTCATAACCATTAGACAACCATTCAGAATGTACTATCCGGGGGTATGATGATAGTCTAACTCCGAACATTGCCCGGATCCCATTTCCGCCCAAAAGTCATAAGAAATCGTGTTCGATGCCAGCCCAGTGACGTCGCCAAAGACCATCCATGTTATGTCATCCGATCGGCCAGCAATCAGGAAACAAAACCACGATACTTGTCTTCAGCCCCTAGGCTAGTCATACATAAACATCGATCCTTTCCTATCCCGATGAATCAAACCCCCTCCCCCTCCAGGTAAGCGATGCAGGTGAGATGGGGATTCCAGTCCCAACCTCAAAAGTCAACCCCAACCAACCTCATCCATGCTCTTTTCTATCTAATTGACTTTTTTCCAATGATTTAAAACACACGCTCATGAAAATAAAGAAGAAATAAATGCTTAACCGCCCGCCACATTATCGCCCTGTTTCAAGGTCGTGACTTGCTTTCGAAGCTCGAGGAAGAAATCCTTGCCGTTGGCCATCGCGTTCGCTGTATGTATATCGCCTCGTTAACTTTTATTCATTCGGCTTGCCTATCGGCGAGTGGGTTCGAGCAGGTACGTACGCTTGGATCCCCACGGTCCGCCCGAGCGGTTATTCGCATCTTTGCCTGGTGTTTTGTAGAAGAAGGGTCTCGGCGCTGCGGGAGATGGAAGGGAAGTTAGTTAGCGACTTATGACCGGTGTTATGTATAGAGGAGCTTATCGATCGGCGAGAATCGAGAGATGGAAGGCTTCTCCCATGTGCCTGTGCTTGCGCCTGTGCCTGTGACAAGCTTGGATGGATGTATTGTACATACCTCCTGGGCCTAATCCGAAGCGCAAAACAAAAAGCCGTTAGCATGACTTCAAAGCCAAGTCGCATGGTAATCGCTATCGCAATGAGGCGGCTTACCTCTCCTCAGTGCACCCTTTGCCTCGGCGGCATTGAAGCCTCGTACGGGAACGTGCTGGTCCTGGGACAATCCGGCGGAGAGCTGGTCGCGTGAGTCACCCGCTCCCCAGGTGTTGTTGTTCTGGTTTTGATTCTGGTTCTGGTTTTGGTTCTGGTTCTGATGCTGGTGCTGGTGCTGGTGCTGGTGCTGGTGCTGGTTCTGGTTCTGGTGCTGGTTCTGGTTCTGGTTCTGATTCTGGCCGCCGCGAGATCCGCCGTGCATGTTCATGTTCCGGGAGTTGGGGTGTCGCTGTCCTGACTGGCGATTATGATCGTAGGGCCGACCTCCGCGCCAACTGATGTTTGGAGAGAGCGCATGGTTAGCTAGGTCAGAAGATGGAGGGTGTAGTTCTGGGTTAGAGGAGGAAGTGGATGAAAAAGGAAAAGGAAAATCCAGCTTACCGATCTTCACCGGGACCAATCATCCTTACAAGAGACGAGGGGTTGAATTGGAGAGAAGCAGGCGATGCTGACCCTCTGCTGGAGCTCCCTGTCTGCTTTGTTAATTGTTGGTTTGACGGCGGTGGGCCCTCTCCGCCTTTGGCCCAGCGCGGTTTAGCGCCGCCGGCCACCTGAGATAACGAAGGGCCACTCCTCGCCTTCGCGTCGTCCATCGCCGTCGCTGCTGTCGCTCGCCCGTCCTGTTGGCTGAACCCTTTGTCTGGTCTCCTTGTTTGTTGATTCATGCTCTAATGCTTTGGCTTACCTGATCCTAATTTCACCGGCGATACGGCGCAGCTGGGTTCCGTTGCGTGCCCAACTGTGAGGGCGAGCAAAGCAAACAAGCTTTGACATTCAACAGCCAAACATTCACTTCGTTTGCATCATATTCATCTATCCTGTCTCTACTGATATTACATATACATAATGGCGCCTTACGCTTCCCCCAAAAACCGCACCCCGCCGGGGAAACCATCGAAACCGTCCTCGAAAGTGACCCTGAAGGCCCCCCGGAGCTCGGACCCGGTTCCCAGTGAAGGTCCCCCCCTCAAAAAACGCAAATACGTCCCCGGTGGTCCCGGCGGCGGAGGCAGATACATCGAGCTGGACGTGAGAGAGACGATAAAACCCCCCAAACCGACGCCCGTCCGACGCCCCTCCACCACCTCGCGGAGCCGTCCCTCCGCCTCAGAACCCAAGCCTCAGCCCGTCCAGCTTCCACCCCCACCACCTCCGATTCCAACCACGCCGCCATCCGCACGCCTTCGGAGAGATAAAAGTCAGAATCGGGGTCGCTTCGGCTCCTCGACAGCCGCCGCGCTGGCGCTTCAACAAGGCGACGGCTACAAGCCGCGTGAGGAGCGAGGCTGGGAGGAGTTCCACCCGGAACTGGACATCGAAACGCGTTTCACAGTGTTCAGTGCAGAGGATGTAGACCGTCCGGCGCCGTCTGGTCCGATTGCCAATATCCTATCGCCCAACGGGTTGGAGAGAAATGGCGAGAAAGATCCGTTGGCGGAGCTTGTGCGCGCCCACGCCAATGGGACGTCGCCGACGCCTATCAAGCGGAAGCCAGGTCGGCCGCCCCGTCGTCCGGAAGCTATCTTGAATGCTCTGGGTATTACGCCGCAACCGAAGGTTGTGCCACCGCCGGGCCCCAATCCCCGCGAGAAGCTGACTCTGCCTAAACCGTCTTTCCGTATCTGTGACCCCTTTACGTTCTACGATCAGCCCGGGGTGGGTCAGCAGAACTATGTCGACCGCACGATGGCCAGCGTGGGCTATCAGGAGAGCGACCTCTTCCTTCGCCATGACCGGCAACTGGTTCGAATGACAGAGGGCGCGCAGGACGACGACATGGATCTCGCGACCCCTGTGATAACGGAGGGCGAGGTCAATGCGACGGTCGGGAGGGTCGAATATGACATGGACGAGCAGGACGAGAAGTGGCTGGAGGAGTACAATACAAAGCGACGAGAAGACCAAGTCGAGCCCATCAAGCCAGCGGTCTTTGAAATCACCATGACCAAGATCGAAAAGGAGTGGCATACTCTTGAGAAACGCATACCAAAACCGAACCCCAAGCCTCCACAGACGCAGCGTCCGCGATCAAGCTCCGCAGCCGCTGTGAATGGTGAAACCACCGGCCCAGGGGAAGAGCAAGACACCAAATGCGCGATCTGTGATGATGGCGATTGCGAAAACTCGAATGCGATTGTCTTCTGCGATGGCTGCGATCTCGCAGTGCATCAGGAATGCTACGGCGTGCCTTTCATCCCCGAAGGCCAATGGCTATGTCGCAAGTGTCAGTTGATCGGAAGGGGGTCAGTGAACTGCATCTTTTGTCCTAATACCGAAGGTGCTTTCAAACAGACACCGAGCTCGAAGTGGTCCCACTTGCTGTGTGCTGTTTGGATCCCTGAGGTTTCCATCGGCAACCCCTCCCTGATGGAGCCGATCACCGACGTGGAGAAGGTCCCCAGGAGTCGTTGGAAGCTTCATTGTTATATCTGTCGGCAGAGGATGGGAGCCTCGATCCAATGCAGCAACAAAAACTGCTTCGTCGCCTTCCATGTGACCTGTGCGCGACGGGCCCAGCTGTACCTGAAAATGAAGTCGGGTCATGGCACTCCTGCAATTATGGACTCTCATCTACTCAAGGCCTTCTGCGACAAGCATGTACCTCCGGAATGGCGCAGAGAACACGGTACGGATGCTGCTACTGCGGATGCTATAGAACATTACCGCAATACCATGCAGGGTCGTCGGTGGGGCGACAGTCAGGCCGCGGCTCTGTCGTTGGAGCCGGCTCTCCCTCTGGGGTGCGACCATGACGACGACGGTCCAAGGACCCATACGCCTCGAATCACCCTCACGATGGGTGGTAACAAGCGGAAACGACCCGCTGTGCCCAGAACTATCTGGAAACTACCTTCTGGTGCTCCGGTCATTCCTCAAATCGTGCTCAACTCGGTTGTGGCCTCTTTGCAGCGCTTCGGCGTTCGCCAGAGAAAACAATATGCCGAGGACGCGTGCAAATATTGGACGTTAAAACGAGAGGCCAGACGAGGTGCTGCTCTTCTCAAACGACTCCAGTTGCAGCTCGAAACATTCTCGTCGATGGAAATGACGCGGAGAGACTATGTCGCGATGGGAGTCGCCGGCGGGAAACGGCTACAGCGGCGGATTGACTTTGGCGAGCGGTTGTATCATGATCTAGATCGGCTGCGGATGCTATGCGATGAGGTCAAGAAGCGGGAACGAGAGAAGTTGAAAGATGCCGAGATGCTTCGGCATGTTGTTGATACTGTCTATTTCCCTATCTTCCCTCTCTTATGGCCCATCTTTGAGAAAGCACAAGGGTGAGAAAAGCTCTATCTTCTGATTAAGTTTGTTTACATTGACTGACTGGGTTTACAGACTGGATGGGAAAGCAGTCTTCCGAGAAGGCTTGTTGTCCATACGCACCAAATTGGCTGAGCGCCACTACACATCAGTTTCTGCGTTCTCGGCAGACCTGGCCCATATCTTTACTTCCGAGATTGGCGTCAAGCCGGCTGGAGACACTAAGGAGCTTCAAATGCAGATCAGCGGTCGCGCTCCCGAGCTCAGTCTTGAACAACGGGAGAAAAGAACGCTTGCCAAGCGAATCATTCGCGCCATTCAGCCGGCGCTGGAAGATGCGATTAAGAAGGAGAGTGAGCTGAATCGCAAGCCCTTTGAACAAGAGCTTAAAGAGCTGGATCTCATGCTTGAGACGAGCGTTTTGTCGCGGAGGGACTCGGAGATCGATCCTGCAGATATCCAGGAGCTGGAGGGTCATGAAGAAACGCAGAAGACCAACGGCTCGGATGAGAAGATGGAGGATGAAGCCAATGTAGTGGCGAAGCCGGAACCTCGGGACACCGCCGAGGCGACAGCAGTGCCTGAGGAGCCCCAGGAAGATACGGCCATACCAGACGCAGATAATGCAGAGATTCCCGAACCTACAGTGGAATCTCAAGCCGAGGATTCGTCGAAAGAACCGGTCGCTCCCGCAGCCGAGGAACCCGAAAGTCAAGATGTCGATATGATCACCGCCGAAACTACTGTGCACCCCACCACCGAAACTGTTGAAGGGGAGCAGCCGGCTGTCAACGGCGAACCCAACAAGACCGAACAAGGAAGCCCGCAGCTAGCGAACAACTCGAAACAAGATCCCACAAAGGGCCCATTGACACCGCCGCCCAGTTTCAAGGGCGATCAGCAACTTCCGCTGTCGCAAGGGGGAATCCAGTGGTACATGCAACCGTTCGACCCGGTGGGGACGACAATTCACGAAGAACGCTGGACAGGGCGAGATGTAATGCGGGGGATGAGCGAAGAGCTCAGCGAACTCGACGAGGACGAGTTAAAAGACCTGGTAGGGGACGAACTGGAAGGGCAGGTTGCCACTGCGCCTGACGGGTCATCGGCTCACGGCGCAGATACTTCTGCCAACGGACAAGGTGTGAAGGTGCATCGAACTCGAAGACGGTGGCGAGCGTTCAAGTGAATGTGGGAGAAATCTGGCGCATGTGTGAATTTCTGATATCTTTGTTCTTATTTTATTGGTCTGATTGATTCACTGATTGATCCTTATTATTTGGCGCCCTGTTTTTAGCCGTACAGGAATGAGGCACGGGCGTTTAGTGGTCGTTTTCTGTCATTATGAGGGAATTGTTTTGATAGCTAGGTAGGGATGGATCTTAATGGCTGAACAGAATTTGAGGATATTATTAAGATAAAAAAGAGAGTCCAAAGGGAGTTGGACAAAGTAGAAGTAGAAAGAGAGATCGATCTCGAACAAGAAAGAGAGAGAGAAAGAGAAAGCATTGTCCTCCGGACTCCAGACTCAAGAGCGGAAGGCTTGGCAGGCCGTCGAGGAGCCGCCGGTCTGGAATCGCTCGCCTTTCTTTTCCCGGTTCTTCCCCCTTCTTTCATCATTCTCACCACTTCATCTCTTCCCCATCCCTTCTTCCCTTCCCTCGTCTTTTCTTCGATTTCACCCTTACTGCTTTCGGGGATCCCTCGTTCACTTCGTTTCGTCTGATCACCTGATCGCTCTTTTTCACTCGCCCTTTCTCTCGTCGGAAGTTGAATTTTCAGCTTCTTTTTCCCTACCACACAACTACGATTCTTGGGACCGTGCATCTCGCGCGCCACTGCTGAAACAACCAGCTCTCTTTCCCATCTCTACAACCCTTTTTCACTCAACTTTTAACAACATGACTACGGAATACGACAACGAGAACGGTCGCTACGACGGTATGTTGGTGATGATTTCACCCGCGCCACCCTCAACATGCTCCCGGCAACCCCGATCTCACAAGCTAATCTGCGATTTTTTTCGGCCGCGTCATAGACGAGCCTCGTTTCGCCCGCGACCGCAGCGCATCTCCTCGCGATGAACCTCGTGGCGATCGCACTCGCAGCCGCTCTCCTAACGGTCGCATGGATGATCGGTAGGCACACCTTGACGCGTCATTCAACTTTCAGCATTCAGCATTCAGCATGTCGAAAACTTGCCACCCTTCTTTCTCCACCTCACTTCGCGACGAACTCCTCCAACTAACTTAGCTTTGGACACTTTAGGCCTTCGGCTGTTTCTCGTAAGAACTTGGACGACGACGACGAGGAGGGCGCCCAGAACACCGGCTCCAACCTGTTCGTCACTGGCATCAACCCTCGCCTCACTGAGTCGGACATCTGCCGTCTGTTTGAAAAGTATGGCGATGTCGAGAACTGCTCGATCATGGTCGACCCTCACACAAAGGAGTCTCGTGGCTTCGGTTTCGTCAAGATGGTGACGGCCGAGCAGGCGGATGCTGCCAAGGAGGGCCTGCAGGGCGAGGTTATCGAAGGCCGCACTCTGAGCATTGAGAAGGCCCGTCGTAGCCGTCCTCGCACCCCGACTCCCGGCAAATACTTCGGTCCTCCCAAGCGTGGTCAGTTCCTGTTCTATCTCTACCTTAATCCTCGAACTCGATCAGTACATCTCGGCTAACTCTTCTTGTTTTATCTCGTTCAGGCACTGACTTCCGTGGTGGACATGGTGGCCGTGGCCGTGGCGACCGTTTCGACGATCGCCGTGGCGGATACGGCGGTAGCTGGCGTCGCAATGACGACTACCGCTACGGTCGCTACGACTCCTACAGTGACCGCCGGGACTATGGTGGTCGTGATTACCGTGACTATGGCGGCCGTCGTGACTACCGCGACGACTACGGCTACCGTGGTGGCATCGACCGCTATGCGTCCAGCCGCGAGGACCGCTACAGCCGTGAAGAGCGCCGTGGCGGCGGTGGTGGTGGTGGCGAAGAGCGCCGCAGCGGTGGCGGCGATGATCGCCGTAGCTACTACGACCGCGATACCAACCCCCCAAGCTACGGTGGTCACGGCGGCGCAGCACCTCCCGCTCGCGAGGCTTATAGCGGCGGCGGTGGCGGCAGCGGCGGCGGCGGCAGCGGTCGCTCTTACGATCCCCGTGACGACAGATACAGCTCTCGGTAGGTAGGTCAAGGTGAACATGAAAGAAATCGGCGTTCAAAGTCAAGGTCTTAAGCACGTAATTCCCCTTTCCCCCTGTCATTTTTTATTCTCATTTTTGTTATGTTCTACATTGTACCTTCGCCTCCCTTTTCTTTTTATCAGTTCCTCTGACCTTTGTTTTGCCCTTTCCCATGTTCCTGACCCATGGTTCTTGATCCGTTCGACAACCCATACTCGGTTGGTATCGATGAATCGCTTTGTTAACGGACCACACTGGAGCGTCATTCATGTCATCTTATCACGCAAGGGAAAAAAAGTCGTCTGCGCATTCACATGTCATCTCTGCGGAAACATTCGGAACGCCCTTCAGATTTGCGACTATTCAACTGTGAAAACCAAGAAAACAAGATGAAAAAAGCAAACTCTGTCGTCGCTCTCCAATCGCTGGCTGATGTTTTTTCTTTTGTTACTTCGCTCGAAAAACACACCCCGGGGAAATTTTATTGGCGGCAAGGGGAAAAAAAGGACACCAGATATTTACTTTAACGTTGTAATTCCCCCCGGACTGTCAGATGGGTCAGCACTGCTACATTTTTCAACTCTTCCGGAACTTGGTCGTTTTCTCGTCACTACCTAGTCAGCTGTTCGCCTTATTTGCGTCTCTTGTTGCGTCTTCTTCAACTCCTTCTACACGTAACGACTCGATTGTATTCGGCCAGAAAACAAACACTTTTAGGATCTGTCTGTCTTCGGGCCTTCCACAAAAAACCACTATGTTCTTTGTCCAGTCCACGCCTTTCAGTTGCAGGTTTGAGATGAAACACTTCCGGAGTTCGGCCATCTCTCGCCAGTTCCGCCCTCTTTGTAGTGTCGCCAGTACGATTTTCATCTTTCTGCGCTGCGACTTTTCTAGAGATTCGGTTGCCGAGGAGACACCAGATCAACGTAATCGCAGCAATTCGGGTTTGCTCTTTACCGGATATTGGAGACGATTGAACTCTGTCGGTCTTTTTATGATGGACATGTTTCTGCCTGAAAGGTAAGGACTGCTTGATGCTGATATGTTCTTAGGGATGCAACCTTCCTCTACCACCTGCTGTTCTGCAATTATGTCGATCGTTTTTGTGCATATACCTACGCATTGAACATTTGTGACTGTTGGCCTCTCTTTCTCTCGGTCTTTGGTGACTGATAATTTACTTTGGAGCTTTGCGGATGTTGGATATCAACGCCTACGGGGTCTTTGATAGTGCACTAATCAAACGCAGGGCTTGTCTAGAGATAGTTAGCTTGGTAGTCATGTTTTAATGCAATTTTGTCTATGTCCATTGTTGGTTCGATTCAATGTTTGAGGTATGCTTGTTTCATCGAATGTAGAGCTGAGCTTACTTTGCAGAATAACGGATATATATTCGGGTATCCACACATGCATGATCTTGACACAAACCTAAACCCTACGAAAACCTGGGAACAGGCACATAAAAAGGCAATATCGAACAAATCTCCTTGAGATTTAGATCATTCGTCCAATAATTAAAGAAACCTAACATATAACAATTCAACACGCTTCTAAAAAAACAATTGTACAAAACACCACCGATGGGCAGGGAAGATCCGCGTATTATGCGAGCCATTAATCTGCTGCCATCATTATTGCAAAGGAATCATTCAATCAGCGTTAGTGTTTCCAACATGAACTGTTCCCCATGCGGTCCTTTCCTTGATTCAATTTTCTTCGTTAATTTCAACTTCTCTCGTCGTCTGCTCTTCGTCCGGAGGAAGGAACATCAACTGCAATAGATATAGGGTATCTATATCCCTGATGTTCTCCGACTCCCATCTCAATCCCCGAGCGCGAGCGCGCATGCACGGACCTGCCCCATTTATCATGAGAACAAACGCATGTCCCCGCGTCCGTGGACCGATCACAAATCGTACTTCGGACACTCCGGGCTTGGTTGGTATCTACCCGCGACCTGGCCCAGTCGATTTCGGTCCAGCCTGCGCGACACGTTCGCGCATTGACACAAAACAGAAACAGACAGGGCAGGTAAAGATGGATCGATAGATCAGAAAACCGGCGAACGGAAAGCAATCCAAGTCCAGTTCTAAGTCCCAGTTTCCTCCCCAAACGAACACTCCTTCAACAAGACCGGAGCTGTTTGATCGCGAGTCCGATCCGATTCGACCCTCTGGTTCTTACTCGGGCGTCTTGTTTGCGCCGCCAGCGCCGCCTTCGACCTCGTTGCTCTTTTGGATTAGGAATTCGCCTAGCACGCGGAGCGGGTTCGATGGTCTAGATGTTCCTGGAGGTTAGCCTTTTTGATTTTTTGTTTGATAGAATGTTGTCGTTGTTGGTATGGGCTGGTTCATCTGATAGATCATGTCTGATGATTCATCGTGTTTGAACCACAGTTCCAGAGCACGAAGCAAGACTATCCCAAGCCAGACGGACATACAATACAACACAGGAACAACAGTTGAAGAGTAAGAAGATAGAGTAACATACTGCTCCTTCGCAACAACCTTCATCCCATCCAGCAGGTACGGCACGATCCGCTCGTTCATGTATACGCGTGCCGGGGCGCCTCCGGGACGCATAGGCGCAGAGCCGGTCGAATCGGCGGTGGGAGTGTTGGCTGCGGAATCGTGGCCCATTGTTGTAGGGAGTGGGAGGTAAGTTGCGGCCGTGGGATTTGTGGGTGGTGTGGAATTGAAGGGAGGGTTGAAGTTGATGGTCGGTAGAGGTGGTGTATTCGTCGGTTCGGTGGAGAGGTCTGAGAGAAAGGAGCGGGATTGTATGGACTTTATAGAAATGTAAATGTAAGTAGATGTGTGAGTTAGTGATTCGGTTGGTGTGAAGAATTGGGAGGTAAAGTGGGAGGTAGGAAGGAGTACGAGTTGGGAAAAGCCAAAAGTCGGGCAAAAAATGACTGAGGGAGAGAGCGGAGAGGCCGGGCGGAGAGCGTTTCCTGTCGCTCTCTCTCCACTCAGTGCCTTCACCATACTCCGGAGTGGGGATCAATCAACGGCAGGAGTGGTTCTTACAGGATCATCATCAGCCATGATGTTTGGGAGATTTCGTTTGACGGAGGCGGTGTCAACGTCAAGATGAGAGAAGAGATCGAATCAAGGGCATGGTGAGAAAGAGAGAGAGAGAGAGAGAGAGAGAGAGAGAAAGAGCACGACGAGTTGTTTGCTGACGCTCTTCCCTCTTGCGTTTGCCTTTTTGGGATAAATGCAAACGACACAAACACCAATTGCCCGGTCCGATCAGGTGACCTCGTGTTGCCAAAGACACGTCCCGACACGTCCGGCTTTTCTCTGTTACATATCTAGCGCCTCATTGCCTCGACAGCGTCGTTGATGACATTGCGATGTTGCTGGCCCTCTTTCGAATGTTCTTCGCACGCTTGCATCAGCCATTATGTCCCTGTTGGACTATTGGGACACGAAACGTCCGCCTGTAAAACGAAGAAAAGTTTCGGCAGAAGACCCGGGGAGGGGCAAAAGCCTGGGAACAGACGATGATGGTCTCCAGGAGAACGGTGGCCCCGAGAGTCCTGCTGTCCCGGCGTTGGATACTCCAACCTTGGACACCCCATCCTTGGACCAGCCCGATCAACCTATCCTCGGCGACGAGGAGCTCCCCTTTCCGCAGAGCCAGACGGAGTTGGAATCGTCGCTTCCTGCGCTCCAGACCGATAGCGAGGCCATCGAGGAGTATGAGCTGTCACATGCCGTGACGACAAACCAGGCAGAGAAGCCAGACCTGCAGGAACGGATGCAAAATGGCAAGTGGCGAAAGGGGAAGAGTTCCATCTACGTGGATGCGTTCAATCTGGCGCTGGAAACTGTGCTAGACGAGGAGGCGCATCTATTTGATGAGCCCGAGATGGAAGTCTTCAATCAATGGAGGTCGCTTCCATACGAGTCTCAATATCTGTAGGTTTGGCCTTTCCCGACCCTAGTGGATCTCTGGCTGATCCGGTTAGATATGTTCGACTTTTTTTGCGAAAGACCTCCGCGTGGCATCGTATCAACCGATTGGGATATCACTCGGATATCTCGGACGTGTCTCGCGTCGTAGACGATCTCCAACGCAGTCGAGGCCTCCCTCCGAGCTCTGAGTCTGCGGGCGAAAACCCGGCGGGCATCGAGTGTCCCGACGAAATGGGCCTCGGCAGGGAGTTCCGCTTTGCGGATAAAACCGAAGAAATCACAACCTTAGAAGAAGCATCATCGTTATTACTACTTGAAGAATTGAAAAACCTGGCTAAAGAGGCCAAAGTCCAAGGGAAGAGTAAAAAAGAACTCCTGGCGGCCTTGCGCCGCGCGAGTCAAAGACAAACGGGCCTGGACTGGAATAGCGACAGGCAACCGGTCAACCGAGACGCACATTTTGTACAGAAGATTCTCGACTATACAGGTGACTGCATCAGACTTGCATCGGGGCCCCGGGCCCTCTTTGAACGTGTTCATCTTGTATTCTATAAATCGACTGAGTGGACAGAGAAGTCCCTATCGACGATCATTCTGGCGAAGATATCCCGCCGAAATTTCCCAGAGTATGTGGTCTGCCGGTCGAATTCGATCTTCCCATCGCGGGATTTCCTACTGGAGTTTGAGCTGGCTCTCCGGACTCAATTTCAAATCGATAATATCCTCGAGTTCAGCGGGACGCCGTCGAAGGAAATGCTGGAGCAAGTGAGAGACCTTGCTTACAAAGTACATCCGCGGTGGAAATTCCTGCTTGAACATGAACGACGCAAAGAAGAAACTATCTACGAATGCGGCGAAGGTGCATACCTCCGTCGTTTCTCCCCGGCATGGGTCTATACGCGCATCATTCACAAGGGACTGCATCCGTTGGGCCGGTTCAAGGAGCACAAGGAAGAACACCGAGTGCTCTCTGAGCTCCTTGACCAGCGTCTCTTCCACGCCGCCCGTCGCGGGGCATGGTATCAGCGAAAAGCGCTGCTGGAGGAGCACTACATGTGGGCATTGGACCCCAATGAAGGACGCAGCGAGGACTTGCAGAAAAAGCACTGGAGGCACCATGCCCTCCGCACCTGCGAAGCAGGCCTCGAGGACCCCGACTGCCACCTGATCTATCACTACGATCTCCAGAAACGGATCACCAAGCTCGAAAAGGCTCTGCGGGTCGTGAAACGCGAACAGCACGAGTTCCACCACGTGCAGCTCGTCAAGCCCGAGGAACGAACCATCGAGGGCGTTCGCATCGAACCCGAAGACTCGCCCCCTCGAAACAACGGCACCCCTTCTCACGATGATATGTCCTCCAAACGAGGCCGTCCGACCATCTGGCTCGACGAGTGCGACGGCGGAGAATGTCGTGTCGAAAGCATGTGTCTGAACTGGTACCGCTCTCAAGGCTGGAAAGGCTACCACTCGGAAGGCGGCATCCTCAAAACCCTCTTCGGCTACCTCTTCTACGACATCCTCTTCACCTACGTCCCCAACGTCTTCCAAACCCCATTCCAGACCTGCCCGCTCGACCTCCACACCGATACTTTCTACGCGTCGCGCGCATCGGAAATCAACCACCGACTCGTCGAAATCACCAACGGCGACTCCGCATCCATCCTGCGGGCCGTGCACGCGCAGGAATCCCCCAAACAGACCTGCGCCGTCGGCCTCGACTGGTCCTTCGAGTTAGAGGATTTGGTGGAGATCGTGCAGTGTTTTCGCGGCGAGGCGCTGGCCACGATTTGCAAGGTTCTGGCGCAGGAGTATCAGCAGCGCGGGGGTGGGATTCCGGATCTGTTTCTCTGGCGGTGGGAGACGAGGGAGGTTCTGTTTGTGGAGGTCAAGTCGGAGAATGATCGGTTGAGTGATACGCAGCGGTTGTGGATTCATGTGTTGGTTGGGGCTGGGGTGAGGGTGGAACTTTGTAATGCTGTTGCGAGGGAGGTGAGGTCTTCTGCTGATTGAGGTAGATACGGAGTGCTTGCTGTAGATATACGACAGGTTAGAGTTGTTGAAGGTTCTGGACATAGCTACAGATCTACTGCTACATGGAAGAGAGAAAAAAAAAGGTATATGAAGTCATGTAAATCATTTTATTTTTTTATTTTTTTGATCGACTATCCTTGACCAGGAAGAGAGCCCACTTGAACTATATTCAACTGGAACACGGCACCACCTTGGATTCAACCACACCAAACCCATTAATTCCAGGATCCAGCATGATCAAAAATCAAGTCGAAAGGTGTCGCATAAACTCCCCCCACAAGACAAAAGATAGCCACTCAACCACCTATCTCCAACCAGCCGCATAAAAAACCACCCACCACTCTTTTCGAGTAAAAAAAAGAGAGTCAAGTAATTTAAGCAACCATGGTAGAGGCAGTGGAGCTCTCGTACCGCCAGGTAGGGGGCAGGACACCGACGGACTTGTAGTAGCGAGACAGACGGTGGATACGGGACTCGATGAGAATCAGACGGAACTTGCTGTCCTTGTCCTTGCGGTTACGCTCAAGGTGCTTGCGGACGGCGACGGCCTTCTTGATGAGGTGGTACAGATCCTCGGGGAGCTCGGGGGCAAGGCCTGTTGGTGAAGAAAAGATCTCTCTGTCAGCCGATGACCAAGCAGAGGCATTGCAGGACGGGGTCCTGGTTGGGGTCTTTGGAGCTTTTTTTTTTTTTTTTTTTTCCTTCGCCTTCTTGTCTATCTTCATCGAGGATGGAGATAGGGTTGATGGTCAAAGGTTTCTCCTCGCCCGTGTCTACGTGTATTTGCTGGGGAGTAGGGGGGTGGCGTACCGCTGGACTTGAGGATACGGAGGATCTTGTTACCTGTAGAGAATGATTGTTAGAATTTGATTCAAGATTTTGATCGATCATTTCATGAGTGAGAACTTACCGGTGACGGTCTTGACCTGGGCAACACCGTGGCTGTCACGGAGGACAACACCGATCTGGGAGGGGGTAGCACTATCCAATTCATTAGTCTCTCTGTATCTTGTCTTTCCTGTCTCTGTCTCTCAAAGAGACTAATCCATCTGCCTGAACATACCCCTTCTTGGCGAGCTTGCAGATCTGGTCAACGACCTGGTCGGGAGTGGTCTTCAACCAGCTGGGGGGAGTGCGAGAGTAGGGGAGAGCGGAGGCAGAAATGCCCTTTCCCTTGGAGTGAAGACGACCCATTGTGTATGATTTGGTGTTTTTTTTTTTTGGCGGGTGATAAAAAACCGGGTTGGTTGTCGACGGTGTTGAGGCTGCGATAGAAAGAAAAGAAAGAAGTCACTTAAGTTTTTTTTGCGACGATATGAGAATGGGATCCGCCGGTTGGTGGGGTCACGTGTATTGAATTTTCACGGGTGGATCCGAGATGTGGGTCACGTGAGTCGGACTTTCGCTTAATTTAAATGGAGGTTTTCGCAGCGGAAATTTTTCTGGTGGTTGTTGTTTCTTTGGGAGCTTCCATGTTGCGGGTTTTGCAACGCAGCACGATCGCTGGAGTTGAGATTTATGATGTCTCTGTTCTCTTCAAAGTCGAGTCTGTTTGTTTACTAACTGAGCTACGTTCAGTGTTTGATCAAGGTTAGTACTTCTCTCGTCCAGTCTCAATCCCCCCAATTTCTACAATGATGAAACACAACCTTCTTTACTTTATTTTCTGGTACCTCTTATGTCAGAAGTGAAGACCCTTGTGGTCTTTTCTTCGATGATCTAAATGGACTTCTGAAATTGCCTTTGATGCTATTTGTCTCTTGTCATGTTGGATGTGTGCAGTCTTGCTGACTTGGACTTCCTTAGGTTTCGATACGAGAATTGTCGATTGCTTGTGAGCTGTAGTGTGGTTGGAGAGTTGGGATTTTGAGATAGGGTAGTGCATATTAAGACAATGGACTCGTTCAATGAATCATCACTTCGGGCGATGAATCGTATATTTGCATACTGGTAGATGTAGGAATGTTGGCTGTCTACTGAACCTCGTTTCTGCTCGTTTCTGCGGCGTGATAGATGTCGTGGGGAGAGTTGTGATGTTGGTAACTCATCCCGTACTCAGTAGAGTTATCAATAAGTTCTTGGGTTTGAATTGTCCATATTCTGTTCATCGACATGATTGGATATGACTGGATAGGGGTAAACAGTGGCAACCTATCCACCTGCCTGTCAAATACTAACCTACCGCGGATCAATTTGAAATCCAAACCACAAGCATATAACCTACCGCTGAAAAGGTGATTCTAGGCAAGGTCGCGTTTCACGTCCACACCCGTCCACAGACTGCAGGATAAACTGTAAGTGTCATGCAATCTTCTCAGAAACCAGACCGCGAGCACTACAGAGTAGAATTGTGGTCTTCGACAGCCGAGGTCACACCAACACCAGGGAGCAGGAACAGAACGCACGGACATCACACCGCTATTCAATCCTCCAGTGATGTCCCGAATGCCCGGTATGGCAGTGACTGCCGGCTGGTCTGGTGACACGGGGAAAAGAACCCGTCTGTCGGGTTCAGCTGTGTGTGTATCATTGCCCGCGGGTGAAAGGGTGCCTGCGTTCCGGACGTGGTACTCACGAGAAGTGCTAATTCCTTGATTCTGGCATCGACTCCTCGTGTTCTACATTTCGATGTAGATTGGAAGCTGAATATGATAGGTTTTCAGCTGAGCACGGAGTTTTTGCCGCCGGATCATCCCGGCGATGTGAATCCGACCAGGTAGGTCCGTTGGTTGAAATCCTGAATCTCATGAACCTACCGGCATGCGGAGCTGTGATAGGAAGGAGACCGTGGCGGACTGATCGACAGATAAACCAATGGAACCATGTAGAGCAGAGGATCAAATTCTGCCTAGACAGGACCGTATCACGGACTCGTCGTGGCTGTGGGCCAGTGATGCCATCAACTCGCATCATTGGGGAAATCATAATGCAGCGCCGATATACAACGGCGGGAAAAAGATCCAGCACCTAAAAACAGCGCACCAACAGAAACGCAACGAAAAGCAATGACCACAGCCAAAGGCATGGCGATCACATCATGTGCCAGGGCCAAAACCACATCCATGGGCGGATCGCCGCTGTGATTTGGCGCGGGAGCACCGTCCAAGCTCCGAGACCGTCAAATCAGTGCGATTACGCAGCTGCGGATTATTGCAGAGAGGGGTAAAGAAAGGGAGCTTTCCGTAGGGCGTAAGTAGATGAAAGGGAGAGAAAAAAAAAGGCGGAGTAGTACAGGATACGGAGGCTGCGGTGATCGAAGCTGATAGATAGTGATCGTGGGGACCTGGGTCCCACGCGCAGTGATCGGTCGAGTTAGCGACGGGCCTATGATCACCACGAGAGGGCTTGCCGCAGGGCCCAGCTCCAGCCGCGGTCACTGTCGGCCCCGAGGAACTGGCACCGATTGGGCGCCAGGATGGATCAGGATTCAACGACGCTCGCCAGCGCCCGTCCAAACAGACTTCATGATTCAGTAGTCTGTCTAGCATCTGCGCGATTGTGGACAGAATCCACCGTGTGAGAGACAGAGCGAAAAAAAAAAAAAAAAAAGGTCGGCGCAGACTTCTTAGACACTAGACAGTCTAGACTCTTGGTGGACGAGGCAATGACGGCGTAGAATCTAACAGTAAAAAGTCCCAAGAACCAAGACAACTGAAATGATCCGTCTTAGTGGTTTGCTTGGCTCAGGTGCCATGGACGATCTTCTGGCTGTCATGTTGATGAGATGCCAATCCCCTGAATCGCCGACGAGGGCGCTTTTCAAGTCGGCTGCGTGAGCCTGATCGGTCGGTTAATATTGACTTTGCAGGATCTCGGTGGCACTGCAAGAGTTACGAAACCGTAATGAGATTAAACGGAGTGGCGTAGATGGCCAGGATGCACGACACGATAATAATAATAATTCTCTGCGAGGCTGGATGATTCCTCCGTATGGCGAGGGGAGTGGAGACCGGAAGTATTACTCTTCTCAACGAAAGATCTCCCGTCAGCCGGCAGGGATCCCCTGTTATGTACGGAGTACAGTATGTAGGTACCACCGTACAGCACCTGGTACTGAGTAGTTTAGTGCTAATGGATGTGTTAGGTATGCACTCCGTAGGTACTCCGTATACGAGGATCTGTCAGGATGAGTATCGCTGCCTGTTTCCCGAGGCATCAACACCCACAGGACTTGTCACGATGACACACTAGGACTCAGCACTCCGCGGGCAAATCCTTCTCGTATGGAGTGCACACACTCGCCCGGTGGCAGGGAAATGATTTCATTGAGTAATTTGGTTTTACTCAATTGCAAGCAACCCCAATCCCTTCGTGTCCAGACCGTGATGACTTGCCGCAGCCCGGTGTGACGAGGGTCAGCGTGCCTGCAGCCGAGATACGGAAGTGTCAACCCGGCCAGAAGAATCGCATTGTGATGGTCGCAAAAAAAAAAAAAAAAAAAAAAAAAAAAGACAATGACACCAGGAAGAAAAAGCAAGAGCAAGACCATCAGCAAGAAAAAGAAACCGAAACGACAACAGCCCCGGCCCAAAAATAAACAACCCCAATGATCTCAGACAGGATGAAACAACGTGTTGGGGCATTTCCATGGAACCTTCGACCGTCAACCAAAGATTTAGGGTATTCGAAGATGGGCATCTGGGAAAATGTGGACGAAAGTATGGCTAGCTCCGGATATTCAGAGGGCCAACGTTTCAAAGGTTAAATCCAACCTAATTCCGAGGCGAGGAAAGTCGCAGAATCTCCAGCGTATTGAACGCGACGGAGGACTGTCTAGTAGGGAATAGCGTCCACTGTGTCGCCTCTAGTGCCGTCGTCGTCCGCCATCCTGCACTAGTTAATACATGGCGACATGCTAGGAGCCCAAATGAAAGTGCCTTAATGATCTATATTAGCCATTCGTATTATATGCGGGTAGAGATGCAATATGAGCCATTCCCCACGTGTGCGTGGTTGACCATAGCCCGTAATATATCATGGCATAATAAAATGGAATTGTTGCCAGGAACTCCGGAGTACGAGAGACCGGAATGAAAATCCAAATCAAAACAACGATAGCAATACTCCGGAGTAGCGAGAAAAAAAGTACAGAACTCCACTTGAGGATCTACTGCAATCTGCATACTCAATTCGGGAGGAAATCACGGAGAACGTCCGGCCTCCGTGGAGGTTCCCAACCTTGGGGTTTGGGCATCCTAAACCACCACTATCGATTGATGATCGTCCGGATGTGCAAAGGGAGAAACCAGCTAGAAGAGTTGAAGCGTGATAGACGCGCCAATCGATCCAAGGTTCTGGATTTGACTTTCGAGGTCGGCAAGTTCATGCCGTGAGAGTCTGCCGACTCCATGGCGATCGCAACCTGGAGCCGTGGTTGAGAGTCGAGAATCAACGTGGGCAGCGAAAACTGGCAGATTCATGATTCCAATGGACCCGCTACGCCTTGTACTATTTAGAATTTAGTGTTTAGCGGTGTTTACTTCATAGTGTTGAGTCTTGACTCCGGACTCGCAGTCTGTTGGTGTTAGTGTTAGGGTTTGGATTTGGGAATCTGGATCCTTATGAGGTGCTCAGGAACTACGCCCAAGAGGGAACTGTTTCCTGTCCGGGGTGTTTGGCGCGGGATTTATCGCGTTTCTTATTCTCCAGGATACCAGGGTTAGGAATCGAAATCCCTTGGAATAAGAGAACGGAGTAATTAATTTACTTGCCCTCTCCCACCGACGGAGCACAGAACACCCACGCGACACTAGCCAGATTGCTAGAATCCACGAAAAGGGCTGCCATGGTCAGTGCACTGCGACGCCGGAGTAGATCTAGATGCCACTTCTTTTACTTTTGGCGACGTAAGCGGAGAGGCGAACCCTGGAATTGAGACGATCGTGGTTCTTGAATCATGATTCTTCCATTCTAATTTCCCCTTTCCTGGGAGTTATTTTTGTCCATCCCCCGTCGTCATCGGCACTCGGGAGAAAATAGAAAATGGAGAGGTAATTGCAGTCCGACCACGGGTGGAGTCTCGCCTGGTCTCCATCCAGACCATCTCGTTGCGATCCTTGGGGGATCCAGGATGGCGTTTTCGATTCTAGCAAGAAACACGAGGCGAAAAAACTCGTCGCGTCGCACAAACAACCGGGATTGTTCACTGGGTATTTACATTAAGCAAGAAGCAAAGAAGAAAAGACAGATAAATAATACTGTACTGAATAGAAAAGGGAGAAAAAAAAGAAAAAACCAGGGGCAAAAGTGAGTTGCGGCAGTGGTGAGGAGACGGTCAAACTCAAAGCCCCTCATGCTGGCCAAGGGAACAAAAGAGATGCGGCTTTAGTCTGCAGTAGCGTCTGGGTTGCTTGCTCTTCTGGGCTTAGTGTCGTCCGCTAGAACTCTATCGCCGCAGCAGTTTATCGTGCTTTCTTTCTTTTTCTTTTGGATAAGAAATAATAATAATAATACTATGATTATTGTTCGAGGTAAGGTACCGTATCCGGCGTACATTAGCGTCCGCTCGTTTAAGCCCTGTGCCTTCTGTTCAGTACATACCTAGGAGTATTCTTGTCAATTCATTTGATTTAATTGTACTCTGTTGTCTCCGCCCGAGTTCCTCGGTCCGCTTCCCTCAGCAACCGTCGAGACTGGAACACTAGAAGAAAGTTGAATTCCCAGGATATCATGTTGTGTAGCGTGGTGGACCACACTGGACCATGGAACGCAGGCTGGTTTCCCCTCCCCGGCGCATGGCAATTGGAAGTGACACTCGTGCGGCTAGCGAAGGCCGGTCCACTGGTGTAAGGAGCGAGGAGGAAACGCATCCTTGGGTCGTAGTGGAGGCCGTCGGTATTTCTCAACCCAATCAGTCCCCGCGGAGAGGGGGTCTAGTCCGGCTTATGGCGCAGCTTCACAACGTCTGACTCTCACTGACTCTCACTCCTCCCCGCTTCTTCCTGCCTTCCATCTCAACCTTGGAGGATCCTCGTTCACTTTCTTTTTTGTTTTTCTCTTTTTTCTGTTTTTCGGGTCCACTCATCGTCGCGAGCCCCTGGTGCCAAGCTACGTCTCGAGGTATCCCCGTCAGGCCCAATCACAACCATGTCCTCCTCGCCCATACCCTCTTCTCGTGCCTTGGGTGAACGGGCCTCTGGTCCATCAGTCCACTGGAACGCGGTCCCTCTTCCCCAACGATGCTCGCTTTAGTTAATTGACCGTGCCAAAGAAGTATAACGCCAAGGTACATCACTGACCCTTGTTCGGACTATATCTCCCCATCCTTCCCTCTCTCCCCTTCCTTCGTCCGCTTCCTTCTTGTTCCCCTCCCCCCCCCTTTACTTCCCCTCCACTCCTTCTATGAGATCATCCCCTGCGAGAGTGGATTTTACATCTTTCTCTCGTCAATCGCAGTGATTGCACGGCTGCGAGCCTCTCGCACGGGGTATCAATGCCTTGGAGGACCTCGAGGATCCCGCTTGCGACTTGTTCTCCCGCTTCCTAAACTATGACTCTTGCGCCCTCTGAACTGCCACTCCAGTATACGACGGTCAATCGATAGGGCTCACCATGTCCAATACCACTCTGCATGGACATTGTCCAAAACCTTTCCTACAAGAATCTCTCTTTCCATCGTCCGGCGGATGTATGCTATGCCCGTCGCAAAACTCGTGCTGTTTATACCTCGTCTTATGGTGGTGCTAACCATGAACCGTTAGTCGTCGAAGGAAGATACTGCAAAGAAATCCCTGGCGGAAACAGCCAGGTTTCTTGTTGTCTACCATGTCCGTTGGCGGAATGGACCTACGGTGATGGTAAGTCTGGTCGGCTATCTTACCTCCAGGTGTAATACTAACCGAAATCGCCCGGTCCAGAATTGATGTCTAAGACAAAGGCGGCCAGCTGGCTTAGTGTCGCCGTCTTGCCCCTCTGCATATTCCTTCTGGTCTCGTACGCGGTCCTTCCGGTGAAATGGACGCATCGCCACTACCTGAGCATCTGCTTTACGATAGGAATCTGTTTTATGGAGGTGAGGGATCTTGCGACTCGTCTACACCCGAATTCGTCTGACCGAACAGCTTGCATTTATCATCCCTCTTGGTTCGAATCCGGAGCAATGTTACAACCAGATCACTCCCAAGGGTATGCGTGACGATCTGTCATGCGCCTTTACCGGTTCCTTGCTGCTCTTCGGCGGCTGGGTGGTCGTCGTGTGGAGTTTCATCCGTACCGTCGCCTTCCACCTACAGGTATGCTGGGAGGTCCCTATCGGGAAAAAGTTCATGTGGGGGGCGTTCATCTGCGGCTTCGGTATCCCGGCGATTGGATTGACGGTCATGCTGATCCTAACGGGAGTCTCGTTTCGGTTCGGCAGCATGTGCCACATCAACATCAAATACAGTCTGCAGGACTACTGGGCCCCGGTCATGGCCTTTGCTGCCGCTGCTTTGGTCTTGCAGCTCGCGACGATGGGATACTGCATCCATGTTTATGTCCGGTCTGTGTTCGACAATGACACCACTACGAATAGCTCGGGTCTACCCTCTTACACATCGAGTGTGCGCACCGTAAGTGCCCGACAAGCATACCGACGTATCCGACGAGTTCTTCAATTGCAATGGCGCGGCGTGGCGCTGGTTCTGATCATTATCGGCAACGTGATATTCTTCGCCGTCGTCTTCATCGACATGGACAAGCAGCTCGAAGTGTCGCCGCACAACATGAAAAAGGCCATGCCATGGCTGATGTGTTTGGTCGCGTCGGAAGGGGACAGGAAGAAATGCTCCAAGTACATCGCAGAGGTCGGACCCAACGAAGCCACGCTCCTGGCCGTCCTGATTCTTTTATCGCTCGTCGGATTGTGGAACTTTGTTCTCTTCGCGCGACCCTCGCTCTTCCTCGGCTGGGTCGACCTGTACCAAAGCAAGTTCGGCAAACCCGACGAATACGTCTCCGCCGACGCCCGCAGCCTCCTGCCTGATTCGCGCACCTACGAAATGCTGGGCAACGCGACGATATCACCGTTGAAAACGCCCGAACCCGTCGTCCGGTCCCCCTCTCCGGCAGAGCGGATCACGAGCCCGGAGCCGAGCTCGTACGGCCGAGAAGCGCGGTACATCCAGCCCTCAATGAGCTTCTCATCACCTCGGCCTCCTGGCCCTACAAACGCTGGAGGCGGCCGAGAATGGGTTCCCGAGGCAACATTTGCGCGGGGTAATCACCAATACGGATCATCACAATGAGGTTCGGTTCGACATTGGGCATGGGTTTGGGGTTCGGTGTTCGGAAGAGGGATCGGATAAATGATTATTGAAAAACGAAAAGTATTGTACATTCTACGATGTATTGGGTATACCCTGGGAAAGATTTGATTGATTCTACGCGACATGTATTCTGGCATTATACGAACTACAACTTATTAGTTTAGTCTAATCTCAACTGATAATAAATGAAGACTTCATCACAAACCAAACCAGATCCTGACCCACCAGACCCCAAAGTTAAAGTGTTAAAGTGTTCAAACTTCAACCGAGCGAAAACCACTAGGGACGACCCGTTGGGTCCAAAAAATCAGTCAATCCGGCGGTCTGTTTTGTCTGTCCGTCGTCCCCGCATCTTGGTTTTCTAGTCGAAAGCATAACACGATTATCATAAGACTATGACTACGACATGGACTCCGTAACATGTGGGGTGATAACGGTGTCGAACTTAAACACTGTCATTGTAACGTTGGGGTTCGGTTCGGCATTCGATCTGGTAGTTAGGTGGCGATGTGATGATCGCATGTCGATATTATCTCGATTCTATGGGGGAACTACTATTTCGTACCGAGCAGATGCCGCGGTTGGGTCAATGCGTTCGGTTTGTTTTTTTGGGGGGTTCTGTCATGCCACGTTCATGGTTAATCTGGTGGCTTTGATTTTGTTTAATTAGTGGTGCTACTTACGGGGTAGTTGGCTCATGGGTGGACTGGGGAGAGGACGGAGGGGAAGTAAATCCCGTCTTTAGTATTCTAATTATTCTACTGATCGATCTTATCGCTATCAGAAAGTCCTGAACACTACTTGAATTCTAAACACTACGGTACATTCAACGTCATAGAAAAAACCAGAACAAAATCAATAAAAAACATGTGAAACACACCCTCGGTCCAGGGTCCTACCTAGTCCTAGTTCTAGTTCTAGTCCTAGCCCTAACCTAACTAATTCCCTCCCAGGATCGGGATCCAGACCAGGATGCACAGCACTTTACTATGAATTAGTATGCATAGGGTCGGGACTAAGCACCCCGAACCCTGAAGACGTACGTACTCCGTCCATCCACACCACCTTGTAGGCGAGTAGATGTGGGAGTTAGGTTCGCCGATAAATCCCCAATTAGTTAGATGGTATTTCTTTTAGTTAATTCATTAAAAAAAAAGTTTGCTTGGAGTGGCGATGACATGACTGGACCGGACCAGGCCAGACCAGACTTGGATTGACAGGTGGGGAGGGATTTAATTTAATTTTTCATTGTGAATTGAATACCTAAGGCGTTCTGATTTATTTCTCCGGCTTGGGGAGTGCATTTCGGTCATTTAGTCTTTTGTTTGGATTCCGAGAGACGAGGCTGGACTTGGATTTCATTTTCCGGACTGATGGGAACTAAAATCTTTAGTTCACGGAGGTCGGAGACGGAGCACGGAGTTCTACTTTTACTATCGGTAATCTAAAGTCTAGAATCTAAAGGTATCGTACGATGTGCGATTTGGGGTTACCCCGTGGGGATTGTGGATTTCTTGGTGGTTTTTTGCGGGATCTATCTAGATAGACCAATCTTGGAGTACATTCTTCGAGGCTAATTCGATGTACAGCCTATACGGCGTGGAATCTATGGATTTTCCTGACTTTCTGCCTGCTATCTGGTGAATATTGAACTCCTAGTAGATGAATGTAAGATTGCTGGGGGAGTTAATGCATAGTAGAAAGGGATGGTATTCACAGCCCTAGTTGAATATCTTCAAATCCCCCTGTTCTTCCCACTCAGCTTCTTCTTTCCTACAGAATCTCAACTCTACTACATGTATTTTGTATACGCGCTCTTTCTATGTATCTTCCCTCATATTTTCTCCCTGGATGCCCTCTGCCCTCTGCTAGGATCTATTCCGATATCGAGTATACAGGGCGAAGATACCACATTTACCGACAACAGAAGCAAACACACGCATAGCGTCTGATATTAGCCAATGGCATAAGCTTGGGTTTTGCTTGGGTTTGGCGCACCCATATTCTTGAAGGTGAGCTATCAATTTGGCTCGGGGATAGCTTTCTGCTTCTATGGTGGAGGGAAGATCAACAGCACATATACATGAGCCATGTGGATTTACGTCGAGCGTTGATTTTCCCAGAACAATCTACTACTGACGACGGGCACGTCAATATAGAGCGGCATCAGGGCTGTCCCGAAGCAGTTAGGCACGCAAAGCAATCATCATCAGGTAAGTTGCAATTCCGCCCTGATATCTGGGAATCATGGGACTGACTGGTTCTATAGGCACACAGAATTCCACACCTCCTTCATTGCCTTGCATACTTCGACTTGAGGGTGGCTTGGTTTCGTTGAAACCGCTTATCAACCTATACACATCGCTCTGTTTGCACATGCGCCTGGTATGGCGCTGGTCCCGGGATTGAATAAACCCGCCGACCCAAATTTCATTAACCCGCAAACTCGAGGCAGAAGAACTTGATGGCAAAACCATTAATGGTGGCCTCACAGGCTTTCGGCAAAAGAAGGTGGTGGAAGAACTCAACATGGAGGAGACAAAACGATATGGCTCTCGCTTCTACAATACACCAAACCCGATTGAAAATTACGAACTCATGCCGGTGTTCCCGCTTAACCATGCATTGTGTTCGAAACAGGCTATATGCGAGCCATTCAGCATTCTGGGCTAGATGATTCCTCCGTTCCAAGTCCTGTGCGACAGTGTTTTGAATCGTCAAGATGGAATTTAACCCATGGAAACGGGCTGTCTTGAGGAAAAACGGAATCGAAACTGTCCCCAACAGGTTAGCCCTAGGAAGAAGTTCCTGGCATCTAGGCTGGTGACGAAGAGATATTCTGGGGGTTCAATAGAGAGCAACACGATAGAACAGGAGAACATTTTGAGGATACGCTTCAGTGAGTTGCCATCCATTCTTCTGTTTTACCTTGCAGATATAATAATGTTGACTATCTCTAGGACGGTCGAAAGTATGGGATATGGACTCCATGTCTGAAAGCCCATACGGCCTCGGTGTGAGCAGCCAGTCTATACCTAACTGGCATCAAAGTGTCGCAAAAAATATCGATATCGAAAGTAGAATGGGATCATACCATGGATACTTCATTGGTATCCTACAGAAGCCATTCGCCCTGATGAGGGTTTGTTTACAAACAAAGGGGTTCATCACAACTCCTACTGGAAGGGGCTTTTTCAAACTTGGTTGGCTTACACCTAATATGTAATAGCAGAACACCGCATATCAAAATGCACATCTGCCACTCTTGAGCGAAACCGTGATGAGGATATCAAGAATCGCGCTCAGAAACTATTGGAGGAATTCCTTGCTGTGCCGATCTCCGACACCCGGAATCACCAAACTATGCACCCACCAGAGGATCGAAAGGATGATCTTAATATAAGACCTACCAAATACCGCAAAACAGTTGGAGAAAAAAGACTACCTGCTTACGCCTACCAGTATTCTCCCGCCGAGCCGAATTCTGTCAACTATGCCGACCTGGCCGCCCTTCGTGATGAGGACACGGAAGAACCAAAACCTTTGTCAGAGGAACTTGGAGTCGTGGGCAGATCTTGTAGATAGAAACGCTGATGTTACCCTTCCGATTCGATTGGCGACATTCCGCGTCGCAGAGCTGTGAACAGATAAAACGATATTGGTGGACAATTCCAGTTTTTTGTGGTTCCCAAGTACACAGCTCATGCATGGGTCATGCGTCTTGCTATATCTTCTCAGACTAATTTGTCTCTTCAGCATCTCCTATTGCTATGTCGAAGCCAAGTTTGCGGGTCAACGTGCCCAATCCAGGCAACGATTCCATAGGCAATAAGACCAAAAAAGAGAACAGATCTGGTGTCTAACAAACAGAGAATCATCAGTAGAGCCTCAATGCAGCGTGACCCTTTGAACAATCAATATGCCATAGCTGCTCGGGGATAGATCCCAACAGTTCTCGAGAAGCCCACGAAGTGGTGTATCGAGAGGTCCTTATCCTATCAGCGTATGAAAGAGCCCTTCTGTCTTCACTTCACTTCCGGACGACGTCAACAACAACCATTCCATCATAATCATCATTATACTGATACTCATATTCATAGTTTAGTTTAAGGTCAACTCTCGCCCTATCACCTCCTACCAGGCGTTGGTGGAGGGCCTGCCGAAACTCCAAAAGGGCATATACCATACGAAAAGTAGTGCCCCGCATCCAGTGTCCTTCACTGGAAATCTTGCTCCATGGCTAGATTTTGACCGTGATGTTCGACTCGCGTTTACGACTCATACCGGGGCGTTAAGACGCAGCCATATATCCCTTCAGCCTCGCGGCGAGGCATCGCGCGCCAGTACAATGGCTAACAAAAGACAAGGCTAGGGCCATGGTGCGAGATTTGAGAGAAGAATCCCTTCACTACCATCCTGGTTATGGGTCGTCATATTCAATTTGACCAGGATAATCCGCCTGGAGGGTTTTTTCTGTCGCTGCTTCTTGAAAAATTGCCGGGCCAACAGCAAGTATGATCCGCAGAGGAGTCCGCAATCATCGATCAAAAAGAAATCCCCTGGTTGACCTGGATAAGCACCCATGGGATTCACCATTCAGTCTGTTGTTGAAGGAGGTACATCAACGACTGCCTATAGCAAATGCCCTGATGCTGCAGGCTTGACGAATGCGGGTGGGCTGCGATTTATCGGTGAACTGAAAACACCGTGGGTTGAAGCACACAGGATATCTACGTCGCAGTCAAGCTAGGCCCTCACCTACACGCGATTTGAAATTTGTGGTGGTTTACGGCTTAATACTGCCGAAAGTATCGTTATCCTGTGTCTTATAGTCATCTCAAAATGGCCGAAGCTTGGAAACCCATTGTCCGAGCTTTGATGATTCGCGCGCTGGCCGAAGACATCGTTCTCCCGTTGAAACCGCAGGAGAGAAAGAACCCGAGCGTATCTTGCAAGCAGGTTTATGGGCTTATTTCTGGCATGGCGATTATCTACCGAGCGGAAGACTAGAGCCTATACAGAAGGAGCTTAAGCTCCAAAGGCAGGTGACCAAGTATTGTCCCAGGCTAATTTCACCTTTCTAGTTGAAGATGGATGAAGCTGGAGGCTGTGAACGAGAGTGTCAGTACCGCTATTATCAGCATACTGGAGTGGATTGGAGGCGGCCTTTCCATCACAAACGCAGAAGAAAGAAAGCACATGTTCATGCTAAAATAGAAGAACAACAGCAGAGACGCTTACTGGACCTACAGATTGGCGCGAACTCCTCATCTCGACAAACCAACGAACTTCATCTCGACAAATCAACAAACCGAGTATCATGAACCTTGTTAAATCGCTAAGGAAACTTATGCAATCCACCCTCAACGTTGGTGTGGCACTATAACCCCACGCAGCCTCCACGGTGTTCAAGTGCAGTTCACCGTGGCTATGGACGATGCATCTTTCGCGGTGAGGAAACACCAGAAGACATCAGCGAAACCGACGAAGAACAAGGCGATAAAAGATTATATCCTTCTGGAGAGACTGAAGACAATCGACCAAAATCTATAGCTCCCTATGGGCAGTTCAGTTTCACAAATTCTCAACCTGAGCTATTGAAAACCTGTTAAATATAGTCGTTGGGTATGCAATTTCAGCAAATTTCCGGCATCTCGAAATTGTCACTTTCTACAATACTTTCTAATTGCCCCGGAGCAATATCAAGGGTTGTTTTCGTTCCCAAGTGGTAACTCGAACTTCCGGCAGAAAAGCTCACGGTTACAGAACACGTACACAACTCCAATACGCCTATAATGCGTGAAGCCTCCTACCCATTTGGCTACTGCTGTGTCCGCTGCTTATCCGTTGGGACAGAAGAGAATTGATTATACAGAATAAGGATCGTCCAGCAGTTTTTCAATGTACCTGGCACATCCGAGGAGAATTCTGGTTTGGTGCCTCCCCAAGGAGACTTTATCGAGAATCAAGAAGATCGGTGAAGCAAAATTAATTCGGGTTCTCAGACTTAAGTTTGATCATGGCCCACCTTTTATTGATCGAGCTCGCTATGGGATAATACGTTCTTCTTTATCGGAGCAGCAGCATTGATCTCAAACATGGATCCATCATCAGAGAACGAGACCGAAAAAGAGGTAAACCATTCAGACGCTGTACAGAAATATATCCGTGATGGGCAAAATTACAACCGCAGTGATGACAGGGCTAGCCATACGTTCCCGGTGCCTCTATGGGTTGGATTCAGGCCAAGACTATAGGCAACACATACCATTACTTCTTGAATCCCGTTGCGAAAATTCGTCAGGTAGCGGGCATACGACATAAGTATACCGGTGTATATAGCCCAGGCTTATGATGATCAACTCTCTGGGGAATTCTGAGGGAGACTTTGGAAACTGTGTGAGAATATTACCTGGCTAGCTGGGCAAGGAGTGTCAGCTGGGATTACAAGAAGAATTCCATGCCGCTCAAGAGAAAGGCGTCTATGGACTATCAGCTTCTCCGAAGAGAACATCGAAGGTGACTGGAGGGCATTTGTGTTGGAATTCCAGAAGCAATGAGTGTCTGCAGGTCGAAGGGAAGCTACTATTCCATTCTTCAAGGCGATCTTGAAACCAATGTTCCACCTTATATATAAGGGAATTGAGAAGAGCTGTGTTTACTAACATCTGTACCATACACATAGTCCGACTCACGATAATTCAAAAAAGCTGCCTTTAGCGCCCTGACCGATGGGGCGCTCCTGAGCCGACTAAGAAATTTTGTTCTGGGGATCTTCGGAGGATCGAGAAAAGCGTCGGCCTAAAGAGGACTGCAACTGGGCAGTAACCGAGGTTCATATTCCCTGTATCGTCTTGGCATGGTTTATGAGTTAATCTGACTCAGGACATTGACATAATCGTGGATTCGGAGGTTAGCGAGGCGTGCAACATGCTTCTCCAAGCGGACCCACGTTTCAAATTGACACCGAGCAAGCCTCAGCCTGTTTGGTGTGATGGGGGTTGATGATTGGGGACCTCTTTCCATGCCAAACCTTTCTGGTATTTACCAGTCCTCGCGATCAATGGATGGGATGGACTGTCAACTAAAATCAAGATATCATATTGCGTTGGCAATCGGCATTAGAGGGGATGTAAATGCTCTTTCGAGCCCACATCGCTTTTTTTCATAAACTTACCTGTGGCTGGCACGATTATACATTTGTTGAATCACCAACAACCGCAGTTGAGATGGGCTACACAGCTGAGTTTACTCTCTTGACCTTTGAAGATGTGGAGTGCATACTTTCTATCTTCTCATTATGAAGCAGTGTCTTTGAAAATGTCGTACAATCCTTGATATCGGTGGGATGTCAACGAATTCTGGAACCTATTGACTGTTAACCCTACCACGGCTTGGGACTGGAGTACCAAGAGTACCAAGAAATTGTCTCGCTACAAGGCTACAACTACATTAAGACTCTAGGGGTTAACTCAGCAATATGGCGGAGGATAGAAAAAAAAGAGACTACCGATAACCAACAGGTAGCAGAAAAATCTCGCCGATTACTTCTAAAACACTGTTACAAGAAACTAAAGACACATTTTCCAATGTTTTTTATGAACTCGAAAAAGTAACACCACGAAAGATACTTCAGGCAAGATGTATATTGACTTTATAGAGACGAGGTTTGTACCCACAAGAATAGAATCATTAGGCAGGTTGCTCTCTAAGAGCTTCAATTTGAAACGAACTTTCTTGAACCAGAAGCCAGCTGTAAGGCCAAACGCCACAATGGTAGGGATGAATCTAGTTGATAATAAGTTGTTCGAAGGACCCAAAGCTATACGAAACTCCCCTGGGCTGTTCGTCATTCTTTGGGGGAGAAAAGAGGTATATGGCCGTGAGAGAAAAGGCACTCCCCTAAAGAACGCCTAAGATCGAAGATTCTACACTTGGGGACCTCAGGATCTGATGCCATTCTTCCTTAGCAACTCGTCCCAGTCCCCACGCGGTTTTTCATTTGGGAATGTGCTCTCGAGAGCCTCATACTCCGTACATAGTTTAAAATTGTGGCGTCCCTCACACCTACCATTTGCCCTGCCTACGTGGCACGGTGCTATAGGAATCTAGGAAGAGATTAGCGGCTCTTTTCCCCGGCCTATGGTATATACATAGCTGGGCCCATTTCTCAGCCTTGCCCGAGTTCCTCGTTCTGGCGACTGCAGCTTTGATTTGAGGTGTATAACTTCATGACCCGCAAGTTGCCAGTCCCTCGCTTGATTAGTATTTAAGTAGTGATTGCTTTTTCTATACAGTAGTATCAAGGTATCATAAGGCATTTGACACGAAGATTCTATACCTTTTGTTCCATTGAATTAATATCATCAATGATCTTAAGAATACTGACCTCATCACCGAATCATTGAGAAGAATCACAGTTGCCGTCCTGTCTACTCGAAAGCTGTACCTTACGAACCGAAACATTCAAGGGTTGACTCTAGTGATAATCATCCCTTCTTTCACCGGCCCAATGACATCCTCAACCCAAATAATGATGACTGGCCCGGACCCGCATTCCACTCAAGATAGGTATCGCATCCTGTGGAATACTTCTGTGACTTACTTTTTGTCTGATTGTTCGCTTAAAGCTATGAAGTATTTTTATTTGGTAGGCCACGTCAGGTCAGGAGTCGAATATAAGAGGCTCCAGGTTCCTCGGAAGGGGGTATTGAAGTTCATCCCTACAAACCTTGTTCTTCTCCTTCTCCTTGCATTTTTGTTTCTTTGCGCTCTCTCAGTGCATATTGCACTTTGGCGTATTTCTTATTATTTAGGACCAGGGAAAGAGCCTCGAATCATTTTCTTTTCTTCTCTCATCCGTGAATAATCGATTGTCTGGCTTGCTCCTGTGGATATTTTTTCCAGTTCTTTATAGAATAACGGGTTTGGGATAAAAGAGTATTATGCCGTGGTCAATATTTCTCATATTTGCCTTTCAATGACTGTTTATATCGCCAGGTATAGCAGCAGGTAAAGCAGATGATCGCATGTGTTGGTTTCCCGACAAAACAACAAGCATTGACGTACCGTGCACCTCTGACGCCAATACCCATTGCTGTCCAGCGGACTCAATCTGCATGGATAATGGATACTGCTATAATATCGGGCGACAACCTTACTTGATGTTCAGATCTACTTGCACGGATCGAGATTGGGGCACGAGCTGTCCGCAGGAGTGCAGAACGCGAGGTATCTCTACCCATTTATTTCCATGTCCTATTGATATCTGCAAGAGTTATATTTTGAGATTGCTATATGGCTTATTCACATTCCACTTGCGCGAGTCCATAGATTCCGAAAACATGGGCACAACATCCCGTATTATGCTCAGTCACTCCTTTGGCGACTTGAGTAACTACTGTTGCGATCAAATATCGCATTTAGATGAGAACTTCAACGGGTCGTACTGCGCCGAGTTTTACAGACCTGAATTCAGACTGCCCTCAGAAAAGGCCATACTGGGTGTAGCAGCGCTCAAGGGGCTCACGCTCAGCGACTCGATCGATTACACCCAAAACAGCATCAACACCTCCCAAATCTCCGAGGCAAACCACACGTCAACAACACAGCCTCGCGCGATACCAACATCTTCTGACACTTCAACCCATATCCCCGAGAAGAGCGAAAGCAGCTGTAGCTCCAGGAAGGAGAAAGCCATCGGTGCGGGCGTGGGCGTTTCTTTAGGCGTGATTCCGCTGGCGTCATTGACATGGGCGCTCTGGCTGCTGCGACAGAACCAGAATCTGAAGAAGGGGCAGGCGCAGGCGCAGGGTCTTGGCCCGAGTCCAGGTAAAAATCTGACCCATGGTCAGCTATGTTCGATGACGCCTTCTGGTGGATATATGAGCCCGGAGTCTCTTACACATGCGCGCAATAGTCAACTTATGGACCAGGCGGGTATGCCTCAAAGCCCGAGTGAATTACCTAACAAGAGTGTCTAAGCAGAGTCCTTAGGCTACTGATTCTATGCTAAGGTGCTTTACCGTGTACCTGGTAATCTAATGTATACTATGTTGGAACAAGTTGTCAGTAAAAACTTTTCTAGGGGATCAAGATGCGTGCAGCTCTCTCATGTAGGGTATTGATTTCTCTCAAAACGGTATCTAGACTCTGCCAAAGACAAAAAAAAGTCAACATAATACAAACGTTCCAATTTCATTTATCTCCCGCTATGATACACCGTAAGTTAAGGGAACCCAGAGAACTGGAAAGCCAGACAGACACAGCAAACGCGAAATCAAGACGTGAATGGAGTTAAATGAGGCAGTGCATCCTTCCTCCAACTCGGATGTTTTTTTTATCATGAACCATCCCCGGGGATGATAAACTCAAGGGAGAAACAAAATAGATAAAATAGATCGCCCATTAGGGTTAATGACTTATCTACCAGGCGTTGACGTCGAAGTTGGGCTGCAGATGGTTAGATATAGATGACATGTACAAAGGTAGGGTTAGGTCTCACCTCCGAAAAGTAGGTTGTCACCACGGTTCGATCGGAGAATTTCCGTCCAGCGAGGGCCTTCAATGCATTTGTGGTCGACTCTACCGTGTCGAACTTGACAAAGATCTTGCCCACACCGGGAGACTGTCTGCTGCCACCAGAAGGCCGCGGGATCTTCAGCTCGACGATCTGTCCGTACTTGGAGCATTCATCGCGCACATCGTCGCAGATTTCTGTCCTCATTAGCTGTGTGGTCCATCAAGACAAAGCATAGAAAAATACCTTCGTAGTCTTCACCGTCCATCAACTCCTCCGGCGTCACCATGTTCAACAGCTGCAACACGCGGCTGGTCTCCAGGTCCTGCGATGTCGTCTTGGCGAACATTGACATGGCATTGACACCCATGTCCAGTCCAGACGCCTGCGTCGTTCCAATACTGGCGCGCACCACCTTGAGATGCCGGTCACCCAGTTCCATACCGTTGAGACCTTCCACGGCAATGCTCGTGGCGGAAGGATCAGCGTATTCGCAGAAGGCAATTCCCTGGCAAATGTTAGACTGAGATGCCACTAATCAAGAATGGCAACTTACCCGAGACTCTTCCGTCGAGGCATCCTTGACCAGAACAAAAGACTTCAATTCACCGAACGACTTCAGAAGCATGGTGACGGGCTCTTCGGGGATATAGCTGGGGATGTTGGAGACGCAGATTTTGTTCGCCGAGTCGGGAACCTCGTTCAACAGCACACCCTCCTGGTATTCTTGCTCGGTCGTGGTGCTGGGGACAATGTAATCCTTGGGTCGTCGGATATCCAAGCCCTTTTGTTCGCCATTGGCAGCACCGTTGCCCTCCATAGCTGCATGTTCATCCATCGTGATGCCATCAAATGAAAGAGCAACTGTGGCGTCGTTGGGCGACTTGAATTCGACGAGAGCGAAGGTATGGTCATCCGACACCTGCGCCGAGATACACGGGTCGACGCTCTGAATGACGTTGAGACCGTTGAGTTGGGTGTTCAGGAAAGCCAGCAGAGACTCGCCCGTCACGCTAGTAGGAACGTTGTAGATAAAGAGACGCTTGGCCTGGCGAGAGTTGGAGGGTTTGAGCATTGCGCTGTCGGCCGATCCACCACCAGGTTGCGCCATAAAGGCCTGAAGACGGCTGGGGTCCATGGGCTGCTGTCGAGGGGCACCGGGAAGAGGAAACATTCCTACAGAAGTCAGCAAGGCTCTTTGGCTGCACAGTCAAGGGAGTACGGAGGATAGCCATCATACCTGACAGCTTGGCCTGTTCCGCAGTCACGTTCTCATATCCAGGAGGCTTGATATCCCATTGTGTCAAACGACGTTTCCGGTCCAGGATGGACGGCACGTCTGTCAAGTCGGGCGTAGGCTCGCGCTTACGCGGAGTAGGCGACGGGCTTCTCCTGCGCTCTCTCCGGTTCTCCCGATCACGGTCGCCGCGATCTCTGCCTTCCCGCCGAGGTTTATCTTCGAACAAATCTCCTCTTTCCCGCTCGCGCCGGGATTGTCGGTCGTCGTAGTCTCTACGTCGACGATCGCCGCGCTCCCCGCGGTCACCACGCTCGGGACGCTCGCCACGTTCAGGACGCTCGCCACGTTCAGGACGCTCGCCACGTTCAGGACGCTCGCCACGGTCTCGGTCCCATTCGCGATCCTCCCTTCGGCTGGAGTACCGGTCCTCTCGTTCCCGAGCGCGATAGTCCCGGCTCGACGAGTACGTGTCTACCTCGTAGTCGCGTCGAGAGCCCCGGGAACCGTAATGGGGAGACCGCGATCGTCTTCTTTCGCCTCGTTCGCCTCTCTCTCCTCGGTCACCTCCGCGTTCGCGCCGCTCTTCACGCTGTGGGTTCGGTGGGTGGTTAGTTTCTCGTCGGGTGGCTGGTGTGAGCTAGGTAATCAGATCGGACTATGCATCGTAAGTTTACTCACGTAGTAATCCCTCGGGCGACCAGAGTCTCCTATATTCTGGTTAGCTGAACGTCCAAGCTAAACGAAAAGCTGAAACACAACAAGATGAGCATGTCTCACCTCTGGAAGAATAGGTATCGCCGTTCATGTTGAGCTCCAGTTACCGGTTTCCGCGATCTCAGTTGTTATTTTTATTTTGATGATTTCTCCAAGGGATATGTTCAAAGAAACACGTCCCAAAAACACAGCAAGAAACCTCCGGAATAAGTCAGGGGCTGCAACAAACAGGATCGAGGACAGGCCGATGGGACGAAGCAGGGGCACTGGGGAGAGACTGGAAGGGCCGAGTTGCGCAGAGGAAAACTCGCAGGTGACGATCGGCGAAGCAGCCGCGCCACTATCCTGGATCGAGTTTAGTTCGCGTCCGACCGCCTGCGCTTTGGGTCGACGCTCGGCAGAATCCGCCTCTCTGGCTTCGCGCTTTTGCCTCCTGCCGTGCGAAACTTGACCATTCCACGCTCTCACCATGACCGTTGGGGCCTTTTCCGAGTGGCGCAAGCTTCCTATCAGTCTTAGCGAGCTCTGTATTAACACCACGCTGCGCTGCGGACAGTCCTTCAGGTAAATTGATCTTATCCCCTATCGTCCTATACTTGCGCGCACTAACACAACCCTCGCTCTATCAATCTAGATGGCACAATGTCCCCGACACCGAGGAATGGCGATGTGTTCTGCACGGCCGTCTTATCTCCTTGAAGCAAGACCCTAGCCACCTCTACTATCGAACCTACATCACCTCCAAATCAACAACACCGGCATCTTCAATCCCTTCCAACCCTATCTCCTCAATCTCCGCCGACGACAACACCCTCGCCCTAATCAAAGACTACCTGAACCTCTCCTCCAACCTAACCGACCTCTACGCCCTCTGGTCCTCGCAGGACCCTAATTTCCGCAAAAAAGCCCCCCAGTTCACCGGCATCCGCATCCTGCGCCAAGACGCCTGGGAAACCCTCATTGGCTTCATCTGCAGCAGCAACAACAACATCTCGCGCATCTCGCAGATGGTCGAGAAGTTATGCTTGCACTACGGGCCCGCCATCGCCTCGGTTGGCGGTCGCGCGTATCACGACTTCCCGACCCCCGAGGCTCTGACGGGCGACGACGTCGAAAGTCGGCTCCGGGCGCTGGGCTTCGGGTATCGTGCGAAATACATCTATCAGACGGCTGTGATGGTCGCGAAGGAGAAAGGCGACGGGTGGTTGGATTCGCTGAGGAATCCTGAGTGTCCGGCGTTTGGAGGGGAGAAGGGCTCGGCCGGAGAGATGTTCCCGGAGGGCAGAGAGGGATATCGCGAGGCACATGAGAAATTGCTTTCGTTGCAGGGCGTGGGGCCCAAGGTTGCGGATTGTGTGTGCTTGATGGGGTTGGGATGGGGTGAGGCGGTGCCGGTGGACACCCATGGTGAGATACTTCCCATCATCTTCTTTTCTTCTTTTCCTTTCTTGCTTCCCTCGCAGTTTTGGAACATGGATTCAGTGCTAATTGCGCCTAGTCTGGCAAATCGCTCAACGGGACTATAAATTCGGCAAGGGTTCACATAAATCCCTCACGAAAGCCACATACGATGCTGTCGGTAACCATTTCCGCAAACTCTGGGGCAAGGAGTCCGGGTGGGCTCATAGCGTTCTGTTTACGGCCGACCTAAGGTCTTTTTCTGATCGACTAGCTGCGCCGAAGAAGGCGAAGGTCGAGGTAGACGTCAAGGAGGAAGAGAATGACAAGGGGGAGGTGAAGCTCGAAACGACAGTCACGACGTCAACGGTTGCGTTGAAGCGGTCTGCGACGGAGGAGGCTGATGTCAAGGCTGAACCAGTCGACGATGAGTCCAAAGAAAATCTTAAGGCCGTGGTTCAAGCGGCGCAGACGACCACCACAAGGAGGATGTCAAAGCGGCTTCGGAGTCAATGATAAGGTGTCCGGGTATAACTGTTCGATTTGAACTTCTTTCTGTGTATACATTAAAACTAAATCTTTTTAGACGGCGCATGCCCAGTTACAATAGACTTGATACAAGACAGCAACTTTGTCTGTTTACAAATACGAATAATCACCAACCCGACAATAACACCCACACCAGCAGCAACAGCTGCGCCGGTGCGAAACTAACAGCACTCACACTCGCCGCCCCTGACGCCGTCTCCGACACAGTCTCATGAACAGCCCCGACATCTGAAGAAGTTGGGACAGGCGTAGTCGTTGCCGTCGCCGTGGACTCGGCGGTCGCTCCAACTACGACCTGCGAACTGGTCGACGACGGCCACACAAAAAGCGAGGACGAATAAGTGCCCATACACGATGTCGAGAACGGCAGCTTCCGAGTCTGCGTGGCCTGCGGTACGGCCGGACACGACGGAAGAGCAACGATCGAGTCCGAATCGCCGATGATGAGACTCATGTCATCGACCGCTTTTGTTAAGTAGCCGTCGTCCCTGTCATGGCAGAAGTCGCGCCAGGCTCGCAGGGTAGATAGGATATCAGCGTCGGATTGCGTGTAGGTGAGTGGTTCGTCAGATGAGATGGTGGAGACGATGCAATTTAGACAGTTGGCAGCGTTGACTTGTAGGTGGGAATCAATGACGCAAATCGTCCAGTCTCTGGGGTTGGGAGTGGCTTCGACCGCGGCATGGTCTGGGTTATGTGTTAGTCTGATGATAGATGCGACAGGAAGATGATAGGGCTACTAACTGCAAACTTTATGGCAGTTATCCGGGATGATCTGAGCCGGAGTGTCGGTCGAGTTATCCGATTGTATTTTAGGAGTAAGCATCTCCATCTTGAGGTGAAGTGAGTCTCTGTAGGTACAGCCTATGCGCAGATGTATATCAAATAGGCGTAGAGTATTGGAAGGAGAAGAATCTGAGGTGCGAAAGTTATTCCGAGTATTCTTTTCTTAAACGATATCTACGTCCGTAAAACTACAGGAACTATCACCAACAAATGAGCTTCGCCATCGTCCCCAACATAAAACCTCGAGAAGGGTCCTATTCGGAGATAGATTGCAGCCGGTGCCTTGGCGGCTCCCAGGAGAACCCTATAAATGGACGTTTATCGCGGTTTAAGAGGGGTTCCTGGGGGCCCTTTTCCCTAGTTCAATCCAGGGGCTGCTCCTTTGGCCATTTAAAAGCGGACCCGAGATTAGGGCTTGGAAGTGTGATGCAACCCTGATGAGGCGGTGTTTTTGTTTTTCGTATATTTTAGCGCGAACATGTACCTGGATTTTGAGGCTAACTAGCAATATTTCTTGACTGAGTAGTTTGATTTCCATGCAAGTGATCAAGGTGCCTAGTAGGATAATTCTGGTGCCACATCTTGTCCGAGTGATCCCGGGGTAAGGGCCATGGTGAATAAAAGTTACCGTAATCCCTTCAGCTAAGAAAATCCCAGAAGTCATCCAACAGCTTGCGCATGCTTTTCCTAACATGTGCCATAACGAAACTTCCCAATTCCGCATGCATAACTGGCTTCTCCTCCTCATACCGATCCTCGTACATTTGTTCCAGGGCACCTGCATTAGATGCAACTTCGAGGTAGAGCGGTCCTCTTCATTCTCACCGATGCCCACAAGAAAGCTTCCCAGTTTGAGGAGCATGGAGTTGAGGATCAGATGACACATGCGTCCATTGCCGTCTATGAAAGGATGGATGTTGACGAAAATGTGGGTGTACTTGGTGGCGATGGCAATTGGGTCAATGGTGCTTTTCCTGATGACCTCTTGCAGGTCTGACTTCAGCTCTCGGATCATTGCTTGCACTTATAAGGAACCAGGCCGTGATTGGGGAAAGGATGAAGACCGGCGCTGACTTCATCCTTCCGATAGATACCACTGTACTCTTGCCAGGGGACATTTTTGGCATCGACTTTGTGGGTTAGAATTCCATGGGTCTGGAGGATTATGTCCTCGCTCAAGTCTTGGCCGCGAATGTAAAGCTGATTGATGATGTATGAAGCAGCCTTGGCGTGCTGCACGATCTCGCGACGACTGCGTAGAACGGCGGAGGTGCTCGCCGGCAGGTTATTGCGCAGGAGGGTCTTCCTCATCTCCACAAATTCTTCGTCGGTTTCGCCGATGTCTTCTGGTATTTCCTCACCGTGAAAGATGGCCATGCACAGCTTCAGCGTAATGCCTGGATTGTTTCCGGCTCGCTCAATCATGTTTGATCCATAGACTCGTGGGTGACGGCATCTTGATATCTAGAAAGTCGAAGAAAAATAAAAAGATAATAAGGGCTTGATTTAGACGATGTAGAGACTTGGAGAGAGAAGATGACGGACACGAGAAAGGGAGTCACGAACCACCTTCTCTTTCTGACTCACTTTTTCAAGTCATTCGGCTCTCTTTCCCATGGATCTTGTGCATTATGAGGTCATAATATCTTTGAAAGGGTTTTTACCCAAAATTGAAGACTGCTACAAGGTGAATAGAATACATAACCTAAACCAACATAACTAGCACATAGCAATAGGTATATACTCCTCCTTAGGCTAGATGCCCACTATGGAGACTGGATGGCTTCTCGAATACAGGACGGATGATGTCTTTCTTGCTGTACAGTACGTGGATTTACTCACAATACAATCCGGCTGCGAAGGGCTCGGGATTTCCAGCCATCTTCATGCATTCGATAATTTTGAGGTATATAGTGTATCCTGGGCCGAGTCCAAAGAAAAGCTTATGTCCAATGCCTTTGCCAGATAATATAGGGTCTCTAATCTTGGAATAGGCAAATCGTGTGCTCAGGCGATTCGCACAGTGTTTCCAAGAATGCTTTCGACTTCGAGACGGCGACCTGACAAGGCGTCCACCATCATGCTTGGGGTATTCCCTGGAAGTGCCCGTGATTCGGAAGCCTCCATTTGATGATCAACTACGGTATTATCAATATCTGTATAACCCTTGGACTGTGCGACGGTAGCAATCTCTGCCATGACGTTCCTGAGAAAAGGAACTGCTTCAGAATCCGATCTGAGGAATTGCGCATCACGAAGGTGAGAGAGCGCGCATATGGGGTTTTGCGATCCATTGACCAAAAGTTTTCTCCACCATGCCCCCTGGATATCCTCTTCATGGAGGCTATTCGCGCCGTAGTTTCCCAAAATTGTGGCAAGTCGACTTGTGACACGCTTCTGCTTTGGGGGAAAAACAGCGGGAAAAGTACCCAACTAAATCCGAGCGCATGAACTGTGAGATATTGCACTCGGTGTATTTTGCGCACAAGGCATGTTCAGCACGGCGCTTATAACCGTTGTACTTGGGAAGAAGCTCTTCCACGGGTCCTCAATACCGGTGCCATTTTGCATAAGGACGATTGCGGTGTGTGCGCATACTGCAGGCTTAATCTGCTTCTGCAGGGAAAGGTCGTCAAAGGGAGCAACCTTCGTTGCGATGCAGATATAGTCAAAGCCACCGCGGGAATATTTCATAGTTTCCTCTACCGATCGCACGGCATTTGGTCGGATATGATTGCCCGGTCCAAACATAGTAGAGTTGATTATGATCCCGTCGGAGGCCACAAGATCATAATTCGAGCGACAAGTAAGCACTACCAGAGATGGATCTATCGATCGAGAAAGGAGAAAATTGACGACCGTACCAATTGCTCCACCTCCGAATAACAGCACCTTCGGAGAAGTCACTTGATACTCGCACCACCTTGTCATTGTTTAAGAGAATGCCAAAAACTGAAATCCTCCGTGGTATCAAAGCAAATGAGTTGCTATTGAAAAGCCGAAGTGCCCGTTCAAGGGGGTTCGGGGAGGAAAGAAACCAAGCTGGGTAAGGAGGTCAAGAGGTTTAGCAATCGGCAGAACCCAAAGTTTTCTGTATATTGAATACCCAATCGCAGAAGTTGTGCGTGACGCGGCTTTTCTAGTGAGTAGCGAGGTATTGTACCTTCTTTTGCCATCGCAGGTTGACATTGGACCCACAACTCGGATTCTTTTCCGGTGCCCTGTATTTCTGTCCCTCAATAGATAAGCTGATGGCCTGATCCTCCTATTCTGGGCAGCGTCGTTATTTTCAGCCTGAGGATTGACAGGAAATACTCGTTCTTCTACTGCTGGCCAAGGATTCGTATCAAGAATATCATCCTAAGTATCGGACTGACGACTCCGCATAGGGACAAGACAAAAACAACATTCCAACAAGCAAAAGAAATCCTGATGATCAGGGAACGAGCTATCCAATATGTCTGAAAACTTCAGTGAGGTCGATGCCGAACGGTATCAGCGATTTTCGCCCCTCCGCAAGGTCATTATTGTCGCTGTGCTGTCTTTCTGTGCAGCTTTGTCACCTATGTCCTCAGCATCGATATTACCCGCGATACCGGAAGTTGCTGAGACCTATAGGACTACTGGTAGCATTATCAATGCTAGTAATGTGGTATCTCTCGCCTTCATGGGGATTTCGGCTCCTTTCTGGGGGTCCTTCAGTCAAATATGGGGCCGTCGTCCGGTTTGAAGCCCCCCAAACTTATATCTTCTGACCTAGAGAGGCTTACAATAGCTATCAGATCTTTCTTGTTACCGCTTTTCTATTCTTTGCTTTTAGTGTTGGCACAGCGTTGGCTCCCAACCTTCCTGCGTACTATATCTTTCGCCTTCTCACTGCTTTCCAAGGCACATCGTTTCTGGTAGTGGGTATTTCCGCTGTCGGGGACGTCTATGAGCCTCGAGCCCGTGCAACAGCCCTGGGTTGGTTCTTGTAGGGCAACATGATCGGTCCTGCATTCGGCCCTTTCATTGGAATGTGCTTTGATTTTCTTTGGCCAGAACTTTCGTATTGAAAACAGATAGACTAACCACACCACATGACAGGGAGTTATAGCCACCTTTTGCTCGTGGCGTGCAATCTTTTGGCTTCAGTCCGCCATGGGGGGTTGTTGGCTTTCTATCGGTGCTTGTTCTCCTACCTGAATCGTACCCACACCTCTCCCAATCAAATCTGACCGGGAAGCCTCCATGGATGAAAGCGAAGATTCTCTGGCTTCGAGTGAATTCGTTGCGCGTCTGTGCGCTCTTGATTTCCTATCCCAATCTGCTCCTCACGGCTCTAGCTACCAGCGCACTCGTCTGGAACCAATATTCTCTTCTGACGCCTATTCGATACGTACTCAACCCACAATTTCATCTTACCACTCCACTTCAGTCTGGGCTTTTGTATATTGCACCGGGAGGTGGCTATCTCCTTGGTACTATGGGCGGTCGCTGCGCAGACTACATGGTGAGGAAGTGGATCAATAAGCGTAGCGGTGTGCGCGTTCCAGAAGGTAGGCTCAAGTCATGCCTCCCTTTCATGATCATGATCATTCCGGCGTGTGTGCTCATCTATGGCTGGACGGTCGAAAAGCGCCTAGGCGGGATCGCTGTTCCGATTGTGGTCATGATTCTACAAGGAGTCGCACAGCTGCTTTCCCTACCCAGTTTGAACACATATTGTCTGGATGTCATGCAACCAAAAGGGCGCAGCGCGGAGGCCGTGGCTGGTAATTATTGCTACAGTACGTGTTTGCTGCTGTCGGGTCCGGGGTCGTCCTCCCCGCTGTGGAAGCCATCGGGGTAGGATGGTTTAGCACGATTAGTGCGTTCTTCCTTCTTGCTTCGGGCCTCAGTGTTTGAACCACGTCCACAATCGGGGTCAAGTGGCGTGAAAGGACCGATGCAAAGAAGTGGGTTTTTCCGAAGCTCAGGAATTGAAGCCCACTCGGAGTTCACAATCCGGGCTCGTAACTAGACGAAAAAGAGACTTAGAATGAACGGACTGGGTGACTCAGCGGACAATAAGGTTCCTCTTTCGGTAAGAGTCAGATATTATGGGGCTCTATTGCAGATCTAGTCCGGACTATGTCTCATTTTGAGCAAAGCAAGTGCTCCTCTAGGGTAAAGTATTTAGTTCTTCACATCTCACGTCGAACCGAGGGGATTTCCGGCATGGGCTGCAATCTATCACGGTGCCTGTCAGTCTCAAGACCCATTATTCTTTCCCTATACATATTGGAAGTTTTTTAGGCAAATTGCATAGGACCCATCAAAGCGAATCTGAAAGTAGCTCGACGTGACAATGATTCATATTTCCAATGTATTTTTGATCAATTAGATCTGCATATAGGTGTGTAAGCAAGAAACTTTTGTGAAAATGTCCATTTTGTCCGTATTCTACTAGATATGGCCAATCTTTATTTTGGGGGAGAAGCTCGAATTTCCATGTAATAAGACACTACTCATCACAAACTGCCAAAATACCGTACTGATTGTTCAGTATAATCAGAATTGACTCGTATCGCTGAATGTGCTCTGAGCTTATCATATTTTGAAATTCCACCTTATCCCTTAGCTGGACCTTGTCTCTGGTCTAAAATGAAGCATCTCCATTTAAGCCAAGTCTGGACGAGATGTAATCCACAAGCAACCATACAAACCCACTAAATGTCAGTGAGCATTCCTCCCCTGTCTTAACTCTATAGTGTCTCTTTTTCTTCTATACCCATGGGTAAAAAGGGGTTCGACAAATACTTCTTTCCCTGGTCAGATCTTGCTCCTATACCTCTGCGACAACCATCAAAGCAGATAGTGAGACGCCACTTGGGATTTATCTGCTGGTCAATGAATACTTATGATGGCTTTGCGTTCGGTCTGGCTTTTCTTCTGTCTTCTTGTCCTTTCGCCTCTCACTGCAGCCGACGACACAGCATGTAATCCAACAAAAAAGTCATGCCCAGCCGACCCTGCCCTCGGCACGGAGCACGTATGGCATTTCAACTCGACCCTGGATAGCGACTTATGGGACATGCAAGCCGGAAAACCCACGTATACCAAAGACGGCGCAGACTTCTCCATTGCCAGCAAAGGATATTCAATTCTTTTGGTGTCCAACTTCTACATCTTCTTTGGCGTAATGGAGGCGCATGTCAAAATGGCAAAGGGTGCGGGTATAATCAGCAGCGTTATTCTCCAGTCCGATGACCTGGATGAGATCGATTGGGAATGGGTGGGATATAACACGAGCTCCGTGCAATCAGATTTCTTTTGCAAGGGCAATACAGCAACAAGTGATCGTGGCGCATTCCATGCCGTCGACAACGCCGATACCGAATACCACAATTACACCTCTTACTGGGCTCAAGATCGGCTTGAATGGTGGATCGATGGAAGTTTGGTGCGGACTGTGAACTTCTCGGATCCACTGGCTGCTTATGGGAAGAATTATCCGCAGTCGCCCTGCCAGGTGAAAGTCAGTGTCTGGCCAGTGGGGATGGAAGGACAGTCGCAAGGAAATATCGAATGGGGTGGTGGCCTTGTGGACTAGTCGCAGACACCGTTCACGATGAGTGTACAGAAGATCCGGGTGCAAGATTTTCAAGCGGGAAAAGAATATACGTATTCTGATCAAACTGGTTCTTACGAGAGTATCAAGGTTATCAGGTACGTGCAAGCTTTATTGGTCTGAGAATTTGTGATATTGGCTTATTAGTACAGTACTAACAAGCGCTTTAAGTCCAAATACAAATTCCACTGCTGTCAAAAACATCAACAAATCGCCGCCGCAGAGTCTGTCAGATAAATGGAATCATCTATCCAAGGGCACTCACATTGGGATCTTTATTGCTGCTGCTGCATCAATCGTTATATCGCTAAGCGCTGTCGGCTCTGGTGTGCCAGGCAGCGACGGAAGGGTCGTCTACAACGAGCCCTTGAGGATTCTCACCGGGCTGAAGAGCTCCAAGCAATGGAAGATTATCAGAAATGGGGTCAAACAACGTGGAGACAGGAGAGCTACCGTCGAATGAAGTAGCATGTTTGCTTCACCCGGACTTGAAAAGCTGCTAGAATCGTCTTTTATTGTTGACTTGGATTCATAGACGAATAAGATATACTTTGAGAGAGCCCATGATACCTTCCGCCATATGCTTTCAGCTCTTATATGCAAGAATCACTGTATGCATTTTGTCTCAGTGGCCCATGGATTCGAGTCAAGGCGGAGCCCTCCAGCCCTTGCCTTGGTGTTAAAGGGGCGGAATCTTCAAGTGACCTGCTGAGATTTCTTTGAGACCTCTGCAATACCGATGGGAACTTTTATTTTTCACATCCGAAAGATTTCAGCAGAATGCGTTCTCCGAGTCGACTGAGTTCAGGGATGAATTGTGGGACAAACGCTATTTTCCCATCAAAATGGTCAGGGGTATCCCGGTTTAAGTGCTCCTCGATGACTATGGAAATCTTTATGATTAAAATGACGTCCTCGAAGTCACTGGCATCAGAAGTTTGGGAAAGAACTTTGCAGAATAGGTTAAAGCTAGCTTGCATGAAATATGACAAGCAGAACCTGTTGGCAACTTAATTAGTGTTTCCTTCTACTCAATGTTTCAAGGATCGGGAAAAGCACGTTGGGATGGGTTCACAAAAGAAACTCACAGTAGGTTCTGGGACCCAAGGTTGAATCCAGAGTTAAGAAAACTTCCCAGGAGATTGCGACTGGCAGTGACTGTTATCCCGAGTCTAGAGGTAGCACTATGTGTGTTCTAATTCTGTTTCCATGATGGGCAGCGGGTACTTGTTTGATGAATCATGATCATACAATAATGATATTGTAAGTGAAATATTGAACACCTGATGCTACGAAGACTTTCGTCAGTTCCGAGGTACATTGTAAATGAAGGCCGGTAATCTGCAGGAATTGAGAGCCTCCACTGCTCGAGAGAATGATCAATATTCCGAATGATTCTCAAAACCTCTGCCTGGCCTGGATGCACGGAATCTCGTGAATATAAAATGCTGTATGTCTGAGATTGGATCACAGCTAGACGCAGATATGTGCAGACGTATGACCCGGGTAGAGGGTCACCTTTGCAATGAGATGATTTTACTGATGATCTAGCTGGTGATGTTCCATCCTCGTAGACAACATCGCACCGGGTGTCTGGAAGTGAGTGGGGGAGACCAGTGGCCAGACTGAACCCTTTATCACAGATATAAGCAATCCAATAAAGATGCCGTGCGTGATAGTCAGCTTGAGTTGGGTTCTTATGGACCTTATTTGTTGTGAGATGCGCCCCAAGAAAGAAAATGTGATCCGCGAAAGCTGATAAAAAGTACTTGATGTCTTCGATTTTCCCAGTAAGCGCTTGGGTACATAGACACAGTAGATATCGTCAATATGCTGATGGACAAGAATTTGAAAAGAACCATAACAGAAATATGCATGCTATTAAGAGGGTTGATAAGGTAGAACTCACCAGCAGAAGAAGAGTCTGTAGTCCAAGAGGGCGGTCCTTTGAGAACAGCCGGCACAAGACACAGAGCGTTTTTATAATAACGTTTACCGCTCTGAAAGTCAGAAGGGTCACATGTATTTGATACTAGATTCAAGGCAAGCAGTGCAAATATACACGCCTTTGCCTTGTTTGAAACGTCACATACCCTAGGCCCAGATCCTTGATATGCAGTGCTGACTGTTTCCCAGAACAGTGGCAAGTCCAGGATGGGGAAAAATTGTCCGAAGATAGACCTCTGGTAGCTTGCCAGCTGGCGGTAGACAAAGGTCTTGTCTGGTAGGCATGAGTCCTGTGAGCCGATTGCATTCCAAGATAGAGGGTTTTCTGTATGGCGAGTCTGTGGGAATGGTAGCAAAGAAATGTCTTCGCCAGTGATACTTTTGATCCAGGCTTTGCTATGTTCAGACAGCACATGCGTGCCATCAAAAGTGCAAATGTTGCCTAGATGGCTTTCAATATTTTGGTCACAAGATTTCAATTCCACGCGATCTACTTCCATATCGGGCTGAGCCTTAGAGACTGAAGTGTATTGAACAGAAGAAGGGCTATATGCGTGGCTCGAGTTTCCTATATCCTCATTAGATTAGACAGTATTTATTAGAACTGGACAACATACTAGGCCTAGGCACCAAATCATGTTGGGTGGAGATGACTGGGACTCTGGAACCAAAAGGTCAGCCCATTGTGCGGATATCAGACCGTTACCTCTTTTGTTGAACAGATTTAATTATCAAGACGAGAGTGTTTATAGTAACTAAGTGCAGGGAATACCTTCATGATGACTGCACCAATCGCATCTCGGCTTTGCGTTGTCACAACGATCTGGCCTATTGATTAGGGTCTAATCTCACTCAGAAAAGATGGGTTTAGCCGAAACTATGTACCTTTCTCACGAAGCAAGCATCACGTGAATGGCGTTTATGTCTCTTACGAGGTCTGAGTCTGAAGGTATGAGTGTTCGGTAATGGCTGGCGACCCATTGCCCTGATTGCCACACGATTTTGAAATCTTCAGAGTGATGCCATCGATCTTCCGTTTTCCTTGTCTCATTCGGACTCGGATTCGGAAAAATTGTTCGGTTGTAGGAATGCATAGAAAGACCCATAATAATTTATTCTGAACGATCTCATCTCGAACTGTACCCACATACCTTACCCTTTTAGGCAACTAAAGGCCGCTTAGTAAGAGAGGCTAACTATTTTTGTCTTTACTGTACTATAAGCCCTCTGACCACATTGCTCTCCACTTTGTACGCGAGCTATAGTGATTCTGCATGGTACCTTGGTTTGGCTTTGTTACGCCTTGGTATATAGCCGCTAAAGTCAAACTGGGGCAGTGGGGAGAAGATTCATGTGGCCAGAGGGTATTGTGACGCCTTTTACTGGGTAGTTAGTAGGACGTGGTTACTTACCCATTGAATCTTGTAGGAAGGAGCCTACTACTTTGATCCAGTTACGATTAGCTTGGCTCCTAACTGGCCATCAGTTTATTTGTTTACACTTGCAAGGTAGGAAATTTCAACTACTTCAATGTTTCATATTCTGGATTTTTTGGCGACGAGGCAAATCAAATCTGCAGACAATGATGATACGTTTCTACACAGCTTCGGCTCTAGCTTCAACCTTCTCCTTGGCACTTGGTCAATCTTATACCTCTTGCGATCCATTAGTAAAGACCTGCCCAGCCGACCCTAGGTCCACTGAATCTCAATTTCAATATGATTTCACGTCAAGTTCGGATCTCCAGAAGTGGAACACAGCATCCGGCACCATAATCTCGGGTAGTAATGGTGCGGAGTTTACGATCAACGAAAAGGGTGATGCTCCAACCATTGAAACCAACTTTTACATCTTCTTCGGTGAAGTTGAGGTTGAAATGAAAGCTGCCCCAGGAACTGGGATTGTAAGCGCTGTCATCTTGGAATCTGATGATCTTGACGAGATTGACTGGGTAAGCAAGTTTTGTCACCGTGGGAATACTACGCAATACTGAATCAATTCTTTTTTTTGAAGGAAGCGTTCGGCGGCTTTACTGATTCGCTTCAAACGGACTACTTTGGGAAGGGCGATAGCGGTTCTTATGGTCGATGGACTTGGGCGCCTGTCTCTAACCCGCAGAGCCAATTCCACAAGTACAAATGGATCTGGACCCAGGAGAGTCTTGGTTGATTGATGGAAAGACTGTCCGCACGCTGACCTACGAGGAAGCGGTTCACGGTACTCGCTATCCTCAGTCGCTCATGCGGGCTCGGATTGGAAACTGGGCAGGCGGCGATCCGGACAACAATCCTGGCACGGTTGAATGGGCTGGGGGGCAGACAGATTTCTCGCAGGGTCCATTCACTATGTATGTGAAGTCTGTGAGCATATTCAATTACAACCCTACTGTGTCTTATTCCTACAATGGCGATTCGGGCTCCATGCAAGATATTGAAATCTACGGCGCTACATCCACCAGCACCATTGTACCTGGTGAGCATGGCGGTTCCGGTATTCGTGGCACTGGTGTCTCAAATCCGTCATCCTTCTGGCCGTTCCCAAATCTCAGTCCTGCTACAGCCAGCCCTGGGCTGATGGACTCCATCACACGGTGTCTTTTTGTCCTTTTGTGGTTGTGGTATATCTGAAAGTCGGGCTTAGAAGGAATACCTGAATTGAATTGTGCATGCTAATATCGAATTGTTTGAATGAAGCGGTATTTCTGGGGAATACTAATGCAAAATCGTACTCGATGTCTTTATTTGTCGTTTCAAGATAATCCCACGGCACGACACAGCAATTGTGGCTTTTGCTGGTCTCAAAGCGGAAAACCCAACCCACAAGGAGGATTCTCCTTGCACTAAAATCCGTTGCGCGTTCGGCGTTCGAACAGCACACAGTGTGAGTAGTTTAGCTGAAAGAAGATAAATCCCGCTACGGTTAAACCAAGGCTAGAAGGCGGGGTTCGGCTAAAGTGGAAAGTTATAGTTATCTCCAAGCTGATCGGTCTGTGATGATGTAATCGGAATATGAAAGTACGACATTCAACAAGGGAGAAAAACGTACATCAACGAGAAACAAGTCATCCGAACACCTGTGACACGGTGCCTTGAAGACTGGTGGCGATCGAGTTCAGCAGATTCGTCTTTTGGTAGTGAAACTTCAACCATAAAAATGCTCCAGCGGCTTTCGCTCTGAGTATCTTTCTTGGAAACAAATATTCTCATAAGGCTGTCTGCACAGAAGGCTTTCAACCCGCAAAATCAATTCGATATGGCTACTTCTACAACAACTTCACTCAACCCCACTATCAAGTTGCGCGTTCATGATATCGTGTCTGATGTGAGTAGCTTTCTAGGAAACAAAGTTCTTGAAAAGGAGGATATGCTGACCGGCCGTTTCAGTCTCCCGAATGGTTGAGGCGGTATAAAGAAAAGGGTTGGACCGTTGTTCCTGAAGCCATACCCAGAGAGAAGGCTCTTGCATATGCTGAAAAGGGCTATGAATGGCTCGAAAGCTGGGATTTGGGATTCGATCGCAATGACCCTTCAACGCGTAAATCCGAAAACCTTCCCTTTAGCCTCCGTGGGGGTCTTTACAATAGGTGAGTTAGGTTTATCAGACTGGATCGCCTTCAAATCAATTGACAACCTCGAAGATACGGCATTGGACATGAGCAATTTGTTTGGGACCTGAAGTCCGAGCCCAGTCTCATTGAGAAGTGGGCACAGCTTTATGGTACTAACGAACTGCTTTGCTCATTTGGTATGTGGTTCACATTCAATCTAAAACATTGTTTCGGAGACTAACCTAAACACCACCCAGACGGGGTGAACCTCTCTATTCCCGAGAAAGAGCGCCCCAAGACCGACTCTCTATTCGCTCCATGGGCACACGTGGATCAATCTGCTCACAGTCCAGAATTTGAATGTGTTCAGGGAATACTGAACTTGCTACCCAATGGAAGCGAAGATGGTGGATTAATGGTCCTGGATGGATCAAATAAGCATTACGCAGAAATGTGGCAGCGTTTTGACCATTTGAAACCGGAAGGTGGTTGGAATAAGCATGCATTCCAACTGGTGCCTGAAGAGATGTGTACTTGGCTGGAATCAAAAGGATGCAAGTGGGTGAAGATTTGTGCTCAGCCAGGTGATCTTCTTCTTTGGGATTCGGTATGATACAACACTTGAATCCATTATATCGAGCCCTGCTAATCATTCATAGCGTACCATTCACTACGGTGCTCCTCCATCTTCCACCAATGATCGATTTGCTGCATGTAAGCTCAATGCCTAGCAGACCGGACACGGTGTCATCAGATACTAACAGCTTCTGAAGATGTTTGTTACAAACCAGTATCTGCAGTTACAGATGAAGCAAAAGAAGCTCGAGTTGGGGCATATGCATCTCGATCGAATACCACACATGACCCGGCAATCTTCCGCGTGCCGGAACGCCTTCCTCCAAAAGAGCACCGTTCTTACGAAATTGCGATCAGAAGGCCTATTCCGAACCCCAAGCTCTCAAAGAAGGGTAGACAATTAGTTGGCCTGGACCCTTACTAGAGGGCAGAGATTTACTACATACACATACGTCACTGTCGGGGTCCAGGAAACTCTAGACTGTTATTCACATTACAAAATTTAAGGTCGAAACTTTTATGAGCCATGTTTGCCTTTTTCGGCCAAAACTCTGCAATTCTATTTGTCTATACATGCTAGGTTATCTGGAAAAATGTGGAACATGAAAATAAGAAGAAAAAAGTGAGAGAGGGGGGGGGGAAAGAAAACCTACTGGCCGAGCCATTAGTAGTATCGGTGCCCAGAGGACGAAGAACAATGCATTGCACAAGATACAAAGTAACAAGTCGCTCACAAAATGATTAACCTTCTCAAGCCAAGCCACTTACAGGCACCGACTGCTCTCTGCCTCAACATTGGAGATATCGCATTCAGTTAACAGAATAGGAGAGAATCCTACTTCTCATCCCCAGTAGTATTGTATCTCGACGGCCTTCTTTCATTCCAAACCCGACTGACAGCGTTTGCCTCCAGGCCAATCATACCATGTTTCCCGGGCTTTCCTCGAAGATGAACAAAGGCTATGAGAGCATTATCACCAGAGGTAAGAGACAGCCGTCTTCGAGACAGATAGAGAAAGACATCAAAACTGCGGTGAAAAGAGTAACTATACCGAAGCCTCTCCTCACTAAACCATAATCCAAGCCCTACCTAACTACCGACATAACTGGTACATACATAACAATGGGTAAACACTCCTCCCCAGGTCAGGCACGACAGACAAACCAACACCATCCAACCATCCATCTAACCTATGACCTCATCCACCAGCGAAAAAAAAGTGGGTAAAGACATCACATTCAAGTTTCCCGCAAATCTACTCAGACTCGACTGACCCACTTACTAGATAACCGGGGATTGTGGATAGGGGAGAGGAACCGAAAAGGGAACTTAAAGCACAGTGCCCAGTACGGAGTACAGTACATCATTCGTAGTAGCCCACCAGTCATCCTACGGCCCCAACAAGCAACGCCAACGCCAACGTTCCTTCACTGATCCGGTCAATCCCCGGTCTACTCCGTAAGGCCAAGACCATCTCTCTCTTCCTGACGATCATCACACGGAAAATGCCCGGCATGACCTAAATGGGATAAGCCGGGGCCAGAGAGCCAAGGAAGGCCAAGGGCGGGTGAACGAGTCAAGATCTGAAGCTTGACTGTGTGCCAATTCTACCAGGGGAGGATTTGCGGACGGATACTGAGAATCTGGGTCTGTATACGGAGTATATACAGGGTATACTCAGGTACACCGCACACAAAGGTATGACTTATTAGGGAAGGAGAGGGGGAGGGGAGGGGAAGCGGTGTATTAGTTTAACTAATTAGTTCTTGTTGCTTATTGCTCGCTCTGATTCTTGCAGGATATGAGATCATTCAATCTGCTTGCCGAAGCATGTGAAATTTCAATTAGGAAAACAAGGCTGAATGGATTACGGGGTGCGTCTTGCGTACTCACTACTCCCCCATAATATAATATGTAATATGTGATATGTATGGACTATGGAGTAGGTACACAATAGGTGTGGACTGTCACGTTCGGAATGACTTCTTTAGGACAGCAGAGTTGATTATGTGTTATGTCATGTATTCTCATTTAGTTAGGTCTGATGAAATGAAAGAGAATGACAATACCCTCACTGATGGAAGCAGTAATGCATCAAGGACATCATCGGAATACTTTCCCCTCCTCCCAGATGAAAGACCCAAAAAAAATAAAAATAAAAAATTATAAAAAATTGGAAAAACCCGGGATGATCGGAAGGGGGAAGCCGCCGGAGTAAAGTGGACACTGGACAGGCAGGGCTGGGGTTGGATTTTGGAGAAAAAGGAAATTAAATCATCAGAAAATCAAAAAGACCAAAACTGTAAATCGTGAGGGACTGCTGAAGATCGACACGCGCGACGGATGGAATTGTTGGCTTTAGAGGACTGGAGGGACTGGAGGAGGGGGGCCCTACCAACTTGCCCAACCTTGATTTGTGACGGTTTTCGTGCCTTCTCCATTTTCGATTCTCCATTCTCCAGTCTTCTCCATATAATGGGGGAGGGGAAAGCCGAAAAACGCCTGCTGCGTACGGAACGGAGTATGAACTGTGAACGTTTACTAAATAAACAGGTCGGAAAACCTGCTTTTTTTCCCTGGTTCTCTGGTTCATTTCCCTCCTCCCTTTTCTCTGCGTGCTACTTGACGAACCCCCAAAAATGACAAGGGTTGTTTCTTCAGCCGACTCTGTAGTCAGCACAAGGATAAGCACAGTTAGGGTTACCGAGAAAGTAAAAATTAAGGCTCGGGTGTTGAGGGGGAATTCGGACGGTGGTGAAATTTCGTCACAGTTGGAATCCGCGAAGGAATCCAAGCCGAATGGAACCCACCGATCGGCTGGGCCTTGCCGAAGGTGCCGCTTTGGGTCCGGCTCAGTTTCATCTGAAGAACCCCCAGGCAACTCTGCCGAACTCTTTTCACTTCTTAAAAAGTGGCAGGCCTCTGGTTCTCTGGCTTGGTTTTGGAATCTTTATTTTCTGGTTTATTTTCTTTTCTTGAATGTCCTTTTTTCTTTCCCCTTCTTTTCTTTATTTCTCGACCGGTCCTCGTGGACAGTGCACAACGTGAAGGAGGGGTTGACTCCGCTTTCATTCCAATTGCAACGTCTTGCTGCCTCATGTTTAATCGCTATCATTATCGAATGCTCCGTCGCTGATGCTCCCGATTTGCTACTAGCTTACTGACTTCTGTCACTTGATCTGAACCCAAAAGAAGATACATTCAAGCAAGAAAAGAACATCAATAACAAACAGATCAAGATGCAACGAGGGTGAGATTATCAAAGAAAAACATTATTTCACCAGTCTGACATGGTGTACATGAGTGTGGTATCTGAGAACAATAACCGGGGGGGGAAAAAAAAGAGAAACAAAAGAAAAGGTTAAAAATCATGGTGGTATCATGGAAGACACGGCGGTTCCTCAGACAGCCCGTCTGGCGGGGTTTGTCGCTCGGAATCCCGGCTCAACTGGTCAGAGCAGTCACTGCCAATGGAATGACTCTTTCATCATGGTCATATTTCGATCATGTTTCCCCGCTCAAGACTGCGGGAGGGGGTGCAGCGGGGTCTTGAGATATCCTTCAAGTAACCTGCATGACCTGGTGATGCTCGTCAAACACCACAGGTGTGGGGGTTCCCTCTCAAAGGGACCCAATCTGTTTGACGAGTACATCAGTGCTGGACTCAATCCGAGTTTTCAGCGGAGATAACAGAAGTCCAGAGCCGTGTGATGCTTTCACGGAACTTCAACGTCTCCGGCGCCCTCATTCCAGCCCCATTCTCGGAGCAGTTGGTTGACCCGGTACTCCGTTGCCCAGCCAAGCTCGGTCTCGATGCCGCGCAGCAATTGCAACGTCGTCCGTCGCTCGGCAGGCTCGGTGAGACACTGACCACTGACGAACAGTGGCTGGAGAGAGTTGATCCGGACGGCGCCACTTGGACGACCCATCGAGATGCCTACAATTTCGCGGCTGTGAAACCGAATTTCGCTCTCGATCGAACGATATGAGTTGAGCCTGTTGGTAATGGTGCTCCGTCTACTGGTTGACTCGTGGGGTTTGTTGATGAGAAGCAGAATCCGAGCCATATGGTAGTGTTGCATGGCAGATGCGCAAACCGGAATGCTGTGCCATATCTCACAGAGAGACGAGAGGTCATTACCGGTTGCGCTGTCCTTTGCACGTGATTGAAGCCTTGCACAAGGTCGGAACGTATGCGGAAGCCCGTTATACCATACATCAAGCTCGGTCTCCAGACGGTACCACCGCTCCAGCAGAACCTGCTGCGATATTGCCAAGGGCCCCGAATCAACGGAGCCGTTGTCCAAATGCAAGTGGTCCCCGGCACTGATATAGTTGACGATCTTAGACAGGATCCAGATGAGTCCATTACCGACGATGTCCTCCTTCATGGCCTCGTCGCCTTCCGGATACCCAGCCGTAGTGGCATTAGTGAGCCGCACAAAGCCCATGTTATCGATTTGAAGGCCCGCCTCAGTCCACAACACTAAGTCCTCGGTGTTCAACCTCGTCTGACACTCGTTGATGACTAGCCGATACTGGTTAACCCTTTGCAATACCGAATACTCGCCGTTAGACACTTACAAGCAGCTAGATAATCCTGCCGAGCGAAATTCCAGAATGTCGCTTTTCGGGCCCTGGAGAGTCCCGGTCTCTTCGGAGGTGGGAAAGCCGTCTCTCCCGGTGACGGACGCTGTTCAAGTGGCATCATTCCGACTTCGGCCACATCCAGCAGTGACTTGACACCACTCAGATGCCGACTCCAGGCTGGCCCGGTCGCATCCAGCAGTTCATATACAGACAGGATGGCCGTGGCGGCTAGGATCTCGTCCGAGTGAACGCCGTTAGACAGGCGACTTTCCGTGTAACGCCGTCGACGCTTGCGAGGATTGTCACCGTTCTCACACAGCTCAGCAGCCTGCCATTGCCCAAAGGCCTCGGGAGTGCTTAGCGGCGCCGGGCCCTTATCCGGCTGAAGCTCTTTCATCAAAAGCTGGATGGCCTTTTCGTAATATTTGGCTCCATACCAACCCCAGTCTACGGCACTTTCATCGGGCCACGAATCCAGCGAAGCTTGGATAGAGACGGCATCTCCGGTGGAGGATCCAAACTTCCTGATGCGGCCTAGTTGCTTCGCGGAATATGCACACGCTGCGTATTTAAGCAACGGATTCGTCAGAGCCCTGACAGGAATATAAGATGCGAAATACGTTCCCAGGTCGAACAAATCCATCCTAACATTATCAGTCAGTTTGCTATGAAGGGGACGAGGAAAAGACACATCTACTCACCAGAGTCCTGGTGCTTCGGAGAAATTTCTTAATAGAAAGGCGATCTCGTGCTCGGTCTCCACCGGCATGTCCGACCGCTGTTCAACCGGTTTGCCGCCTCTTGACACGAGGGACCTGGACGTCAACGACGAACCTCTACGCTCAGGTGCATGCTGGATCGTCGGATCAACCGGCGGCGAGTGTGACTGAGAAGAGGGATTCAGAAGGAAGTTGATGTTATTATTAGTATTATTATTGCTGGAGGCGATCGAGATGGGAGGGGAAGCGAGAGGGGGTATCGTGCTGCGTGGAGGGTTCGGAGAAGGTCCCGACGAGATGGAGGTGGTCGAAACAGTGTTGAAGGCCGAGCCGCCGTCGGTCGCCGTCAAAGCCTGTTGTTGTTCAACACTGAAGGGAGGATACGAAAGGCGATCATGAACAGCCGCCGTGGAAAGGGTTTCGAGGCCGTGAGATTCCCCGTCCGACGGGGAGGGATGATGAGAATTCCAGTGTCGAGTCTGCGAATTGGCGGCCAGAATAGCAGCTTCGGACTCGCCTAGCGCGGCCTCGAGATCATCGGCATACGGATCTGAATTGTCGACGAAGATAACTACATCGAAACCGAAGGTTAGACCGGTCTGCTTGATGATGAACGACGATGGAAACCACACCGCCTCTGTATGGACACCCGCCACCTGTCTCACAACACAGGAACAGGTAGGTGGAAGTGTAGAGGGGAGGACTACCATGCTTCGGAATATCCAACCACACGCTATCCTTATCGAACGTATTCTTGTACGAGTAGAATCCCTTGAGATTACCACGACCAGGCGAAGGGTCGTCCAAGTTCTTGTTCATCGATGCATTTTGTTGATGGCGGAAGACGATGCCTTCGCTGGGCCGACACTCTCTACCACCTTTGCGACATTGCGAACATTCGGGCTTCTGCTCGTCACCTAAAGCGAGACGGGCGCATTTAGTCCGGAACCTCTTCTGAATATCAAGACGGGGAAGACACCGTACATTTGAGTTTGCGAGTGCGGCACGTCAAGCTGTGATAAATAAGACACAAAGCCCAAGAAGTCAGCTCACTCGTATTGTCTGGAAGGTAGGTGATGAACACCGCCGAAGCGACGGGAAAGGTAGGGAGGGAGGAGAGCTGTGCTGTAGCTGTGTGGATCTTTTTCCGACGAATTTATTTATTTGGGTGATAGATATCAATTCAACCCATGTAGTAAACAGAACGTACCAGCCTGTGCGAGATCGCATACCGGATGGTATCGACGACGATTGAGGTGCAGCATCCGAAGAGACGGTTGGTGGGCCAATAATAAGAATATAAGCCGGGGGAGAGAAAGCTGGAGAGTCAAGGCGCAAAGACTAGCCCCGAATCGACAGTAGTGCGAGGGCCTCCGGACATGGATCGATAGTCGATACCAAGACTCTGGGGGGGGGGAGGGGGTAAGGGAAGGGAAGTCAAGGGGAGGGGGGGGGGGGGTGTAGGTTGAATTGAAAGGGGGAAGGTTAGGAGCAGAGAGAGAGAGGGAAAAGAAGATTCGATGACAAGAATCCCCATGCACGACTTAGGCAAGGACGACAGGAGAGCATTCGAAAATTTTCTTTTTAATTTCTATTACTATTGTTTTTCTCCCCAGCGACTTGGCACCGAAGGGACACCGGGACACAGTCACACTACTAACACTAAGGAAGAAGGGCAAAAGCGGGGATTTTTGCACCGCCGGTCGGGGAAGCGGATCATCCTTTGTCCGCCACGCTCTCTCCTTGCGGGGAAAAATCCGGTCGGGGTTGGGGCTGGAGCCGGTCATGGGACTCAGTCGCCCAGTGCTTATCAATTCTGGTTGCTCATTTCTTTCTTTCTCTCTTTCCTTGTCCTCATCTTGTTTTGTTCTCCAGCCTTTCCCCGGTCACTTGGTCCGGATTCCTAGATGGAGAACCTCAGGACCTCAGGACACATTTTTTCTTACGTTTCCTGACCGCCGTCTTCAGTCCCAGTCTCCGGAATATGCCCGATTCTGCCCGCTAGCTTAACCGCTCCCATGACCAATTCGCCCATTTAGTTGTTTTTACATTGGGTCTGTCTCCAACCATCTAACCAGACCCCCGGCCCCCCCTCCATCATCAGACATGAACACTGATCAAGCCAACTTTTCACACACAAATAACACAGCCCACAAGGCGCAAGCTCCCTGGGGCGTAAACATGACTTCATCGTTAATCTGTGGCGAGCATCCGGCCGAATCAGCATCGTGCAATGTCTGGCTCTTTTAATTAGGTAACTCACCTCAGCCTCCTTTCACCCAATCATGGTCTCTCTGGTCACCCAACACCCTGAGATCCACTTTAGCCATGCGTTTGGATCTTTGAAGGCCTCTCTCTCCCCTCTCATCTCTCTCCGGAGTACGGAGTACGGAGTATGGACGGGGTCAGTCAGCCCAGTTCAGCCCAGTAAGCATCTGATCCATGAGGATTTCGTAGGGGTCTGATCCTTCCGGGTTACAATCAGGCTTTTGAAGCTCTTATTTCCTAAAGTGGCGCACTCCTCAAAGCTTGGATCGCTTGATATGACACATAAATGATACAGTGGACACAAGAGCTCTAGTTAGCTCCGCTAGAACTGGTTTTTCTAGTTACTAACATGCATTATTGTCATTACCGCGATCTCGCGCGGGTTATGTACATGCCCACCTGGTAACGCCACCCTCCTCGGCACAAAGCATCGAAGGATGAAGGAAACAGTGTCATCCAGGTCGGAGACTATAGTACATGGGGAAATAATCAACAACAAAATGATTCACTGACAAAGGACCGGATGTGGGCAAGGAGATATTAACACGTCCCTGGCCAACTCTAAGGACTGGATGGAAGAGCATAGAAACAGCAGAGAAAAAAAAAATGAAAAAGACATGAAAAAGCCAGCAATGATGGTATATCTCCTGAGAAATTAACGGTCAATCAACCGAAGGCCAAAATGCAAAGGCAAAGATAAGTGAAATAGAAAAAAAAAAAGGGGGGGGTTCAAGAATTAAATAAGGGTATAAAATGATGTGCTTCCCAAGAACGCCGTTCTGAGAGGTATCAAACAGAAAGAATAAAAGGAAATGGATCATTCTTTTAAATTGAACCAAGTGGATCATCACGAAAGATGTCCAAAGCTTAGATTGCTGGCGTGCCTGGGTTGCGTTGTTGCAACGTATTGAAGAGGTACTCGGGAGGCAGCCGTGTCATGTTCGATGGTCGATCGGTGCCGACCGTTTGCGGGGCCTGCATGTAGCCTTGACGGCGGCGCTGGATCTTATTGAAGATGACTCCGGCAATGACGATGAGGAAAACGCAGCCAAGCGCAAGGCAGAACGATATCAAAACAACAATGCCGTTCGGACGGTGTTTTCCTGTCGTGAATAATCAGTACTCATGGGTCTCATAGATCAAGGTATCAGGAAGAGGCAAGCCCCGAGATAAAACTTACCTTCACTAGTATATGGATTGGTCTTTTCGTAGAAAATCTTGGACATGCTGCCCGGTCGGCCATCAGACCCGGTTGTAAGGATGAACGGAGTCAAGACAGTTCCGTTGAAAAGCGCTGCCGACGCATTGCCAAAGTTCGGGATCATCAGTTGTCCAGTAATCAGGAGAATTAGATCCTTGTTCAACAGATTGACGCTGTCATGCTTTTGTGTCAAGGGGATGACCTCGAGACCCTGAATAGAAGTTCCTTGGTCAAAGATGTCGGCAGTAAATTGAAACTCAGATCCGTCATAGTTGGCCAGGAAGCTGGACCCGTTTTTGGATTGACCTGCCAGCCAAAAGGTGGACACGTCTTTGCTGGCTGGAGAGAAGGCGGTTACCGTTCCTGAGATATCCGAAGAAGAGGCCCCTTCAAAAGCGGACCATTCTGCCTTTTTCTGGTTGTATGTGGCCACAGCTGAACTATTGCCATCGACAATCAAATCTCCGACGGCCATCAACTTGTGGTTGTTCATCCATGTGAGGGCTATAGCGCTACCACCAAGGCTTGCTCCGAGTCTGTTCCACTGAGACTCAGATGGGTCGTACATACACACGGCCGCGCAAGGAAGAGCACCAGCATTGACAAAGTTACCTCCGACGTAAACCTCGCTCGATCCCGGACGTGGAGCGATAGCATTGACGGTAACATCCTCTCCGGTGAACTGCAGTGGTTGTTTTTGCGCATAAGTTCCGTTTTCGAGGTCATACACGACAAGCCCGTTCAAGACCGAATCTCTAACAGTCCCGGTCACGTTTCCACCGGCGTACAGCCAATCTTCGGAAACGGCAAGCGCCAACACAGTGGAGTTGCGATCAATGCCTGCTCCGAGACCTGAGATAGTACCCTTAGTGCCATCGAGGATGGCGATATTCTGGACTTCAGATCCATTGTTGGACATTGTCGTGAAATGACCTCCCAGAATTGTGAGGTTACGGTCGGAGCTGGAGTCGTAAATACCAGTATGAGTGCTGCCACTAGAGTTGGTACTGGAAAGCAGAGGATCCAAATCTAGGCCACCATCATAAAGTAGAGACACGGCACCTGCGGCAGCAATGCCCGCCGAGGCAAGGTTACCAGCAAGAAGACTCGTGTTATCCACCCTTGCGAAAGCCGACAGTTGACCGGCAAATTCCATTTGGTTGTCATCAAGGTTTTGCAGCCAGTTCTTTCGCGAGGGCACCCACACAGCAAAGCCAGATACGTTTGTCGACGGGGTCTTGTCGAAGGCAAGCAATTGATCGAAATCTCCGCTAACGCCAATGATAGTCTCGTTGATTTCGGAAGAGACGTTCAGGGTAAGGGCAAGAACCTGCGAGACTGGGCCGTTGACACCGCCCCCTAGAGCTGACCAAGACTTGGAGCCAAAGGTGTAAGCTGCAACATGCTTGAGATGCTCGTTGCCGCCATCCGACGTATCGGTGAAGTTTCCTCCAACATAGAGAATGTTGTCGAGGGACGTCATCGAAGTTACCTCCGAATTCAAGCCGCCCTGTGGCAGTGACGTGGCATTCTTGTTCTTCTCAAAAAACATTACGTTGTCGACGTCAGAGCTGGAGAAGTTTCCACCGACGTAGACAGTGTTGTCATGGCTAACCAAGCTCTTGATCGAGGCGTCCTCGTCCAAGCTCAGGCCCGCTCGATTGACAGCGGAGTCGGTGAAGTTGGAGTTGGTGTCCTTTGACTCAGGATCAAAGTCATAAAGTCCATTCAATTCTCCGCTCAGACCACCAGAGGCATGAATCAGGTTGAATTTGACTCGGGATGCAACAATGGTGAGATCTCCCTGACCAGACTTCGGCGTCAAAGTTACACTGGGGCGGAACGAGCTGTCGCTGGCATCCACGCGGCCAGTGTAAAGTGTGTCGTACTTCTCGTAGTAATTGTTCTGATAGATGAGTTTTTCAATTGGCTTGTCATTCTTCGAGCGGGTTGAGACAGTAGCGGTGACATTGACGATACCACGGGAGTCGCACGTCCCGTCCTGAATGCACCCGGGGGTGTAAATAACAATCGAGTAGTTACCCGACCGTTTGATGTCGGGCTGGAATACGACGGAGGTGCTGTCAGCTGAAGAGTCGGTAACCTTCGCGGTTAAATAATCGGACTGGCTCTGATCGGATTCTGTGTGGGTCCAAGAGCCTTTCTGGGACGATCTCGATGGATACTTGATATCGGCACATGAGGGTTCGTTGAAGTCGCTCACAGCGTAAGCATAGATATCTTGAGAAATTAGCATACTCGCATAATCAAGTGTAAAGTCGGATCACCGGGAGACTCACCATCCTCATAGACTTGGATCCCATTGAGACCACCACCATCGCCATACCATTCCAAGACCTCGATCTGAATGCCGCGCATTCCAACGCCGTTCACGAAATGGAACTCACGATACTTCTCACTTGAGTTGCTCGAAAGCGGGCAGACTGAATCGCAATATTTCTTATCGTGGGAACCAGGCTCGGTATAGGTGAGGTTCATAATCCCGTTATCCGGAAGAGCTCGTAACAAGAACGACTTCGTACCGCGTCCTTCATAATGGGTGTTGTAAAGGCGAATTTTGGTAGGGTTGTATCCGAAACGCATGTTCGCCCGCCAGTAGCCGGGGGATCTGTCGGCGAGAAGCCATGTCTTTCCCTCGCCATCTTTGCCGCTTGTTTGACAGAGAATATTTCGAGGGTCGCTGAAGCCGCTTTTCGAAGAGGTCGCATCCGAAGTGATGGTGGCATTCTGTAGGTTGACAATTTGCTCGTTTTTCTTCGAGGAGGTAGAGTTCCCAATGCCATCGAACGAGCCACCAAAGATGATGTCTCCATCGTCGCCCTTCAGGATCGAGGACACGGGCCCATTGAACCCGCCAAAAGACAGACTCGACCAGCCCTTGTTGTCAACCCATGCGACGGCGTGTGACGTATTCTTGTACGTGAAATCCCCACCAACGTAGACACTGTCGGACTCCTGATCGCACAACAAAGCTGACACCGACCCGGAGAGCCCGGGTAGGGCCGTCACCACCTTCGTTTCGGGATCAAATAACGCGGCGCCTTGCGTCTCGACGTCTCCGAGGCTAGTGAAGTTGCCGCCCAGGAAAATTCCCTTCTGCGTTCCATCTTTCAGGGTGAACGGACACATCACACGAATATCCGCGTCCGCCACCGACAGCGTCGTAATAATTCCATTGGGGAGCGGCGTGAGGATGGATTGGGACCCTTCTTGCACAGAGGCCGTCACGGATTGTTCGGTGTAAGCGTAGATCGAGACCGCATCGAAATCTCCGGTAAGAGCGACTTTTCCCAAGGGCGTCAAATCCAGATCGGGTTCCGATACCGAGTTAAACGAGAGACCGTAGGCGGGTTCGAAGAGCGACCAAAGGTAGAGGGCGGCCGACAAGCCAGCCGTCGCAGGCCTAAACAGTGAGGGGATCCTCATTGTTCAGGATCGCGACGACGGGCCAAGGGGGTGGACGTTCAGTGGAGGTAAAATAGTGTCGAAAAAAATGAAGCTCTGATTCAGCTGAGTCCAAAGCCAGATTGGGATCAAATTATTGAAACGGTCGAACCCAGGGAGGGGGGAGATTCTTTTTAAAAGGAGTGCCGGTACCAATAAGAGCGACGCGGAGTGGGAAAAGGAGTGGCAGTGGAAAAGACACTGGTCAGAAAGGGAGAACAACAATGCGAAGATTAAAGATGGAATGAATGAATGGATAGCATCCGGCCAGAGGGAGCCAACAATGCAGGAATGGGCAGGTAAAAGAGAATTAACGAATGACTGGGTGAAGCTGGATGGGCCGAACGAGTGACATGGCAGGGGCTTGTTTGGTCGAGTCTGGAGCCTCTCGACGTTTTTCCGGATGGCATCGTTATTCTTAGCACGGGTGCTGCTGGGAGGTGGTGGTAATCTAGTATGGTACCAGCAGAATACCATCATACGCCCGCTGGGTGAGGTTCCACCAGTCCCGCCGTCGCAATTAAGGCCCCGGATATACCTTGATCCGATGCACAATACGCACCGTTACTCGCCAGCCGCGGTGGCCACCCATGGTCGACGGTGGAACCACAATGTCATTCATTCCGTCTGACAGTACGCAGTACCTCCTTTTACATACCAATGATACCGTCAGGTACCGGTACGGCCGGCCTGCATTCTCCTCTGTTGATTCACTTCATCTCCCAGCGAAAGCAGGTCGCATCAGACTCCATGTCTGGATTACCTACCATGCATATTCCATCTAAATGTACAGTACATATATGTCTGTCTGAATATATGTACTGTATGTACACTGAAGTTCTACCCACACAATTCCAACCTTTCGGCAAACGGGGGGCTGGAATGCTTCTACCCCTGGAGTCGACCTCGCAGAACTTCTTCGCCAAAGACCTTGCAGTGTGCATTTCATGTTCAGCTTTAAGATGGAGTCCCGATAGAGTTTCATGAGGAGACTTTCATTTCGGCTCCCATCCGATGGAATGGCTGGCTGCACGCATGATACCTAGCCACCGTTTATGCATGTATGTATGCAACTGCATAGATCAGGATCTACGTCGATCTGTGTGTAGCACGTATGTGCATGAGGGACTCCGTACAGAAGAACATCATCCATTGGCCATCACATCTTGGTTCTTGGCACTGCGACTCTGCCTACACCTGCACTTACTCCGGTAGATTCACGGTTTACTAGCGGTATATCGATGCTATACACCGTAGGCGCCCGTCGAGATGTGCCCGATGGCGAGAGATATAAATAGCACGCGTTTCACTCCTGATCGCGACTGAAACCTATCATACACTTACGGCATAGTAGGGCGCATGATGGTTTGTAAGTACACCTGATGCTGTCGTGATTACCATACTAGAATTATTGCTTCATGGCAATCAGTGGGCAAAGATGAGACCCAGCAGTGACATCACTCGTTATGATTCATCGACACAGCCACCAACGATCACCCCTTTTAAGGATGGAACACATCATGTTTGGAACGTTGAATCCGTCTCCTGATCGTCCGCTCGGTTGACAGCTCACAAAGAGGACATTTCCTATGCTTGTTTCTCAGTCTGAAAACCAACAGAACTGGCATGTACAACCAACACTAGGCATACACAGTGCTGCTGATTAGGTTTTCGCGAGCATCAAAGAATACAATTTAGCGACCTACGCATAGAGCTAATGTGGAACCCCGAGGTTATTGAAACGAAAGTCACGTCGATCTCGACAGTCTAGTCTAGACACACGGCGCGTTGCTAACATTCTTTGTTGTACAGTCCCAACTCAAATTTTAATAAACAAAGAATTAATCTTAATATAGCCTCCATCCCTTTTCCCTTCTCTCTCCCTACCCGTCTAGTCAGGTTTATTTCGGGTGTTTTCTCTTCGACCTCTCTATGTGGGCGTAGGTGGCAATTGGATCAAGTCTACAGGGTACATGCCATTCTCCAGCCTCCATGTCCAGGAATGTCGCGGGTGTTGAACTTGCGTGTCAGGGGGAAACATTGCTGCCTACCAAAGTTATAAGATGAAAGCCTTACTTCGTTCGGACGAATTTTTGCATTTGTACGAAATAGTGGGAACAAATTTGCGGAATTGTCTGTTGTTAGTTCGACCTCCGAATTGGCCGTTGACGAGGATACCTGATTCTGCACTTCTAGCGATCGCGGCTGACGTAGTTCAATTGGTTCACTGCAACTCTGCAAGCATCAGACTGAGACTAGCCGATTCAATTCCTTATTAAATTGTACAGTTATTGCTCATTGGGTATTAAACAAAATCAGAAGTACGGAATGGAAGGAACTATGCCAAGCCCCGAGGACCGAGCCGTCCCAACACCGAGCCGGATCAGGATGACCTTCCCATCTTCATTTCATCTCACCACTGCGAGTTCATCTTCTTCATATACACCCTATCTCCGACTCTGGTAGATACTATTGACCCCGAAGACTCGGTCTGGTGGTCTTGGACTGATAGCCTCGTGATCCTAGCCCGAAAGAGCGATCTAGAACCTCGCTCATCCTCGCAATGCCGGACACCGAGCGCCGAACCACGACTTACAGTAAGACATGCAAGTCCTGTGAACAATGCAGGCTGCGCAAAGTCCGCTGCATTGGTACGTCATCTAGCTCTTCACGATGCGAGCTATCGCTGACCGTGTAAAATAGTGACCCAGGAGGATCCTTCAAGATGCAAACATTGTACTGTAAGCAAGAGTTGAATACAGTCTGAATGAGGTTGCGACTGACGCAAATATACCTGAATCTCCAGAAACGGAATGAAGAGTGTGATTTTAGACAGATCAGGCGCAAATTCAAAGCGCAGCCTCAGACAACCACGAGTAAGTAGAGCGTGTGTGTTGCAGGCGCCTATAACTTCAGATATCTAATCAAGACTGCTTAGCTCATAACCCAATTTTACCAAGCCCAAGTCAGCACTCGCTCGTGCTCCACCGTTCTCGGAGCAATCATACGCAGACACCACAAAATATCAAGTCGTTATTCGTGGACCACCTCTTGGATAGCTCACCCAGTGGTGTGCAACTTAGCGATGAGGCTTGTGTTTTCAGGGTGAGTGAGCCTCATCTAGAGATATTACTTAACACCTCTAATACGGTATACAGTTACAAGAGCATGAAGGTATATTCTCGCTACTAGAATTCAAGCTCAATCTAGATCTGACTAGTAATTACAGTCAGCAGCTCGAACTTGGCCTTCTTTTCGGAACAGAAAATCCAATCTGTATCGCAGAGACTGGGGAATAATCGTCTCAGAGAATTACTGGAATCCATTGAGATACTGATCGGTCAACGGGTGAAAGCTCAAGGAAACGGGTCAATCTCCCCAGTTACTTTCAAAGGACCATCAAGCTCTATCCAGGTTCCAAGAGAAGCAACCCGGCTCTACATTGATGGTTGTGGCCCTTTATTCCCCCTCGCAAGTAATAGTCTAACTGTATTTAGCCTATTTCCGACATGTTCACTCTATCTATCCATTTCTGGATAAGCAAAGGTTTGAGAGAACTGCATTTGGGCCTGATATTGCTCGCAAGTTGAGTTCCGATGCTGCTTTTTCTGCCTTGTATCACGCCGTCCTGGCTTTAGGGTGTCAGTACCGTGATGGTGGAAGCTTTGATCCTGGTAAAGGCAAAGCATGGAAATTATTCCAGATTTCATTGGGCTTGATGGCCGATATCCTGGCGCCGGAGGAGTCGCTGCTCAAGTTACAAGTGAGACTCTGCATCCGTCTTCTTCTGGGAGTGTACTAATCGCCACATATACAGGCTCTGACTGCAATGGTAAGCATTCTCAATGTCTTACTCCTGTGTATCCAACTCTAACAGGTTTCTTGCAGTCAATCTTTGCTATGAACACGTGTTGTCTCCAAATTGACGAGCTTTTGGTCAGGGAAGCTGCACGCATGGCACAATCACTCCGATATCACAGGTCAAGTCACCACGGCGATCAACAAATATGCCGTCAGCGAACATTTTGGGTAATCTATATTATGGAAAAACAATTGGTATTTCAAAATCGTGTGAGCTCGGTAAGTAGGCGATGAATTTGCGCTTGTGACGCCAAGTATTAATATCGTATTAGATAATAGTGGACTTCGATATCGGATGTCCCTTTCCAGATACACCCGAGGCAATCTTCGGTGGTTGCAACTGGTTCCTACTGAGAGTCCGCTTTGCTCGAATTACTTCTCAGGCATATGAGCTCTTGTTCTCAATAAGCGCATCGGTGAACACTGTAGAAAGCTACTACTCCGCGATTGATTACATCCAGGATCGCCTGGAACGGTGGAAGATGACACTGCCTGAGGACTTTCGACCAGGCGCTCATAAGTCGTATACATTCTCTGACCCTGCCTTTAGAATGATCCTTCTTCAGACCCACTACTTATATTATAGTCTGGTTATTGCGTTGGCTCGACTCGTTATACAGGTTAGTCCAGAAAAGGGACAACGACGTGAGGACAGCAAGATAAAGTTGATGGAGTCGGCCCGACACATAATTGAGCTAACCCAGTATATTGAAAAGGCTGCTCATACTCCCATTTCGTACGTGTCTATGCTCACCTCGTTTTTTCCATTCAAAGGGTCTTCAAGACGCTGACCAGTACTGCAGTATTTTGGGAGTCATACCTCTTGTGGCCCTCTTTATCCTCTTCGACTTTGTTGTGCATAATCCTTTGCACCCTGAAACAAAAACTAATTTGTTCATGATGGATATAGCTTCTGGTCACTTCAACCTGGTAGAGCATGCGTCTAACGGCTCACTTCCTTCTTCTGGAGTTTCAGAATTCTCACACATAGCGCGACAGTATGTCAGGGACTTTCCTGCAAACAGTGCCCAAGAACGCACGGGTGACCAAGGTCCGACTCAAAATTCAACTAATGGCCGTATCGTGCCCATGTCAAATCAGAAAAATCCCTCAGATCCAAAGTCATCGAGTTTAACTGATCCTGCTGATCCGGTAAGTCTCAAGATTCGCTCAATTCTCCCAAATATTCGGCTAATCGTCGAGCTTCCAGATGCACATACCAGTCAACTCGGATGTTGATGTTGATGCTGATTTCGGACTGTACGGCCAAATTGGCGACTGGAGCGACCCAACAGACTATTTGTATTATCCAGCAGTGGATTTCAACGTCGACATCGATGATTCTCCGCTGCATGGGTTTGATGTGCGAACATTGTTCGGCTCGGTTATCCCTGATGGTTTTGCAAGCTCTGGGGATGACTGCCAACCGAGCGTTTAGGAGTCCGGGCCACTAGGATGATATTCCAAGTACACTAGAGCTTCGAAAAGCCGACGAGGCGGCTGCTGCCTAGTCCAGACAAGAATCTGCGGCTCTACGAACATCTCAGCAAGCCGCACACCTCGATTATCATCCAGGTGCGCACTATGAGGATGGGATTAAGGCACTTCCTCTGCAAGATCAAGCAGGTTGACTCCCACCGGTGCTCCCGTGATCTAGGGTCCCAGACCCCTAGGCACGTCCTCCTGCAGTGCTCGCTGCACATCACCGGCCGGAGGATAATGATGGACCACCTCGACCAGATAGAGGGACTGCGTGGGCGTACACAGGACTACGACGCAGTCATTGCACACCCGCAGGCGATTCGCTACGTCGCCCAATTCATGCATCGAACAGGCCTTCTTCAACAATTCCGATTCGCTCAACTGAACGAGGATGACGAGGAGAAGGCCCCGGAACCAAGCACCCTATTAGAAGGGCTCGAACTAGGCGAGGAAGACGATGGTTACACGGAACTTTAGGGGGCAGCCTGGGTCGGGCAGCCACCAGTGACGCAAACAGGCGGAAACCACTATATAGAACGAGGCGGAAGGAGATAAAAGCGCCTGGAGGCGCAGTAGAATGCGGTAGACGTGTGGCAGCTAGTTTAGTTGTGTATATTGTTTTTTGATTTGTCTACTGCGTTTGTGGGATTACGGCGTACGGGCTCGAGATTCTGCTTTATTCGGCGAAGCGCCTGCATAGCCTGTCGTCTCAATAGATAGGCTTCATCAGGTCAATGGAATTTTGATTGAATGATTGATTGATTGATTGATTGATTGATTGACTAGAGCTTTGAAAAGCTGAAACTCATAGTTACAAGAGGATCGGAGATGCTTTGTGGAATCGGCTCCCGGCGTCATATCTCGGTGCTCGGTGCTTGGCGTGGATAGGTACTGTGTCGTCAAGGAATCTCGGTGTTTCGGTACATAAGAATCTCTTTAATAAGCCCGGGAGCTGCTAGGTATTTTATTTCTATAGCTTTAGGCTTTTCTGCTTACACTCTTTTTCTTAAACCCTTGTGCTCATTCTTCGAAATCACATCGTGCCATGTGTCGGAAGAACGAACAGGAAACTAGTCACCGGAATCCTACAGTATGACCAAACAGCTCGAGCCGATGTCAGCAAATGTCGAAACAGAAAAGGGGTCAAGTGACAACTATAGGGAAGCATCTATTTCTGAACTTGCTCGCCAGGTGACCCGAACTTCGGTGATAGGTGGTTCCGATGTCAATTCCGCTTTGAACCCCGAACGCAACAGCAAGCTTGATCCTTTCTCCCCCTCGTTTAACGCAAAGATATGGGTGAGGTCCTTTATGCAACTGTTGGAGTCCCGCTCTGGCGAGATATCTCTGCGAAAAAGCGGCATTTCATATCGCAACCTCAGTGTTTCGGGTTATAGCAACGGGGCCTCGTACCAAAAGAGCACTGGAAACATCCCTCTTGGTATCCTGTCATATGCCGCTGGACTGATAAGCAAGAATCGACGCAAAGACAAAATCGAAATCCTGCGTGACTTCGAGGGCATTGTCAATGATGGAGAGATGCTTCTTGTTCTTGGTCCGCCAGGATCGGGATGCTCAACCCTATTGAAGACTCTGGCTGGCCAGACAAGTGGCTTGGATGTTAACCCTGAATCATATCTCAACTATAGAGGTAAGGAAACGTTTTTACACGTATCATTCTTGGTCAATTGCTCATATCAATCATCTCGAACTCTAGGAATACTCCCCAAGCATATGCACCACCGATTCCGGGGCGACGTCCTTTATAATGCCGAGTTAGATGTCCACCTTCCACATCTTACCGTCGGAGAAACACTCACCTTTGCGGCTCGCGCGAAACCATGTACAAACATCCCAGGAGTCAGTGCCATTCAAGCAAGCAACATCATTCGGGATGTAGTCATGGCCGTTTTTGGGATTGCACACACCAAGAACACCCGAGTCGGCGACGAGTACGTACGCGGAGTCAGTGGTGGTGAACGCAAGCGCGTCAGCATCGCTGAGGCGGTTTTGACTGGAGCCAAGTTCCAGTGCTGGGACAATTCCACTCGCGGATTGGACAGTCAGAATGCTATTCAATTCTGTAAAAACCTGCGTTTGCAAGCAGACTCTATGGATCTGGCCTCTGTGGTAGCCATCTACCAAGCTCCACAAGATGCTTATGAGGTGCGTTTGCCTTCAATCCTTGTGGAGGGAATTGACTACTCACTAATTCACGTCATTTCTTTTAGCTCTTCGACAAAGTAACAGTTCTTTATGATGGGAGGCAGATTTTCTATGGCCGAGTAGAGGATGCAAAGAGATATTTCGAAGATCTTGGGTTTGAATGTAAGCATCTTTGTCATTTTATGGTGTGAGGTCGAGTTTCTAACTACTCTATGCGAAGGTCCCGAAAGACAAACTACGCCTGATTTCCTTACTTCAATGACCAGTCCTCAGGAGCGCAGGATAAGACCCGGGTGCGAGAACTCAGCTCCGCGAACACCAGAAGACTTCGCCCAGAGATGGAAAAGCAGCGTTCAACGCCAGTGCCTCATGCAAGAAATGGAATTATACAAGAACACGCACCAACAGAAACTACGAGTCGAAGAATTCACCAAATCCCGGCGAGCAGAGCGTGGAAGGTTTCAAAGCACCAAGTCTCCCTACACCTTGTCCTACTGGAAACAAGTCGAACTGTGTCTTTGGCGCGGTTGGCGAAGACTCTTGGCAGATCCCGGGTTTACCATTACTCAACTCTTATTCAACTCTATAATCGGTCTCGTGTTGGGTTCTATGTTCTACAACTTGAAAGAGGACACATCGAGTTTCTACTACCGGGGAGCCCTGATGTTCTTTGCTCTGCTCTTCAACGCGTTTTCAAGCCAGCTCGAGGTAAGAATCCCTTTTTTGCTAGCGTGCAAAGTGTAACTAATCATCGTGATTTATTAGGTTCTAACACTGTATGCCGAGCGTCCAACGGTCGAGAAACACAACCATTACGCCTTCTATCATCAGTCTGCTCAGTCTATCGCTAGCTACCTGATCGACATTCCGTACAAAACTGTCAATATGATCGTATTCAATACCCTCATCTACTTCATGGCCAATTTCCGTCGTGAAGCCGGCCCTTTTTTCTTCTTCTGTCTCGCTTCATACATCACCACCTTAGTTATGTCCGCGGTCTATCGCACACTTGCAAGTGTCACGCGAACCTCCCACCAAGCAATGGTTCCAAGTTCTATTATCACGATAGGAGTCATGATATATACCGGGTTCACTATTCCCACCGCGTACATGCCGGGGTGGTCCCGTTGGATGGGATACATAGATCCTTTGGCTTATGCGTTTGAAGCGCTGATGGCAAACGAGTTCCATGGAAGAAGTTTTCGATGTGCTCAGCTTGTCCCAGAAGGTCCATCTTACGGAAATGTGACGCTGGATCATCGTATCTGTGCATCTGTGGGCTCAGTACCTGGTTCACCGGTCGTTGACGGTGAGCAATACATAAACCAAGCGTTTGGTTATTGGAATTCACATAAATGGAGGTGAGCACTGTTTGCATATCTGGTGAATGTGCTTCCGAAAATCGATAAGCCATGCTGACGGTGGTCAAGGAATATCGGCATCCTTTTTGGCTTTCTTGTCGGCTTTTTAGCTATATACTTGATTTCTGCTGAGTACGCCCGTCCACCACGAAGCAAGGGTGAGGTTTTAGTGTTTCGCAGAGGAATGGTACCACGCGGATCTGTTGCTCAAAAGTCAGATGTGGAGTCCCTAGTTGTACAAAGGCCTGTGGTTTCCCAGCGCACTGAGCAATATGACACTGTAAAGAAAAACGATCAGTCAGGACCTGTTTTCCACTGGGAAGATCTTTGCTATGATATCAAGATCAAAGGCGAGGCTCGCAGGATTCTGGATCATATAGACGGCTGGGTGCGACCTGGAACATCGACTGCCCTTATGGTAAGTGTTCCCTTAATCCATTGGCTGCCAGGAAGAAACTAACATTAGACCAGGGTGCATCCGGTGCAGGAAAAACAACTCTTTTGGACACGCTAGCTGCCAGAGTTACCGTGGGAGTGGTATCCGGGAATGCTTTTGTTGACGGTATACCTACAGATGCCTCCTTCGCTCATAAGATTGGCTATGTGCAGCAGCAAGACCTGCACCTTGATACAATGACCATCCGAGAAGCGTTGGAATTCAGTGCTATTCTTCGTCAACCTGCTAATGTGTCCCACGATGAGAAGATAGCGTACACTGAAGAGGTCATTGAGATGCTTGATATGCAAGAATTTGCAGATGCTGTTATCGGCGTTCCCGGAGAAGGGCTTAATGTTGAACAACGCAAACGCTTGACCATTGGAGTAGAGCTCGCTGCAAGACCTGAGCTCCTTGTCTTTCTAGATGAACCTACTTCAGGTCTAGATTCTCAGACCTCGTGGGCAATATGTGATCTAATTGAGAAACTGGTGAAAAGCGGCCAAGCAGTCTTATGCACGATTCATCAGCCTTCTGCAATACTGTTCCAGAGGTTCGATCGCCTTCTTCTACTTCAACCCGGCGGGAAGAGTGTCTACTTTGGTGGTATGTGTCTTTCCATTTTTTTTTCTGAGTATATACTTACCAAGTTAATCAGAGCTCGGCAATAATGCTCGCACGTTAATCGACTATCTTGAGCGCAACGGAGCCCCTAGGTGCCCTTCAGATGAAAATCCGGCAGAGTGGATGCTCAGAATCACTGAGCCAGCTTCAGAAAACTCCGCAACTCAGCTTGACTGGTCTAAGATTTGGCGTTCTTCGCCTGAATACCAGCAGATGAAAGATGAGCTTGCTCGACTCAAACAGCATGCTACCAACCGGGCTTTGGCTCTCTCATTGATGTACACGGACAATTCCCAGCATCACGAGTTTGTCGCTTCATTCTCAACTCAGTTTTGGCAAGTTCTGAAGCGTATTTCAAAGCACTTTTATCGCTCACCAGGCTATATCTACTCGAAAGTCGCCTTGGTGGCCTTGTCGGTCTATTCACTTCCCCTGGACAGTAACTACAGACTTAGTAGCTAATTGACTGTAGGCACTCTACGTTGGTTTCAGCTTCAAGGCTAATACCAGCCTTCAGGGGCTTCAAAATCAGATATATGCCTTTTTCATGTACTTGACTATGTTCGGCAGTTTGAATGAGCAGATAACGCCGTTGTTCGTTCCCCAACGTGCGCTCTACGAGGTGCGTGAACAGCCATCCCGGATGTATCGATGGGCGAGTAAGTACTTTCTTCCAACCCTTTGCCCAGACATCGTTTAACTTCGAAAAGCATATGTTCTATCGAACATACTAGTGGAAATTTTCTGGAATACGCTCATGGCCGTCCTACTCTATTTTTGCTGGTTCTACCCTGTCGGCTTTACTCAGAAAATGTCGCCCGATGATGAGCACACTCGCGGTCTCCTCGTTTTCCTTTTTTCATGGATGTTCATGCTCTTTGTCAGCACCTTTTCCCATCTCTGCATTGTCGCGTTCGAAACTCCAGATATGGCAGGGGCTCTAGCCACCTTGATCTGGATCTTATGTATCTCATTCTGCGGGTACGCAAAGACCTGATCCTCCTACATGCTTGAGTGCCTATCCCAACTAACCAATACCGATCATTAGTGTGGGCGTAGCCAAAGCCGATCTCCCAGGTTTCTGGACCTTCATGTACCGCCTCTCGCCAGCAACATACCTCGTGAGCGGCGTATTATCCACCTCACTATCTGGTTCCAAGATCGTCTGTGCGCCGCATGAAGTTCTTCGCATGCAAGCACCTGCGAACTTGACTTGTGGCGAGTACATGGGCGATTTCATCCGCACTGCTGGCGGATATCTTCTTGATAAAGGGGCCAAGGGACAATGCGAGTATTGTCGGTTGAGCATTACCGATGATTATCTAGCGACGTTCGATATATACTACGCGGATCGATGGAGGAATTTTGGTTTGCTTTGGGTCTATGTGGTGGTGAATATTGTCGGCGCTTTGGGTGTGTATTGGCTTTTTCGGGTTCCTAAAAGTTCGCGAGGGAAGAAAGGGGAAATGGAGCAGAAGGGTAAGAACGTGTAATTGGAGTATAGTCTATGGGTGTATACATGATTTTTATAGGTTACTCTTAGCAGTACTTAGGGTTATGGTTAGGAGTGAAAGGTCTTTTTTCTCAAAACACTTTCTATGTTCAGATAACCAGTCCGGCATACTCACTAACTCTTATGAGCTTAAATAGAATCCTAAGAGTTGAATTATTGATGAGATGTTCGGTCATGTATCTTAGCATTTGGATAAATATGAAAACTAGAGTCTTCTGAATCCTCCGAACAATTTTAATCAACACTTACAGATAGCAGTCCTAATTTCCAGCATCATAGACATCAACACTCTAATACTACTCCTTATTTTTATGTTAGACTCCTAAAGCTATCTAGAACACAACTGTGGCCTGAGGCACCAATCTTGCCCCCTAGTCCCGATTTGACAGAAGTGAAGTCCCGCTCACCGCCCGCAGGCGCAGTTTTTCTGCCGGCCCGCGTAGCAACCGGCAGCCGCGCGCAACGCGAAGACTCCGGGAAAAAGTAATAGTTAAGCCACCAGCCAATCTATCAGTTGTCCCTCACTGATCAAGCAACTTTTCTTCTCACCTACGTCTTCTTCATCTCTGTCGCCTCTCATTATACACACCGACCTGACAACCCACCTCTCCTTTGTACCAATAGCGAAATCTCCCCTGACAGCCTCTCCAACATGTGAGCACTCCCCCTACTTTTGCTCCTTGTGTAGCCCCATCGTGTTCCGGGCACTGATATCTTGTCTAGGGAGAGCTTCGATAACATCTACCTCGATCTCTCGAAACAACCGGGGAAGTGCAAGCTCGCGGAGAGCGGCTTGGGATGGAAACCCTCGGGCGGAGGCGAGACGTTTACTCTGGATAGCAGCAATGTCGGCGCCGCTCAATGGAGTCGGGCTTCGAAGGGCTTTGAGCTGAAGATTCTGTCGCGCTCTTCGGGCGTCATCCAGCTAGATGGTTTCGATCAGGAGGTAGGTCTTGCCTCCCAGCGGGCCTGCGTGTCTTCAAATTGGACACAACGGGGTCGGTGTTGGGTTTTTGTCTTTTTGCTAATCGTGCTGCTGTCTTTCCATTAGGACTTCGAACGATTGACCAAGGCCTTCAAAATCTGGTACGGCATCAACATCGAAAGCAGAGAACATGCGCTTCGCGGCTGGAACTGGGGTAAGGCGGATTTCGCAAAGGCCGAGCTCAGCTTCAACGTCCAGAATCGCCCCGCATTCGAAATCCCTTACTCCGAGATCTCCAACACGAACCTGGCGGGTAAGAACGAGGTCGCCGTCGAGTTCTCCCTCCCCGCGGAGAACGAGCCCAAGGCCCAACCGGCGGGGAGCACGAAAAACAGAGGCCGGAAGGCGGCCGCCGGGCCGGACGAGTTGGTCGAGATGCGATTCTACATCCCCGGTACGGTGGTGAAGACGGAGAAGGGCATTAAGGAGGAGAACGGCGAGGAGAAGGCCGAGGGGGAAGAAGGGGAGGAGGAAGAGGAGGGCGGCGAGGAGCAGAATGCCGCGAACCTCTTCTACGAGATGCTCATGGAGAAGGCGGAGATTGGCGATGTGGCTGGCGATACGTTTGCCACTTTCTTGGATGTGCTGCATCTTACGCCCAGGTATGTTCGCCCTTTGCGGGGTTTGTTTGGGTGGGATGGTTCTAATAGGTGGTTTGCAGAGGTCGGTTCGATATCGATATGTACGAGGCGTCTTTCCGGTTACGTGGCAAAACGTACGACTACAAGATTCAATATGCTTCGATCAAGAAGTTCTTCTTGCTTCCTAAGAACGACGACACGCATACGCTCATTGTCCTGGGTCTCGATCCTCCATTGCGCCAGGGACAGACCCGGTATCCGTTCCTGGTCATGCAGCTGAAATTGGATGAGGAGATCAGCTTGGAGTTGAACATGACAGAGTGAGTTTTATCTTCATGGGTGTGGGGATATTTGAATGATCGTCTGACTTCTCCAGTGAACTATTGGAGACGCGCTACAAGGACAAGCTGGAGTCTCGCTACGAAGAACCCATCCACCAAGTCGTCACGAAGATCTTCCGGGGCCTATCAGGCAAGAAGGTTATCATGCCGTCGAAGGACTTTGTCAGGTAAGTCATACACCAGGATGATTCTTGTGAAAATGCTTACGAGTTTGCAGCCACCACGGTCACAGCGGTGTCAAGTGCTCCATCAAGGCCAACGAGGGTCTCCTGTATTTCTTGGATAAGAGCTTGATCTTCGTTCCCAAGCCTGCCACGTACATCCAGATCGAGAACATTTCCGTCATCACCATGTCTCGCGTTGGCGGCGCCGTGTCGGCTAGCCGAACGTTCGACATCACAGTCACCTTGAAGGCCAACGCCGGAGCGCATCAATTCAGTAACATCAATCGGTATGGAATTCTTTACGTACTTGTGGTTATAGTTCATTTCTAATTATGTTACAGGGAGGAGCAACAGCCCCTAGAGGAGTTCTTTAAGGCGAAGAACATCCGATTCAAGAACGAAATGACGGAGGATGTACGTTGAAATCACCTGTTCCCCATGTGCACATTGAAACTAATTCATTTTCCCAGACCTCGGCAATCCTCAAGGCCGCCCTGAACAACGAAGCCATGGGATCCAGCGACGACGACGAGGGTGTCCGACCCGACCGTGGCTCTGCCGACGAAGACTCGGAGTCCCCTGACGAGGATTTCCATGCCGACACCGAGTCCGACGTTGCCGAGGAGTTCGACTCGGAGCACGAGAGCAGCGGAAGCGATGCCGAGATGGAGTATGCATCCGGCGGCGACGGCGACGGGGATGTCGACATGGACGACGCCGAACAGACGCGACCAAAGAAGAAGTCGAAGGTTGGGAAATAAAAATGACACTACTTACTGTATCCCTTCCCTTTTAGGGTGGAAAGGAAACAACCATACTGTCTTGCAGAAAATCATGCGTATGGTTGCATAATGAATCTGGTCAAATGGATTTTCACTTTTTCAGGCATGACTGTTATGTCTTCGTAGCATCGAGGCTCTATCCTTCCCCAATTGGATCCGTATCATATTCGGCACCCCAAACCCCCCGATCTGATCTATCAGATCGATAATCACATGTCAGTGCCATTGAGTCTGCTATTGACAGCACTATTGAGTCTCACCTGCATTTGCATATATCAGACGGGACACGATTGTCTGGTCGATCATAAAGTAGGGCCATGTACGGTAGATCATAAAAGTCTATGATAGGAATCTTAGTCAGTACTAGTGCTGAGGAACTGGGATAGGTAAACCGTTGGTATCGGTATTATACACAGCAGATACTAGTATAAACAATATTGTATCTAGAAATACAACCCAGTTTGGAATTATTTGTCGACTCATATCTTACAAGGTAGCTTGTCCACGGGATGCTGCCCAATTGTCTCGAACAAATGTCCGTTTCACCCTGCGGTTTGTACATGCCGAAATGCAGCGCTTGCATGGGCACCGTGTTGCAGATCCATCTGGAACACGGTTGGAATGTGAATGCCAGCAGGGAGGTTTGTTTAGTCTAGTTTAGTTTGACCGCGAGTTATCCACCAATAGGTACACCGTAGGTAAGCTCTGGTTTTGTTTGGTTTGTTATTCTCTGTCTGGTGCCCGATCGCATCTCCTTTTTTTTTTTTTTTTTCCTGCACCCAGGCGTCAAATCCATCCATTCATTTCCCTGGCTACCTAGAGGTTTTATGTTAGGAGTACCGAGTACGGAGGAGGTAGTGTTGATGCATGTCGCAGTCACCGGAAGTCTGGTCGGTACTATATATATCGAGTATCTGGCCAGTGTCGCCCACTAGGAAGCAACCTAGCGGACTAGCGAGACCAGGCCTTGAATTGTGTCTGTGTCTGATTGGGCGTGCATGAAGAGCATCTGAATCAGAGGCAAGACATTTTCTGTTCATGAGATCTACTCCGACCGTCGTGATTTGACGGTGGATTGCGTTGGGTTTTTATCTGGACGGCACTTTTTCTTTCTTTAATATTTAATATATTTTTTTTTTAATCTTCTGGGTGTTACCCAGGAGTATGCGGAGGTATTATGTATATAAATTGCCCCCTAATTGCCGGGGGATTGTTTGAGTAACGTCGTTACCAAGACCAATTGTTTGGTATCTTGAATATGTCTGAATACAGAATTGATCTTACCTAGGTGTAGTTAGTAGTAACCAAGTAATTGAGTAGGTATCTGCTTTAGTATGAGCAATTGAGCATGACTGTATGAAGAGATCCCCTGAAATAAGGTATCTGCGGTGTATGGTATCAGTACCAGAACCACCAGCTATACTCCGTACTATGAATAGTATCGAGTTGCACGGAGTGGCAGTCTCTAACGATTGACCCGGGCAGAATGCCAATTGTCTCGAACGAGAGGCAATCAAGGCATTACTGTATCTCCTGGTTGTTTGCCAGTGCAGAGAACTCGGTCAGAAAATACGGGTCAGGTGAAGACGGTTGTTCGGGTCAGGAGACGTTACGATCCATGGGACTCGGATTGATTAGTTTATTTGTTTTTTAGGGGGAGGATTCTTGGGAGTCCGGAGTATTCAGGACGTATTAGGTGTATTGTTTTCATTCTCTATCTGGATTGATTAGTGTCTCGCTTCCCAGCGCAGAAGTCACGGACTGGGGGATCTATTGAAATTGATTCAATGTCGGGCAGTTGACCTGTTCGGTTGCATACGGTGTAAGGTAGGCCCGGAACCGTTATTCGACAGGGGGGTAGGAGGGATATGCGACCGTTGGTATGATTCTGTTGAGAACAGATGCTCAATTCATTCACAAGAAATCAGTTCTAGATTACTCTGTACACGAACAGAGAGCAAGACAGAAAGACCGAAAAGAAGACAGACAGACATACTCCGTACAGAAGGAAAGAAAGAAAGAAAGAAATTAACCAGGGGACAGCGGGTTAAACCAAGTCGGCGTTAGTCCCGTCTCTCTGCCGTCGGCCACCCCCCTTTCTCCCTCCAACGACCAACTCTCGCATCCTCCACCCCGTCAATTCACTCCGCAGGTCCAGTCGTTCTCGCCTTCCCCTGCTTTCGCTTTACTGCTTCTTTCTCTCGTTCATCCTCCCTTTTTCTCCTTCGCTGCTTCTTTGGTGTCGTTTTTTCTTTTTATATCTCTTTTTCTACCTTTCCCACCCCCCGGCTCCTCGCTCTAATCTCCCCCCCGGAGCTTGTGCTTTTTCCAGATTCCTCTCTCCCCTATTGTATCCCGGCCTCCCTCGATCGTGGTCGCCTGGAACTGCACCCTGTTTGATTTTCTTTTTTCCTCTTAAACTCTCTGGTGAACATTCATCAAGGTACGGTGGCTTTTTCCCTTATCTACCTTTGGTCTATGTGCCACAATTCTCCCTTGATGCCATCCTGCCTGCCGTCGTTGCGTCGGTCTAAACTTACCACCTCCCCTTAATTCCGGTCTGCAAGGAATCTCCCATGCTAACCAACTCGGTGCGACCTGATTAGGGAAAGGGAAAAAAAAGTCTCATTCTCAACACTCGCTTCTACATCTTAAACCCTTGAATATTTCACAATGGGTAAGCTCGCGTCGCCTATGGCACCACATCTCATCCTACCATCTCATTCCCGCCTTCCTATCCCGTGGACCTTTCCTCCGTCGTGAACAGAACCGCCAGACACTCGCGCCTTGTGACGATCTAGTAAACAAAGAAGAAGAAGAATAAAAATAAAAAGATGTTGCGTTCTAGACGTCAGACTGTGGAGGGTTGCTTGCAAGTCCTAGACTCAGAAAGCCTCAATTCTTCGCCTCCGATAAGATCCAAAAGCCATTCGTCTCGTTCGCCTCGGAGGGAATCGTCTTCAGATGGCAGCTACCATCCAGATCCTCAGACCACTACTAACTCTACTCTCGCCCATGTAGCTTCGCCTCCTCCCCCTTCCAACGGGACCCCCGGTTCGGCTATGGAATCTCCCGCCAGCAGCATGCCTGGCTCTCCCTTCGTGGAGCGTAGCAACCCTATGGGATCCGGTAATGCCCAGACTGTCAGCTCCAAGGACCCCAAGGCTGTCGCTCAGGCCGCAACAGATATGAAGAACGTCGTTCGCCGGAAGTTGACTGGCTACGTTGGTTTCGCCAACCTGCCCAACCAATGGCACCGAAAGAGTGTTCGCAAAGGATTCAACTTCAATGTGATGGTTGTTGGTGAGTCTCCAACCCCCAGGAAGAAACGCCAGACGAGGAAATCCTGGGAGGGGCAACTTTGCTGATCTGATTCAACCAGGTGAATCCGGCCTCGGAAAGTCCACCCTTGTGAACACCCTCTTCAACACCTCCCTCTACCCCCCCAAGGAGCCCGCCGGCCCCAGCCACGACATCATTCCCAAGACCGTGGCCATCCAGTCCATCAGTGCAGACATCGAGGAGAACGGCGTGCGTCTCCGCTTGACCGTGGTCGACACCCCGGGCTTTGGTGATTTCGTGAACAACGATGACTCGTGGCGCCCCATTGTGGAGAACATCGAGCAGCGATACGACGCCTTCTTGGAAGCCGAGAACAAGGTGAACCGCACGAACATCATTGACAACCGTATCCACGCCTGCGTCTACTTCATCCAGCCCACCGGCCACTCCCTGAAGCCCCTCGACATCGAGGTGATGCGCCGCTTGCACACCAAGGTCAACCTGATCCCCGTGATCGCCAAGGCGGACACTCTTACCGACGAGGAGATTGCCCTCTTCAAGCAGAGAGTATGATAGACCCTTTCTTCCCCCTATCTCTGACAGTAGGTTATTAACCGGGTTTTGCCCTCCTTTTTCTAGATTCTCGCCGATATCCAGCACCACAACATCCAGATCTTCGAGGGTCCCCGCTACGAGCTCGACGACGAGGAAACTATCGCCGAGAACCAGGAGATCATGTCCAAGGTGCCCTTCGCCGTCGTCGGTGCCAACTCGGAAGTGGCGACCTCCGACGGCCGTAAGGTCCGCGGCCGTAGCTACCCCTGGGGTCTCATCGAGGTCGACAACGAGGAGCACTGCGACTTCGTCAAGCTGCGCCAGATGTTGATCCGCACCCACATGGAGGAGCTCAAGGAACACACCAACAACTCGCTGTACGAGAACTACCGCTCCGACAAGCTTACCCAGATGGGTGTCGCCCAGGACCCCAGCGTGTTCAAGGAGGTCAACCCCGCCGTCAAGCAGGAGGAGGAGCGCGCCCTCCACGAGCAGAAACTCGCCAAGATGGAGGTCGAGATGAAGATGGTCTTCCAACAGAAGGTGGCCGAGAAGGAAAGCAAACTGAAACAGAGCGAAGACGAGCTATATGCTCGACATCGCGAGATGAAGGATCAACTGGATCGGCAGCGCCAGGAACTGGACGAGAAGAAGTCACGACTCGAAAGCGGACGCCCGATCGAAGAAAAGGGCAAGAGAAAGGGATTCTCTCTCCGTTAAAGCGAAACCGCAAGTCCGTTGGGGGTTCCCGGTGCTTCTCTGCAGGGGTCAACGTGACGGACTGCTGCTCATGGGATGTATGTGGTCGTCGGAGGCATTCTGGTGATTTAACGGTTGATTCTCCACGACTGTCGATTGATCGAGCGCTGTCTTTCTTTTTTATTTTACCATTTCTTTTCACCCCAACTCTCTCCCTTCATTCTCTTGTGTTTATTTGTTCTCACCCCCGACGTTCCCTCCAATACTTTCCTCTTATCTGCTTCCAGTAATGACTCTTGCGTTTTCTACATCTTTTGTGAATTTTTTTTTTTTCTTCTCTTATTAATTGGGTGGTTTCAAGACGCCAAACACAAAAAAGAAAGCTCCATCTCGTTCTCAAACCGACAGTCGGATTAATAACAATAGGGGAAATGACTAGGAGAATGTGCTGGAACACGCGAGCGATGTCCATGCTTGGAAATCTTCTGCAAGATGATGCACAGGGGGGTAAAAAAAACCGGCCTCATTCACGTCTTGTCCCCTTTTCGCTTCTTGTTATGTACTTTGCCTACGCTATACCTTGTCCCGCCTGTTTCTTATTCCCCCGTGGCATCCTGTTCTACTTTACCTGCCGCTGTCATTTTCATTTTCATTTTTCTCTCTTCATTATATCTTCGGTGCACGTTTTGTGTCCTCTACTACAACCTTTTAGTGACCTGACCCACCCTCCGACCATCGTTTCTGGACGCATTCCCTTTTCTTATTGTGTCTATTTTCCTCATTGCAGTTTGTCGTTAGTTGTCAATTTGAAGTGTTTGCGAAAACCGGCATGTCCTCGATATCACGATCGGTATCTCGTAGGGATTTCTCGGGCCTCGAAAGATGACCGAAAAGGAAATCAGCTGTGGTCGGTCTTGGCGTTGGTACCTAAGGGTCTGCAGGTGGTTCTTGACGTTGGACGGGGGGTTGTACCACCGGGTTTGAGAATAGGACTAGGCCATTGTCCAAAGGAAATGAAACACCCCTCTAACAATTAGGCAATTTCTGGACCGCGTAGGTGCAGTAATAAGAATAGGAGAATAGAATTCCAATGACGGAGCGTTGCAGCCAACGTCCCGACGTCACCGGCCGAGCAGTCGGGAAAGGCCGAGGCGCCAGCCGCTTGCTGTCCTGAGTGTCCTCCCACCACCGCCTTTCTCTGTCGCTCTCCCTCTCTCTCTTCCTCTCCCCGCCCAGCCCAGCCTCCCTCCCAAAAATAAAATTCCCCAAACGACAATAGACTAGTGGATATCGACCTTCTCTCCCACCGCTCAATTCCATTCTCTTCGTTCCACTAGTTCTCCCCCTGTTCCTCTTTCTTCCCCGACTCCATCCACCACTTTTCTAGCTTCGTTTCGTTCAACACCGCCATCTCCGAACACGTATCGCTACAATGGCCCCCCCTCCGGCGCACCTACCTTTGGGTGAAAGACTCAAGGCTCTGGCCCAGACACTACAGTGAGTGGTTCGCTCGATTATCCAAAATGAAGCAGAGAAAAAAACAATAGAACTAACCACCTGGCTCGTCGGTAGATTCGCTTGGTTTGCCGGGTATGTTTTCCCACGTTATTCGCCCAGCAGCTTCCAATTTCCTCCGGCCATCGGCAAATGGCAGCCGCTTGATGCGCGATTCCTCGCGGTGAGACCGTGACGGCGAATAGTGTCGCTTACTGACGGAGTTTAGACATGTAACGCTGCTGATTTCCGTCTTCCGCTACGTCCTGTCCTACCTCACCTTCAACTACTACTCCTCTACCGCGCAGGCCGCCTACCGCCTTGCATTCGTTTCCGCCGCGGCTACATATGGAATTGTGGTATACAAGGGACATATCGCGCGTGGCCGTCTCCAGGGCAGTCCTCTCAGCATTGCGCTGAAGCTCGCTGGTGATGAGAACGTGCAGTACCTGGGTGAGTAGCAGACGTCGCAGGGCTCAGTGCCGGGCATTTCCGACAGCTCTCCCCCCGCCTGGAAAATTGATTGTGGCTAACCGGTTGTGCTAGGTATGGCCTTGGTTTGGCTGTATTCGCGTCAGGTCTCGCTCGCCCTGCTTCCTTTCACCGTTTACTCGGTCTTCCACGTCGCGACCTACTCGCGTGCCCACCTGATCCCCACCTTGCAGCCTCCTCAGGGTGGCGCCCCTGCCTCGCCCACCTCTCCTAGTGCCTCCAGGCCTGCTCCCAAGCAGTCTCCTCTGGCCGAGACCATCGGACGATTTGTCAAGCAGTACTACGATGCCAGCATGGACCTCGTCGCCGCGCTTGAAATTGCGCTTCTGTTCCGCCTGATTGTCTCGATCCTGACTTTCTCCAAGGGAAGCTTCGTCCTCCTGTTCATCTACCTGGCCTTCTTCCGCGCCAGATACAGCCAGAGCACGTTCGTTCAGCACGGCCTTCGCCACTTCACCGCCCGTATCGACGCTGCGGTTTCCCACCAGACCACTCCCCCTGCCATGCGCCAGGGCTGGGAGACCTTCAAGGGAATCGTGCGCCAGGCTTACGAATCCACCGACATGGGCCGCCTGATCGGCAAGGCGGATGCCAAGAAGCCGCAATAAATGGGAACCGAGAAAGGGAAGGATTATGGACGAGCTTTATTTTTGAAGTCGGGCGATTATGACAAAGCGAGAGTGGTTCTAGACGAACTATCTTCGACCTGCCTGACGTCATTGGAACCTATCTGTTCGGGGTTCTTGATTGATTTCTACCTATAACGAAGCGACGTCATTGGCTCTGACTTTGGTTGGTCCTGTGGCTTGGTTAACCCATGAATTAAGGGTGATGTATACTTGGAGAATGGAATGGTAGTATTAGGGGTCTGTTTGACGGTGGAGGATGGGGGAATGGTTAATGTGCAACGCCTCAAGACTCAATTCTATTCTTACTCTTTTCTTGCGTTTTCTGATGGCATCCCCCTTTGTTTTTGATACGTTAAGTCGTGATTGAGCATAATGCGATTGATTCCAAGAGTTTTTCTTTACCGAGTAATTTGATGCTGCCACCGTGCGTTTCTACTTTCCTTTTGCGTTTGGCCCTTTCTTTTTTCTTTTATTGCCCTATGCACTATGCCACGTCTTCCTTTGTGCACTGTATGCTTGATGAATGAAAGTTTGCTTCTCTGCAGGTTAATGTCCATAAAGTGAATACCATGGATGAATGAAATAGATCTACTTGGTCAAGCAGGGAATGTCAACCCATTCCCATTCCCTATACCAAAGATGCAAGATGTATGTAGATGAATGATCCCCCCTGCTACTGGGTATATATAGCCCCCCTCCCTCCACATCTCCTGTCTTTCTTTTCATCCTTCTTCATCTATCTGCTATCTCTTCTGAAGCCGAACCCTTCTCTCGCTATATCGTCAATATGTTGTTCATATTTTCGGTTTAGTATGTTGTGTGGGGTAAGATATCAATATCCTCGCTCATACATCCTCAAGATGTTTCTGATGTTAGCCAAACGTCTCTTGAACCTCTCACCCCAGGGTGGAGAGAATTGGACTGGTTCAGATTATATTCGCTTGCTCGACCTGGAATCCCTCGCGCGGAAACGAGATCAACATGGAGCGTCTAGAACAGGTCAACCACCCCCTTCCGGAGCTGCGTCGTAGCGCCCATTTTCAGACGCACGGAAATTCAGAGCTTCACTTGCGGAGGATGCATCTAGGCAGACCACAGTAAAGGCTGTTCGCACCGTGTGGATTCCAAAAAACGTACAATCATGTGGTGCATACGCTGTCCTCTTCATTCGTTGTCCAAACTGTCGAAAATCAAATCACAAATGGAAACAACCGGGGGATTGTTACTTGTATGAGAGAATCCGGGCATTCAACACGATATTTTCAGTCGATATCGATTGCCTTGCTTGATCCAACATAGTGTTTCTTTCATCTTAATCTTGTGGATAACCGAAGGCGACAGTCCACCAACATGCATCCGAAGAAGACGTGGCTTGACGAACTCAGCAAATGGACCTATCGCAAATTCCATACCGCTATCTATCAGACATAGCAAAGCACTGCCGCTCTTCAAACAACAGATCCAAGAGTACAGTGCAGATTGGTATTTGAGATAGTAGAAGATCCTTCTTCTCCTCTTCGTAGACAGCAAGTATCACAATCCAATACAATGCAGCCCGGCAACAGCATTTGATATCGCCACAGCAATGTCTTGAGCTTTTCGATACGGGCATCCTTCATGGCGCCGGAGAGTTACTCCAGAAACTCTCGGTCCCCGTCGACATTCTGGTTTCGTCTAGCAGGCCTGGAAGGCCTTTTGGATGGAAGCGAGATGGTGAACCTACGTGCACGAGTCGCAGATACGGTTCGATTTTTTCTTTATTTTCGACGTACGAATGGACAGTGTTTTTCCGCCAAGTGGACTTGGGTAGGGGCCAATGGAGGCTTCAATGGAGCCCACCTATCTCGAATCAGGCAGGGGACAACAGGGAGATAACCCTAAGACAAGCCTTCTGGTGCCTGTTGAATCAGGCCGTGGGGGGTTACCATGCTTAAGGCCTAGGCCGTTTTTATGATGGCCTCTAGCATTGAGCTGCTCTTTACGTTACAAGCCTCATGGACTGGTAGGCGGAAGACCTACCATACTCGATCCAGGGATATCGAGCACTTTTACAGCTATTCCACAAAGAGATGATGGGATGTATCTCCATCATCAGAGGAAGATATCCAGAAGGGACAACTACGAATGGCTGAGGATAATGTACTATTCGATCCCTCAGCACGTCTAGTTATCAGGAGCTAGGGAGTGCACTCTTCAATGACTCCATGGCAGTCGCCGGTGCTCGACTGAACCCGGCATACTATATTTGGTTCGCTGAAACTTCGTGCCGACCACTCTTCTTTGTTTTGTTATCAGGTTCACGTACCTACTCTGCGGGGAAGATCTGGTAATGTGTTAGCTTCCCCGGACATCGTGAACATGATATATGGGAGTTCTTTGGGTTACTTATTTCAATCGACATTTCGGAGGCCTTGGGTTGGTTTGGATTTTGTCACCTCTCGCCATTCTCCTCGTGATGCTCACCAAGGCAGAATCGAAGCTGAAAACCGTGAGATACGTAACGAGAACCTCCACCTCCATGACTGCTTGCTGTGAAGCTTCTGAATCCTGCGTGCAAGACAATGACGATGGGTTGCGCATTTCAGAAATGGAGATCGTTCACACCGCAAAGATATTCAGAGAAACACGTTCTTTCAACATTTGAAAGTCATGGGTTATAAGGTTTTCATAAAATGAAGACTGTCCGTGCAGCTATTGCCTGTCTTGATTTCAAAGATGAACGTTCTCATATGGAAATAGTATGAACTCCCCAAATACACATCGAGAAGAAATTAGAGGCCACCAACAGCATAACCTCCCACTCATCACCGTGGACAGCTCTCAAGGGGTCCGGAGAGCGTGACTTGGGGTCTCCAGTCCATGAGATGGCTGCAGGGGAGGCCGTGAGGGCGGGATCAGCCCTAATTCCGGTAGCCCGTTCACCCAGTGCATGGTTATGCTGGCTTTGGGGGTGCACTTTGTACATATGATGGCCTGCGCTGGCTGCCTGTGGAATTCCCATGGAGGAGTTGTGGGAATCACCACGGTGATGCAGAGGGGCGCATAACTCCCTTTGCAACCGCTTCAATGAAAAAGATGCATGCATTGAGTCTCAAAGCCGGGAGATCGAACAGCTCAAGGGGAGCGTAAAACATCTCACAACAGAACTCGAAAAAAGCGAGCGAAGAGCGGGACGATATCGAAGACGAAGGTACCATGACAGAGGTACTAATAGCGCATACTGGCGAGCTGCACAAGAACACCGGCAATATATAGAAGAGTACGATTTCGAGTGGATTCGCATGATCCACTCCAGGAACACGAATGGGAACTCGGACATGAGGGACGTCATCCTCGCAGCCCACTTCGGCGCTTGTCATGATCACGTCTACCTCCTGAGGACGATGATGAAGAGTACGTCTCGGATGTTAACGTCCGCCCCGTAGCTCCGACTACTCGTGGTAGCCTCAGTAACGATCTTGCGGCTGACCTGAATGCGATACGCGATGACGTTGCTTCCTTCGAAAAGTTGATCAACAAGGCGTCGAACGCGATGCACGACTGCGTTGAAAACTGGAGCCGTCTGTCTCGCAAGTTTAAGACACTGCAGGCCTCCGCTAACGCCGCGGCAGCTACGGTTGTTCGTCCCGACGGGATGAGTGAAGACCTTTGGGATGCCCTCGACGTGGGTACCCGTCAAAACATCTCGCAGGTGTCGACCGGCTGTAAGTAGGTAGCCCTCTTCCGTCCGTCGCTGGTTCGCGTAGCTCTGACCGTTTCTGTGTTACAGTCCTTCGGCAGGGGGAGAAGGCCTGGCAGACCTCGGCCTTCGAGCGACTGTCAGGTATATTTAAGTTCCACTCGGGAATTCTATTCCAAACCGCACCCAACAATATCGCCCCGTAGGTGCAGCTGACGATGCGGTCAGACTTTGAACAAGACTGATCATGAGCCATACCCGATCTACTTTGGAAGCTGATTAGTGATATTACCTAGCTTACACCTTTCCGAACGAATGTCTGGGAAAGTTGAAAACACCAAACCTGAACAAGTTATACCTGTCAGCCGTTATCGAGCTTGAGCTGTTAGAGCTTAACCTCGCGCCGTTCGAAGAAGATCATAGTCAAGTAGACTTAATCTTCGACCGTCTGGGGTCAGCAGGATTTGCAGACGAACCTTAATGTCTGGAGAGAATATAAGCTCTCGATATATGTGCGTGGTGTCCATGGAGCGATCCTTGAGCTATCTTTGTTCCTGCTATGCGAGCCCTACGTCTCTCACGCCTGGTATCCTTTTTCCTCTCTCGTCTATGTGACTGCGCATCTTGTTCGTCCGGCTCTCTAGAGAAAATCTACATCTGCCTATCTGAGTTGCAGGTAAGTCTACGGCTGGTTTAATATAGACAGAATGCACCCTGACGAACTGGGCTCAGTATGGTTTAACGGAACAACGTAGATGATCCGGATCCGCGGTGGATAACGGTACTGAGGGAGTGCTACGTCGACGCTATGATTGATACTTTCTCTCCTCATGACGGGCCAGATCTACGGATTCTGGTTACTTACACGTTTCAGATATTAGTTCCTGGGGGTATTCCCGCTCTAGGTTTTATGGTCTTATCGCCCTTATTCTGACGCAATTATTTGGGGACGACTTCCCGACACTTGCTGTGTTGTCCACAACTCGTGTGACTCGGAATAGGAGCCGGCTCTGGAGTCCGGTTTATGACGTTTATCCTCGGCGCGAATTTGGTGATTTGTATTTATTGGATGTATAAGAAAATGCGATCGTCCGCCACATGTTCCAACCTGAGTGAACCCGAATGACATCAACGATCATCCCTTGATCTCCTTATTCAATACGGGCCATGCGGTGCCATGGCGTGAGGAACTGGAATACTGCCGCCGTGATCGCCAAGATGTATGGTCAGACAGTTGAGGTGTTTGTGGAAGTTTCCCTTTGGCACGATATGATTGAGGATGACTATGGGGATCAATTTAGAAGGGCGATTTACGATGGTGGTGGGATAGGTATCATTGGATACAATTACCAGTGGGCCGTCTAAGACGCTCCTTAGTGAAGTTCTTTTTGGGGATCAAGAAGAGTCAGGCCTTCATGCCCATTCATCTAGATGTGCTAATGACCAACTTCAACCTGATAAGGGGAGCTGGCATGACCCATGTTGATGCGATTATCAAGATGGTGCAGATGCATCCATGGGTGACCAAAGTTCCGGAGTTGGAGCCTTACTTCCGGAAATTCATTAGCCCAAAAGAACTTTCATCGAATCGAACTCCGTGCTATAGAGTCAGTCAATTGATCTGCCGAGATGGCATTTGGAAGCACTCTTCATCCATTTTTCCAACTTTAACATGAGCAATTAAAGTGATTTGTTAGAAAATGTCGCAAGTCCAAACGATGACGTTGTTTAACTACCAGTGACTGAGTGGGTCCACTCTAGAAATCCGAGGAATCGAGGAGGTTCCGCGATACCCTTTAGGTTCGAGAGAACATGATAGGTTGGATAAAGGGCCCCCGATGCAGTATGCACCGAGCAGAGACGTGTTCTAGGAGAACAGCGTTAGGGTAGAGGAGGTCACCCGCAGGCCAACGAACCAGGCCGATGATGATTCAGAGTGTCTGCCTGAGGCATCCTCTCGGGTTCGGGCGCGGAGAAAAGGGAAAACCGACCGAAATTTCGGGGCTGTTGATGCTGCGCCAATCTGGAAAGATTTTTTGGATAATTCCCTCAAGAGGTGCCATGCTCCTACTTCCCTCCCCCCGACTCTCGTTGATCCTCGTCTAATCCCCCTTCTCCTTCCCGTCTACTTCCGCGTCTCGACCTCCCTTTTTTCTTCCCTTCCCTTCCGCCGTCATCCTCGCTGTCAGTGGCGTCCTTCCCGGAAAGCCCAACGTCGCCGCCGCATCCCAACCAAACCCCCCGAGGTCTGGTCCGCGCACCGATCTGGTGGGTTGCGGTGTTCTTGCAATGAGCTTGACTTCGCGTGTATTTGGCCTGTTTACGACAGAGACACCTTCGGATTCCCCTGCGACGGCCGTCTATTCGAAGACCGCCAGCACCGGCGAACACCCTCATGGTTCCGGTCAGGTGAAGACGCATCGAGACGCCCATGCCCAAAATGCTGCCTCGATAGCAGACGAGGAGGAGCCCCGACCTCCGTATTTGCACGTATGTTTGATCGATATACCGTTGTCCGCTGAATAGGATCTTTGTCCATGTGCGCCTGGAACGAAATTCTTGGAACTGTCTATGGCTGACCTCGGGACTGGGCTTTGTACAGGCTATGCTTGCGGGTGGTACTGGCGGTACTTGTGGTGATATGCTCATGCATTCGCTCGACACAGTCAAGACGAGACAGCAGGGCGACCCTCACTTTCCTCCCAAATACACGTCCATGACCTCATCCTATGCGACTATCTATCGACAAGAAGGGTTCTTCCGAGGTCTCTACGGCGGCGTGACTCCTGCGTTCTGGGGCTCCTTCCCGGGAACGGTGACCTTTTTCGGAGTTTATGAGTTCACCAAGCGGCGGATGCTGGACGCTGGGATTAATCCCAATCTTGCCTATCTCTCCGGAGGTAAGAGTTTATGGCTGCCTTTTTAAATCGTTAAATGCGCCCGGTGTTAATGAGGTTTGCTTTCAGGTTTCCTTGCCGATCTCGCCGCTTCCATCGTCTACGTCCCTTCGGAGGTATTGAAAACTCGCATGCAATTGCAGGGACGCTACAACAACCCCTACTTCCATTCGGGATACAACTATCGTGGAACGACAGACGCCCTTCGCACGATTGTCCGACAGGAGGGGTTCGCCGCGCTGTTCTACGGATACAAGGCGACCATCTTCCGCGACCTCCCTTTTTCGGCCCTACAGTTTGCGTTCTACGAGCAGGAGCACCGCATGGCCATTGAATGGGTGGGGTCTCGAGACATCGGGCTTGGGTTAGAGATCCTGACCGCGGCGACGGCCGGTGGTATGGCAGGCGTGATCACATGTCCGATGGATGTCGTCAAAACCCGCGTTCAAACGCAACGAAACCCCGAGACCATGAGTCCTCCGAAAGGCGCCACCGAACACGCCTCGGTCAAGCAGAGTCCCCGGCAGCACGCGCCATCCCAGACGACGTCGTCAAGCCTCCGAACGCATTCGCGACCGATGTCCACTTCTGGGCCGTCGACGTCGATGCGTCCGCCTGGAACCCCCCGCCTGGATACTACTTCGTTCTTCACCGGTTTGAAGATGATCTACCAGGCGGAAGGTATCCAGGGGTGGTTCCGCGGCGTCGGACCTCGAGGCGTGTGGACCAGCATTCAGAGCGGAACGATGTTGGTCATGTACCAATACTTGTTGAAGAAATTCGAAGAATACGAGAGCATCGGGGAGACGAACCCTCTATAATTCTGTCGAACCTCTCGAGTAGGCCGGTAGACGCCCGGCGACTCGGTTGTAGATAATATGGCACCACAACCGGAACTTTGCACATTGGATGGGAAAGAGGATCGGGCGTTCTGGAAAGGTTGTGGCATGACTTTTTTTTTCTCATCTTTTCTTTTTTTTATATAATGTTCTCTTTCTCCTGTCATCTCTCCACTATGGCTTGTTTCTTGGGTGTGTATATGCACAACACACTTTCTGGTTGATTTGGAGAGGGAGAGAGAGGAGGATTGGATATCAGTGTACGGATTTACATAGACTTTAGACCGGCCGGAGGGGCCTCGTGTACCATAACATTGCATCACATCATATCAGATAAAATGATAGAGCAGGACAATTGACAATTGACAACATTCCCAGGGCTCAAGAGGAAGTAAACACGCGCCCGGCGGGACCCGCCCAAAAGTAAACAAAGACGGATGCGGTCAGCCCCGCCCGGCCATTCTGACTTGTACTTCTGTCTCTCGGTCTTCTCTTCCTTTCCTCCCTCTCTTTCCCTCCCTTCCCTCTTGCTACTTTTCGGTTCTCCCACGTCTCGGCTTGTTTGTTTATCGCTTCTATCCGCACCCCCCTCCCCCCCATACTTAAACTGCCTTCCTCCCTACCCCTTGCACGGTATCTGTCGTCGCATGGTTCTAGTGGATCCTCTTCCGTGCGCGTCATCGTTGTCTACTTTCTTCTTCATCATTTCCATTTCACCATGTCCAACGCTTTGCCTTATTTGCAGAAACTGCGCAAGCCCCAATTAGTGGAGCTGGCGGAGGCTACTGATCTCCATGAGTACGTCGGCCCGTAGCCGTTATCGATCCCCTATTATCGATCCCCCAACTCCCGCATTGTTCTAACCCTCTACAGCTATGAGGATATAAATAAACCCGAGCTGGTCGCCCTTCTCGACGATCACCTCCAAGCCAACCAGTCCATCTTCCAGAATGACGAGCGACTGGCGGAGTACTACCGCCGCCTGTCGCAAAGCCCCCGCCTGTCGCCAACGAAGAGGGAGCCCAAGTCAGAGCCGTCGCCGACCAAGGTGTCGCCGACTAAGTTGGATCCTCCCAGGTCGGCGCGTCGCGGACGGAGGGCAAAGGAGGAGATCGAACAAACGTAGGTTGTCCCCGTTGACGGTTCCCGTGACCTCTGCAATTTGGCGCGCTCTCGCTCTTTAGGATGTTCTATGCGACGGATGGAATCTAACATACTTATCTTATAGAGACGACTCCGATGTGTCGCCACGAGTAATTGCGACCACTACTCCCGCCCGCAGCCCGCTACTGGCCGTTGAGCCGCCGTTGCCGCCATCCCCGGCTGTTGTGACCGACGCGATTGACCGCCAGACCGCCGTCTGGGGCAAGCGCATTGGCGACGCATGGACCGTGCTAGGCGTCCGGGAGCGCTCGCATGCGCTGCGCTCCATCTTGAGCAGCGTCAAAGCTGTCGAAATCCTCTTCGTGGCCCTGGAAGGAGCCGGCCTCTTCCGCACACTCCTGCCGCTGGTTTACGTGACCAGCGTTCCGGCAGTGGAGGCGATCCACTCTCCCGAATTCTCTGTCAAGGTTCCCGATCTCTTCAAGCTGGTGGAGGGCACATTCTGGGCGCCGCTCTCGCTCTGGCTTCTCACCAGCCTGTTCCTGCCCTTGACCGCCGCCTATTTCTTCAACCTGAGTCGGCAGACTAGCGGAGGCCCTGCCTTGAATACGCGCCGAAACCGTGCCGCTCAGGCTACCTTTGATCCTCTAAGCTTCAACATTGCCAAGGCGTTGGTCGCGTACTTAGTGTATGCGAATGAATTTACATTCTGGAATCTCTTCAGCGACACCTCTATCGATACAGTGAACACCTCCGTTCCTGGACAATGGGCCGGCATTCTGACCGGTTCTGCCATCGGAACGATCGGGACTCTCTATGAGGCCATTTTGAAGAAGTAAATATATGCCTGTCCACAACCTGTATCTCGGGTGTGAGATACGCAGGCTGTTTGATTGTTCTGAACTGTGATGTCGATACGGCGTAACTGTATGGACGGTGGAAAGATAGGCAGTGTGCCATCATCTGCCTGCTGTATCGGAAGCCTGGTTGCTGTCACTGCCATAGAGGGCCTTTTTGGTAAATTCCCTTGGCTTTTTGGGTGGGGTTGGTTGTCTTTTCTCATGGTGCAATCGCAGTCGGTGTTTGCCGCTGCGCTCACCGTCTTTTGATATCCTCTCGTTTTCGGACTTATCTTTGTTGTACGGCGTGGTGAATGGGTGAGATCCTTGAATCCGCGCTTGTGTAACTCTGTTTACTCTGCTTGTGCTTTGCTTTATTGGTTAGGGAGAGGCGCCTTGGATGTATTGGTCAGGTCGAGATCATTCCTCTTTAATTTTTTTTTTTTTTTTTTTTTTCCTGGGTGTTTATTGGTCTAGCGTACTGCGAACGAGTAATGTTAAACTTGGTTGATATCCTATGATGCATGAGACTTCGATTTGAAGTTATAACTGTATCATGCCTGGATATAACATAACAACTATCTACTAAGTATCTATTGAATATCTGGTATCTTCAATCTATCCTATGCCCCCTAAATTCTACCACTCCAATTCCAAGAATTTCATAACCATAAACCCAAACCGTAAACCAAATAAGGCCACAACCAGAAAGAAAAGAGAAGAATCAATTGAAGAAAAAAAGGCAAAAGAGCAGAGCCCACTCACTACCTCACCTCGTCCTCTTAAACCTCTTCGCCAATTCCACCGTAAACAACACCGGCACTCGACTCTCCACCTCCACCATGTCCGCCCGGATATGATTGCTCGTGCTCAACTGTCCCCCGATCGAGGTCGCCCAGTCCGTCACGTCCCATTCAAGTCCGGAGGTGGTGATCCGCGCGGGCCCGGAGAGGGGAATTATGCCGACGTTTTCTTCTAGGAAGTGGTGATCTTCTTCGCTTGTAGGCGTGGGGGTTGAGGTAGAGGTAGAAGGAGAAGGTAAAGGACGATTCGTCCCCGGCGTGTGAATCACATTTTTTCCTGGCCGTAAGATGAATGTGATACTTTCTTCGGAGATGAGGTATAGATTGCCTTCTTCTTTTGGTTTCTTCTCTTCTTCTGCTTGTTCTTGTGCAGCCCCTTGTTGCTGTTGCATCTCCTGCGTCATCGTATACAGATGATGGATTTGCGAAAATGCTTGATCTACTCGCCCCCCTAGACCGCCTAGGATGAGGGTATTCAGAGGTTGTTGCTGTGTCCCAGACTCCCGAGGAACAATCTCATGTGCATGCGAGCGCAAATAATTCAGACATTTTGTGAAGTCAGTCGAGTACTGATCTCTGTCTTGGATGACGGGCACGCCTAGGCCCGTGTAATGGCTTCTCACATCTGACATGATGGAGTCCAGGTCGCCGATGATGAGAGACGGCAGCTAAAGGTGTCGGTTAGTGGTTGGTCTTATAGATGTACAGATCATGTATCAAGGGGATAAGGTGAGCACGTACATCCAAAGCCTCCCGGCCTTGCCTTTTCATCAGATCATAGTAGCGATTTGCGCCGCCGTCTGCGCATACCGTGATGCATGCTTGATGGGGTGGAGTGTGGCATTAGCTTTGGGTGGTCTTAGTGGGCTTGATATACATGGATAGAGTAGCTAGTTGATTGGACAAAAGCTGGATGATGTTTGCGGGGAGAAAAGAAGTTCTGACGGATGGACAGGGATGATGGGGAGCAAACATGGACTGAACTACAAGGTCCTGCGATGAGGGTTGGATTCAGAAGAAGCTGGACTAAGCTTACCGTGTTCCTTTAGTACCGCAAACGCATTCTCATTTATTGGTTGGTTTAGGACGACCAGCGCGAACAGCGTTGGAGGGTCGTCGGCGCGGAAGAATTGCGTTGGATCCCACTCCATTGAGTTGGGGTGGTTGTTCTTCCTGGAAGGATGGGGGTTGATGATGAGAGTAGGTGATGCGGTAGGTGGTGATGGGTCTAATAGTGTATATCCAAGCAAGTGGTTCTTTCTGTTTATAGGGGATTGCTGGATCGATGGATCTCCATTATACAAACTCGTTGCGAAGCCGCCCAAGACACCCAGAACCCGACCGCACCGGGTGTGGTAATAACGCTGTAATAATACCAAATACGGTCTCAACACGTGACCCAACCTCCAAAAAACCACGGATTTTTTTTAACATTTTAGGTGTGGTCCGATCAGACCATAACAGAATTTGTATGTATTCCAGTGATTTAACGCGATTTCCCCCACCAAAAGTAGAGAAGAATGTAGAAAAATGTTGCGAAGAGCGAACATATCTACTATCTACTTAGATCCATTTTCAGAATTCGATTATCGGCTTTTTTGCGGGGCTGGGAGCGGTTTTAATTCTCATTGGGAGGGCGAGTTTCACGGCCAGGTCAGGTGAATAATTCATGCGCCACATCGCGGGTCACTGACTGTGGCGTGTCTTAGCGGGGTGTGGCTGAGGATATACTCTTTCATCTCGTATTCACGCCTTCTTCTGAGGGGACATTCCTAGGATTGCATACAGATGGACCTGAATACCATCATGCTTTGAATATGGGCGTCACTCGAAGCAACGGGTGCTTGCTTTGTGTTAAGCGTCGAGTCAAGGTCTGATGTCCTGCGTCCCCGTCTATATTGTCCAGAAATGGAGTCGCTGATGCTAGGATCCAGTGCGACGAAAGGGTACCCGGATGCGCAAGATGCGAGACTTATGGGAGACCATGTCCTGGGTTTGATCGGGGCTTTCAATTTGTTGCAGGGAAGCCATATCGTTCCCGACGACGTCCAAAGACAGAAGAAAGCAGCTCACAGGATGAAACCAATCCTGCGAGTGTCGAGTTTGACACAGACGTCGTGTCTCAGGCTGCCTATCAGTTACAAACTCAAGCCTCGGGCCCTCTATCACTAATCTCTGCGGACTCCAACGTGCTGCAGGGCCTTGACATCGTCCTCGATGAAGTCTCCCAGCCCTACCAGTTAAACTCGGCCTATGTCATCTCTCGATGGCTCCGGTTTCTTCCGGGTGTTTATGGTCGCAATCGGACTTTGGATTCGGCCATCAAGTGCTTTGTTTCTCATCATGTCGGGAATGTGGCTAAGAACCAACAAGCGCTTTGGTATGCTAGATCCACGTACGTAGAGGCGCTGGCGAGGCTTCGGAACTCGCTAGATAATCCTGCCGAGGGGCTTTCGTCGGAGATGTTTTGTGCCGTTTTGTTGCTGTGTATGTACGAGGTGGGTGGCTTTCAAATAACACTGCGTTGGACCATGGCTGACTTGGTCAAGCTCTTTGCTAATACGACTGACTCGGTGTCGTGGATGAAACATGCCCAGGCGCTGAGTCAATTAACGGAGATCAGGGGCTTTGGACGCTATGTGAATGAGTTTGACCTGACTTTGTTGAAGGCGTCTCGTGGGTTGATTGTAGGTTCTACAAGCTTATGGTTCTAGTTTATTTCCTTTCGAGTCCAGTACTAACACACATTGCAGGTCATGCATTCCCTTTTCTCAGGCCAGAAATGCTTTTTAACTTCGAGGAGCTGGCATTCCGTGATGGAGAAGCATGTGAATACTGGCTTGTTAGCCGAGCTAGACCGCCTGGTGGAAGAGTTCTTTGCCTTTTTCACCTTTGCGCCGAGTTTCATACATGAGCTTTATGACCTGAAGCAAACAGATCTATCGGATCCACGAGTGCAGCAGAGAATTTCAAACCTTGCGACACGGTCTTTTGATATGATAAACAAGGTGTCTGCTTGGTACGAGCAGTTTTCGACGACCGTTCCACTTCCAACCCAAGCACGGTCATCAACAGGGGACAAGTTATTTCCTATCGTTCTCATCTACTCCGACGTGAACAGCGGAACCCTCTTTTGCGGCTACTATTCCTACATGTTGCTTTTGCATGAGATCCTCAGGGCCTGTGGCTGTCCTGGTGAGCATGCGGCTATGGTGGTTCACTTCCGAGACCTGATTTGTCAGTCAATCGAGTATAATACTCGTGGAATGCTGGGGCCGTATCGAATGGGATTTTCATTGCGCGCGGTGTACGAAACGGCCGATCCTGTCACCAGGGCGTGGCTTGAGGGATGGCTGGAACGACTTTCTAAAGCGTATGCAGCGGTACAGCCTAGGAATTTTGGGATGGTCGACTGAATTGCTATACTCTCATTTTGACACACGTACACTTGCCAACTGTCCGGCATGCATTATTCTACCTAATTATGGCACCTTTTTCTTGAAGATACACATTCATCCAGTCAAACGGCCTCTGCCTGTCTCAACAGGCACCGACCAGAATGGCTCTGCCACGGCTCTAGCAGCCAAGAGACACATCGTTATGATTATCTCCATCACCAGCCTCATACCCACTGTGACACCGGTATCACCTACCTCAGAACTGAATTTTCGCGGTCCAAACTCCGCAAGCAGGAAATGCGCCACTCGCACAACAAGGAACGGCAGTGCCACCAGCACCAACAAAACACAGCGGTGACCAGCTTTCGGGAGAACAGCCCGGTACTGCACAGCCAGCAGGACAGCCAGTCCGCATCCAAACGCGAATGCGATGGGCAGCATTATCGACCCGACGATCTTGCAGATGCGATTCTGTATGGACGCTCCCACCACCACCAACACGATCGAGAAGATGATGGGGAATCGGAACAACGTGAGGGCGAAGCGTATTTGCTTCGGGTATCTTGAGTTTCCTGGGCCCTTACGACCGGCTTGACCACTATGTCTGCTGTCAGCTTGTTGCTTGTCAAGAACCTGGATCAGAGCCGTAATGCAACTTACCTTCGCAGCAAGACAAGGCTCACCTCGAACATCAGCGGGGAGAGCCCGATGCCTTGAAGGACGTTTTCGGCAATGAGCATCGACTGGTTGGGGTTGTTGTTTGAGATGATCATTGCAGATCCGGCAATTCGAACTGTCACCGGTGTCAGCTACACTAGTCCGTCAGTCTAGAGAGGGTGGGTGGATTTCTTACACTGGGCCAAGACACCCAGTAGTCCCATCCAGGAGGATAAGATGCAACGGGGCAAGCTCTTCCGCTTATTGTGATGCCAGTACCGCCACTCTTGGATAAACCGGGTATAGAACTGGACAATCTGGATAATTAAGAAGATGACAAGCTGGGAAATGGCGATATGACGCCTGTCTAAGGAAATGATAGAGGACATTGTTCACAAGCAGATTTTTCTCGTACTGAGGAGGAGAGTACTAGATGAACAACAAATCTTGAGAATAGAAGGTTTCTCTCAGGCTTAATTTATATCTTTCAGACATCCTCCTGGGCGACAGAGTCTTTGCCCTGGAGACTCATAGATCTGAGGCCTTGTGGGGCCATCGCGATAGATGACCCGTTTGGGTTTAGCGCTGGTGGCCCGAGTAGTTATCGAAATTGTTCGCCAACCTTTCATTCTTCAGCAGTCAGTACGCCATTATGCCGTGCTCAACCATGGTGGCTGATTTGATGCTGAATACGAGCAGTGGACTCTAATTAGGCCCTTAGACAGGGTTCGAGGAGATCATTGGATTATCCCACATTCGAGCTATTCCGGTAGCCCTGTTCGAAATGGCTCGACGATGTCCAGTATAAGTAAGCAGATTGGCAAAAGCCACTCAGAGGCTTCACGCTACTGCTCTCTTGAATCAGATGAATAACCTAAACATAAATTATACTACCAATAAAAGATATAGTATGATCATCTCCTGGCGAATTCCCATGACGTAGCCCGTAGTCATCCACGTGACCTGTCCGTCCCCGAACAGCAAGTGGCAGCCTCAGGCATCAACTCAGCATCTCTCCAGATCGACTTTCTTCTCCGCCTCGCAATCCCGGTTTAGGCCGTTTCTCGTTCCATTCCTTTCCACCCCCCCCATTGCGCTCGTCTCCCTCCCTCCTCCTTCTCCCCTCCCCCCTTTCATCTTTCCTCTTTCTTCTTTCCAATCCATCATGTTCCGTCCCGCCTCTAGAGTCCTCCTCCGCGCCCCGGCCACAGCCCGTGGTCCGGCCAGCAGACGATTGATAAGCACCGCTCCCGCCGAGGCCTCCAAGTCGAGGAGCTGGAAGAACACCGCCGTCCGTCTCGGTCTGGCGGCCGGTGCGATCTACTACTATAACACGGCCAGCGTGTTTGCGGAGCCTCCGTCTTGTACGTCAATGCGAAGAATTGTTTCCGGAAGCCACGAGTAAGAGGAAGAGGCCGAGGCGAGAAAAAAAAAATCCGTCGATGAGCGCGACGCCGGCGTGCTGTGGATGAGATATCATCAATTGGGTTCACGTCGCGCTTTGGATGGCTCTTCTCGTCTCTCTTCTCTTCCTCTCTATATCCATTCTGTTCTTTTCGGTCTTGGAATCCCCCCGAATTGAATCCCCCCCACTAACCCATCCTCTGAAAACCAGTCTCCCTCCGCGAACAAATCACTTCTTCCGAACCCGCCACCTCTCTTACCCTCGACTCCATCAAGCCCAAGATCCGCGAACAGAAGGAATCCGAGTCCAAATCCAAATCCACCCCCTCCGACAATGCGCAGCAACAACAGCAGCAGCAACAACCTGCCTCCGAAGCCGCCCTAAAATCCCCCGAGGAGCTCGAGGAGGAAGCCGGCCAGGAGGCCGCGTTCAACCCGGAAACCGGCGAGATCAACTGGGACTGCCCGTGCCTGGGCGGTATGGCGCATGGTCCTTGCGGCGAGGAGTTCAAGGCGGCGTTTAGCTGCTTCGTCTACTCGACTGACGAGCCGAAGGGGATTGATTGTATTGAAAAGTTCAAGTTCGTCCCGTCCCACCCTTTCCTGACTTCTCTGCGGCTAGGTTGAATTGGAATTGGATTAGATCAGGTTGAGCTAACGGATTCGTTTGAATGTTATAGGGGCATGCAAGATTGCTTCCGCCAGTATCCCGAGGTCTACGGTGCCGAGATCGATGATGACGAGGAGGCTCCCGCCGCTGCTGCTCCCGTGAGCGACGGCGGCGGCGTCGTCGCTCCTCAATCGACCGCTTCTGCCGCTGAGATTGACGCCTCGTCGCATCCCGATGAGAAGCGCGCTCGCGCCAAGGAGACCGTCACTGAGACCAAGGCCGCTGCGGCCGGACAGGCTGAGTTGTCGGAGAGCGACGAGTTGTTGCCCAAGGCCTGGCATGATACGGAGGCTAAGAACGACGAGCAGAAGGAGAAATAAGTCATGGTTTTGCAGAAGCAGAACCAACACCCTAAAATAAAATAAAAATGACTTGTCTCTATGAATCTCTGTCAGGGTGAAGAATACAAAGAGAGCGAAGTGAATCGAGATGAGACGAAAAGGGAGAAATATGAGAGGGGAAAGGGTATGTGATTTCGATGGGAAAGATCTGATTCTCTTCTCTTCGGGGGAAAACGGTCCTGGTCCTCAGTCCATATCGGAACCTTCGACCGACAGATGGGATGGCTTCTGTGTTATTTCATTCGATTTACATTCTCTGTTCTCTCTCGGTTCTGTTCTTCTTATCCTACATGAACTTCTCCTCTCTTCTTTCTCTCTTTTCTTTGCATCGCTCGTTCCCTTCCCTTCTTTCCATTTCCCTACCTTTTCTTTTCTCTCCTCCTATTCCTCTGTTTATTCATTCTCCTTTACTTTAAAGTTTTCAGCATACATCATTCCCACTTGTGTCTTTATTTGGCTGTGTTTTTTTTTTTTTTTTGGTTCCTGGTTTCCTTTTTCTTGTGTGGTTCTTGCCCCCATCATGTAACCTACTGTACTTGTATGTTTGTTCACGTCGAGACCTTAGGTTGAAGCAAGAGTTGATGATAGAAATAGAATTGGGTCGTTTATATAGTTAGGTAGCAGGTCAGCTAGCAAAGCTAGCAAGAATTCTTGTTTTGATTATTTCTACTCCGTAGGTTCAAGGAATGTACTTAGCTTCATTTGTATGTAGGTAGTAAGTCAGGGATATAGAAAGTAGGTAAAAGTATATCTAGATGTTATTCTTGACGTCACTACGGAATTCGTTATATGATGGTGTGAATAACCTTGTTAAAACTCATGAATTAAACTAGATCAATTTGTGAAAAAGCTGCTAACAATCTAGCCTAGGGGTCCGGAAGATGTTCGAATTCGAAAAAGTTTGATATTGCTCGAATTCATCCTATCCTAAGCAGGCCAGTAAAAGCTCGCTCATCCCCTCGCGCGCTCGACAGACAAGAAACGGAAGCCGACTGAGACGAACGACGATGCATCACGATTGAGTCGTCCACTCTTCCTCACCCCGGTGCCTTATTTTCGACGGTATTCATGTGCATGTTTCCATCAATCCATCCGTCTTGGTTGAGACTGCCATGTCATGGATGAATACATGCCCACCGCCACGGGAGATGCGAATCCCAACACATGAGACGTAGATGCAAGAAGCACAGTCTGGCAAACTCGTGCAATGGGTCGCCAATGTAAGAATCTCAGCCGATCAACTGAAGCTCGTGGTTCCGTCTTGATGGATAAAGATAGAGGCCGTGTCGCTTTGCAGGTATCGCCATAGCTCCCGCTATGGTGGCTGGCAGATAAAGAAAAGGCGACTTAGGTTGGATGAAACCTGCGCAGCTTCTTGCAAATATTTATTGGTTGGTTGAATTTGAATAACGATTTGGTATCATTTGGTTCGGTGTTGTTTGATTCCGATACGGTTACCAATTCACGTCGCTAAGTTGCAACTTGCGAGAGCGGAAGGCAGTGCGATTGGCGTTGGACTTGTTGAGTTGCGTGTCGCGATGAGGAGTCTTTTTGTCGATTGTTGCTGGAGGGGAATAGTTAGAATGGTAGCAGACATCATGTTTTTCTTCGAGGTTTGCTCACCTTCGGGGTTTTCGGTGTCTGTTGACATTTCATAATTCAAGACCAGGTTCTTGATGCGCTGCTGTTCCTCGCGGTCGGCTTGTTGTTGACTTCGCATGGCCACGGCGAGGTTTGAGTCGGACGGCAGGTCAATGGTGCGAGTCTATGTTGCGTCAGCATGCTATCGTCCGTGATATTGCAAAGCAGAGAGATATACCTGTTGCTTATTGCCCTTCTTGGTCATCAGAGAGAATGCCATAGTTGGCTGCGCTTGCTGCGGCTGCTGTTCCGGAACCTCCGGTGCATTTTCGGAAGCCGAAGGTTCCCGGCCAGCTCGCTTCATAGGCAGAGGTATATCAAAGACACCCTTGCGTTCGAATCTTCTCGAATCCATGCTCTCCGCCATCATCTTCTCAAACTCGCGATCAAACTCAGCTTCGGCCTGCGGATCACGTTCCTCTTCCTGTCTGGTGACGAAGATCTGTTCATCCTCGGAGTCGCTGTCGCCATTCTGCTCGGCATTGGGGCCAGAGACCTAACAGGTGGTCATTAGCACAGTGCATAGCTTGAGATGGGCATGTTCTAGGTAAATCCTTACTTCATCCTCCTCGCTCGATTCTTGTTCGTCCTCGACCTCGGGGATTGCATCTTCCTCCAAGCCTTCGTCCGATGAGCTGCTCTCAGCATCATCGTCATCCGGTTCCGCGGGTCTCTCAGAGTCCTGCGTCTTGTAGTTCTGAGCAACAGCCTCGCCAAAGATGCGAGTGGCTTCTTGTGGATCTGTCACCAGTTTCCACTGAGGACGAGCCATTGAGTAAGTGTCTTGAACGAGGAAATCGACGTCCATAGGCAATGGGTCCTTCGTGGTCATGTAATACTATCGACATCGTAAGTACGAACTTTTGCATCAAACAAATAGACTGAGAAAAAGTTACCTGGAAGAAAGTCAGGAAGAAATCAAGCTTCTTCTTCGCCGAACCTCGGTCGAAACAGTGACCACATGTATCAAGCAGGGTGCAAACCAAGCGAACTCGGAAGAAATCATCGGGCAGGTCCAGGACGTTGAGTTTCCCAGGAACCGGAGTGCCGCCTTCTGTTAGATTTGTGAGCGACTGCAAAAAAGCTCACACGTCAGATAGATTATCTTACCATGACCAAACGTGACAATGCGGTACAACGTATCAAAGATTACCGGTGAATCGATCATCTTGTAGTTGTACAGTTCTCCCAGATACTTGACTTCAGCGACACGCTTTTGGTTGAACTTGAACTCGTTCTGCTCAAGTCCGAGTGTGATCTGTTCAAGAACATTGTCCACGATGCCAATCACAAAGTTCTGATGATATCTGTAAAGAGCACTGATCAAGATTGCCAGAAGGTGGATATTTCCGTATTTGACCTTCACCGGCTTGCTGAAGACACGTTCCAAAATGTCGACCACCTACGAGCACGAACTGTTAACGATCGGAAAATTGAATGGAATAGAAAACCAGGCTTACCTCCTGCTCCTCCCAGTGAAGTTTGCGGATTGATTTCAAGACCTTGGTGTAGTTGCGCTTGTTCATGTCCAGGTAAATCAACTTCCGGATGTACGACTCCATGGGGGTTCGTTCCTTCTGTTGGATGGCCGGCCGAGGGGGCGGGTCGACGTAGTAGACTGCATTCTCAATGATCATTCGCTCTTGCTGGCCGAGATGCTGAACCGCCTTCTTTCGACTCAGAGTCTCCAAAAACGAGGCCATTCTTGGAGAAGTATCCGGGTTGCGAAGCAAATAGCGACCGCAGTTCTCCAAAAGGTGTCCAATGATTTCAATGTTCATGCGCGAGAAGTCATCAAGTGAGACCTTGAAGCAATGGAAGATAATGTGCTCCGGGACAACACCAAACTTGGTCAACTCCGCGAGGTAGCGAACATTGCTCATCCGGACTTGGCCGAGGAATTCCTTTGATTTCCGGCGTTGAAGGCTGCGAAATTCTTCATCGAGATAAGTGGTCAGTCCTTGCGGGATATCAGGAAGATATTGTCCAAGGGTCGCGACCAAGCGTGAGTACAAAGGCAGGAGGTCGATACGGCCCTTAGGAACATCCGAGACAGCTTTGATGAGTCGGTTCCTCGACGCTTTCGAGTTGAGAAAGCAGAAATCCAGCGCCAGTTGGTCGACATGATCCTTGGTCTGCAGTTCCGGGAGTTTGGCCAAAAGCGCATCGACCTGAGCTCCGACTGTCCTGCTGGCGATTGCCGTGGATTGGTCATCTGCTTCGGCCTTTTCTTCAGCTGACTGAGGTTGGGTGTTTGCGTCTTGCTTCTCGGCAGCCGAATCAACAGCAGGCTCATCATCCGCCTTCTTCTTGGTCGCCTCCTCGGACTCGGGCTTTTTCTTCTTGCCATCCTCCAGTAGTACAGCCGGAACTTTGCCCTTGAGATCAACGAGGTTCTCGTAGAAACGCCTCTCCTCTTCATCTTCCCAGATACCAGCTCCTTCACCCTGTCCTCGCAGATACTCAGACGTCTTCACAAGGCCGATGCCACCACTGGATGTAGGGTCCGACGATTCCTGCTCCGCCAAGGCCGGCATCTCGGCGCCCAGTACTTCACACAAGGTTTGGGTGTTGGTGATCAATTTCTCCAGCGTCTTTGTCTGCTTGTCAAAGTTCGCCTGGCGATCTTCGAAGATCTCACCGCTTTTGACGTATGCCTCTGCATTCCGACGACTCTGCGCAGCCAACGCTCTCTGGTCGCGTACCACGTGTGCCTTGACATCCTCCAAGTAGCGGTTGAAGATACTCTTGAAGCGTTGTTGGATCTTCTCGGGGGCAAGAGGAGGATCATCCTCGCCGGTCGGCACGTCTTCCGTCTCCTCCTGGCTATTTGAAGTCTCGGTAGCAGTTCCAGACGTCACCGCACCATCCGCCTCAACAGTCTTCCGGCCCTCTTCGACGGACTTGACCCCCAGAACCTCCCAACTGAAGCTCTTCACAAACAAAACCGCAAGTGGCAAGTTGGTGTGGTCCCGATCATGTCCCAGGAGATCCTTCAACACTTCCAGCGGAAACGGCTCGGCCTCTTTATCGTTGTCTCGGACTGCAGACGGGGCCTTGGCCTTAGACGGACCATCAGGTACCTTCCCGACGACGCCATCTTTACCCTTCGTGCCTAGATCCTCCGGCCGCTCGATGTCATCCAAGGTCTGGAGGACCCCGACCAACCAGAGTTCCGTGACCACTCGCAACAGCACCCGATGCCGAGAAAGTCGCTCCTTCTCCTCACGCTCGCGAACCTCCTGGCTGAGAGTTTTCAATTGTCCCTTGTCCGGTGTGCTGAGGCCTCGACCCAGAAGCCATCCAATCTGTCTCGTGAACTCGGCGGGGCCGAAACGCTGATGCAGGGCGCTGGTGATTTCCACCCCCGTGGCGATTTCGCCGGGAGTCTTCAGCTTACAGAGTCCCTCGTAGCAAGCGGCGATGATCTCGGAGAGATATTTGTGGAGCGACAGGGTGCGGATGTCGGCCAAGAAGGTGGATTGGGCGGAGGCGTTGATTCCCGTCCGAAGACGCTTGATGAAGGCGGTATTTTTCTTCAGAGCCGAGTCTAGAGATTTGCTGACCGGAAAAATATCTGTTTCGAGCACGCAGGCAGACCGAGGGACAGAGTTAGAATAAGCACAGAAATAACCTCCGTCGAGGTGTGGGACAAACAAGAAGCAAAGGGCAGGTAGGAGGGGAGATCATTACCACTTTCGCCAGTCCAGGCCCTCTCATTGAGATCGCGAAGCTCCCCTATAAATTTGCACACATCTGTTAGAGATCATCGATCACGAGGTAGATAGTAGATATTGGATTGGGTCGGCGGGGGTCTGTACGCTTCCGTTGGCGCTCCATCTCTTATGGTCGGTTCTCAGGAATCCCGCCGGAGTCTATTTCAGCTGTCGTGGGGTCCTTTCAATGAGTCGGAAAGGAAAGCGCATAAGTGACTTAAACGCCACATTGGTAAAACACGGTGGAAGGAAGTGACGCGCAACGTCTGGAGAGTGAAGACAGCATGCGTGCAGGGGATGAACGAGAGAGGGATGTTGGAAAAGCTGTGCTGGACCGACTGCGGGCGACGAAAGTGGGAACGGAAGGCGGTCCTGCGGCAAAGAAAGGCGTATGCATTCATGCCTCCTTCGGGTTTAGCGGCCTGGGTCACCGGCTTGTGCCTACTGTCAACTGAAGGAGATCTCCGACATCATTTTACTATTTACTCACGATCCATTCTCTGCTGCTCATCCGGAAAGACACGCTGGCATACTGGAACAAACAATGAACGTCAAACTTTTCCCTCCCTGCCGCCTCACCAATCCATCACGTTACATCATTTTCACCGCACCACGCTAACCCAAACCTGCAAGCAAACCCTACTCAGTCTCTGTAAATCCAGCATTTACACCCTTCTCCACATCCAACAACCGTGCCTGCAGCTCATGTTTCCGATCCTCCTCACTCCAGCTATGCGCGTGAGCATCGGACGGTCTCCACGGCTTCGCCAGGACCCGGGGTTCCGGATCGCTACCGAGAGTCTGGAGCGATGGGTTGGTTGTCCCGAATCTATTCGGATTTCCGGGCAAGAGGATCGTCTGGAATTCAGTTTCGAAGGTGAGAAATTCACCGGATTGATCGCCAAAAGCGGAGTCCTCCTCTGTGGGTCTTGAATAAGAGAAGGAGTGGTTGGTTCGGTTGGTTGTTCGATCCATCTGGGGCAGTAGAGGTAGAGGAACCTTTGTTGCAATGGTCTGTTTGCTAGGAGCGATGGAGTGTAGTAGTTAGGAGGTATAGTATGTAGATATGCCGATGACTTGCGAGGAGTTCAAGTTTATGGCAAGATATAGGTGTTGATTACTTTGCTTGGGAAAGATAGATCTCGGAAAGCCAGCTAGCAGCAGCGTCGAGTCGAGTGCAGCGAGCCCTCATATGTAGTCTGTCTTGTGTGACAATTCAAGTCATCGTGTTATGGTCTGTGGCGAATCCGGACGTATGTTGACGTCTCAGTCTGATCATGATTCCCTGTCAAGTAGCCAATAAGTGCCGGGGTTACCCTGGTTTGTATAACGAGAGGGTAGGTGAAAATCAGACAATTTGAAGATCATGCGTCAAAATGACGGACGGTCGATGGCATCGAAGAGTCTCGACTACGCCTCACAGCGACCAGGGCACGTGATGGGTGGTGCTGGAAGAGGAAATACAAAAGACATCGGATCAATGATAGACCGAGCACGTGTTGGTCAGTCAATGGTGAATATACAACAGAAGTAACAAAAGAACTAAGTGCTTTTTTTGTTTCCTGCAAGAAACTTTAGTAACATACACATCATAACTCTGCCAGGGGTGGCGAGGTGACACAACCTCCTCGAGAACTGCCTGGCAGACAGGACTGGAATTCCAATAAGATCATACGGGCATGTCACCGAAGACAACGATGCCCACAAAAGCATACGCATCACTGTGGTACAATGATGGTGAAGGCCGTCACGTTATGCAAAGCACATGATCGGGTCGACAGAAACGAAACAGCAAAGGTAGACATCGCACGTGGACCGGAAACAGAACGGGCCTCTATCGTTTAGAAACAGGAGGCAGAAGAGAAGGAAAGCAAGAAATACCAAAGGGGGTAAAACAGAAAAATCACCATACATCGTACACCTTCATTCAACAACGTAAAAATCAAAGACAGGGTATGCCCACGCCACGCTATGCGAGTCCATGAAGGGAAAATAAGAGAAAAACATTGCAAGTATGTACTAAAACGGTTGGGCGAAAATATTATCAGGAGACTGAACAGAATGTTGTTTTTTTAACAGGTCATCTTAAGACGCTGGATTTATTTGGGCTTGCGCCAGAAGTATTGCTGAATAGGGTCAGTTGCATGGAACGGTCAGGAGCTGTCAGATCAGTCCACATACCTTGTGCTGCTTTCTACAGTTCCGAAGACCTGGCTTGCGGAGATCATGCACAACGGCTTCCCGCCGCATGTCATCTTCGTCAAAGTCCGGAATGTAATAATATTCGCTTTCCAGAGGCTTTCCGGCGGCATCTTTCCCCTCCCGAGCAACCTTACCAATGCACTTGGTGGTATCAATAACAGCGAGAATTTGTTCTTTGGACGGTCCTTTCTCGGAACGGTTGTCCTGTCTCCACAGGGCGGGAGGAAGGTTGCTCAGGATGGTTGAGAATGGGGTCGAAGAAAGGCGCGAGAAGGCGAGCTGGTTGATGGCGTGGTTCTGGACGCGTTCCAGGCCCTCGTCCAGCGGCTCCGGCTTGCTGGGTGCACTTTCAGTGTGGTCTGCGGCCTTAGAAGGCTGCCGAGGTGACTGGGTGGGCTGGAGGGGTTGAGTAGAAGACTGGTTGCGAGGATGCGAAGGACGAACGGGCGACTCATTGGCTGTGAACGAAGCCATACGGGGCAGGATATTCTCTCCAAAGGGTCCAAACGAGTGGATGATGGGGTCGTTCTCCTCATCGTGATCAGACAACTCGTCATGCTTACTCAGTTCACTTAGCTCACTGGACTGGGAGCTCTGCAGAAGGTCTACAGCGGGAGAGGGGTCGTGGAAGGTTTCAGACGTGAGATCATCCGCGGAGCTAGTCGCACGGACCGGAGAATCCTCGTCCTCATACACAACCACCGCATTGCGCGAGCGAGTCGGGGTATAGAGTGGAGAAGATGGGGGGACCAAGGACTTGACCGCCGGGGACGGTGACACGGGGGAGGCCAAGCGTCGACGCTCCACACTGGGGCTATCCTGCAAGCTTCGATGAGACTGGGCATTGCGTTTGGGGGTGGTCTCCTCCCAAGTGTGTTCGGAATCGGTCGAGGCATAATCCTTTTTGTCGCCACGCGGCCATTGCACCAAAACGCGTGCGTCATGAACGTCAATCATGATATCGGCATCCTTGATATCGGATGTGAAAGTTTTTCCCTTCGCCAAATCATATGTCTTCCCCTGGCAGTGCAGTTTAATCCCGTTCCATCCCATGCACATTATCTCCACCCTATCTCGGTCGAAGGGGTTCGGTGCCGGCTTATAGGTGGCCTTGACATGGATCCTCGATATCATACGGTTAGCGGCGAGCTGGTGATGGCAGGAGACGCTCGATCTGCCCATGAGAAGGGGCTCGCCGGAGTCTGAGAGCATCAGAGTTGGGACGGCAGATAGAGGGGTACGCTCGGAGCTGCTGGAGGCGAGGTTACGACGCGACCCGGATCGAGGCAGGGCCATTCGAGGAGGGGAGGACGACATAATGTGAGTCGAGGACGTCGGGACGGGAGTCGGATAGGTCGAGACAGCCCCATGGTCATCGCGTGCTACACGCTTCTGGGGACGAGGGAGAGACGGGGAAGAGCTCAATGGCTCGAAAGCGGGCAACAGGGAGGCCGGACGCTTCATGCCTGCCACGGGAGCAGCAACAGAGCTACTCCTCGGAGGAGAAGACTCCATGATGCTATAGAACGGTGGCTCCAAGCACCGGACACGCTGCTCTGGGCGTTAAGCAGAGATCTCAAGCGGACAGAACTTTTCAATTGTGGGCCGCGTTGAGGTCGAATAGGGGGTCTATTTCTATGGGAGAGGGTCGAGGGTCACGCGAGGGGACCAGGGACAAGGAAAGGAAACAAGGTGAATAAAGCGTAAAATTAGGGCGAGACGAAAGAAGAAAAAAAAGAACGAACGGTGACACTTTTTCCTCCAGGGCAAGAAGCCAGGGAGGTTGGGGCGAGTGACTGAACTGGAATTGCCAGGGGAAGAAAAAGAGCGAGAAGCATAAAAACGAAAAGGGTGAGAAATGGTGTGTGGTGGAATGCTTTGCCTGCCGGAACGGAGCGTCTCGTCCTTCCAGCGCGGAAATGCACGCTTACAACCCGAGACGCGTTCGATAGGCGCCGACGAGGTCCACCACTAACCTCGCGCAGCCTCACAGCCTGACCTTCGCAAACTATGCATTGCACTACATATTCGTCGGATGCGCACGAAATTCCGGTTGCAAAGGATTCAGAGTGACGAGCAGACCAGTAATGGATAATCACCAGCAATTCTACAACTCCTGCGGCAGCCCTTGATGAGCGTGTTCGAGTGTCAGGCACCCAGGCAGGCACACTCCCGGCGCGTCTCCCCGCGCTGCTCATCACCTGGCCCGCGTTCTTTGGTTCGAGTCACGGGACTCGCGCCTGGTCACGTGTCGCGGTCCTCGGCGATGGCAGGGGCGCTTGTCCCAACGGGGAACAGCCATGTGCACAATCCCGAGGTTCCTCATCGCTGATTGGGCCATCCCCTGCACGGTAATCGTGACAGGAGCCTATTGCGTAACATGGAATGCTTGGATTTTTTGTCATGACTTCCGTATTCAATTGTGTCTATTGAGGGCAGTATTCAGATTGTCTTCTACTGAAAATATGTCATGTGAATCCTAAGGGGATCCAACAAGGCTGCGTTCTCCCTCGAAAATGTGATCGGACATGGAACATGTCTCGTCGCCAACCCTGGATTCAGGAAACCAACAAGTACTACTTATCACTACTGCAACCACCGAATTTTCCAGTTTCTCTCATTGACCTCCTCCTCATTACGAATTCTGCTTATGATGTAGTACTGTACCTAGTTATTACGCAATATTTCAAGCAAACAAACGCGGAGGCTGACTCCCTCTACCTTAGTAAGGGCTACCAGACACGGAGCACTACCAATCTAGGTAGGTGGTAGTGGAAACAGAACCTGCAGCGGTACGTGCTTCGACGCGACTTTTACATACATACAGCCCCCTCCCCCCAGCCTTAGGTTTTTTTTTTCGTGTCGCCACTAAGTATGTATTTCCCTTTCAACCGAAAACTTGAAAGCAACTCTGAACTCACCGACCGGCCGATCTCCACTTCACATTCCACAAACTTAATCGCATTACATCAAGCCATGCATGATGTAAATGGTCTGGCTTCCATGCTCGAGATCCGGTGTCTACCAGCAGTCCAGCACCTACTTTACCGTCCATTGACCAGGACAATTCTCACCCTGACAAAGGGTAAGAATTTCCAAGGGCTTGAAGCTAGGGATGCAAGGTTTTTTTAAGGCGGTCGTAGCTGGTCGGTGAGATCTAGCCATGGATGCATGTTTATATATTTAACCGGTCCGTGACCTTGCGCAGTCCTCTGTTTTTGTACTTTTGCAATGCACCACGTTAGGGTGACTCAAATTCTCTACTGAGTATTGCTGAGTGCCATAAGAGAAAAACCATTGGATATGTTTTACTAATTATTAATACTTACATCATATCTATTGAACAGTACATGCGATTAATAGACCAGTGATATAAAACGTAAGACAACAAAGAGACAGTGCGCATGTGTACATAAGGTGAAAAGTGGGAAACGGGTGTTACTTCGCAGTAGCGAGAAGGTAAATCTAAACACAATTGTCCCTACCAAGCGAATAGAGACATTACATATGACAAGAAAATATACTTTCCAAGTCATATGGACAACATACTAAGATACACAGAAGAAAGGATCAAGGCGGACAGAGGCATGAAAATGGAAATATGTTTATTGTGTAGTCGCCTCGTCATGTTTGCGCCGCGGACTGTGGCCAGGCAAAGTAACGGACCTCACAACAGGATCGTAGAAGTTGTTCAGTAGAAGACAAAGGTGGCATCGCCGGATCGGACCTCGACCTATAGCAGGGATTAGCGCCGTCCGAAGAGTTAACGTTGCAGGGATAACGGGGAATGCTTACAGTGCAGCCAGAGTCGTTAGAACCGGTGTCAGAAGTGAAGGTGCCATCCTCGTACTTGCACGAGCCACCAAGGTCATCACCCTTAATCTTAATGTTGAAGTCAAGCTTCTCGTCGGTGGTGGGGGAGTTCTGGAAGATCGAGAGCCATTTGCCATTGTTCTCGCCAACACCGAGGTTGATGGGGGCCCAGTTGCCGATGGCCTCGCTGCCGTCACCCCACTGGCAACCCTTCTCGGTCGACACACCCTTGGGGTTCACGTAGTACTGAGCGGAGGTAACCTTCTGCTGCCACTTGAAGTAGTTGCTGTCGGGGCAAGTGAGGGGCTGGAGGTCGTTGTTTCCAAGGGTGAGGGGAATGGTCTCGGCCTCGGTACCTGAAACGCATCGCCGTTAGACGGATTCTCGGAAGAAGCGGAAATGGTTAGGCGCATAATTGCGATTCACTCACCAGGGTAGTCAGTACGGCAGATAGCAACATCCTCGCCCAAGTTGTTCTGGGCGTGAACACCGCCGACACCCTCAACGCAGAGCTTGCTGGAGAGGTCCTTGTTGGTGAGGTAGAGCTTGCCGTTCTTGCACTGAAGACCACCAACGGATTGACCGGTAGAGCCCTGGGTGCTGGGCCACTGGGACTTCTGGTAACCGGGCGGGCAGGCATACGAGCACATAGCACCGTTGTGGCACTTGTCGCCGGTCACGGCAGTGACGATGTCGCTGATGACCTCGTCGACGATGCTGACGTACTGGATACCGGACCATCCACCCAGCTCCAGGTAGTCGAGAGAAATAGCTCCATACTCGGAGGGGAAAGTACCGCAGTCGATTTCGCCGTCGGGGAAATCACGGCCTACGCCAGTGCCGCTCGAGGAGCCGCTGGAGCCGCTGGAGCCGGAAGAGCTGCTGGAAGAAGGCGTAGTGGTGGCAGCCGCGCTGGTGGTCGCGGAGGCGACGGCGGCGGAGGTCTCAACAAACTCGGCGGCGGCGTCGACGGAAAGCGTAGCGGAAGCAGCCGCTGAAGAAGTAGCGGCGGTGCTCTCCTGGCAAGGGTCCACGGAAGGGCTAGGCTCGCCGGGCTTATATTCGAGAGAGCCATCCTTGATGCCCTGGCAGACGTCGGTGGCCGAGATGGAGTTGCCATCGAGAACGTACTTGATGACGGTGTCGGCATCACGCTTGTGGTGGTGACGGTGCTGGTGGTGGTGCTGAGCAGCCACGAAGGAGCCCGCCGCGGCCAGAGTAAAGGCAATCGAGTACTTCATCTTGTCTATTTCCTGTCGAGCTTTCCTAGAATTCAAATCTGTATACAATTGAAACAATTTCTGGTCAGCGTTTTGGTCCCAGGCGAAATTGTCAGCACATGCAGCCGCCATCCACATGCCCGAATTGTTAGACGATGTCTACCAGGCGCCTCTCTAGGCATGCCTAATAGTGTAGAGCTCTCATGCTTGCGACAACCATGACGGTAGACTCGACGTCCGAGGAGAGCACTCGACCACGCCATGAGCGCCATGGGAGCAGCCGGCGACGAGATGGGCGCAGCACCAGGGTAGACACGAGAGGGAACGAGTGAAGAGGAGGCGGGAATCAGTCAACGTACATGAACGGTACGGCAAGCCAATCGCACGCTTGTCAAATGTATTTCTGGACAAGAACGGAAGTCGCAGAAATGCAGTGACCACTGGACAATGTCTGGCGGAGGCGCAAAAGAATACCTAGAACTTAAAAGAAAGTGGCAAGGAACGAGAAGATAAGAAGAGGTTCCCGAAAAGAGCGTGCGAGAGAGAAGCAAAGTCCCCTCTGGTCGGAAAGGAAAACTCGCGAGAAGAACAGTAAGGTGAGAGAGATAAAAAAGGATGAAACGCTCTGGGGATGAGAAAATGTGGAGGGTCGCGAGCAGAAAAGGGAGATGAAGAGGAGGGAATTAGACTCTGTCGGTCAAGTCATCCAGGGGTACAAGAGGGACGAGATGTGCAGTGCAGACCCTTCCAGGGGGAAAAGACCAACCAAAGAGAGTCAAGAAAGTATGTGTGGCGCTTGAGAGCGATGGGCGGAGAGAGAGGCTAACCGTCGTTCAGCGCAAAAAGAAAATAATAATAATAATAAAAATAAAATAATAAACTCAGGGGTTCCACTCGAAAGGCTCAAAGACATGATTTTATTTTTTTGATTATTATTATTAACTAAGGTAAAGTTGACTTTCTTTACCATACCCGTATCGACCAGTACCGTCTGACTGGCCGCCAGACGCAGCCCAGCCCGAGTGGATGTTGAACCCAGTCCAAGGGGGGTAAGGTGGGCACAGAGCCAAGGCCCCAAGGAAGACCTGGACGGGGGAGGGGAGACCACCGCCTGCGATACTCTTCCACAGTTGCAAGTCGAATTGCAGCCCCGAGTGGGGTGGGGAGGGGGGACACGTCGTGTCCACGATACCTAGTTGATACCTAAGAGGCTAAGTCCAGCTAGTCCGGGCGCTGGTTGCCTTGGGATTCAAGAATTGATTGTCCGGAGTACGGAGTACGGAAAGTGATGGTTGATGAAATTTAATATGAACATTCATGAGTTCTTGTCCACCGTTCGAGAGCGCTGGGCAAGGCAGGAGCCACCGTTACTTAAATTATTAACTTACTTTTCCCCCTCAGCCATCCACCCTTTTCCATGTTTGGAGGTTTCCTGTTCCTGAATGGTGAGCTTGGCGTTTACCGAAATTAACCTGGGCCGGGCCTGGCCAATCAGCATGGATGTCTTGGCACCGTGATGTGGGGCCCGGACTTCCCCTCCTGGCCAGGTACACCAATCAGGGCCTCCCGCTCAACCGAACCATCGCCACAAGGTTCAGTCCCAAGGAATGTCTCATGTCCGATCGTTTTGTATGGCTGCATTACGTCGTATTATTAACGGCCAGTCCCAGTCTTTTATTTTTCTCTCTCCTTATTTTTTGGAGGCCTCCCCTCCTTCCGAAAGGTGGTGTACCTGCCTAACACTCGGAAGCCGGTAACTTTACCAGGCACCGTGTCTACCAGGTACATACATACCTAGGTACATAGGCACCCCTGTTCTAAAGGGGTTGATACATGGCATGCTTCACTAGAAGAACGTCTGCTCGTTCGATCCTCAGCGCCAGGTACCAATTAGGCAGCGTCTCCCGTCGCTCTGAGCCGTTGTATAAATAGTCATCCATATGCGCGCTATTACAATCTCCCAAGAGAAAGTCCACTTTTTGGATCTGCGCATGATCCAGATACTTCCCGCAAAATAGGGGTATTCGAGCTCATGTTTGGCAGTTTGTTCGGTGCTCGAAATATCGGGATTCGACTAAACAACTCAAGTCTTGGGGGGTTGGAAAGGCGCTCAGCATCCCCGCGGAATTTCTTTTCCCTTCCTCCTTTCGTGCTTGTAGCACTAGCGACCCATGCCCAACCAGGTCGCCCGGACCTGACATCCAACGATCCATGTTGTCCCGAGTTGTGTGGTTGGATTTGATTCGACGCTGGCATACAATCCAGTCACTTTGCATTGGATTCGATGTGAATGCTGCGTTGTCAACCCCTCGTCGAGACCTGTCGACTCTATGACGACGATTCATCGTCTTAGCGCTGCAGACAAGGTCGAGGCTATCGACTTTTGATAGATGTTGAAACGCTGACAGCGAGCGCAACGACCCCGATCCACTAACGAAGAATGATCATTAATCCGTGTCAGTGGTTGACTGCTCCATACGGAGTACACAAAGGGCAATTGTTCTCCGCCCTGCAAAAACAGCCTTGCAGCTTTCTTTTCGACATCTCTACTTAGCGTGTTACAGAGTCCCCTCCATCCTCTGCTGGCTCCTTCCTTGTTTTTCCCTCTTTCTCCCTCCTTTTTTCTCGGTTTATCACTCACCTGTCTGTCTGTATTCTCTCTAGTGCAGACGGAATACTCCGTGGCAATAGTCGACTAAAGACGCCCGCCCCGTAATGGGCTGGTTCCGGATAGCTCTAAGAGCAAGAAGGAGCTAGATGTATGCTAGCCTGCACGCGCTTTTTCTAAAGGGGGCCAAATGCCCTACCTAGTACATCGCTACATGCACTAATGATCCAGCCTCTTGCACGGGGCAGACCGCAACATGCAAATGCTGTTGTATGCACAAGTGTGGAGTTCATTTGCAACCTTACTGATTGAAGTCTTTCCAAGTCAGCAGCTTCGCGATCTTGGTTGAGACCCTTCTAGCCAATAACGTCGAGGCTCGACACGCTTGTGTTATATCTCGTTTCCAAAAAAGAACCCCCAAGGGGCTGTTTTCAAGATGGATTAGGAGCTTATTCTTCCAGAATATGGCGCTTCGGAGAACTCAAAGCCAGATCTAGCATCTATGTATGCTTTCGAGTCAGCATTCAACTAACACCTTCCAATCAGTGGGTCTGGGGAATTTTTAGTTATAGTACGGAGGATATAAATCATACACTGTGTATAATAATGCATTTGGGCAGGTTGGCAGATAGGGTTGATGAGCGCGCCTTGTATGTACATCGTGCATAGTTGCCCAAGCGTCTATACCTCCTTGCTGATGACTCTGAACATCACAATTAAACCCGAATCCCGAGGTCAGGCCAACTCAACTCTGATTTTTCTTGTTGCGGTCAGGAAGTCCAAGACCATCGCAATCTCCCATGATAACATTGGTAAACCGTGGCGGATCTGCGTTGGTTGCCCGGTCGTCAGTTCACTGACGGATATTGACAATCTAAATAATGTAGGTGAATAGGGCTTTCCCGCCCAGTATTGTCCTGTCCACTTTCGGTACTGAACATAGGGCTGTACAGTACTCTGTATACATTGTACAGCCTGAGCCCACAGAGCTCAAAAAAGCGATGTGAAACAAACTGACAGTTGTGGCCCGTGAGATCCATCATCGGTTGCGCGGTCTGACTTCGCTAGTTTTTCTTAGCCCAGACAAGCACCATAGTGTAGAATCCTCCCAACCCATCTCACTTCACTGGGGGCCATGAAGATTTTTTGTTTCTTTTCTTTTCTTTTTATCAAATAGTTCTTGGGGTCCAGGGGCCTAAATCTAGTCAGTTGCTTGTTCTGATCTTCGCCTCTTGGAGAGATTTTTTCTTGGGTCCTTTTCTAACTGCGTATGGTGCTGGTCGCGAAGCGAGATAAGGGGCCGCGAGCGTTCGGCGCTTTGATGCGGGTATCATCATTCGCTACTCCGTAGGTAGATGATATACCACTGCTGATGAAGATTTCGAGCGATTGTGTTATATTTGTCATATGTAGGGGGCGAAGAAGATGGGGGTTGGAAGACGATCAGAATTCTTGATTTATACGAGGTTTACTCAACGCGATTCGCTTGGTTATCGGTTACCTACTCCCCAGCAGTGTTCAACCTGCTAGTTCTCTCTATGCAAGATACTATCTGAGAGTCTTTTGTCTCAATACGTTCCATCGGGACGAACCGGTCGCTACCTGTTGACTATTCTTGTGGGTCACTGGACTTGTGAATACATACGGAGTACTCCATGAGTATATTGCGCACATCCAAGCCAGCGGATATGGGGCTGAAAGCACGCATTCAAATAGGCTGACGAAGATGACAAACCTGAAGATCAAGTCGAGCTATAATCATCAGAAGAATAATTCATGAACAACTGTCCCGATGGTTCCTACCAGTCGATCCAGTTCAACCATGTCTGGGAGTCTGCTTCCTTGTCGCCTCGACCACGGTGCTGGGTAGAGCAGCCGAAACCCAATAAAAACGTGCACAACGGTTCCACGGGTTGTCGACAGGCCTAAGTGTTCCGTAGAATTGAATTACTGGGTAGTATGTGACTGTGGTACGGGAGATTGGACTTAATTTTGTGCTCTGATGAAAACCAGACATTTTCTAAACTCAAGATCGCAACTATTGGCAGAGGATCAGGCGCTACTATGCTGTGTAAGGAGTACACTGTACACCATAGTTAAACTCTCTTCACAGCTGTAAGAGCCATTACGAATTACGTACACTCAGTGGCTATGGTAACTAACTAGGTTCTCTGATCTTATCAAGCAGCGATCCAAGTTAGCCGGGCAATCCACCCAGAAGATCTTGATCCAGGAGGGCAACCTTAAAGCGAATCTCGGAATCCGCGGAGCAACTCATCAGCTCATCAGTTCATCAACGGCGCTGGGCTTGCGTGGCTTTATCTTCTCTCTTAGCTGATGGAGTACGTAGTGTACTCCATCTTCCCTTGGTTCTCGTTAACCCGTGGGGCAGCCGAGCGTGTTTCTTTCCCGTTAGTTCGTTAGTTCAGGGGGGATCTTTCTCCGGAGTTCTTTCTACGTTGGACGTTTTCTTCTTCACGCTATTGATTAATGGCCTGGGCTCTGGAGACATGATCATTAGCAATAACCAGTCAGCTGATGCTATGGAAATTATATCGCATGGTCAGCGCTCGATTGGGGGTTGGATTCGTGGTGTTTGGTGGTATTTGGGAGTATGTAGCTCCCTCCCTCCCACTCACTGCTGCCTTAGACTAACTACTACAGTGGACAAAAAGACGGAAACAGAAGATAGAAGAGGATCAGCAAGTCTTTTTTAGAATATAATTTTGATTTTTAACGTCGAACGTAACAAAAGATCTTACTACTAACCCCACAGGGTAGACTATGGCACCAAGTATGTGAGCAATGAAAGCACTATTTACATCATGTATAATGTATAGCTGCGGCAACCAAAAAAAAATAGATTAAAAATGACTAGTGAATGAATGAGGAGAGGGGGTGGGGTAAAAAAAAAAAAGCTATCTGCTATCTCTCCCCGGGTGCCCAATTCCAGAGTAAGTAAAAAATAGGGGGAAAAAAGGTGGTTGAAGGTCCTACTGGGGTTCGAACCCAGGCCGCTCGGACGCGAAGATAAAGAGCCCTCCTTTGGAGAGGATCTCTTTAAAAGACAACCCTTTTGGAGGGACTTCTTAAGGAGACCTTTTGGAGAGAATCCTTTTTGAAGAGACCCCCGAGAGGATTTGGTTTGTTTTTAACTTCAAAACCGAGAGTCCTAACCACTAGACTATAGGACCACCAGTTATTGGACCAACTTGGAAATTTGATTAATAATCATATCGACCTCCTAGATAGTTAGTTAACTAACTAGGTATCAGTACAGACCTGTGGTGGGTACTATGGAGAAAGCCAAAGAACTCCATGACCATCAAAGTGGTAACACCACAGCCTGGTTGGGGATAATTTATCCTCGGATATTTTGCGTCGAGTCGCACAGGCCGGGGTTGCTTTTATTTTGTTTTGTTTTATTTCATTTTTTACCTTCTGGTTGTGCCAACATTGGACCAGGCACATTAGGTACAAGCGAGATTTAATCTCCCGATTGACGTGGATGTTCAGGAACCGAACGTTGCACCAGTCAGCGGATCGGGGATAGTTTCTTCGTGTTCCAAATTTCCCACTCTTTCGAGCCGGCTGCGTTCGTATCTGCAGAGCGGGTAAGGGCTGTGAATCACTCCGCCTCGTGTCGGTCTGTCAGTCACCACTCATCGAACCTCGCCCCTGCTGAGTTACGAGGATCGGAAATTAGGTATTTTATTTTTGTGAAGACGATGGTTAGGTACCTAAGGGAGTAGATCTTCGTACGCGGTGTTGTTGTCAGGTTCCTGGTGTATTTTGATGCGTTGGTCCTGCTTTGAAGATGCCTAATATTGGGGTTGTTTGTCGTGAGAAGTAAGTCGGATTGATGCATTTGTCTTGTAGGTGTGTACAGCGTAGGTATCCTTGAATTCAGTCGAAGGAACGGGACACGGAGTAAGTTCTGTCAGATTCCACCGCCGCCTCTCGGGCGCTACTACAGTAGTACTGGAGTTGGTGGGTAGGACTAGGAACCGACTGTCGGCCTGTTCCAAGAACAAAGAGTGATAGGCCTAGATGAAGTAACTGAAGCATGAAAGTATCTTTTCAACTTAGAGACCTGGATTGATCTCCTGTCCGCGAAAAGAAAGAGGGAACAAGATTCGAAATGGCCGTTTCGAATTTATTTTGGCTTTGTTTTACCGTCGAGGCACAATAGATATATAAAAGGAATTATATTGGTTTATTTCGACAAGAATACATCATAACCAAGCGAACGCAGGGCGTTGAAGCTCGAATAGGTGATATATCTGGCTCAGAACTGACCTTCTCACTTTGCTCAAAAGCGAGTAGCAACCTCTTGTGCCTCCAGAAGTTGCAGATAAACGCCTACACGCAATGTTAGCAAAGCAAGCGAGCTGATGGCTAATACCAGGTTTGTACCGTACCTGCAACATTCCACCGGGCATGAATGGCCAAAATGGTTTCCTTAATTCTCTCCACCACCTCAGATAAGTTGGCGCTCTCTTGCGCCGATCGCGTGTGGGCAACACAAATCCGATATGCGAAAAAGAGGCCCCATGGTGACATATCCTCCGGGTCGCGACCCGCAAAGCATTGACGCTCCACGAGATTAACTCTGATCTGGTCGGTGATTTGTTGGATGACGGCTCTTGCACGTTGAGCACGATCCGTATTCGGGGTGGTTGCTCCATCAGGAGAAAGCCACATCGTATGCAAAGCAATAAATGCGCTGGATTCCTTTCAATAAGGCTTACTTACATACAACAGTTGGGGGAATCATGGCACGCACCTATACACAAAAGCGATCTGATCATGGTCTGGATTGTCTAGATCGAGTGCCGCAGCTAGCATTGACTGCAAGGTCCGATCTAATTGCACCCAGGCATCGTCGTCGACCGTCGTCTCACTTGACGCGTGGTGTAGGACCTGACCGAGCAATCGCGCGGCTTGACAGAGCAATGCAAATTTGCTCATGTGTCCTGCCAACGGGGACGATAGGGTGAAAAGATCATCGGGTCGAACGATCTACGGGGAAAAGTTAGAACTCGAGTCATTTACTCAATCGAGAACCTACCCCTTGGTCCCATGCGTTGTCGTCCGCCGGTAAAATATCATCTAATTGCGGATCCGCCGTCGCAAAGGGCCTGCCGGGGCAGCCGATACTCACGAAACTAAAACACAGCTCAGTATGGTTTCCAGGAGGCAGATCGAGCTGAGAAAGCGACGAACGAACCGGTCTAAAATGACTATCGCCCACCATACTCTCCTCCGCTCTTCCGCTTCCACTAACGCGAGAACCTTTTTCGTATACACCGTTCGACTGACGCTGATTCCGAGGGCGTATGCATAACGAGCACATGCCCCGATGGTTAAGAAGGCGGCGGGATAGATTCCATGACCGAGTTCATACAGCGATATAAGGACACCGGCCTGCAGCACTTGTATCGATAAGGCGCCGGAGGCTTCGACCTCGAGCTGGAAATGTTTCACGGTGGAATACAAGGCACTCCGGGGACTTTGCGACTCAGCCGGTGGAATCGTGGTGATGAGTTTGAGTGATAGTAGCAACAGAACGACATTGGACTGGGACGAAAAGGTGGGCTGCAGGTGAAGCTCGTAGAATCGTATCTTGGAAATGAAGGGCATCCACCGGTGGATGTGCTCGAAGAACCTGGCGGCGATGCCACGAACCTCGTTCATATCGCCTAAAAGACGCAAGATATGCGCCGGAACCGGCGGTGCAGCTCGCTCGATCTCTACTTGTCCATGCCGCAGAAGGCCGGGGTCCAGAAACACCAATGTTGGAAAGTCGATGGATTGGGTATCCGGTCGATTATGCTGCCTCGGAGAGGTGAACCACCACTTATCGGATGCAGCGGCCGATGCAGGACTGCTACTGGAATCGGCCTGGCTGTACTCGCATACGATGTTCTTCCTGAATTGGATTTCCACGACGTTGAGTGTTGCACCGCGACCATGGGAAGTCGAATGGAATCCACTTACTTGGCGCATAATGAACAAGTCGGAAGGGCTTTATTGCATTTCCGCTTCCGGATCTTACAGGATCTACACACATGAGGTGCTTGATCGCTTGAATCACTACTGGAGGCTGGCATAATGGTGGATGATGGACGTTGGATGAAAGGCGCGGGGCGGCGGCTTATATGGCGGCCGCAGGAATGGCTGGACTTGCGGCCGCCCGACTATAGATTGCGGCCGCTGAAGGCATCGTCTTTTCTTGAGTATTGCACCATATCATGATATGGCGGGAGGAAAAAATCTATAAAGAAGTGGTCAGGACACCGCGTTGGCCAGGTGAATATCATCACTCTAGCTCTTAGTCGGATTTGACCTTCTATCGCAATGACAGTGTCACCAAGTCCCTATGCCGACGCGCATGTCGATCCCCAAGGAGCCGGAGATGCACGACCAACCGCCCTTCAGATCATCCAGAATGAGTCCATGGAAAGCAAGCTTGACGGCAAGGTTATTGTCCTCACCGGTGCGACGTCGGGCATCGGTCTCGAAACTGCCCGCGCCTTGTCTGCCACTGGAGCGACCTTGTTCTTACCGGCTCGCGATCTGGGAAAGGCCCAGAGGACTCTATCGACCATCCTGGAACCAGGCCGTGTTTCCCTCGTCGAGATGGACGTCAACTCGTTTGCGAGCATTCGGGTGGCAGCGGCGGAGATCCTGTCTGCCTCACAGAATCAGGTCAACATCCTCATCAACAACGCCGCGGTGATGGGCATCCAGGAACGCCAGATGACTGAGGATGGCCATGAGACGCACTTCATGACTAACTATCTTGGTCCTTTCCTTCTGTTCCAGCTGCTGAAGCCCGCCCTGCTGGCCAGCGCCTCACTCGACTTCAACTCTCGGGTCGTTAACGTGTCCTCGTCCGCGCACCGCTCCTGCACTCTGATGGACAGTGATGATTACGATTTCCAAAAAAGCGACTACAGCCATGAGCTGGCATATGCCAACTCCAAGTTAGCCGTCATCTACATGGCCAACGAGATCGATCGTCGCTACGGTTCCAAAGGCCTCCATGCCACCAGTCTCCACCCTGGGGCCATAAACACGGAAATATCCCGAAACATGGGCCCTGGATTTGTGGAAGCGATCATGAGCAGCCCAGTGGTTCTTAAGATCCTGAAGTCCCCAGAGCAGGGAGCAGCGACGACGGTCCTGGCCTCGGTTGGAAAAGAGTGGGAGAACAAGGGAGGGAAGTATCTGGAGGATTGCCAGGAGGCAAAACGAGGAGAAGATGATAATCAGGTATTTGGGCTTGGATATGTGCGTCAGACGTATGATCTCAAGGAGGAGGAGCGCCTGTGGAAAGACTCGTTGAAGCTGGTGGGTGTGAGCGATGATCTTTGAGCCTTTGATATGGCATTTTGGAGCATATTAGATCTTTCGATATGAGTTGATTAGAACAAACGTGCAATGCAGTTATCTGGAGCGACAAAAGTATGCAAATAACCGTTATAGAATGGAGGATCGGGGGAATCCCATAATATGCCGCGGCTTGTAGAACTGTGGAAGAACCACTCCATACAAAATGCGGAAGAGGAGAGTGGATGACTCAGCGACCCACTCGGACCGCCAAGATCGGACAAAAATTGCCCACCGCCTTCCCGTCGATTTTTTTGATTTCCATTTCGATTATCACAGAATCGAGACCATCGAAATCTGCAGCAATCAGATATTCTAGCAAAAATGCCGTCTTCTACAGCGGTCACGACCAAGGTGACCTCGGGGTCTCCTTACCAGCTTGACAACACTCAGGTATGCGTTCACCAGCAGACTCTTTTCCACCAGGACAAAAAAAAAAAAAAGAAAAAAAAAAAGTCGGCAGGCGTCAAATGCTAACAGTGAAATGTATAGGTCACTCGCGCCTCTTCTGCGCTGCTGAAACACATCAAGTCTACGCAAGAGGAGAAGGAGAAGTCGGCGACCAAGAAGACTCTTATCGGCGACAACGATGGCGACTCGGACGAAGAAGACAGCCCCATGCACAACGAAGCCATTTGGCTCGTGCTCACCACGAAGAAGCACGTTGTTGACAAGAACCGCCTGAAGCCCGGCAAGATCAGCATCCCTCACTCTCTCAACGCCTCGTCCTCCCTCAGTGTCTGCCTCATCACCGCCGACCCGCAGCGCGCGGTCAAGAACATCGTCGCCGACTCGTCCTTCCCTGAACACCTTACCTCCCGCATCGACAAGGTCATCGGCTTCTCGAAACTGAAGACCAAATACCAGAGCTTTGAGAGCCGGCGACAATTGCTGTCGGAGCACGATGTCTTCCTGGCGGATGACCGTATCATCATGCGCCTGGTCAACACCCTGGGTAAAATCTTCTACAAGTCCAGCAAGCGACCCATCCCTATTCGCATTGCCGAGATCGAGAAGGTGGATGGTAAGAAGGTGAAGAAGGATCCCAAGCAGAAGTCGAAGGACGACGACAGCGCTTTTGCCTCTCCCGCCATCGTCGCCAAGGAGATCGAGAAGGCCCTCAGCTGTGCTGCTGTGCAACTTGCCCCCGCTACCACCGCCGCCATTCGCGTGGGTAACTCCAAGTTCACCTCCCAGCAGCTGGCCGAGAACGTCGAGGCTGTTGTCAAGGGATTGACCGAAAAGTTCATCACCAAGGGTTGGAGGAATATCAAGGCTCTTCATGTGAAGGGCGCGAACACGATGGCCATGCCGATCTGGCTGGCTAGCGAGCTGTGGGTTGACGAGGCCGACGTGGTCGAGCCGACGCCCGAGGACGAGGCCAAGGCCATCGAAGGAAAGAATAAGAAGCGCAAGCAGAGTGGAGAGGAGGAGAAGCTGCTTGAAGCTCCCAAGAAGAACAAGAAGTCCAAGGCTACCGAGGACGACGACGACGACCATGCGGCCGCCAGGAAGGAGAAGCTGCAGAAGCAGAAGGCCAAGGCTCTCGAGGATGGCAAGGAGCCCGCAGCCGGAGCCGGAAAGAAGAAGAGAAAGTCGACTTCATAATCAAAGATTCCTACGGTGTTTAATGGATTGTATTTATGGATTGCAACTATTTCTGGGTTCTTATACAGCGGCGTACCAGATGTCATGTGTGTCGATTTTGTACTTTAGACACAATACCCTTTAAAAAAAAGTTTTCGTTGCTCTAGTTCTGGATGATTTTTGTAGTTTTGTTTTACAAGTAATCCACTGGTTTTCGTCAAACGAAATCTGCTTCTTTTGTAGAAATGAGACGCATGGAAGATCAAGTAAGACAACACAACTGCAGCCTCGTTACCTCACCCCCCACTGGGCCCAGGCTGGGGCCAATCGCATACCTGGAAATTCTGCAAATTCTGGAATGCGGTATGATATTCGCTGCGCGGGTCGTGATAGAGGCGCGAAAGCCGTCGCTGCGCTGAGGCGTCGTAGAGTTGAATTAACGCTTGAACATCCCCTTGACTAGGAGCACGTTTGATATTGATCCTGAAGTTCATACCATTCGTACCACCCTGTACTTTTCTTAAAGTAATCTGAGTAACCTCTGCCTGGTCCCGTTTAGTGGCCACGTAGCTATGGTAGAGCATAATTGAGTTCCAGTCCACATCTTCATACTGTGGCGCACGATCACGCCCACGCTCAGGATGAGGGATATAGTGGTAGAGCTCGTTAATTGGAAGGGATTGAGCAATGTGAACACAATCAGCCTCTAGAGCCGCGTGGCGATTGTGACATACCCCATTCTCACCCCAAATTTGGTCAAAGGTCAAACGCGCAGTGCACTCATCAAATCCTTCGATATTCTGGCAATTTACCTTGAATACAGGAGAACCACGCCAAAAAAAGGGGGCTTGATGTTCATGATATAAGCCATAGATGTGACCGATTTCATGGGCGATTTTTTCTGGAAGAGTATTTGTTCCAATTTTCTTGCCATTGGGATCTCTTTGATCATTGAAATAGGCAATAGGCCCTGGAAGGAGCTCACTATTAGGACCGACATATTTACCAACGGTTGTTGAGAACTCGAGAGACCCAGGTTGATGATAGATTATTAGCGTATTGCGGCGGTCTCTTATACAGTCCTCTATTGGGACCTCGTGAAATTGAAACCGCTCCTCGGGTAGTCCAGCCGCATACCACAGGTTAAGAGCCTGGAGAAAGTGATACCTAAGTAAATCCCGCGCTTCTTGACTTTCCCAGCAGTATATAACAGAACCGGCAGGCCAGGTTGTAGTGATCTCCTGGTTGAGATCAAACGGAACGGCACGCTTAATCTTAGTTGAGAACTCCCAGAGAGGATGACCGGCATCGACCAAGACGACGAAAAAGAGCAGGATCAGGCCGCAAATCAACATGTTGATGTAGATGTAGAGAGATGGAAAGGTGGAGAGGTGGAGAGTGAAGAGAGAATGAAAAAAAAAAACGAACATACCGAGTATCTAAGCTGTGCAGGACAACTGACAATCTCCGTTAGTGGGATGTTGCAATACATGAACAATCCGAAGAGTATGTAATGTACCTACGGAGTATAACTACTCTGGAGGAGTAACGTGAGCACCGCATGTGGATTAACCGAAGACTCCGAGGATCGGCGGGTACTTGGCGTGCCGACGATAGCCACCTCCCGCCCGCGGCAACCCTCAGGACGAGGCAGTATACCCTTTCCACTCCTTGTTGGCTGTCCGATAGGCCGTTGAGCAGGTTCTCATTCACTTCTCTTTCCTTCCTCCAGACATAGTCACCATGATCCCAATCGCTAGACACTCTGCTCTGCGGGCAGTCCGCTCGAACCTCCGCCCGCGGGCGTTCAACCAGCCCGCAGCCTCTGCGCTCGCCCGCCTTCTCTCGACTCTGGCCGTGCTCGAACAGCGAGACGGTAAGCTCCAGACTTCGTCACTGTCGGCAATCGCTGCCGCTCAGAAGTTTGGAGGCCCCGTTACCGCATTTGTGGCTGGAAACAACGTTAAGGGAACCTCTGCTGCCGAGGCCGCCAAGATCAAGGGCTTGGACAAGGTCGTGGCCGTGGACAACGAGGCCTACGAAAAGGTACGAATGAGGCTTTCGGAGTGGACCAACCTAAGGAATTATCGTGCTGATCTGATTTCTTGCCCTGTAGGGTCTTCCTGAGAACTACGCTCCCCTTCTCGTGGAGAACATCAAGAAAGGCGAATACACCCACATCATCGGCGGCCACTCCGCCTTTGGAAAGAGCCTTCTTCCCCGCGTGGCTGCTCTGCTCGACGTGCAGCAGATCTCCGATATCACCGGCATCGAGGGCGAGGACAGTACGTATTCTATGGGACGACCGAGCCCGACTCAACCCTCGTGGAAAATGAGTCACCGCAATTGCTAACGCCAGGCCAGCTTTCGTCCGCCCCATCTACGCCGGAAACGCTATCCTGACCGTCCAGTCGACCGACCCCACCAAGGTGATCACCGTGCGAGGCACTGCATTCCAGGGTATCGAGACGGAGGGCGGCTCCGCCGAGATCGTCGAGGGTGCTGACCCCAAGGCCCTCCCCCAGACCGAGTGGGTGTCCGAGGAGCTTGCGAAATCCGAGCGCCCCGACCTGGCCACTGCCTCCCGGGTCGTGTCCGGTGGCCGTGGACTGAAGTCGAAGGAGGAGTTCGACCGGGTGATCGTGCCCTTGGCTGACTCGCTGGGTGCCGCCATCGGTGCCTCCCGCGCGGCCGTCGATAGCGGATTCGCGGACAACAGTCTCCAGGTCGGTCAGACCGGAAAGAACGTTGCCCCTCAACTATATCTCTGCGCTGGTATCTCGGGTGCCATTCAGCATCTGGCTGGTATGAAGGACAGCAAGGTCATTGCGGCTATTAACAAGGACCCCGATGCTCCTATCTTCCAAGTTGCTGATGTTGGTCTTGTCGGTGACCTTTTCGATAAGGTGCCTGAGTTGACTGAGAAGTTGAAGAGCCAGTAGTGCTTTTACTCTGTCTATGTTTCTTGTATCATGATGTTTGTTTCTCTCCTTGCGAGCTCTCAGGTTTAGATGAATTACACAGTATACCACACCTTACCCACTAGGACGAACTGCTTTAAAAGCCTACTTTCTTTCTTTCTACTTGCAGTGATTGTATATTGGCTTCTAAAGGCTAGCTAGCGAAGGCTCTACGAGGTTAGCTTTTCACAACAATATTCACTAGCATTGTTCCGTTTTTGACCAGTCAGGTGACTTAGAGTATTTCTGCTTGATCTCCGAAGAGTAGCTATAGTATGCATAATAAAGCCTTGTTCGACATTAGACAAGATAACATGTCCAAGCCCCTCTAGATCCCGCATTAGTCCACTTAAGCATAAAGCCTTCTTGATTCACCAGATCTATTGATCCATTCCATGCCTGCGGAACCGTTCCGTGAGATACCTCCTAAACAGGAATAGCCCCTCACTTCCGCGCAGAAGTTAATGCCTTATCTGTAAGGCCTTAATATATCCTAACCCGGACTAGCGCGTACCTTCCCCACGCGTCGAACGCGTCGCATCGCCAAATCGGGCGAGCAGATAACCAGAGATGAGGATCATTCAACTGACTGACTCCACTTGATAATACCATCAATGCAATGAATCATCCCTCTAGAGACATGAACATTTGAACGCCTTTTATGACGACATCTCCTGCCTCAGTTCCCCCTTCCTTTGATCCCGCTATACACCTGCACTCGGAGGGCCCGCCAGACGATATCGAGCCGCCCTCAGAATCCTTCTCCGACGACCTTGAAGCCCTGCATCTTCACCGATTGGAGAAGACACGCAATAGGGTTGTGATTCAGCATCGCGCGTGGAACCTGTCGGATTGTTTTCGGAGTGACGAGGACATCAGACCCTGTATGTTGTACTTGATCTGGGCTATGGGGTGTGAATTGACGATTAATGATCGGTAGATACGCCGACGAAATCGAGTCGAAGGGCTCCGATACAGAGCACCGGATCGCCTTTGCCGACAATCCCCTCTTCGCCACCCGTTGCGAAAATGCCGTTCATTTCCTCCCCCGCCGTCTTCCCTTCCAGTGCCCCTTCGCCGGATGCGCAGAAGAGGAAGAACGATGAACAGCCGTCGGCGGCAGAGCCAAAGAGGCAAAAGATTATGGGAGGATTTATCGATGAGGATGAAGACGATGAAGATGCTATGGATGCGTTCGGAGATGCGCATTTCGAGAGCCAGTTCGCGATCGAAGAGACCAACGAACAAGCCGTTCAACTTCCCAAGCCGATTGAAAGACCACAGAGCGATCCGAACACCATAGGAACCCCGACAGTGGATCCGATACAAGATACACCTATACCTAGACCCACCGAACTGGGTTCATCGCGACAAGTGTCTGGGCGAGTGCAGATAAAGACTTGCTCCGGCAAAACTCTCAACGTTGCGATGAAAAAGCCTAAAGCTCCGGTTACTTACGAAAGACTCATCGCGGGTCGCTCGACGACAGCCCCGGGGAGGGCGCAGAAAAGCTACTACGGCATCGATATTCACAAACTACTAGACGAGGCAGCACAAGAGCCCGAGCGCGAAAGGGCCCCCCAGTTACCGTCGGCTTTACCAGTACGCCCGTCAATTGAATCATCATCAGCGAACCACAAAAGTAAGAAGAGCGCAACGGCGATGTGGACCGAGAAGTACCGTGCTCGGAAATTTACAGACCTCATCGGAGACGAACGAACGCATCGATCCGTTCTGCGATGGCTCAAGGGCTGGGAGCCCATAGTTTTTCCGAACCTCGCCAAATCCAAATCCAAGAAGCCGGCCAATGGCTATGAAGAGAACGAACGAGCACATCGAAAGGTCTTGCTGCTATGCGGACCCCCGGGTCTTGGAAAGACTACATTGGCGCATGTTTGTGCTAGACAGGCAGGTTACGAAGTTCTTGAAATCAATGCCAGCGATGAGAGAAGTAGAGATGTGGTGAAAGGTAGAATCAGAGATTCTCTTGGCACTGAGAACGTTAAGGGCATGAACGTGGAAGTTGGTGAGCAAAAGGTCCGAAAGGTCGGGCGGCCGGTCTGCGTGGTCGTTGACGAAGTTGATGGCGTGGTCAGTGGATCTGGAGGAGGCGGAGGAGAGGGAGGCTTCATGAAGGCACTAATTGATCTTGTTCTTCTGGACCAAAAGAACGCGGCACGCTCCGAACAAAACTCCACTGGCAAGAAACGGAAGGGTGACAATTTTCGATTCCTCCGTCCTCTCATCTTGGTTTGCAACGATGTCTACCACCCTAGTCTACGGCCACTGAGGGCATCGTCCATAGCCGAGATGATTCATGTCCGTCAGGCACCGCTAGAGAATGTTGTCGCCCGGATGAAGAACATTTTTGTTAATGAAGGCATTCCGGCCGACAACGATGGGGTGAGACGGCTCTGTGAAGCATCCTGGGGCCTCGCTCGAAGAAAACAAGGCAACGTTAAAAACAGCGGGACGGCCGAGGGTGACATCCGCAGTGTCCTTGTGGCGGCAGAATGGGTCGCTCACAAATTAAGATATGATAGAGAGGCCTCGCTTCGGCTAACAAGGGGCTGGCTGGAGCAACGCGTTTTGAGCGAGGGCTCAGGGGGTGGCTCCTTTTTTAAAGGCTTGAATCGAGGAGGCGTACGCGACCTTGTCGATCGCGTTTTCACGGAAGGCGCAGGACTTGCAGATGCCCCCGTCGGCAAAGATTCCTTCCGCGATGCTTTCGATGACAGCGAGAAAGTGCCCGTGGGTGTTACCGACCTGAAAAAACGTCATGCCATCAACCGGTTGCGTGAGATGGTCGATGCTAGTGGCGACCAGGACCGCTGCGTTTCCGAGTGCTTTGCGTCCTATCCTTTGCAAGCCTACCAGGACGATACATTTCTTTCGAAGCCCAATGCAGCCTACGAATGGCTAAGTTTCCACGATACTGTTTCGTCTAAGGTTTTTTCGTCTCAAGATTGGGAACTCAGCCCATATCTCAGTCAAGCGGTTGTCGCATTCCACCATCTCTTTGCGTCTAACAAAGGTAGAAGAAATGCTACTGGTGTTGATGAGGAGGAAGAGGAGCACCCATTCTCTGGAACCCGAGCAGACTTTGCGGCTTTCGAAGCCCAGAAGCAGAACCGTGCCATTGTCACAGGTTTCCAGTCTTCATTATCTGCCCCGCTGCATCGTCTTTTCCGATCAACGGATTGCTTGGTGGGCGAGCTCATTCCGAACCTTATGCGAATGCTGTCGCCGGATGTGAAGCCCGTGGTGGTCCGTGGGAATGGAGAACAGAGGAGTGTAGCCAGTGTTCGGAAGGAAAGTGAACGGACTTTGGTGCAAGCAGCAGTCCGCGCCATGACGGGACTCGGTGTGACCTTTGAAAAGGTGCGAGTCGAAGGTGAGGGTGGTGCACATGGGGGGTGGGCTTATCGAATGGAACCGTAAGTACCCACCGCTGCTGCGTCTTTACAAAGCCTATGTCATCACTCTTAACTAACATTTCACGAAACCAGGCCGCTCGACTCATTGGTAAGCTTCTCCAAAACTAAAGGGCTTCTGCCAGGCACTATCAGCTCAGGGCCCGTCCGGTATGCCGTGCGTCAAGTTCTGGACCAGGAATACCGCAAGGAGACGGTGCGAAAGCATTCCGAAGCACTCAGCTCGTCAAAGCTTGGCAGCAAGGCAGCAGGCAAATCTGCCGACGGCCAGGATGGTGAGGCATCAAAGAAAAAGGGACTCAAGGATGCCGTTGGGGTCAAGCGAGACTTTTTCGGAAGGATAATCAAGGAGCCCACGCCACCTGTGGAAACTTCGCAAGAACGTACCGCGCAAGACGAGGCGTCCAAGGCAGGAAGAAAGGCCTGGGTGACATATCACGATGGGTTCTCGAATGCCGTGCGCAAACCGATATCCATGAGTGAATTGATGGCTGGTCTCTAAGTATATACGCTGTAATTAATTAATCAAGAAGCCAGACAGAATAAAGAATCCACTTGAATGACATCTATTCCCAGAGCGCTTGCTCACTCTAAAGATCTCCGCCACCTTAGCGACTAGCTCGTTGATCAGCCGGCTTGTGAACGCGGCTTGGCGACGCTGATGAAGACCTTGCGGGAATAGCGGTGGCAATAATCGAGAAACTGACAGGGAGATCATCGCGTTAGTTTATCTAGTTACCCAAATGTCGAGCTTTGGCTCACTAACTCAAGGGAAATCAGAAAAATGGTCAAGCAGATGGCAAGTATGAGGAGAGCCAATTTCCACCCCTTAGGATATTCCTTTGCAGGTTGTTTGTCGGGGTGGGTGGTAGCGACTGATGCCATGCTGGATTAACTGCAAGTGAAACAATATCGAGCTATGGTGGCGACATGGTTTGAAGACTGAGAGATCATGACTTTTAAGATGCAAAGTCTCCTCGCTGTCTTCCTCAACACGCGACGCGTCGATATCACAGCAACAAGCATCAGAGACTCAACAGGCAGCAAACGTCACACAGACTCCAAATGCGAACCAAATAAGGTATGGTCCAATTGATAGGAAAATATTATTTACTTACCTTCATCTAAATTCAAGGGGTACCTAAGTGGTGACCTGATTGGCTCCGTCGCTCTTTGTTGCTGAAGCTTTCTTTGTCTGATCTTCCCAACGTTCTCCATTGGCCCTTAAATTGACCTAGTTGTCAAGCCATCAGAACTAGGAACTTTAAACAAGCGCCAAAAATGGAAGTTCTGATGGGTGAGACTTGGATTTCAAGGCATCAGAGATGTGTCTAGACGGCCGCAGGCTGCCGCCTATTGCGTTAGCCCTAATGAACACTCGATCCGAAAGCGACAAATAAGTATGTCCAAAGAGAAAATCTATAGCAGCTTGACAGGGGCCAAAGCCCTGGAAGGCTCGATATGGATCTATCTTTATACCTTTGAATGATGGTTTACTCCTTTTCAACTTGATTGGGGTTGTTACTTGACTATGTAAGGGTTCTCTCTTCTTCCAGTTTCAGGTAGGTCTCTGTGGGATCTGCTTCCTTTCATACTTTATCTGTGGTCGTCCACTGCAATTAGCAACAATTTGCTATCTTTGATCAATATTTGATTTATATCCAAAGTCTATGGACAGGCCCGTATGGATTCATCGACAGCATTAACAAAATACTGGATGTTATGCCTATTTAGTCCAGCAACCGAAATCCGTCCATTCTCAGTCGGAATTTTCTTCTGGTCAGCAATCACTAATAGCAACGCATAAAAGAAAGAGGCCTGGAAGGTGTCATAGTGTTGAAAATACCATCCAGGTGAAGCACTGGCTCTTCTAGAAACCTTCTCTTATTCCGAATATATACTTTGGTCATAAAACTAGTTTCTGGGACAGTGCATTTGCCGACTCAGCAGTTCTCCAAAGAAATAGCGTGCTCATTAAATGATCTAATCTAGGTAATCGCCGATTCAGATGATTATCACATTTGACGCGGAGTGGCCCAGGGATCCAGTCGTATCCTTAGTGGAATGCCTGCGAAGAAAGTCGGAAGTGCATCGCATCGGCCGAGTCAAGTCCTTCCTTCAGTAGCTTCTCCCGTAGAATTGGTCCTTGGAATGAGAGAGTCCCTGTCACAGCACTTTTCCTTTCATTCGTCAACTAATTTTCCATTGCCGATATCTCTCGGCGGGGTAAGCGGGCCGTCCGCATAAGGGTGATCCTGAAATGTTTAGTGCAAATTGGTTAGATATCTTGTGGGAGGCATCGATAATTTTGAACGTGGAAAGCAAATGACACAATTTTACCGTTCAGACGTTCAACATGGTCCAATTACCTGAGCCATTCGCATCTATCTCTGTTCATCAGATCCGATATCCTGGTCCCTCTCCTATCCACGAATTTGCCACCAATCTACGACAGCTGCCCGTGCGCCTGATCAGCCTGACTTGCGAATATGGGCAAAACGCGATGATCAATCAGCGCCTATGGTCTGCTGCGGCAACAAATTCGAAAGCTAGAATACATCATCCCAGATATTCTCAGAACCCCTGGTGTGACCACCATAGTGACCGAAGGGGGGCTGCAGAACAATCATGCTGTCCAGGTTGCGGCAGTCAGTGCCAAATTAGGGCTGGAGTGTGTGTTGCTGCTTGACGAGCAGTCGGGCGGACTCAATGCTTCAGATAATCCTGAGATATTCCAGTCAACTGGCAATATCCAAATCTGCCGGTTACTGGACGCTGATATCCGTGTCTTTTCGGGCTCTTATGACAAGGAGAGTGTCATGGCTGAGCTGCACTCTGCGGGGAAAGTGCCCTACTGGATATCAATGGGAGCTAGCATGCATCATTTGGGGGGATTGGGCTATGCTCGCTGTGCCTTCGAAATCGCCATGCAAGAAAAAGAACTACAACTGGAGGGAACAGGCAGATTGACTATGTATTTTTACCCTGTGGAAGTGGAAGCACCATGGCCGGGCTTATTGCAGGGTTCCGCTTGCTTGAAAAGGGCTCGAAGGGAGAAGAGCAACTTCCTCCGCGACAAACCATTGGTCTTATGGTGTCTCCAAAAAAGGAACATGAGCAAAGGGTCTTGGAGATTGCGCGGATCGCCGGTGGGCATATTGGGCTTGATCCGGAATCGGATTTGACTTTGAGTGATATTCGGCTCGACCCCCGGTTTTATGGCCCTGGATATGGCATTCTCGACACTGCTACCGAACGAAGTTTGAGAGAAATAGCTACCAAAGAGGGAGTTCTCATGGACCCTGTCTACTCAGGAAAGGCGGCAAGGGGAATGATTTCATCCATCAGAAGCGGAGAATTGAACCTGGATGCTAGAAAGCGGGGACACACTGGGGAAAGGCCTCTGAATATTCTCATGCTTCACACTGGTGGTCAAACTGTCTACTCTGCATATGCATAATTTCACTCAGTTTCTTGCACAACCTGGTAATTGTAAACGCAATCAAAGGATTCCACGTAGTTCTCAGCCTTCGGCAATTCCGAAAGTCACTTCCTGCGACAAGATAACTAGTTAGCTGTCCGGGGAAATTCCTAAATACAGGATAGATCTCCAACCCCCGCAGATTGATAACCAACTCCAATCGCCGACACATTTTAGTTGATCGCCGATAGCTTTACCCTGTCTCCAATAGGTTGAATGCCATTCTTGGAGCTTATTAGCCGGCTGATGGGTTAGTATATCTTATCATTGTCGGTGTATATCTAAATAGGGACCTGAAAACTGTCTACCATATATGTAAGTCGGGCAATCCGGCCTTACTCTTAACCAAGATCATTCTTTTCTGTCTTAGCTTCAACAATGAATTCAAAATTCGAGACTGATAAACTACCCAACGAAATTGGCGAAGCCCCCGATGTTGAACGATCTTCTGTTCTAGACTTTGGAAAATCAGCCCAACTTGACCATGGCGCTGACACTCAATTGCACCGTGCCTTAGGCTCTCGCCATTTAACCATGATTGCCTTAGGATCTAGTATTGGAATGGGTTTTGGCTGGGGAGCGGACAAAGCCTGGGTAATGGTGGACCTGCTAGTGTCCTGCTCGGCTTTTTTCTGGCTGGCACTGTGGTTTGGTCTATGTGCCATGCTATGGGAGAAATGGCGGTGATGTTTCCACTACCATCCGCGTTCGTGCAATGGAGCAGTCAGTTAGCCCAGGTTCCTGTCTGCCCAGAATTGAGGGGGCTTGTTTCGCTAATGCAAGTATTGGCATATAGCTAAGTTCGTGAGTCCAGCCGCTGGGTTTGCCCTTGGTTGGGCGTACTGGCTGCAATTCTGCATTACCATGTCGAACGAGATACAAATCACAAGCACGATTCTAGGGTTCTGGGCAAATGCTCTGCCCTCGGCCGCATGGATCTGAACATTTCTAGTATTCATCATTTCGATCAACATCTTTGCTATGAATGTTTTTGGCGAGTTTGAGGTTGGAGCAAGCTCAATCAAATTTGGGTACATTATCAATTATTATAATATCCATGATGGGTAAGTGCCAGTGAGCTATCTCCTGAAATGTTACTTATAATTAACCATCAAGAAAAGTGATTTCCACCGGTGGCGCACCCAATCATGAAGCCATTTGGTTCCGCTACTGGAATATCGAGCCGTTTATAGGCGGGTTCAAGGGATTCCTTGGCTGTTTTACTCACCTGTGGTGAGTTGTAATGGCGCGTTGAAACTTGCTGTGTTTGCTGAAAACCCGCCAATGTAGTCTTCTCCATGTCCGGCTCCGAAAATTCAGGCCTTGTGGCATGTGAGGTCCAGAATCCAAGGAAGTCCGTTCCCAAATCTGTCGGGTCAATTTGGCTTCGTTTATCGGCTTTTTCCCTGTTGGGGTCCCTCATGGTTACAATCTCTACGGATCCCCATAACGCCAGTCTATTAGGAGCCGGAGGAATGAACGCGTCTCCGTTTGTGCTTGCCTACCGAGCGGCAGATCTCAGTCCCCTGGCTTATATTACCAATGCGGTCATTCTTGTTTCGGTTTTGTCGACCGGGAGTATTACAATTTACACCACATCTCGCACTCTGATGGGATTGGCACATCTCGATATGGCTCCGAAATGTATGGCATGGGCTGACAAGTCCGGTCGCCCGTGGTATGGAATCGTTCCCAGCGTTATCCTAGGTGGTGGCTTGGCCTATCTGAATGTCAGCCAGGGGGGTGCTACAGTTTTCAACTGGTTGTCAAACTTGGTTTCTCTGTTCACCCTGTTTGGCTGGGGAATGTTTTGCCTCACGAATATCCGAATGCGACATGCTTGGAAAGTCCAGGGAAGATCTACTGACGATCTACCCTGGAAGTCCTGGACATGGCCATGGGGCGCGTACTGGCTGTTGTCGTGGTCTATTCTGCTGATTATTCTAGAGTTCTACCTTGTTGTCTGGCCGTATCATGAAAAGATGGGAGCCAAGACCTTTTTCGCAACATATCATAGCGTTCCGACCATTGTGGTTCTCTATATCGGAGCTCAGATCTACTACAGAACTCCGCCTTGGACAGATGCAGCTTCTATCGATCTTGATGAAGGACGTCGCTTCTATGTCTATGATATCGAGGAAGAGAGGCCAAAGACGACGTTTAAGAAGATTGTGTCGTTTGTGTTTGGTTAAGATTGATCGGACGTGTCAGACTTCAATAGCCATCGGGACGTGGTTCATGTGGAAGCTGTGCTGGTTATCTCGGTACTCTGGCTATATTAGTATCGAATCGATATACTATTTCCATAACATAAACAAGATTTCCAACGGTCAGCAATGTTCCCCAGATATAAGGTGATTGAGAATCATCGGCCCACCACATACCCCACCAAAGAACTCGAAGATTCAGGTGAAGCATATCATAGAGAAATGTAAGACTAAAAAGTAAGATATATATTAAAATATGAAATAATAATATTATTAAAAAACTAGTAGGTCAAGAGATAGCAGGCAGAGAGATAGATAATCAGAACTCGCATGCTTCTAGGTGAATCGCCAACGATTTGAATAGGAAAAGAAAAAAAAAAAGCAATCTAGAAATAATATCACAAGCAAACCCAAACACCGGTATTTGTAAGTCTCATTAGCCCATATTTTTAACGCAGTCCTCGTTCCTCAGACATTCGTTCCATTTCGGAGTTCATCGACGATCGCGATTCCGATCACCGGTTGGAGAGGTATGCGAGCACGGCCTCGTTGTGCAGAGCCCGTTCAGCGGTCCGCTCGGCAGGCTTGTATTTGGGCATAGATTTGGTGCATTCGTCGCTCTTCTTCAGCGAGAACCACTTCTTCTTCTTTGATGCGTCGCCCTTGAGGGTTGTCGCAGTGGAGGAGACGGAGTAGGCGGAGGCGGTGTCGAAGGAGGTCTTGGAGGCGGCCATTTTAGTAGATGGTTTGTTTGGTTTCTGAGAACGAGATTTGGAGGGTGATATTTTGGTCTTGGTTGGAAGTAGGCGTTCAACGATGGTGTTTATAGTTGTAGTGGTGGTAGTGGTAGTATGTGGATGTAGAAATAGATGTGTAGATAGAGCGGATGCAGTTAAGATTATGGATTGCTTAAGAGAATCTCAGAAGATTTGATTGACTCTTATGTGGATTGTGAGGGATTATCTGAATGATACTGAAAAGAAAACCTCGAACCGGAGGAAATCTACGGTCTATATATACAGCCGGTTTGTCGACTACTTCCAGCATCTCCATCGTTGTCTACTCCGTACCGCATGGTTTTTACTCCGACGCCCTACGGAGTTGGTTTCAGGCAACGAAAAACCATTCACAGTACGTCAGTCCACGCCCCACCACACCTCACCACAAGGCTTAGCATAGTCCAAGGCATCTAGACGCGTCAATCAGGCTCCAAATACACGAGAGACAGATGCACACCTACCTCGTGTCTGGTCCACTGACTTGCCCGTTCGAGGAATTGCTAACATCCGAAGGGCGCGCCCAGCACGAGCCCCATCGAAAGCGCGGGTGGTCTTGACTCAGAAAGATGCCTTAATTGGAGCCTGGACGAGTTAGAATCGGCTTTGTAATTAAGCCTCCAAGGTATCAACCCGATATACGAGTCCCGACATCGCTGGTCGGACACCGTTTTGGGACCCCGGGTGGATTCCGTTGTCCGCTAGGCACAGGTAGATACAGGTAGGGCTCGGAGTACGTATGCGCTGCCAAGGTGGCTGGAATTAAGGTTCGGGATGAAAGAAATGATCGCTCTTGGGAGTCATCATTCACGGTCCTCGTCCGAATACGCTGTCCAGATTAAGGATGGCGTTGATCGTATCGACTGGGGGTATGACTCAAGGCCAAGAACAACCCCGGCGGGATTGACTCCATTCGCGATCGGATTCTGAGGATGACACGAATTTCAGTCTTTCAACCTTTAAGTCTTTGTCTATCAACGGAAGTCATGGTGTATGCAATCTTCTTTGCATTGCATGCATGAATATAACCGGCGGTCTAGATCTGCTGGTCTGATCAATTTATTACTAGATCGTGCACAATTTTTTACTCCGACACCCCCTAGAGAGCCACCCCGAACTCCGAATACTACTCCGACAGCAAGATTTTCTGCTTTCCCTTGCACTAGACAGGCGGTGATCATTGTCATTCGGCTGTATTAATAGCGACGATCATATGCCCTATATTCCGAGGGGATTCAGCATCACAGGGAGCGCCAGAGTGATCTCATGGTGCATGGTCGCAGGCTCGGAGTACTTCAGGTCCCGTCGGCTTTCCTGCCTTTTGGCGTTCTCGAACGCTCTTCAATCTTCCATCCTCCAACCTTCTGCCACAACCCCCAAAGCACCGCCAAAGTCTAAGTCCAGGGGCGACAGAAGCCGTCTGATAGAAGAAATGATCAGTCCCTCTCCAACAGCTAACCCGACCGCGGAGAAATGCGGAATTGACTTTCCAGGCTCACTACTTTGTAGAGAAGGAACCCAACGGCCAGACCAACTCGAAAGCACTCAACGCACTGACCGAGTGATCGAGGACAAAACAGCCTCTGGTGCATCCAGGACAGCAGAGCGATCGGCCGGATCGCATCGCACCTGGAAAACTCTAATGGCCCGAAATTTTGAACCAATCGATCAACATTTGTGGTGATGGCCCCGAAGTTGTTCCGGCAAACAGTCAATGGCTTACGAGTCTGCGACTGTGTCTACTGTGACCAATCTACTCAATATAGCACCTGCTGGGATGCTGAGACGATTCTGAAACCCCCGACGGTTGCATCGTGCTGTTTTTGAGCTGCTCTAAGTTCTTAGGGGAGCTGTTTCGCAACTACTCCGTACTAGCTCCAGGGATAAGGAACTGTTGCCTTGGCGCTAGACTGCGCCAGCCTGGATAGGGCAATCCTGGTACGTCCTGATTTTCAGAGCATATGGTCAGAGTTTCGTGCTTAAGGTAATTGGTTCGGATCGATGATTGATCCTTCCGGGGGGGGGGGGGATGAGAATATTAGGTAACATTTGAGATGGAAAAGGCTTCCCTTTGACGCGATGGAGGCATAGGAGGGATCCAGGTGGAGGTTCCAAAGTCCAAACGCCGGATATAGCGTGATGGGTCCTCATTGGATGATTGATCAACATTTGATCAAATCTAGCCCTAATCCGCCTTGAACTCTAGTCGGAATCCCTCGAGGTGCTTGGGCCGTCATAAGGACCGAGAGAGTCGACTTGCATGAGCCACTGATCCAGTTTGACACATACACCCGGTCGTCCGGCAGGTCAAAAAAAGAACCTCTATGACTGCCGGATGTGGAAATTTTGGCCCTTTGGGAAGATCGTTGGAGACGTTCCAACACCCAAAATGTCCCCACTTCTGCCCGAATCCACGAATGATCGAGATGATCGGACTGACGAGGGGGGAATGACAGGTGCCAGCCGTTGCTTGCTGACCCTAAACCCTGTAGGTTTCAGGTTCATTTTAACCTGCCTCAATTTTGAGCTCGCCGTCGATCCCCCTCAATCACCGTATAAGCAGTGTTATTCGTCTATTTGGCCCTGATAATTCGTCACGAATGATGCTTTTCATCGATCTTTTTTGGGGTGATCCATCACAATTTGAGTTCCACTGATCCACGGTCTGTGTTCAATTTAGATTGCAGCTACCTGCAATTGGACCCAGTTGGGACCGCCGTTGATTTTACGTGAAGGAAATCATGCCATATATCTACAGGGATGCGAGGACCTCTGGCGGACCGGTTCTCTGCTCGGCTTAAGCGCTCGATTTTCTTCATGCTGACTCGTGCTTCTACTCAATCTACCATTCACACACCAGAATGCCCGGGGGAATTCGTCCGCCGCTCTCGGTCATTGAATCCTGGCCGCCTGCGAACACCGTCAATCCCGAATCTCATGGGCCGGCAGCCATTGTAGTGCCGGCCGTTCTCGGAGGCATTGCTTTCATCCTTATTTGTGTCCGACTATGGGCGCGCTGTGGAATTCAACACTCGGGAGGACTGGATGACATTCTGATTGCCTTGAGTCTTGTAAGTCGAAGTCTTGCCCATCCCAATGCATTCTAGGGCATTCGCTAAGTGAGATTTGAAAAGATCCCAACTCTAGGATTGATCGTTACCATCCCCCTTGGTAAGATTGCAACCGCATCCCATCCAGCCAGAACCACCGCTTACCCGGGACCTTAGGAGCCTATAAATACGGTCAAAACCATCATGTGTGGGACAACGCGCTGCCGATATTAATCAGCGAGCGCAAACTTGCGATCGCCAGCGAGATATTCTATGTGGCATCCACCAGCCTTACTAAGGTCTCGGTGCTGCTTTTCTATCGTCGCATGGGCGAGCGCACCGTTTCCCCCCGATTTATCACGATTATCTGGATCAGTATAGCATCCGTCATCGCCTACAGCATCGCCTTTCTCGTCGTCATCTTCGTCTCATGTCGCCCCTTCAAGGCCTTTTGGCTCCAGGTCGACCCCGTCTGGTCCCAGACGAATTCTTGGCACTGCTATGACGAAGCCGCCCACCTTTTCGCCGCCACGGGAATCAGTCTCGTTCAAGACCTCATCGCCACCAGTCTACCGGCATGGCTTTGCTGGAAACTCCAGCTCCCTCGACGGCAGAAGATCGCCCTGAACGCTATCTTCGCCGTCGGCTACCTTGCGGCGGTTATCGCCGGCATCCGCATTTACTTCGTCTGGAGGCTGTTCTACGCCTCCTACGACGCCTCGTGGGAGGTCTGGTACTGCTGGCTCTTTGCCCTCCTCGAGGTGCTCATCGCGTCTATTTGCTCGAGTCTGCCTAGCGTCAAGGTCTTCTTGCGCTGGTACGATATGCCGTCGAGTCTTGCGGGCGTGGTGCGCTCCCTCAAGAACTCGCATTCCCACGGCAGTCGAAACAAACACTCTATCTCTTCTGCTCGGCATGAATACTGGCACTCCGGTGACGGGGACAAATATCCGTTGACTGAATACGAAATGTATAGCAGGTCGGATTACAAGTCTTCTCCTGGGAGCTTGAGGGAACCGAAGTCGACGTCGCCTATGGAGTTATCGGTGGATTCCCAGACGGCGGCTTCACATGTTTAGATTAGAAGGCTGAATCTGTATCAATAATTCTTTAAAGCCTAGATTTGTTAAGATAGTGGGTTAGATTCGTGGTAAGATTTGCTGGTTTTGTTTTTATCTCGTTTATGACCAACATTGGGACCTTCGCTAGAGAACTCTGAGTCCAACAATTCCGAAGCACATCTGTTTCTGCGGATCTCAGTCTTTGCTGGGATCGTGATTCACGGTCCTCTGTTGCCGATTCATAGCCATCTTACAAATATCCTCGCTCACCATCGGATGCTTCCCCGTTATATTATTTTGAAAGCAACCCAGAGCAAAATACGCTTTAGAAACGCCCATCAGGTGTATCCGGAGCGAACCTTCCATCCAGATCTAAGGTACTCGCCATCGAATAGGGCATTGAAGGTCGATCGCTGAACACCTAACCTTCCATTCCATCTCAACTGACTCCCCAGTTTCGTCCATCGGCCAAACGCTGAGGCCGATAGTATTGTCACCGTATCGTTGAGGATCCCCGGGAAACCGAGACGTTAGTTAATTTTCAACTTGTTAGCATGTCTATAACGTACATCGGACTAATCAGGGAAGGCTTTTTCGCTCGAGATATAGGACAAGGACTTCATCTCGGTATGCTGTTGTTGACTTGGCAGACAACCCATCCGTCGGAGACTTATGCCCAATCAGGAATTTCCTTCCGTCGGAAATGAATATTCCCCCGCAGAGCAGGGGAACTTGGATTTAGTTCTGTACCTACCATGCAAATCCTCAGCAGGAGATTGGAATATTTGCCCACAAATCATCTCCCCGCAACTATCTAGATACAATGTCACTCCAAGGCAAAGTGTATGCCGTGACCGGCGGCGCAAGTGGTATCGGCCTCGCAACTGCCAAACTCATCTCACAACATGGGGGCACGGTCTGCATCGCCGATGTGAACCCCGATCTCCTCAGCAAAGTGGAATCATATTTCACCGCCATCGCACCCCCTGTTCCGTTCATGATCACCAAGGTCAATGTTGCGGACAAACAGCAAGTAGAAAGCTGGATCGCCGAGATCAAAACCAAGTACCACCGTCTCGATGGCGCCGCCAACATTGCCGGCATCGTCGGAAAAGATCACGGGCTCAAGTCGTTGGCAGATTTGGATGATGATGAATGGGATAAAATCATCGGGGTGAACCTGACTGGAACGATGTATTGTCTCCGGGCAGAGCTCAACCATATTAGTGATGGTGGCTCGATTGTCAACATGGCATCCATCCATGCCACAACTGGTGAGATGTCATTTCTTTCCCCATGACACTTTGCATGCAGTTATCTGACTGTCCCTAGGCTTGGCAAATTATGGTGCGTATGCGGCGAGTAAACATGGGGTTTTGGGTCTCACTCGGGTTGCTGCGAAGGAGAACGGCCACCGAGAGGTGCGAGTGAATGCCGTGGCGCCGGGCCCAATCTACACTCCCCTGATGCAGGCGTCTTGGGACCGGATGGGACGGCCTTCCGATGCGCCTTTCGACGACCCGATTGCATTCCAGCGTCAAGGGACTGCGGAGGAGGTGGCGAATGTGGTTGGTTTCTTACTTGGGCCGGAAAGCTCGTTCGTGAGTGGAAGTTGTTACTCGGTTGATGGCGCTTGGCTATAAATGTACGTAATTCGCCGCTGGATTGGCCCCTCGGGTCTATCACGATCTTTTATATTTCCATATCTGGCTCTGTAATCCTGTCATAATGCCACCACCCTACCATTCGCAAAGATCCCCACAAGGACCTCGGAACTCAACTACCACGGAAGCTCCTCGCCATCATACTGATTAAGAGCTGGAGCATTCTCCCAACCGGGGACATGGATATTGAAAAACTTGCCCGAATCTTCCTTGCCTTTGGTATCGAGAATATGCAGCACTGCATTAACACTCGTCTCCGTGGAGATGTCGGCGTGCTGACCCACTATAAATACATTAACAAGAAAGCACTTCAACAGTCAAACTCGAACTTACTCCAGGGGATACGGCAAGGACCACGAAACCCTCCTTGGCATACTCAGCAGAATACTGCGCCGTCAGCCTGTTTGGAGCTGCTTTGGATATCTGATAGGCGGGGGACCTCTGCTCGAAGCGTTCGAAAGTAGGTGCTAGGCCGATGGATCCGGAAGGCGATGATCTAATTTAGTTCGTCTAGTCAGCTTATTTATTGTTCGCACATAAGCCAACGTGTTATTGCACGGATTGAATACTCCCTTACATATTCAGGATCTTCTTCATGTTACCCTTGTTCAAAAAGCCGAGGAGCGAGTTCGTAACGAGCAATAGTGGGCAGAGAGGATGGGAGAACAAAATTTAGTCCAAGGACATCTTATAGATTCTAGCACGCAGGGGCCTTTAAATAGACCGTTCTCTTTGGAAGAACGTTCAGTATCCCGCCTGGGGTAGCATGAACTCACCGAGCAAGAGTGGATAGAGTACACAGTTCTAGTGAGTCGAATGGGCAGGCCATGGAGATGAGACCCACAAAGTGGAGTGGCTTCAAGCTTCTTGTCAGCGAGTTCCATAAGTGTACCAGGATTTAAGACATACGCAGTAGTACTGGCCGGTTTAGTAGATGGGTGGATTGGTGAACCAGTCAGTGTCTTTGCCGTGGAGCCCGTGGTCTTTCCCGACAATGCCAGTAATATTGGCGGCGCCATTAAGACGCTGGTACTTGATTTTGATCTCGGAAATCTAGCTCTTTATTTATTATTTATTTGTGATATTGACTTTAGTGATTATAAACGGAACAGGAGGTGTTATAGCGGTGAAGTATGATTCAACTTTGCTCAGGAGATTGGGGTTCATTCACATCGGCGATGTAGACCGTGCCCCCACTTTGTTGTTCCACTTTCACCCTTCATAGGGTTAATCAAAGGATCAATGCTATAACGAAACGGCAAGATGGCCGAGTGGTCTAAGGCGCTCGACTCAAGAATCTTGAGATTTCATGAACACACATTCATGAAGTATTAATTCTTTCCTTGTAAACAACAAGGTGTTTTCGAGTCTCGTAAGGGGCGCGGGTTCGAATCCCGCTCTTGTCATTTTTGTTGGATCGTAAGGTTCCCTGCTCTTGCTGTCAGCCATTTTTTACAATTTTTACCAATCTCCTTCCTCCCTGCTGAGGATTTATTTGCATGGTAAAAAAGTAAGTAGTAGGTAGGTAAAGTAGATACAGAAGTGGAGTGAGTGGCTTCAAGCTTCTTGTCAGCAAGTTGCATAAGTGTATGTACCATGATTTAAAACTACATTTGACATACTATACTGGCAGGTTCAGTAGTTGGGTGGATTGGTTAGTGGTAAATTTGTACGGAGTATGTATGTATGTCTTTGCTACTTTGCGTACTTCATTTATTTCTTCTTCTATTCTTCATAGAAAAAAACCTCAACATTTCTCCATTCGTAACGGGTTTCAATTGACGCTAAATAAGCCTATCTAATATCTGTACCTGCAGCTGCCAAGGCCGCTGAAGCACCTACGTCATCTAAACTGCCTGCACTGCCAACTGCTGCGCTGTCTGGCCAACAAATCAAGCAGCTATCCTGTTGCCTCCATAATGACTCGGTCCAATATTGGCAATCTTGTCTTCTGCGAGGATGCATGCTGGAATCCCGATACAAGAGATATAGAGATAGCCTCTTGTTTATTGTAGACAGTGCGGTGGGTGCGATGGAGGAGACGAAGGCAAAAAAAAACAAAAAAAAAACAAAAAAAAAAGAACCGGGCCCAGGATTCGACTAGAGCTGCCAATCCCCGAAGGGCACAGGGCATTACCCCTGTGTGACGCTGTTGCCATTACATCAACCCGGCTGTTTTATGACTGATTCCCCAGGACTTAAATGAGAAAATAGGCCTAGAGAAACGATCCAGTCAAAGGGTTGTTGTATGCGGGCCCAGGAGTTGACTGGAGCTGCTAGACTCACGACAGAGTGTCATCCTGCCACTCAGCTGTGTTGCCATTACACCAACCCGGCTGTTTTGTGGCAGATTGACCGGGACTTAGACGATGGCGATATAGCGAGGAAGTTTCTCCAGTCCAAAGGTTTGTGTCCTAGAAATTTGTATAACAATTGGTAAGTCATGTCTTCAACGGTCTCCATTAGACTGCAATGATTTATCATTGAGCAAAATGCCGTTGTAAAGGAAGCAAGAGAGCCATCTTGATGAGTGACCTTATTGTGAGAGTGGTGAGGGTGGAGAGTAGCAAAGCGGGAGAGAAGGAAGATAGGTGAACGGAGCGGGCGGGGGAGGGGGTCGTCTCTTATATACCTCCCCACATACTATTTCAGCTAGCCCTAGCTCAGCTCCACCTCGAGTCTAGAGAGCCAGTCATATTTGAGCCACGCTCTGCAGGGAGTATTCAAATGAACGAGGTGTATCGCATAAGATAATATTGAAGCATTAACAGAGGTTATCCCATAGAATATCATTCGGGTATGGCGATGAGGGTATCTGGCTGTAAAGTAATAGCTATAACATGCTCCAGTCACATAATGAGCGATAACTTTCCTTTGAAAACACTTGGTTTCAATATTTAGCTGCATTTCACTCGGTCGCATGTAATGAAAAACAAGCTAAACTACTTGGGGGTGTCAGTAGTAAGTTCTGTTTCTCTCTCGTCCTGCCACACCCGGTTTAGCGTGTCCCGCATACTCCGACAGCAGCGAACCGAGGATATGGGGGCCATCAGACAATGGGTTTCTCTCTCGACATGCTGTTTTGGGCCTGGACTGGAGGTTTCTGCGTCGCATTGGATGTCGCGGGGGTGCTTGGCTGGCTGGGGTCTCTTTCAACTTCCCAGATGGGTTCATCTAGGTTGGCTTTATAGCCAGTCGCAGAGGAATATCGAGAGCGATGACATGGGACGGATAAGAATGGAGGATGTTGATTCCTAGCGACGTGTATATAAAGGATAAGGGATACGCCTCTTCCTCTTTTGATTGAATTCTATCATCTACAGGAATCCTCGTCTCCATCCTCAAGTCAAAGAGCGAACATTATCCAGACACACTCAACAACCATGTCCATGCCACCTTCCATCACTCGTTTCGACGCCAACAATCCCTCCACCACTCCGCAAGCCCTTATTGAGATCATCAACCGCGATGGCAGCGTCATCGTTGAGAATCTCATCTCCAAGGATCTAGCCGCGCAGATAAAAGCCGATCTGAAACCGCACTTCGACGCCGACATCCCCGACAAATACGGGTTCTTTCCTGCCACCACGCAGCGCGCCACAGGGCTGCTGGGGATCTCAGATGCCTGCGTCGAACTGGCCTGTAACCCGCTGTACATCGCCGTTGCGAACGCCCTAGTCTCGTCCCGGTATACCATGTGGAGAGGCGATCGGCAAGAGACGGTCAGTGGGAAGCCGATCCTGACGTCGACGGTCGGGTTTCGGGTGAATCCTAGAGGAAAGCAGCAGGTCTTACATAGGGACGATAAGTATGTTAGATTTCCCCAATTCTCGGTCTTGATTCGTTTGTGGTGCTAGGGTTTGGTGGCAGTGGTGGTGGTTGAATTACTCGGTTGCTAACGCTGAAGTCAAAGTGACTACCACCCGCATGATAAAAAGTTGCCGGTGATGATTGGATGCGTCACGGCGTTGACCAAAACGGTCAAGGAGAATGGTGCCACGATTGCTATCCCGGGATCGCATCTATGGGGTCCGGAGAGACGTCCGCTTGATGAAGAAGCGGTTCCCGCGGAGCTTGAACCCGGAGATGCCCTTATCTTCCTAGGGAATTTGTATCATGCTGGCGGGGCGAATACTACTCAGTAAGTTCGATTCTCCCTTCTTTCGTGGCAGGATCATCCAAGGCTAACAGGAGCCTTTTGTCCTCATAGGAACGAGCGCCGTGAAACCGTAGGTATATTCCTCTGCCAGCCGACTTTACGTCCCGCTGAGAACTATTTCCTGGAAATCCCGCTGGAGAGGGTGAGGAAGCTGAAACCGCAGGCGCAGCGACTGCTAGGATACGGGGTCATGAAACCCGGAGTAGGCTTCATGCACTACCAGGACCCCATGAGGGTGTTATTCGGGGTGGAGGACGAGGAAACGATCAACATGTGACATGATTAGCCATAACGAGCCCGGAAGCCCTGTCCTTGGTTCTCAAAATGAAGACTGTTCTCAGAATAAAAGACACAGAGAAAGATTCCGCTCATTCTCGCGAGCGTACTGGATCCACGTCTCCTGGCAGTCCGACCTCGTCCAGAACGTACGAAGGAACTGCAGCACCGTATGATTGCACCAGACTCCGGTCGAGGATATCAAGTCCATGAAGAGCGTCTGGATCACGGCCTGTCCGCTTTCGTCTCGCGCGTACTCCGTGCCGGCAATGAACAGCGGAAAGAAAATATTCTGAGAGAAGGTGCGCGTTGGCCCAGCCGTGAGGAATTGGATTTCGTCAAAAAGGGGCCCGATGTACGCATCGATAGCTGGCCTCGCTTCCCATGCTGGAGCGAGCGCTTGATGGAAGTAGATTAGACAAGCATAGTAGTGCGCTCTGACCATAGCTTCCGCCCGTCTCAGTGTATGTTCATCTCCCCGTAGTATGGTGGCTGTTCCCTCCGAAGTCTGCGCGTGCGCTTCTTCGATTTTATCTCGCCAAGCGTCCATATTAATGTCTGGGGGTTGGTATCTGTCGGTTGACTTGGTCATTGCCCTAAGCAGATATCCTATCGATTCAACTGAATATAGGTATATGCTCGGTGG